TGTCAAGTAGCACTAAGTGCTTGGGTTAGTACTCGCAGGCGTCTACGTTTTCCCCAGTGGCAGAGATGGGAAAATTCAACACCATCCATCCGAGTTGTTCTGGGGACGGAGCAAAGTATCACCCGGCACAACTACATCACGTGCCATCTTTGGACAAAAACGAGCGACAAGTCTTGGTTTCTGCATCGAGAGTCGAAGAGGACGGAGCTGAACACTGGTTGTAATCCTGCAGAGGGCAATGTCTGTCGACTGTGAAGAAAATCAGTCCGACTGGGATGTCCACATTGCATTACAAGAGCATTTTCTTTTTCTTTTTCTTTTTTTTCTTCACTGCCCTCCTTGGCTGCTTCCACTTGGCGATGGCAGCCATCAGCACACGACACATTGACGACATACTCTATCATAGCATCGCAGCGTATTGCTTCCTGGTAATTAATTCTACTGATTTCTCCATCGACTATATTGTGCCAACCCTGACTAGTACTTTGTGGCGGAGGAAGAGGAACTTGTGAGAAACGTGGAACCGTCCTCAATAACCGTTCACCTACTTCCGAGTGGGCAGCGACATGACTGACCAACCAGGCCGTTAGCCGACAGCCGAGCGGCCCATGGGGATCCACACCAGCGAGTTCCGCCCTTTGCGGCATTAACAACTTGCATTACAGAACCAGTCAGTTGGCAACTTGGACGAGTTGGTTTGGATAGTCTGCTTCTTTTGTAGCCAAGGCATGCTTGCTTGTTATGCTTGCATCGGATAGGAGGTCCGCACAAATCTATATCAACCACCCGACTTTGTTCCGCGCGGTGGACAACGCCATAGAATCATGACATACGTGGTCAACTGGTCCGTTGCAGCTGGTCAGAGAAGGGCATCGTCTGGGCGAGAGCCAGCTCTGGACAGCGGCTGCAGCTGAGATGACGAGGCAGCTGAAGGATTAGACTCTACCCCCTCCTGCTCATCAGGTAGCAAGCCATAGGCAATACGCTAGCGCGGCAGCACAGGTCTATAACACACGATATAGTCGAGTACCCCTGAGGATTAACTCCATGCTATACGATGGCCAGAACCCCTTTTCACGCGTAGTATTTTAATCGATGCGATAATTGCTGAGAAATCGTCCGGTCACACGCCATGTGAGTCAGAGACTGATGTATCGCAGCTGATAAAGTACGACTACACCACGGACAGCCGAGTTATAAATATGCCGCTCCAACGGCCCGAGCTGCTTTTGGTGCTCCGTCAGTCAGTCGAGGCATCTCGGAGTTTTCCCAGCTCGGGCGCCTGGCCATAAGACGTCCTCGCCAAGTCGACCAACTCGCTATAATCAACATGATGCTGCCTCGGGCCTCGACGGCCCTTTGGCTCGTCGCCAGTCTTGCGTGGCACGCAGCCGTGGAGGCAGTGCCCACGCCTCCCATCTCCATGGCGGCGCACGGCACTGTTTACGTCGTGATGCCGGAGCTGGATGGCATGGGCTCGCCGAGGGATTTCCGAGGGCAAGGCGGAATCAGCTGGAGTCGGCTGCCTGCGCCAGGGGAGGACGCCATCACGGCGGAGTGGCAACGGCTTCGAAACATCAGACCTGATCAGTCCGACGACGAGATTGACCGCGAAGATGCCGAGGACTTGGTATTCACTGGCATGCGATACCACAGTCGTAGGTTGCAACGGGAGGCCTGGCTTTGGCTCGATCCGCGGAGGGAAGCACCGAGACGAGTGCAGCGTGTCTGGATCTACGAGGTTGCCACGGCGCCAAACGTGCTGCTCTATCCCGAGGGCACCTTGGGCGGTGGTGGTCTCGGAGGGCAGTACATAGCTGTCGAGGCTCTCGGGGGCATCGTCTGGTCCCAGGTGGTGCGATTTACGGAGCTGTCCCGCGCCTCGTTCGGAGACCGGTACGCCGCCTTGACGGATGATGACCCGTCCTATCCAGACTGGCTCTCCTCGATCGAGTTGACCTGGATGCCGAACCCCGACTATAACAGGGAGTGGGAGGCGTACGGCGCGACCCAGGGAGCTCCCAGAGTCGGCTCTCACAGCCCCCCGCCCCAGGGGCAAACGCGGGTTCAGCTGGCGAGGGAGCTCATGGCGCGAGTCACGAGCAGCGAGTTGGTTCCCGACCTGCGGAGCCGGCAGACGTTGCGACGCCTACTTGACTGGGATGTCGAAAGAGAGCCTGACCGCAACTTCCCGCTCCTCCAACATGCACAGCGTACGTCGTCATCGCCGTCTCCGTCTCCGTCTCCATGCCCATGCCCATGCCCATGTCCATCTGGCATCTCCCATCCTCATCTAGCATTCTGGTCGTGCCTCGCCGCTCATCGCTGACCCTCTTGACGCAGCTCCGCGGCTCGACGCCTCGGCACTGTCGCAGATCGACTGGTCTCTGGTGCAGATCCCGCCAGAGGTACAGATAGCGTTGGCATCCGGGCTTGCCACTGCTGTCCAGTGCGCCCTTGCCCTGGATCCATTCATCCAATACTTCTCCAAAGGCCCCAAGAACAAGAGACAAGACCAGCAGCAGCAGAAAGATGCGTGCAACAAGCTCGAGGCCCGAATCAAAGAGACCAGCAACGTGCCGCTGCTGTGCCGCAAAATCAAGAACATACAGCTGAGCATCGTCCTGTCCGACGGCTTCATGGACGGAACCTGGGATGCGGTCGGCGGCACCCTCGAAGGGAAGGCCGGCAAGGCCGACTTCTACTTTGCCCACGCCCCAGACGCTGGCGCCCAAAACACAGACATCACGGTCGACATGAAGGCTGGCTTTGGATCCGACGAAATAGACATTACCGGCATAGACACGCTGACCATCAACGCCCAGGGGATTCTCTCCGAGTCATGGGGCCCCTTGAAGAATGATGAGTTCGTAGTCAAAGGTCGGTCACCACTCGGGCCTAACAAAACGCTCGCCTGTATGAAACTAACTCGCACTCTTCAACGCAGACATCAAGATCCGAGCCCAGTGCTCCGATCCCGCCTTCAAGGCCCAAAACAACAAATACATTGGCATCAACGCACCGTACAAGCATCCCGGTCGTGAGTCGGCTCTCGGAGACCTCCTGGGCGAATATCACAAAAAGACCGTGGGAAGATTAAGCATCAGCCCCAAGGATTGGACATTCACCCCTCCCTGCAGCGCCATCAAAGACCTCAAGTATCACTTCAAGCTTCAAGATGTTACCGGTGCCGGGACCTACGACAGCATCTCCTTTACTCTCGGGGCCAGCAAACGGATTCCTCTCGGCAGTAACCTGGACAGTGGCTTCTCCAAGGACGATGTAATCGGCTTGAAAGAGATGTTTGGCAAGGACTCGCTGAAGATTCAAGACCTGACCAATGTCACCATTTATGATGACGTTGCCGACGCCATTGTCTTGAAGGCTGACGAATGGAACTTTGAAGGTATTCACCCTCCTCCCCGGCGGTACTGCATCGATTTGCAAGGTGGTCCCGGTTGTGCTGACTGCGCCTCTTTTTTAGGCATGACATTCCTGGCGACCTGCGCAGATGTCCCCAAGAAGGTGCAAATGAACAAGTTCCAGTCGGTCAACCAAGTCGTCCAGTACAAAGACAAGCCAGAGGTTTGGACTGGCGATATTAGCCCTCAGGATTGGCTGGAGGTAGCTTGAGAAAGGTGACATGGCCAAGCTGCAAGCCCCGGTTGCTAGTAGGCTTGTCGGCGACCAATATTGGTTGACGATGCCAGCTTTCGTATTCACGTTGAAGTTTATCAATACAAGGCTGGTGATTTTTCGCTGCAGCAGTCCAGGTGACTATTGTTGTGACGAGTTGTCGCCGCCGAGGCCGCCGACAAGTCCTTCTTGACCGCCATGGGCATATCGCTTCGTGACGCGTGACAGTGTGTGGTTTGTTGTCGTGAGGTTGACGCAAGTCTGCTTTTGCCCTGCCTGCCGCGAGGTCAAACTGAAACGTTTGCGTTCCCTGCTTAAGATTTGTCCCGACGCTTGAACTGGGCAATGCGCTGCTCGAGGACCCAGTCACGGAGACGCCCAATAGACGGACAGGCACACTGCATATGATGAAGCATTGTTCACGAGCGTCCGTGCATGTCGATGCAGCAAGACAGTGCTTGGCCCGAGAAACTCCAAGTTCTGGTCGTGACATGTCCAAAGTCTCTCGTACCCAAAACGACTAAAGCGTCGACTTGTTCGCTGAGTGGTCTCTCCGGTCGCCAATCTCCACTAAAGTAGGCATGTCGTCGACCCACAGTGCACAGTGCGCGTCCAATTGCGTGCCCCCTCGGCCTACCAAAGTCAACTAACCGAGGATGCCAGCTCGTCCGTGACCACTGACCGCGGCATGCGCCGGCAAAGCAGCAACGACAAAAATCAATCTCGACATCTGAACCTGAAAACCATGGCCAAGGGCCGATCCGCCCCAGCCCATCTTCTCGTCCGGTTCAATTGACCACCAACGCCTCTCCGCCCTTCTTCCTCGCCATCACTTGCCCGACTCCATCCAACAATGTCTGCCGTCAACCGTGGCCTGCGGACGGCATCCAAGCAGCTTCGCGTCTCGCGTCTCTCGTCCTCGCCCGCCTGCGTCTCCGTGGGCCGCTCGGCCTCCGTCGGCGCTGCCGCTCGCGTCTCTGCGACTCCATCGTCGACGTTGCTGCGACTGCACGCCAACTTTTCCACCTCGGCAACGAGCCGTTCTGCCGCGCCCGTCATGGCTTCCCAGCCGCGCGAGTACGACCCTGAGATCAAGGACATTGCCGACTATGTCGCCAACAAGCCCATTGACTCTGACCTGGCCGTGAGTTGCTTCATTTTTTTTTTGGCCCGTTGCTCCCCTTGGTCAGCCTCGGTCCTTGCTTCCAAGGCCTGTCTGCATGGTTCCTTGCTCCCCCTCGCCCTGCGGTGGGCTCCTCCTCGGGACGGAAGGAGCTACCCCGCCGGGTCACCGAAGGGGAAAAAAAAAAAAAAGAAGCAGCCGACGGCTACGATGACGACGGGACTGCGGGAATTGAAACAGCATCATGATCGCTGGAGACCAAGCATGTCAATTACTTCATCATCATCGTCATCATCTTCACCACTACCATGATTTACCCTTCGCTTTTTCCCCTGGCAGACACTGACGCGCCCCTTCCCAGTTCGACACTGCTCGATGGATCCTCCTCGATACCCTCGGCTGTGGTCTCGAGGGTCTGAGATTCAAGGAGTGCACCAAGCTTCTCGGCCCCATTGTTCCTGGCACCATCGTTCCCAACGGCACCAAGGTTCCCGGAACTCCCTTCGTCCTGGATCCCGTCAACGGCGCCTTCAACATTGGTGCCATGATCCGATGGCTCGACTTCAACGACTGCTGGCTGGCTGCTGAATGGGGCCACCCCTCGGACAACTTGGGCGCCATCTTGGCCGTCGCCGACTGGATCAACCGCACCAACAAGGCCGGCGGTAACTTGGCCGGCGGCAAGACCTACACCGTCAAGGACGTCCTCGAGGCAATGATCAAGGCCCACGAGATTCAGGGCTGCCTGGCTCTGCTCAACTCTTTCAACAAGGTCGGCCTTGACCACGTCGTGCTCGTCAAGGTCGCTTCCGCCGCCGTCGTCTCCAAGATGCTCGGCCTCAACGAGAGGCAGATTGCCGACGCTGTTACCCAGGCCTGGGTTGACGGCCAGTCCCTGCGAACCTACCGCCACTCCCCCAACACCATGTCCCGAAAGTCTTGGGCTGCCGGTGATGCTTGCCAGCGGGCCGTCAACCTGGCTCTCAAGGTCATGAAGGGCGAGCAGGGTGTTCCTACCGTTCTGTCCGCTCCTACCTGGGGGTTCTACGATGTCCTCTTCAAGGGCAAAAAGTTTGAGTTCCAGCGTCCCTACGGCAGCTACGTCATGGAGAATGTCTTGTTCAAGGTCTCCTATCCTGGTATGTGACATTTTTCAGGTCCCCCGGGAGCTCCCCTCCCCACCGCCGCCGCCGCCCTTTTTGCGCCATCTGCCTCGCGGGACTGCGCCGGCAATAATAGTATTGCGTGGACAGGCATGAAAAGACTAACCCCCTCCAGCCGAATTCCACTCTCAGACCGCCGTTGAAGCCTCGGAGAAGATCTTCCACCAGCTCAAGGCCATGGGCAAGTCGGCCGCTGACATCAAGGCTGTTACCTGCCGCACCCACGAAGCGTGCATCCGCATCATCGACAAGCAGTTCAAGCCAATGGACAACTTCGCCGACCGTGACCACTGCATCCAATACATGTGTTCCGTCATGCTTGTTTTCGGCCGCCTCGAAGCCACCGACTACACCGACGGCGGCGAGGCAGCCACATCTGAGCTCGTCGAGTCCCTCCGCAAGAAGATCAAGTGCGTCGAAGACCCGCAGTACACGCAGGACTACCACGACCCTTCCCTCCGAACCATCTCCAACGCCCTCACCGTCGAGCTCAACGACGGCACCGTCCTCAACGAGGTTGCTGTTGACGCTCCTCTCGGCCACCGTCTCCGCCGTGACGAGGCCAAGCCCGTCATCCTGGCCAAGTTCAAGCGCCACCTCGGCCCTCACCTGCCCGAGAGCCGTGTCAAGGAGCTTGTCGAGCTCAGCCAGAACAGCAGCAAGCTCGACAACATGCCTGTCGATGAGTACGTAGACCTGTACACTGTCAAGGAGAGCAAGTTTTTGTAAACGGGGCTTGCGCTCGTACCAGGCGTTGTGATGTAAGAGGGGGAAAAAATTTGTAGAAGGTATTGATTTAATTTTTCTTTTCCTTTTTCTTTTTCAGTTAGAATCAGGGAGTGCATGACACCGTGACCCATTACTGGCATACGCTTCCACTTGTTTCGTCACGTGCGTACAAGGACAAGTGCATGCGCATAAACGGCTACTGACTAGATTCAAAACTCTCGTACAACTAGTCAGCTAGTGACGTGAGGCCACGCAAGTTCTGCCCAACCAAAAGCCATGAGCGCCCGAGCCGCGCAGTCGCAAGGAGCGGCAAGGTCAACAAGGGTGCCCGAAACTCAAAATGACAGCCGACGAGTCGGCCACGCGGACGGCGACCTCTCCGCGCGTGACGGGAATCTCCTCACCGACAGTGACGTTGGCCAGCCGCACGGCGCGACCCTCGTCCAAGTCGTGGTTGTAACTCCAGCCATCGTACGTGATGCCCGTGATGGCGTCGCTACCATTCGCCGCCAGCCTGTGGACGCGGGCGGTGGCGCCGTCCGCCACGCCCTCCACGCGGAACTTGTAGGTCCGGACGGTCCTCTGCGGCGGGTCGGGCAGCGGCTCCAGACCGGCCCCGTCAAGCGTGGTATTGTAGCCGTGCATGTTGATGACCATGAGCCGGGCGAGCCGGGGCCGGGACTGGTCGCCGGCGCGGGGTGCGTAGTGCGCGGCGTAGGCGGACTCGGCGTCGGACGACAGCCGGATGGACGATATGGACACGGGCGAGCGGCCGACGCGCCGGGTCATGTGGGCGGCCGCCATGGACGCATAGTAGGGCGCCTTTGTGCCGATGGCGGTCGCGTCGGTGGCAACGGGCTGCCAGGCCTGGTACTGTACGCACGTGGTGAGGAACGGTTGTGCCTTTTTTTTGGGAGAGGGGGGGAGGGCTGACGACGCACGCGGTAGTTGGTGCCCTGGTGCATGTGGACGCGCTTGAATCCCACCGTGGCCGAGTACATGTTGAAGTCGACGGCCCAGAGGGCGGCGCCAAAGGTGTTTGAGAGCCCCGGCCGGCCCTGGTTGTAGAGCGAGTTGGCTTCGCCGAAGACGAGGGGCGGCGCGGGCCGGGCGGTCTCGAAGACCGTCTTGTACTCGGCGACGTGGGCGTCGACGGAGAGCCTGGTGCGCGTGTGGTTCATGAGCGTGCCCTGGAGGGTCACCCCGGGTACTTTTGCGCCGTCGATGTAGCTGTGCGTCCGGGGGGTGTCAGGCGAGGCGAGGAGGGGTGCTCGGGGAGGCGACGTACTTGTGCGTGGAGAAGATGGCGATGTCGCGGCGCCTGTTGAGCCCTGACGCCCACATGTTGCTTGCCGTGAGGGCGTTGCTGACGCCGGCGTTTGACGGCGCCATCAGGTCGACCTTGAGCTCGGGGCAGTGCCGCTTGACCTGGCTCCTGATGACGTCTGTCCCGGCGAGCCACTCGGCTGCCATGTCCGTCTCGGTCCAGCCCTCGGGCCGGGGCGCGTACGGCCCCGTCGTGAACAGGTCGGGCTCGTTGCCGTACTCCCACGCGTACAGGTTGCCGCGGCGCAGGGCCTCGCACGCCAGCGGCGCGGTGTGGACGAGGGTCTCGCGGCCCTGGGGGGTCTTGCCGCCGAGGCCCATGTTGAAGCCGTGGGAGAAGCGGACGCCCGGCCACGTGGCGTAGCTCTCGAAGTAGGACTTGCCGATGGTGATGGTGGTAGGGTAGTCGGGCGACTTGCGGGGGTCGACGACGCCAATGAGCGCCGTGGTCTGGGAGGCGTTGTAGAGGGCAAAGTCTTGGGTGTTGCCGCCGACGCGGAAGACGGGGTAGTGCCCCGACATGGCGTGGATGTTGTTGATGAGGTTGTACGAGTACGTGTTGGGATGGGAGAGGTTGCCTGCGGGGGACGCGGGCGTCTTGGTAAGTCATGTCCAGTTCAGCGACTCTTTGGGGCTTTGGCACGACGAGGACGACGGACCGGCATAGTCGGGAAAGGACGAGAATTCGATAGAGTAGCTGACGAAGCCGTCGAGAGGCTGGCCCGAGACGCTCGGGTTTGACGGGACGTCGAACGTTTCTGCGGCGGCGGCGACTGCGCCTGAGAGGGCGACGACGATGGCGCTCGGACGCGGACGCATCGTGGTGCGGTATGGCCGTTCGACGGATGACGATGGAAGCGGTGCCCAAGGCGTGCTTGAGAAGGCTGCTCAGTCACTTCGAGTCTGAGCTGATGGGCGTCTGTTGCGACGCGGCTCCCCGTGCGTCGTCAAGAATCAAGATGTCGGATGTTCTTGTATTCCTTCGCCACCACGCCGAGCTTGATGCCTGGGAGCGTCGTGGGCGCACGCCGTGTGCAGGACGCACCGGCGCAGAAAACCAGAGACTAAGAATCGAGCCATGGTTGCAGGCACAGGTTACATTGTGGTGCAGAGGTCGTCGTGTGTTCGGTTTGCGCGATGCAGCTTTCATTTGCGGGCGCAACGTGGAACATCGGGCAGTATGGAGTACCGGCCAAGAAGTACTTGTACTTGCGGGCAAATTGGCTGTGAATTGCTCGGAGTGCGTTCGGATTTGGCCCAGGGTGGATCTTGCCCCGCTCTCAGAGCCATCATCGCAGCCAGCATCGCAGCTTCAACAGACGACGATTGGAGCTCGCACAGTGCCTAAAGTCTACTCAGAAAAATTCACAGCTCATAGACGTATAGTGAATTTTTTTTTTAAAAAAAAAAGGTATGAGAGATCGCATTCTAAGTAGTTGAAGCCCACTCAGTATAGCGTTATTCCGAAATTTATATATTTAGTCAACTACGTAGTGGCAGCAGATCAACTAGCTAAATTTAGTTAGTGGCGGGGCAAAACACCCCCCGAGCAAGATTTGGACGCACTCCGCAATTCGCCGCAACACCTTCGACCGCAATCGATACTTACATACAACAGTAAAAGTCAGCCGCGCCGCAATCTCGCCGGACCCTGCTCCGCCGGCTGAGCAGCTCGCCATTGCCATCGCACGTCGAGAGAAACACCAGAACTTGCCCCCGACACTGGCAGGAGTGTACGGCTTGGAAGTTGCTCCTCCAGGACCAGCACGTCGCCAAGACCGCCGCTGTTCGTGCCGTGCCGCGACGTGGCGTCTGACGTCAAGGGAAGGGACGGGAAGGGAAGGGCCGGACAATTACTTGCCGTGGGCCGCTCGATCTCTCGGGCTCGTGAATCTGTCGTCTCAAGACCTGTTCGTTCCACAAACTAGCTGGTGAACTGCCGGTATCGTCAGGACCCATATACCACACCCTTCGTCCCGATGTTTCGCGATCCCTGCGGGCGGCCTCAATCCGCACGCCAGCTACCCTGGCCAAACGCCGCCCTCAAATAGTCCTGTCTGGAAACGTCCAAGGCTAGTAGAAGCGGAAAAGACGTGTCAAGCACGTTTCAAGTCTCGTGGGATGATTCCTACGGGCGACACATCTCTGGAGGGGGCTTTCGGCACCATTGCTCCCAACGTCATGGGATGAGACACGCCACCATTGCGTCTGAAGGGTGGATGTCGAAGGAAAAGAAGAAAAGAGTCGTAGACCTCCCGCGTGACCACAGCTCAACCACGGCAACCACCTAGGTTGCAGTCGTACCTAGGTGGTCAAGTAGTATCAGGAATCTTGTGACGAACGCAAGCCTCCAGTACAGTGGCGTTGACAGTTTCAAAAATACCCGTGCTTGAAACACAAGGCACTACGCTGTGAAAGCATATGGATTGTCATCAAGAAACCCCATATACGTGCTTGATTGCCCCCAACACTTGATCAACAAGTCCTACTTTTAGGTCGGTACACTTGCTGGCTTCTGGCGTTATTCTTGTCGAACTCCGCCAACAACACTGTTCATGGAAACTTGTGACACAGGGGGCAGACAAGACGCGGAGCATGGTCCAGACTCCAGAGCAACGGTTCCCTCAAGTCGGACAGGGCTGTTTCTGGCCGCCGCCAGAAGTTTAGACCGCCGGGTCGTTGACCACCCAGACGTTGTGTGTCGCATCCCTTATGTGTGCTGCACAATCCCAGGCGTGACAAACTGTAGGCATCAGTGAGCCAGCCAGAAGCTTGCCGACGAATGGTGCTCAGCCGGATGGGCGTGACACCCGAAAGGATGATGCGTAATGGAGTTTCAGTTCTTGGGCGCTTCATTGTTTTGAAGCCCCGACGCTCGTTGAGTATAAAGAGGTCGAGTTACTCGTCCAATTGTTCCACGACTAATCTGTATCCCATTTCTTACCATTGGCCGATTGGATTGAAACGGCATCTTGTCCTTGATCTTTGATCTCCCAATTACTACAACGTCCGCCGCCGCTGCGCTTTCGTCATCACTCCTCATAAAACACATATACTGTCGATATGCTCTTCGCAACCGCCAAAGGCGCCGTCCTCTCCGCCCTCGCTGCCCAGGCCAGTGCAAAGACAATCAAGATTGCTGTTGGCAAAGATGGGTTGACGTTTACACCTGATTCAGTGACAGCTTCCCAGGGGGACGTCTTGGAGTATCACTTCTACAAACAGCATAGCGTCGCTATGGGTGACTTTTCCAATGGATGCGCGCCAGCTCCCCAAGGAGGTTTCTTTTCTGGGGTGGTCAAGACCGCGGGTGATGGAGCAAACGTAAGGTTTGATTCTTTCCTGGCTAATAAAGGTGTGTCCGTGGCTGTACGCTGACATTGGTGTTCTTTTTACAGAAACAGGTTTTCCAGGTCACAGTGAACAACACGGATCCAATGGCCGTCTACTGCACCGTCGGTAGACACTGTCAGAACGGCATGGTCCACGTCGTCAATCCATCATCCACCAATTCGCTTGACACGTACAAGTCCGTCTCGAATAGCGCTGGCGCAAACGTGGCGCCTCCGACCATGTTTGGCGGCAAAATGGTCGAGAGTGCTGGAGCTTCAGGCACAGCTTCCAGTGCCCAGTCGAAGACAACAGGAGCTGCTTCGCATATGCAAGCTTCTCTTAGAGGCATCAGCGCTGCTGCTCTCGGATTCGCCGTCTTGCTGCTGTAAATGAAACCAAATTTGACTGGTATCGGTATTGTACTCTTCCATAACGTTGAAGCGAGGGCAGAATGAAAAGCTGTCCTTTCTGGCCATGTAATATTCTGCGTCTGACTCGAAAGCATGTTGCATTGTTGTTGCCTTGGCAAGGCTGGCTTTTATAAACCGAGCTTGCTATTGAATTCGGAATTGCATTCAAATATGCCTGCCTCCTGTGATGAATACTCTGTACTCAACGCCGACGTTTTTGCTGGAATTGAGTAGACAGAATGACAGTCAAATGCCTACTACGAGGCAGAGAAGAATTAGCACGGCTGTCGAGTCTTCCAATAGCGACCAGGACGTGTCGGACTCGATCAGACAGAAGAATGTCACAATTGAGGATTGCGAGGACAAGACACCTGCGAAAAAGGCAAGACATTTGCCGTCAACCAGTATTTACTGGCTACAACGCGGTGATGTGCTGATGTGATGAAACGTGGGTGCGCCTACTTCATATCGCAATGTGCAATGTCGATGTCCATCAGTGATAACGCCGCGGAGGGCCGCCTGCAAGCCAAACCTGGCCGCTGAAACATAAATCAGACAGAAAGGGATGGTCGAAGCAGTGGGTGAAGCAACCGGAATGCGATGTAATGATCGGGTCAGTTGGTGTTGTGACTTGTAGGTCCATGGGTGCAGCCGCCATCGGGGAAGACGGACGACGAGATGATCAATTCGGAACTGGCAAGTCTGACTTCTGCGCAACACGGAGTAATTAATATCTACTGGATGTAGCTACGACCAGCGTCTCCTTTGACGCTGACCCTGGTCTGAACGGCGTGCCGCGTCGTCACAATGCTCGTCACGATGCGAGGAAGCGGCTGCAGCGCGGGCTGGAGCGAAGGGGCATCCTGACCACTGGAGGATCAGGCAATACCCTGGCTCGGCGTGTTGACTGCAGACACAAATATTTTGTTTTGCCAGAACATGGGGATTTGTGATTTCGCCATGGGTGGACTGTGGAGGGTGGACACAAGGCATCTTTGAGATGCTTCCGTACACGTGCGATGGCGGAAAAGCTGTGGCACGCGGCTGCACACCGCCCCTTCAGGTTTCCTCAAATGGCGCGCGCAGGACCGGGGCGGCTCTTGCAGTTGGTAGGCTATCAGTGACCATCCGGACGGCAGGTACGACTGTGCGTTCGCGTGTGTGTCGGGGGGAAAAGGGCAGGTACTCCAAACGTCGTAGGCACACGTGGAGTTGTCCGAGTCTCGTGAAGCTCACTCAATGTTGCCAGCCTGATTGAACATCATGGCACAAGGCGGCAGCTGAAAATCACATCACATTGGAATGTGACAGCTGACGCATGGTCTTCTTCACCTCTGCAAGCCCCGGACTGAGCTTCACCAGAGTTATATTGTATTATAGCACCCCGAAATCCGGAATCCGCCCCGAGTGCCGAGTTTCAAGGTACCATGCATGGTAGGTATGCATTCCCGTGGCACCGTTCTCTCAGTCTGGGCGTTGACGGCTTGAGTACATATGCCCTCGGGCCTCATCGAAACCAGGTCGTCCTCCCTTGCCCATATAACTACGCGAACGCAGCCGAACGACCGTCACGGACCTGAGCTGCTGGGCTGGTGCCAAGTTCGGATGGTCAAGCGACAAGTTACCCGACTAGCTTGCCAGTTTGTCATTTTCCCACGGCATTCAGCCAATCCACTTATCGACTGCACGGCCAAGTTAAACGATTGAAACATCGAGCATGATGAGCAAGTCGGAAGATAAATCCCTGGCTTTCGACCCACTCGTCCGCAGCCGAGAGGCCGCCACACACAAGACACGCTCGCCACCCCGGCTCGGCAGCGTGGGCTGCAGAACCCCCTGCTTGGTTCGATCTCGACTGCGTGGAGACGTCCTTTGACATCGACCGCAACGACGTCGATTCTGTACCCGGGCGACCTGGCCCTGCTGGCCCCGAAACAGACGTGATGTGGTTCTATTGTGCTCCCGGGCCAGATTCCAGAAGCGCCTTCACTGCTGCCAGGCAATGGCGCGTACCCCGAGTCCGTACATGGACCACGGTTGTCGAGCTCTGGCTCAGCCATTCCCCAGCCCTTTGCGCAAACGGGCGCCCTATCAAGGGCTAGAAAGGTCGGGTCAAATGTCTATGATTCGCATTGGGCCAACTAGGGCCTGGAAATGGTGTTAGTCTGAACTTTGGGCGGCTCTGAGGCCCGGAGAAGCTAGTTCTATCAATGGGCTAGATTCGCTCCAGTCAGTCTGTCAACGACAAGAACTTTCACCGACCCGGGTCGAGAGCGCCCCTGTCTCTCATCCTTTCTCTCATCCTTCCTTGTCTCTTTGGCACTCCTCTCTGTCCCTCAGTTGCTCCGTACGGCGTGCTTCATTTGCGATCAATCTCGCACAACTTCACGTGCGACTTGGCAACCCGCAAGTACCTCTTGAGGAATTGCTGTAGCTTCCTTTTGCCGCGCTGGCATGTCATCTCAATGGTGGGGGGACATAAGGCCGACGCTTGCAAACTCAATTGACCAGTTCCTGGTAGCAAAGCTTCGCTTGATATACCAATACTGTCGTCGGTGTACACGGCCAAGCCATCCAGAGACAACGGCCCCTTACTTCACCATAATATCAGACTGCGTCTCCTTGACAAAACAAAAGCAACGGAAAGTCACGCGATTCGGCCATGGTGAGCAGGCAGTCTTGCCCAAACGAGGACCTTGCGAGCCCTGAAAGCTACAGCTGCGGGTTCTGACTTCAGCCTGCCGTTGGTTCCTTGTCGGTTTGCTCCTCCGAGTCCCTGTCCCACACACATACCGACAGTTCCGGCTAGCTAGCCCTCCAACGGTCACCGCGGGACTGAACTATCCAAGCTCGACTGGTTTGTAGAAACCGAAACCTTGGGGCACCTACAACCAGTGGGGGGAAAATCAGCGGCTCACTTTCCTGATTTGCTGCTAACTGGCCGTCTATGCTCGGCCTGAGGATTCCATCTGCGCTTCCGAGACAAGCTTCATGACGTATCATAGATAGAGCGTTCTGAAAACACATTTCACGCACTGCGAAATCTCAGATCGTCTGACCCACAACCCCCTGGCATCCAATATTTTGTTTTCTCTCGAGCCGGGACGCTGTCTGTCCCCTGTGCTTTCACCGCGCGGCTGCCTTGTGCCTGTGGCGTTCGTCGGTCCAAGCAACACACATTGTTGCCGGCGTGGTGCCTGAGGTGGGCTCTTAACTGCTGTAAGAGCCATAAAAGAGACAATTGGTCACTTCCAAAGTGCGCCAGCTCCCCGTCCAAGCCCCTTTGCATCTTCACGCATCATTGAGAATCGCCAGCTGCTTTCATTTTTGCCACTCACCGACAAACTGGCTTGGCCAGTCTTTTCATTGGCAAAAACAGATCAAGAGAAATCCCGATTATCAGCTCGTGACGAGACATGTCGAGAGGTAAACTCTTGGTTTACCTCCTGAGGCGGGACTTGAGAGTGGCTGACAATCCCATCTTGCATCACCTGGCCACCACCTCTGGGCATGGCTTCACGCATCTGTTGCCTGTGTATGTGTTCCCTGCCCATCAGGTAGAAGTCTCTGGGTTTCTGAAGGATGGCGAGCCGTCGCCGTATCCTCCAGCCAAGAGCCAAGTGGGCAAGTTTTGGCGCTGTGGACCCCATCGAGCCAAATTCACCGCGGAAGCCGTTTGGAATTTGAAGAAGAATCTCGAGGATTTGGGTAGTGGTCTCGCACTTCGACTCGGAAGCGCCAAGGATGTCATTGATCATCTCATCAAGGAACTCAAGGGCACTGTGCCCAGTGTTAATGCTGTCTGGATGACAGAGGAGCCTTCTTGGGAAGAGGTGCGGGAACAAGAATCAATATCCGCTCTGTGCTCCGAGCATGGAATCGAATTCAAACTGTGGAAGGATGAAAAATACTTTGTCGATGAGTGAGTTACCCTTTTCATAACAACCCGGGTTCGTGTCACACTAAGCATGCTTTTAGCCGCGACACAGGCCTGGAAAGCCCAGCAGATTTACCCGATGTTTTCACAACCTATCGAAAGTCTCAAGAGCCTCTCAGAGAAAAGCCCCGCAAAGTTCTACCAAGGCCAGACAAGTCATCGCTTCCAATGTTTCCGCAAGAAGGGTCGATCCCTGCCCAAGCGCATCCGTTTGTTTCGCCAGCATCTTTGGAAGATATTCAGAAAAGATTAGCGAAGCCACTCGAGAACATAATTGCCGACACTACTAAACGACCCCAAGATGCCATCAACGGTCATCCTTTCACCGGTGGAGAGAGCAGCGCCTGGGAAAGGCTGAAGCATCTGGTCAAGTCCGGGGCTATGACGTCGTACAAGGATACCCGCAATGGCCTGGTCGGTGTTGACTATAGCCTGAAGCTGTCCGGCTATTTAGCCCTGGGCTGTCTCACCGCGAGGCAAATCCACGAAGAGCTCTTGAAGCTAGAAGATGGAACCGACGAACAGTACAAGGACGCCGCTGGATATGGTGATGGTGAAAACGACGGAACAAAAGGCATTCGATTTGAACTCTTGTGGCGAGATTACATGAGGCTCTGCACGGCAAAATTTGGGCGCAAGCTTTTTAGACTCTCTGGATTTCGACAAGACAGAAGCTACGATAAGAAATGGAAGACTGCGAACGAAGAGGGAGCGGCCCCCGAACAAGAACCAACACCAGCTCGAATTTCGAAGATTCTTGAACGATTTCAAGTCGGCACCACGGGAATGGGAATCATAGACGCTTCCCAGCGCGAGCTGTTTCACACGGGATATACATCGAACCGGGCACGGCAGAACGCAGCTAGCTTTTTCTCAAAGCATCTTGAAATCGACTGGAGGTACGGTGCAGAGTGGTATGAAATGATGCTCGTGGACTACGACGTGTCTTCCAACTGGGCCAATTGGCAGTACGTGGCTGGTATCGGAAACGATCCTCGTGGCGACGCTCGCACATTTAACCCTGTCAAACAGGCTTTCGATTACGACAAGGAAGGGATCTACGTTCGTATGTGGGTGACTGAGTTACAAGGGCTCGAAAAGCTTGAAAACGTCTTTCAGGTGTGTACCACCGAAGCGGCCGAGTTGAAAAGCTGTGGTTTATCCGACAGTGTTATGGTCACGGACCCTGTCAAGAAGATTGATTTCCACGTGGACCGCAAACCAAGGGCAACCCGACGACTTAACAAACGGCGAGGGCACCCTCGAGGTGGCCGCTGGGGTGGCAATTACAACAATCAACAACACAACGGATCCGGAACATCGAGCGACGCGGCCGCTGGTGAGTTGGCGGGTGCTCCAGGCGCAGATGCAGAAGCTAGAGACCAAGCGCGGACAGACGGGACGTCACACAAGCAATCCGTGGACGTATCATGGAGAGAGAACAACGCAGGAGGCCAACCCTCGAATGCACAGGGGCAAAACGGCCGAGGCTGGAAAGGTGGCGACCAATCTCGGGGTCGTGGCAACGGCGGTCAGTTCCGGGGTACTTGGCGTCCGTATGGACAGAGAGGAGGCTTTAGAGGACGAGGCCCATCCGGGTTCCAGGTGCCTTATCAACAGTTTCCAAGCGGTGGGCAGTAGAAGCTGTGGGCTCATCAGCGAAGGCGCCCAAAGAAGCTTTGGTCACATCCTGTTGATACCTGGCGGATGAAGTTGGTCAGACACACACTTGATCAAGTCTTGACAGTGGGACGCCGTGGCCTTGGGTGATGGTGTTCAGACTACGCAGGCAACAAAACCCGTCACCTGGGATATCAAACAGGGTCCTTTTGCAGCCACCAAAGTGGTGGTATAAAACTTGACAAAAGATTTCTTTGCGTTGTACGTACCACGCGGGAGAGGAGGGGCTGGGGCGAAACGACGGGTATCCAGGATATCAGAAGAGGATGGCAAGCATAACGCCTGATGATGGGAACTTTTTTTCTTAATTTTCTTAATTTTCTTAATTTTATCTATTTGTCTTTTGCCTCTCAACCTTCGTAGGCTAGGTAGGAGAATCATAAAACTCATGCGCATACGAAAGAGTACATGAGAAATAACAAAACAAGCATGAGCACAGCATTGACGATGGGGTCTTTATTTTGACATGACTGTGCAGTGCAGCGCAGTGCAGTGCAGCCACGCAAGACGAGGAAACTAGGCGCCGTACTTCTTGTCCTTGTCGGCGATGAAGAAGTCCTTGCCGGTGGTCTCCTTGTACTTGTCACGTATGAAGTCGGAGATGGCCTCGTCCTTGGCCTGCTCTGCGGCGCTCTCGTTGGACTGGTCGCCCTCGCCGAGGACCTTTTCCTGGACCAAGTCGACGGCTGGATCGGAGCTGGTTATCAAGCTGTACCGGTACGGAGTACTGCTGGGGCGACGCACGCATGGAGTAGCACGGCCGATGCCGTGTAACATTGCCATTGCCAGTGTGCTCACGTACGTACCTTTATCGAGGCCGTCCTCATTCGCCTCGCCCTGCTTGCCCCCACCGGCCATGTTGTTGAGCGAATCCATGAGCTTGCCGCCGCCGCCTGCCTGGCTGTTCTCGCCGTCCCGGCCGGCACCCCCGACCTCGTTGGCTACCTTTTTGACAAAGTCCATTGTGCGGTTCCCTTGTTTGCGGTGCAGGGAGGAAAGAGGAAAGAAACGACGTGGCTGGTATCCCCGACAGGTTCCGTGCAGGATGCAGTGTCGAATGCGCCGCGGGAGATGGAAGGAGCGAGCGGAAAATCAAAATACTGCATCTCGCGGAGACGGCGGCAGAGGCCTCGTTGCAGGGGGGGGGGGCTTCGGCACGTCATGCGCGAAGTGGCCGGGGAGGGGCGTGGCTGGGTCCCGGTCCTTTTCCGGTTCCTTTTCCTTTCCGTCTCGCGCGTGAGCATGAGCATGAGCATGAGCATGAGCATGAGCGTAACAGAAACATTGGCTCGATGGCTGCTTGCCTGACTCCCTGGGCCTGCGCGCGTCTCTGGATCCGGAGGAACTCGGGGGGCGTGCAAGGTTCAGCACGGCCGGTCGTGGGCGGGAAAACAAGGTTGAAGAGGCGCTTCAGCTCGACAGGGATTCCCCAGTGGGCGGGCGACGTCCTCGAGGGCTTTTATTATCGTCGTTTTTTTGGGTTGCGCATCAAACGCGGATGCAAAGCCCATCCCTGTACGGAGCATCGGGACTCCAGGGGCGGGCACATGACGTGTCGCAGCGGCTGCAAGGCTTGCAAGGCTCTGCTTGCTTTATCCATGTTGTGCATGGCCTTGTTTGCAAATTGTGGGTGGTGTCACTGGCGTGTACGGCTTCGTGCCCGACTGGTGGCGTTGACTACATGGAGATCGACGATCGGACAAGCAACTTGTTGGATTAATCTGCCCGGGGTGCTCCGTACTTCTTCAATGTCGGCACTGGGAATGCCATCCTGCACCGATTTGGCATCCTGCATGCATCAGGGCTGGTAGGCTGGTTTGCCGAAAACCAGGCAGCTTGTTCCGCGTCGTCGCCCTGCTCGCCCTCTTCGCCCTCTTCGCCCTCCTCGCCCCTCGCGGAGAGGTCAAATCCTCGATTGCGGGGCCGGGGGGAGACAAGTCAAAGCAGGCAGCAGGATTGTCAGCAGCTTGCCCGCCGGGTGATTCTCACACTGAAATCAGTCTGGCTGAACAGAACAGTCCTGCATGGAACGACTTCCATGGATTCCTGGGGTCCAGCAGCGTAAAGTCGAGGCGCCCAAGAAGCTGGGCCCCCAGGTCGGTCAGTCTCTTGGTTCGAGAGCCAACCACCGTGCCATTCACACGCAACCACCTTGGTGTTACTCACCTCGACATAGATCTTGTTCAGCTCAGTCATGGCAATGTTCCGCCCTAGGCTCTCCCGGCGGCTGCCGCTTGCAAAGGCCATCATGACGGACTGCTCCCTGGGCTTGGACTTTTGGGTGCGATCCAGCCAGCGTTCTGGCCGGAACAGATCGGCTTCGCTGCCAAATATGTCTTGGTCTCGCATAACCGACTGAGGGGACCAGGCGACATTTGCGCCTGCGGGAGCGGGCACTCCGCACAAGACTTCATCTCGGGAAGAAACCTCGGGGTACAACGCCGCCCTTGTGGGAACATGCGCAGGCCTTCGAGCATGACCGCCTGGAGGTATGGGAGCCCTCGTGCCTCGGCGTCGGAGATGGGAGACGAGATGCGCACCAGCTTGATTTCCCGGTCCATCGCGGCCTGCTGACGCGCGTATACTCGTGGCGAGGTCATGAGAAACGGCATCGTCGATTGGATGGCTGCAGCAGTCGTGTCAGAACCAGCAATCACCTGTACGAGCGCCTCCCTCCGTTTCGCTGTGCCATTGGTCCAGGCCGTGCTTTACAAATGACCCCAACATGTCCTGTTTGACCAGAGGATCAGCGCCGTACCGCTGGCTGACGTTTCCTGGCAAACTTGATTACGTTGCCGATGCCCGCCATGTCCCCGATCCGTGGCATGACCCATTTGAAGTAGGGAGACTGTAAAACACGGATGACGCCGGGTATAAGCGTGGTGGACACGAGGATACAGACAGTCTGGTTCTCGGTTTCAATGTAGCGAAACTTGTCCTGGTCCTCGGCCAGATGGCCCAACGTCCTGCCAAGGGCAAGCGTGGATATCACATCCAGGGCAAAATACTGTACTTTCTGCGCCAGATCAACACCCTTGTAGCGGCTCGGACCGGTCGACACGTCCTCTGTGTCTATCAGCCGGGCCAGGTTGGCAACCTGCTCATCAATGTGCCGGTGCAGGTTGTCGACGTCTTTGTCGCCGTGGCTTGGCATCAGCTTGTTCCGAATGACACTGTGCAGCCTGTCGTCTATCGTGGAAAACGAACTGTCCCGGTAGGGGTCGATGCGATCCCGCGATACCACCATGATCGCGTCCATGCCCAGATGCGGCGGAGCTCGGAAACACCTCCGCAGACAACCCAGTCGGGACCGATTCTTACGACGGGGCCTGTAGATTTAGGAGTTTTTTGTTTATTTTTTTTTTCAACTCCCGGCCGGCTTCTCATGGGCTTCGAGGGCGGGGGTTCATTGCGTATTTCAAGTCCATGACAACACTCACCGTATTTCTAGGTCACGTCGTGAAGGACAAAGTGCATCCGACCGCTCAGTTGCATCAGTACAAGCCAAAATGGCGTCCAAGCCGCCCAGCAAGGGCCAGGAACATGCCGCAAACGCAGAAACGACGTTAGTGGGTTGTGAGGGCCGAGGCCACGAGCAAAGCTGCGACTGTCGAGAACAGAGACATGGCGCCTGCCGTAAAGCTTCGTGGCGGACGCGGCCGCAGAATGACGAGGCGCCACGAGCCTCCCCTGCCGCGTCTTCTCCGTGTCGTCGTGCTCGCGTCGTGCGCATCCTCGCCATCGGGCCCGGTTCAGTACGATACCCGAGACAAGTCTCCTGGGCGCCTGTATCAAGGTGTTTGCGAAGAGGCGCGTCTTTGATGGGGTCGGTTGGTAAATGGGCTTGTGTGAACGCCAAGTCAGCTGCCAGGAGTATCGACACGTCCCTGGTATCTTCATATTGATGGGACATACCTACAAACACTGTTTCGAGCTCCTCTGAAGTGTCAAATTGGTGCCTTTGGATGAAGCTGACGCTCACATCACCAGTCTGAAACGAGGGTCCACCTCCAGTTGATAGAGATTCCTGGCCCGGATTGCGCTTTGGCTCAACCGTGTCAAATCCACCTTGGGCAATTGCAATCGCCATTTGCATTGTTGGCATTAGAAACTGCAAAATGACCACCATCCAAGGCTGTCTAATAGTGTCCCTCCACATGCGCGATGAGGAGCCGGCCGCGGAGCATCTAATGGAAGAAGGGGAAACAGCCCAAGGGCCAGGGCCTTTGGTATGACTATAACTGGCGGACGGGGCATATTTGGCTACAAGGTAATCGTCCATGGGAACATTAAACTCGTGAGGACCCGTGCCCGCATTTCGGCGCGCAGCTGCCCAACTGGCGCATCCGGGAATTACATAGCCACGTTGATTGAAAACCGGGCGAATTCCGTTTCACACCAGGTCTGTGGAGTAACGCGTATGGTCAAAAATGCCCAAACTTTGACGTGGTCCCAGCTATCTTGGGTAAAGAGGTCTGTAGCAAAAGCCACCGTCCACGGGTTGGCAACGTGATCGGGACGAGAAGTGCCCTCTATACAGGGTGCATGCTACCAGTGTTGTTCTAGGCTTTTGCTGTCCGTTCCTAGCCAGAAGAGCGTTCTGCTCACACAGCCAGGAGGCCTCGATACGATGAACTTGGTCGTGCTTCTGCGGGGCCCAGTCGTCAATCTTTTTGAAATCGTTCATCTTGGACCGTACGACATGGTGTGTGGTGCAGCCCAGAATAGTCATGTCGGAACTGAACTGTCCCATCGAGTCTGGTTCAGGAGCACAAGACGATCAGCGAGCGCGGGCTCCTTGGACAGACGCTGCGCTGTTTCCAGAACCGAAGCATGACCAAGGCCATGAAACTCATGGTTTCCAAGTATCGGAAAAGCCCTTTCGTAACGAGATATCTGCTCCTCAGGAAATGCTCGGTAGTCATTAGTCAATCAGCCGACCCATGCCGCCTGCCAGTAGCAGAAAGGGGGCTGTTGCGGGAAATTTGAATGACAGGCATCGCTGGCCGACCTCGAGAGAGAGATATGAGAGGATCTGTACGAGGCGTCGCCATGATCCATGCAGATATTTTCGAAAATCCAGTGGCACAGCTTTTTGCAACGCTCGGCCATGGGAAAAGTTTGAGGCCACGAGACGGGCCGGTCAAGGCAAGGCGTGTGCGTACACGAGCGACACACGCGGTTTGTATATCTGCACTAGCATCAGCCACTTCGTCAGACATCCGTGATTGTCACTTTAGCTGGCCAAATAACGCGTCTCTTGGATCGCCATGGCATGTCTGTATGCATCCTCGAAGACGTTCCACACGGACCAAGCTACTTACTTGTCCGACTCCGAAAGGGCCCGGACATAGATTTATCCGATATATTTGTGGAGGCTCGAACGACTACCTTCTACCTTTGTAGGCAGGCAGCTTTCTCCCATCGTTCGACATCGCCGCCACGTATCCGTACCGCTGCTTCTTTCATCTTGACCGCGCCATGCGCTGCTTGGTATTCCACACCGACATGTACTGGTAGCAGTATTCCGCCGGGGGCGAGCTGACTCATCTGACGGAAGGCGGAGCTAATGTTGTCACGAGTCACTGGACGGCCGCAAACATGAATGACGTCGTTAGCTAAAGCGGACACCCAGACGAAAGACTTCTCGTTGTTGCTACACTTTGACATCTGGTTCCTTGCTGTCGACCGGTCCCAACAAAGATCATGCAATGAAGGGGACACCGCATAGCACTGGCTTGCCGTCGCTTTGTCACTCACATGTCTCGATTTGGCATCCCAGCACACCATGTTCTCACTGCCACGACTCGATACTGTAAGCCCACAAGATGAAAGCGATAGCCGTGATATCGTTACCCGAAAGGCCCAGTCGTATAACCTCTGGCTCTCTAATGGCTGAAATTGCCCATATCATCCCCCAGTCTCACGATGAGTGGTACACCAATAATGCCATGTGCGATTACTCCCGAGGAGCAAGGGCGCACAGCCTTGCCCCTATTGCGCCTGAACCTCTCTTTGCCCGATTTTCACTCACCGTACTCGCCTGCGTCATGGACTTTATTCTCCGAGGAGAACGTCGCCGAATTGCCATGGTGCAGTGTGGTATCGACGCCAATGGTGGCCCTGCCTGGGCGACTCAGGAATTGAAACGGACCGTGGCCAGCGTCACTTCTAGTACGGCGGAGGCTGCTCGCACTATTCGATCCCAAGCAAGAAGAGGTGTAGCAACTTGGGGTTCAGCCCAGAGATGGCCGGGCATGTTTACGCGAGGACTGGTGTCGTGAGGAGTCGGGAGGGGGTGAGTCTCAGCCGGCTGGTGCGCATGCAGGAGACAGATAAGAAGCCAGTAAAGGCCACTCCATACATTCCAAGGACCAGAGGCTTTGGTTTGACCTGGTGATCCATGATTGATTATCCAAGACATGCGGAGCCAGCACCCAAAAGAACTTGGCTTGAGAGTGAAGACGCGCGAGCTGCCTACACAGCTTCTGGGGCAAGAGCCCAAATCCAGGGGCGTGGTATGAATCTGATGCAAGCAGAACGTGGTCAAGAACTTCACAGTCCGGCGTGATGCAGTACAGCAATTGGGTATCCAGCTAGCGAACCTTGTTGAGTAAGTTATTACATTGTGCTCCATCCATGCGTGATATTTCATGCTGGGTAACAGCGCGTGGGCGTCTACGCCTTTGCCCGTGGCCATGGTTGGGAATTCCGACACACAAACACCAGGGCGAGTTGAGGCACGATACGGTGAGAACTAATTGACCTAACAGGACTGGCTCCTCTGCTTCCAATCACTGACCACTCGAAACGAGATTTTGGCGTGCCTTTAAGGGGAGGGGACAGACATAGACAACAAGGTCGACCAGCTCCCCAGCGCAACGCAACACGGACACGGCCGTAGGAATTGCTCAATCATCAATACTTGTCTTGGCACCTGATACTTCCAACCCTGTCATTGGCCCCAATGACTCCCAAATCCGGGATATCCTGCTGAATCCCCGCCCAAATCATTGTCCAGCAAAACTTGTCTCTGGCGTCACCAGTCGCGTCAGTCAGTTGAGCGTGGCAAGGGCACGGCGAGAAACCGAAGTTTCAGACGGGCAGGCACATGCTTACTCGAAAAGCGAGCACTCGGTGAGGGGGTTCGTGATCTGCAACGAGGATACTTTCCACCGACTACCATTTGCATCCCGTCAGCATCGTGGCAGGCACCTCGGCCCCTGGGGGGTGAAGGGGTCGAGTCCGTACATTTTGTCCGGCAGATGGATGCAGCTCCAGTCTCTCCACGCCAGGTTCGAGATGCGCCAGCGTCGCCCCACGAAGTTTACGTCGTGGTATAACACGGCCTAGCTCGCGAGTCGTGCCGGAAGCCAAGCCACCTACAATGTTAGCCTTGCCAAGGTCCGCACCCGCTGCCCGCAGAGGGCTGAAGGGCTGAGTCAAACGAGGATGCTGGGCGACTGACCGCATCTGGGACGCGGAATGTCGCATCGGGGGCCACTGATCTCCCGCCCAGGCCGTTTTGCGCGACCGGCAGCGCGGCGATGGAGACGAGAGTCGCGAAGCCGGCCACGAGCGGACTTGACCGGCGCATCGTGAAGGACGACAAGTGAGGCCAGGGAGAACGCCTTTGTGTGAGCCCTCGCTGGCGCTCGTCGGGTGTCCAAATTCGCGGGGACAACGAAGCTTTAGAACGGCCAGGGGAAACGTCAGCACACGTTGGGGAGTGCGCTTGTTCAATGCTGGCTTTTTACTCGCCTTTTTGGGGGTTTGTTTGTTGTTGTAGGAAAAGTGGCCATTTGTAAGGTCGAGTGGCTGCGGGTTGAGCTGGCCTTTTCTTTTCTTTTCTTTTTTTTTTTCTTCAAAACACAGCCGGTTTTTTAGGGCTTTTAGGGTTTGATAGACCGTTGGTTGAATTTCAATATTGCAAAGGCCCTCGCTAGTAGAATTTTGTATCCTCGTTGTTCCTAATGACGTCTCGAGCACTTGTACGTCGAGATACCGCTGATGTCATGGTCCAAAAAGCTCTTGACTAGTCCCATACGCACAATAGTAGCTGCTCGTTCAATATACACTTGCCTGCTCAGCTCGTCCAAAATCTGGAAGGCTCATCAGCAGGCCAGGCCAATGTAGTGGTCACCGTGGATGTTTCGGACACGAATGGGTCGTCGGGGCCTCCAAGCATGCGTTCTTTCTTTTTGGCTCGCGACCATTGTAGACTAGAAGTTTTAGGCCCGAGAATAAAAAAGACGGAGAATAAATATGCGCGACGTCATGGAGAGGACACGCATGGCCAGCTTTGTCTTGCCGCTTGCCGCGGAATTTCCCTTGGTTTGCCATACATCTCGCTGTGGCTGAAGCAGAACTTTGCTTATGGCTTCATGGAGGATGGTTCTTTGCAGCCAGAGCCACACCATCAATTTCGATCTCTACTTCCTCCGGCTTCGCTTCGTCTACATAAACGGCTCAGTCAATAGCAACTTCATTGGGTCGGACCGGCCCACGCGTGCATTCAATGCTGGGCAAAGCATAGCCTTGAAACTGAGTTAACTTTGTGGAGTTTCACAAGTTATCTACAGAGTAACTTATAGTTATTTCACTTCGTGTACTTGGAGCTTCTCTTAATTACCTATATATAAAGATAGGTAACGTACACACAACCTAACAAAAAAATACAGAGCCCTCGGCGTACTTGTAGACCCATTTTAGAGTTATAGCGCCGCCATCTAGGGCCTCCGGCGCCGAAGGGCCCATACCTCTTCGTCTGTCTCATGTCAAAAACTTTGTAATAATCATAGTAGGGTGCGAGCATAAGACATACTAATTTTAGCCGTTTCACTCGCTGTATAATGTTAATACTTATACAACAAATAAATAGAGGCATAAGACATACTAATCTTAGCTGCCTCGGCGGCTGTATAATGTTAACATTAGTATTTACCCAAAGAAGTACAAGACGTACCAAGCTTGCCAGCTTCAGCAGCTATATTATATATTAATATTAGCATTTGCGCATAAAAATGAATCCGAGCAGAGTACATACCTATCTTCACCTCTTCTGCGACTATGTCGTGATAAATATTAATAGTTATTCAACAGATAAGTAGAGGCATAATGCATACTGAGCTTTTCTTGTTCAGCTTCTATATTAAATTAATATCAATACTTACAACATAAAGATGAGTCGAGCAAAGACCTACTAATCTTCTCTGTATCTGCCGCTATATTGTGTTAGTAATCATATTTTTTCGAGAAACAAATAGAAGTTTAAGACATACCAAGCCTTGTAGCCTCTGCCTCTGTATCGGGTCAATATAGTGATACAAGAAATATATAGAGGCATAAGACATACCAAGCCTAGTAGCCTCTGCCTCTGTATCGTGTTAATATAGTTATATAAGAAATAGAAGATGGATGCATTATACGTATACATACTATGCGCCTCATCGGCGCGTTGGTCCGCCTTCTAGACGAACCACGCGCCGAATGCAGCGGCAACCGCTGCAACAAGTCCAAATGCAAACATTGATATGAGATTCAACATTTCCATTTTGTTGTTGTTATGGTGGTGGTTGTAGTCGTGGTTGTAGTCGTGGTCGTGGGTTGTGGTCGTGGTCGTGGTCGGTTTGTGGCTATAAACAAAATTAGTGTAGCTGAACTAACCAATCTGTATTTCAGGCGTTCTGTTGTGGGCATATGCAATAGATTTATAACTCACCAGGAGGGGTCGACAATGGTGAGGCTGGTTGTGGTTGTAGTTCTTGTTAGAAAATAAAAGTCAACTGCAAAAGTTTTTGTAGAAGAAAACTCTGACTACCCACTACAGAAGTGGTGGTTTGTTCTTTCCTAAAGTTTGTGTCTCTTTCCCAGTTCTTTATCAAAGCTCCTACTAGCCGACAGCAGTCCTTGTGCTCACTCCTTCCCTGCTGACATTCAGGCAACTAGTCTTTCCATGCATTTAACAGGAAGGAGGGCATCGTTTCAAGTGAGCAATTACACGTGACCAATTACACGCACGCTACATTGTACACGGATAAGTGTGGCTTGCAGCGGTAATAGACACGAGCAAAGTCTATCATAGTCAAAGTTCTAGCCGCGTGGTCTTGGACGCATGTGGCTTGTCTCCTTGTGATTTTATTCTCGTTTAGCATCTTGCCTGCTCGACATGGCAAGTCTTTTGACTGGTTAAATACAAGGCCGATGAGTTTCCGCCAGAAATGGCAGAGACGCAGACAGACTTGGCTTCACGCCAAGCCGTGGTAGTTTTGCACGCCGGCTGTTTTGACTTTCTGACCGCGGGAGTTGCTCTTCCTCTGGTATAAAAGGCTCACATCCCCTTCCCTTGCTGGAGGTTCAACATCAGACGCAACAACTGCATCAATCAAAACAGCTCGTGGCCTCGTGTATCCCGCCGACAACTAATCACGATGGAAAAGCATCACCTGCTCAAGCGCAATTCGTCTTTCGAACGCCATACTAGGGACGCTCCCCGCAAATTCAGCCCCTTCGAGCAGCGTTTGGAAGCCAATGCCCCGGCAGTTCCAGTTCTGACAAAGTCGGCTGCCGTAGCAAAGTGCGATGCCGATGCAGCATCGTCTAGCACTCTTGGCTCGTCCAGCTCGGCACCGCCAGTCGTGAAAAGGCACTTTTGGGTGAGAAAGCTATTAGACAACGCAGTCAGGGTGGTGTTACGCCAGCACAGGACAGTGGTTACAAAAAACAAGTTGGCAATGGGGAGCTACAGGGCACCAAGTCTTGCATCATCTCTCATGACCTTGCCTGACGAGCTGCTGCTACAAATAATGCATTGTCTACCTGCGCCCTCCTTGTATTGCCTTCGCCAGACTTCGGCCAGGTTCATGGGTCTTTTCGATGCACAGAATTTCAAAGAGTATCACGAGTCTCAATCATCAGGGAAACACAAGGGGTTCAAAACAATTATGCTACGCGCCGCGGAAAAGAACCTGATTGCCAACTCTTTGCATCGTCACATGTACTGCGCCGCCTGCCTCGCGGCCGAAGAGCGCGGGATCCTAGCCGAAAGATTAGAGGCGCTGCGAACCTTGCGAAACTGTGTCGGATGCAATCGACTACACGCAACCGCACTCTTCTTCCCCAACGACGAGAATGTACTCGATCGCGCGTCTCAAACCTGTATTGGACGACTTGGACATATCACGCTGTGCGACCACGCTTCATGCAATCCGACGTCATGGCAGGATCTCCACAGCTCCTTCAGATATGGCAGGGCTGATTATTTGTCTGTGTGCACACATCGCTCGCACCGGACGAAACGCGAAGAAGAAGACGAGGAGTTCTTGTGCACTCCATGTGCGTTCCCACGGCTATATGCAAAGACAAGTGGGGATCATGATACGGTATTTGAATTGGGATACGGCTGGGATCTACCTCTGCTTCAGATGGACCACTCATCAGGCCGTGTGAGTCTTGCCGCCATCCGAGAGACGCTCTGCAGCTTGGTGTTGAATGCGTTCCACAACCACAGGCTGTGCCCACACATATCTGCCGGCGAAGAGATTCGCAACTTTGTTCATAATGGCATTTGCAAGTGCTTCAGTCACGATTATCTACGACATTCGTCCGCCAAATGCCGACGCCAAGCTACCCTCGACTGCCGAGTCTGTGGTGCGGTATACATGTGGAGGTTAGAGAAGGGACTCCTGAGTCTCTCGCTTCGCTATCTTTGGAGATTTCAACAACCGACTAGCTTCGCGTGGCTAAATCTATTGGATAAAAGGTTTCGAGAAAGACTCTTCACCGACAACAACCGACACGTGCTTTGGTGCGATAACCCCGATTGTCGTACAAACAAGAGGTGTCGATGGGAAGCACTAGTCAAGGAGAACGTTGAGAGGGCATACATTGAGCGCATAGGTGAAGACTCCGGCTGTTGGGATTACGAAGAGACGACGGTTACATCCATGAAATCTTCTTTTCAGAACTGGTGAGGAGGCGGAAAGACACTAAGTGTCATGAAGTTGCCCTACTGGGCCATCGTGGGTGCCAGCCACAGTCATATCGGTGGTGTGCCGGACCCCTTGACCTCTCGCCGACCTTCAGGTCAAAAGGGTACGTATTGAACAAGTCCTTCTTACTTATTCAAATCTGGCACTATACAGCTTCCTGCATGTTGCACATCCAATGATGGGCATTTCCCAGACCTTTACAATCACACCCTTAATTCGGTCAATCACAACCTTAGGACTGTTCTCAGCTTCATTAGTTATTACAAGACAGCTTACCGGGCCTTTTATCGGCCTATTAGTTATTACAAGACAGTTTATCAGGTCTTTTACCGGCTTATGACAACCTTTGACCTGCCTCGTGATAGCTCTGCTGTCCTCAGAAAAAAGGGCCAAGTTGGCGCGCGTAGATAGTTATGATATGGTTTGCATCTTTGGCAGCATACGAGTATAAATGATTTCAAGCTGAACTAGTGGCGGAGGGAAGTTTTGTATAGCTCCGCTACTTAATAATTTGGCTTGCTACTACACAAATTGCACACAGGTTTCTTCCGTGTCTTTGCTTCGGCTGACTGGCTTCGTGGGATTTGGTGATAAGAGAATGACAAATTGTCCCAGGTGCAGATGGCCGTCGCCAGAAGGGACTTCTAAGTTTTCTTGCTTTGTTATGCAGAGTGCAGACATATAATTTCATTTGATGTCAAATCGCTCCAACTCTCTACTGGTTGCGCCGTTGAACGTCTCTAACAGTTTGTAAGTTGTGTGCGTGTGATTGCTCACGTGAAATGACGCCCCCTTTAATGTGAAAGACTTGTTGCCTAGAACGAGACACAAACTTCAGGAAAGAACACCCCACCTACTCCTCTAGTCAGTAGTAAGAGTTTTCCTCTACAAAAATTTTTACAGTCGACTTTTATTTTCTGACAAGAACTATAACCACAACTACAACCACGACCACGACGAAAAAAATGGAAATGTTGGGTCTCATTTCAAAATTCGCCTTCGGACTTGTCGCAGCGGTTGCCGCTGCATTCGGCGTATGGTATGTATATGCATAATACATCTATCTTTTATTATCCTACTATTGTTGTATGAACATGGACACTGACATGATACAGCGGCCGAAACGGCCAAGATCGGTATGTCTCATGCTCGCATCCCATTATCGATATTGCATGGTTTTTGACAATGGACAGAGGAGCTGTAGGCTCTTCGGCGCCGACGGGCTTAGATGGTGGTGCAATGCCCCCGTGTTGAACCGGCAGATAAATCACGTTAAAACAACACCCGTGGATGCCAACCCACGATAACAACGGCCGCGTGTTGAAGTGGCAGACAAATCACGTTAAAATAACACCGGGGAGGCCATGAACAATACTGAGGAGGTGACGGCATCTTCCAGGCTGGGGCAGGTCAGTCCAAAGCTGGCCCGGGACCACGGGTCTGTAGGTCATGCGCCTCAATCTCATCATATCCGCGCACCTTGTCCGGGTCTATGAGCCACAACACTTGGCCGCACGAACGTTGGCAGTAATCACACGGTTGTATTTCGGGCATGATTATATGTACAAATCCAACTCACATTATCGGCAGATTCATGATGCATGGATTGCCGGTCACCACTTACCTAAAGGCCCAGCGCCAGGAGTACAGATTCATTCCGTTCGACAAATCCTGAAGGCCAAGCAAGCGCAATCGAACAATAAGCAAACACAGACGCAAATGGAACAGACGCACAAAGGAGCTCCTTTACCATGCTTGCCTACCGACATCAAGTACCTAGCAGCTGGTATCAGAAGATGTCGCCTCAACCTCCCCTCGTCATAAGCTGCTGATGGTGCTCCAGTCGAAATTCAACCTGCAGAGAACATAGTTGACGAACCATCTACTGCCGAAAGAACATCTGATTGAGGCGAAGCAGCCGATTTCTGGGTCGTTGGATTTACAGTATGCTGCTGTTGACGAGCATGAAAGGGATGGATGATCTTAAGTACGCTCAGCTATTCCATATCGAAACGAGAGGTCAGCTCATCTCACATTGGGGTGACCTCGAAAATCACCTTCCAGAAGCCATCCGATTTGGTGGACCGGCCCCGAAATCTCGGCCTTCCTTCGAGGAAACTCATGCTGGACAAGCTGAAAATTGTTGGGTTTGCCCTTTTCCCATCAGTTGGCTTGATTAGTACTGACGTTTTAGCACCATGCTCGGACGACCGAATGGACCGCGTTGGAGAATCCCAAGGCAGGCTGCAAAAAAAACGCCGGTCTTTGCTTGGTGGGAGCTTGGCTTTTCGCAACCTCTTCATGAAAATGATTGTGACAAATCCTGAGGAACCTACCCCCGTGGTTTTGCTATTGACTGAGCCGTTTATGAAGGCGGAGAGGCTGGAGGATGCAGAGAAGGCGAAGTAAGGATGAAACGAGACAGATGGTGCGCTGTAGCTATTAATAAATATTCTTCATCAAGCCATGAGAAAAGTTGTGTTTCTGTCATTCGGTTAGTCACACGGTTGCACAAGGGCTGCGGTCACGAGACCTAGGGCACAGGGTTGTCTCCGTAAATAAGTGTTCAGGCACGAGGGTTTGTGAAACACCAAGGACCGTTAATACCAAGACGTGTGTTACAGTTGAATGCTCCAGGCCCTTTTGCTGCAGTGTGACAAGGGCCACATGATAAAGAGAGTTTGGAGCAGGAGTGACTCTACAATCTCTCATGGTGTCAAAGGTCCTTGGATAGTTCAATCCGAGCACCTGACCTGCGAACTCCTGTACATACACGCTAGCCTTTGTGTCTAGAGCCTCATATATTATACGACATGATATTCCAGTACGATGCAATACAGTACAATATAAAATATAGTTGTATTAGTTGTATTTGTATTTTCTAGAGATACTATAGTAGCCTGTACGGATAAATTCGCAAATAGAAAATATCAATTTCTCCAAGTTAGTAACCAACGTGTTACCATTTCTCTGTGTCGTCAATACACCTGCACTACATCAACCCCAGCATCACCAATCAATACTCCGTACTTAAAGTAACTAATAAGGGATAAACTGCTGTGCTAGAGTTGGGGTTGGTGGGGCTTCACTAACTGACTCATGTGGCGTCGTCAGAGGCAGGCCACTTTTCCCGACTACCCAAAAACCGCGCTGCCCACAAGACCGGCTCAGACTCCGCAGCTTCTCAACATCGACGAGCTGGAGTCTCTGCCATGGCGACCAAACCCGACGACATCCTTCGGCGGCCTCTCTACGGTTGGTTGTGCTCGATCCCGATGAATGCACAGAGCTGACCGGCATTCCCAGTGTACGATCTGCCTGGCGTCGTGCTGGAAGGCCTGACTGTCAAGGCCGACACAGACAGCGCGCACATCGTCAATGAAGAGCCGGCCCCTACGCCGAGCGAGAACCTGGTCGGGTCGCAAGCATGTGCCCTTTGCGGCATGGCCTTCTCGTCTCTGCAAGAACAACGCAGCCACCTCAAGTCGGATTTTCACAACTACAACCTGAAGCAGAGAATGCGGAACCGTACGCCCGTCTCGGAGACCGAGTTTGAGAAATTAATCGAGGACCTTGACGAATCGCTCTCCGGCTCGGACTCGGAGGAAGACGACGATGAAGAAGATAAAGACGAGGACGACCGTCGGCAGGACTCGACTTTGACGGCGTTGCTGAAAAAACAGGCCCGTTTGGCCGACAAGCGAGCCGCCGGCGACGGAGGAGATGCCTCTGACGAGTCGAGCTTGGGGAGAAGAGGCCGTGGCAAGCCGCCTTTGATTTGGTTCAGCTCGCCACTCTTGCCAGAGAACCACTACTTTGGACTGTACCGCGCCCTGTTGACGGGAGAAGATCAGCGGCACTCTGATCTTGTCCACGTCCTACGGAGGAAGCAAGTCGAGCCCGTTACGGTGCCCAAGCCAGCCAAAGATGGGACGCTGGCAGCGACCGCGTACAAGGGGCCTCACGTCTTCCTATGCATGATTGGCGGCGGGCACTTTGCCGCCATGGTTGTTTCCCTGGCCCCGAGGGCCGCAAAAGGAAACACAGCCATGAACCGCGAGGCCACCGTGCTAGCCCACAAGACCTTCCACCGATATACCACGCGAAGGAAGCAGGGCGGCTCGCAGTCCGCAAATGACAACGCCAAAGGCGCGGCGCACTCGGCTGGCTCAACGTTGCGTCGGTACAACGAACAGGCACTGGTGGACGACGTGCGGGCACTCTTGCGTGACTGGAAGGCCCTGCTGGACACGTCGGAGCTACTCTTTGTCAGGGCTACAGGTGTTACAAATCGAAGAACGCTCTTCGGGCCGTACGAGGGCCAGGTCCTACGGCACAATGACTCACGGCTCCGAGGATTACCATTCAGCACGAGGCGCGCCACCCAGAATGAACTCATGAGATCCTTCATCGAGTTGACGCGGCTCAAGGTCAGGGAAGTGGTCCCGGAGAAGGAAACCAAGGAGGCACAACAACCACGGGCACCTCCCAGGTCTGCTGGTTCCAAGGCGCCGAAGCCAAAGCTGGAGGAGGAGGAGGAGACGGCTCTGTTGCACACATCCCAACTGCAGGCCTTTATCCGACGCTCAAAAGTCCCCGCGCTGCTATCGTACCTCGCGAATCACGGCCTGTCGGCCGACTTCGAGTTCAGGCCCGTGGACCAGAATCACCACTCCCCTCGACCTCTCCACCTCGCAGCCTCCCAGAACTCGCCGCCTCTTGTGCTCGGTCTTCTGACTCGCGGGGGTGCTGATCCGTGCGTGCAAAACGCCGAGGGGAAAACCCCGTTCGAGTTGGCGGGGGATAGGGGGACTCGGGACGCCTTCCGAGTGGCCCGTTCGGAGCTGGGAGAGGCCAAATGGGCCTGGGACGCGGCCAATGTCCCCGCGGCGATGACCAAGGCCGAAGCCGACGGCAGAGGAGAGCGGGAGAGGTCAGAAGCAGATAAGAAGGAGGCCGAGAGGAGGAAAGCCGAAGAGGAGCGGCTACGAACCGAGGGTCCCAAGGTGGTGGAAAAGAAAGCCAAGGGCAACACGCTTGGATCGAGTCTGGCAAAGACACCGCAGGAACGCCGGGAGGAAGAAACGAGGGGCTTGACGGCGGACATGAGGATGAAGCTCGAGCGGGAGAGGAGAGCGAGGGCGGTAGAAGAGCGACTACGGCGGATGAAGAGCGGATAGCATCGGCGGCGACGGCAAACGAACAACGAAAAAGAACTACCAGAGACAGTCTGGGCCGGATCTTGGAGGTGCTGGTCGTGGGAGGGAAGAAAAAAACGAGGGAAACAAGGAGAGAAAAAAACCACCGTTGCATTGCACGACGGCCTCGTCTGCGGTGCCGACGCGGCGGCCCAGCAGCAGCAGAGGAACTACGCCAACTCTCCCCATCTGACGGCTGCGGCGATTCTTTTCGGCAGAATGCCTCGTCCTTGAAAGAAGCGCAGATTTGCTCATCTCTGCACATTACGTTTGGAGGATGGATGATTTGACACGGTGCAGTATCATGCGTCCTTCCTGCCTGAGGCCTCAGCGCAGCAGTGCGGATACTGCCGGATGCTCTCCCACTCGTCGTCCTGTCCGGCTGCGGGCCTCAATATTGGACAGGCTCCACACCACCCGTCATCCCGCCAATGAGAAGCTCACGGCCAAGAGCGAAACCTGTTCTGGTTGCTGACCGGTGGGTCGCCTTCCGCGGCGCCCCACTTCTGGCAAGACATGATTCGTCGACAGACTAGACAGAGACTCAACACCGACTGAACAGCAATCGAACACCTTCTGGACAGGTCGTGATGGCTTCATGGTCAATGCCCAGCCGTCAGGCAGCGCCAGGCAGCATGTCTATAAATTTCCCGCTCTCCCGCCGTTCCCTGGCTGTTTGTCTCTTCTTCTGCACCCTCACAATCGACTCTCCAGTCCAAAGAACAAACCCAACAACACCACATTTCTTTCACCTTGTGCCATCTTTATACTCGGCCTTTGCTGTCTACTGCGACAAACAATCAAAGAACACACAGTTTATTTTTTTGAAAACCACCCTCTTCATCTCTTGTCCTGCACCCTCATCTCCCACACCCCCGTCACAATCGACTCTCAGTCCAAAGGACAGACGCAAGAACACAAAGTCTCCTTTACCTTGTGCCGTCTTTATACTCGGCCTTGGCCGTCTACTGCGACAAAAGATCCAACAGAACACAAGTTTCTTTTACCTTGTGCGATCTTTGTGCTTGACCTTTACCGTCTACTGCGACGAAAGATCCAAGGACAATCAAGTACGTATTCCCACGCTGTTCATCTTGTCCACGTTTACACTAAAGCCGGCACAGCATGGCCATCTGCAGGTACTGCGGAAGGAACCACTGTGGGTCGGCTCGACCCTGCGTCTGCAATGACGTCGGTAGAGCCAACCGTCTGGATGTGGAGGCTGTCTTGACGGAGGATGCCTCCGTCACCTCAGCTTCGACCGCAACAATAAAAAGTAAGTGAATATATTAGAACCCAAAAAAAGAGGGGGGACAAACACCCATATAGACATCATGCACACATGCACACACAAAAAAAAAATCATCTGGGTCCTTCACTCGCTTCAAGGAGATGTAAACATGGCGTTGCAGACTCATGCTAACATGTCGTTGCCGATGCAGCCTCAAAGACGTCCAGCCAACAAGGAACGGGCGGCCCGCGCTCCCGCGTCGACACGCCCCTTGCGTCGGGCCATCGCCACGGGTGGAAGGTCTTCACGCTAAAGAGGGCGTGCAAGCACAACAAGTGAGGGTGTAATTAGAGAGCACCCCTCTTTTGTCGGTGCGATGACATGGATAAGGCGCGATAAGGAAATCTAAGGGGGTACATCTAATATTTACAGGGGCACAGCCATGCTTTCACATGTATTACTCTGCGAAATTCAGTCAGAGAATCGCCATACAAAGGGAAGTCACTTTCATATACTTGATATATGTAAAAGGCGCTTTAGCCCTAGGCGTGCGCGCCAAGGCGCGGGGATACAGGATCGTTGGCTGCGCTGCAGCTATCACGATTCACGATGCCCTCAACGGCCACTTGTGGGCTCGAGCACCGAGGCACCAAGGGCCAGGGCACAAAGGCCGGAGGCATCAACCCCTGATGCCTCAGTCATCTAGAGGGCTACACACACAGTGACCTCCTTGCACAAAGCCCTCACCAAGGACCTTTGAGACCGTACGATGTAGCATGTAAACATGGGTCTGGGCTCCAAGCTCCCATCCAAGCGACCAGCCCTTGTCACAGGAGGTGAATAGATTCAGAACGTAAAAAAGAGGGGAGAGGGACAAACACACACACAAAGACAGAAAGACGGAAGAAAGCCCATCCAGGCCCTTCCCTTGCTCCCGGGGAGAATATAAGTAGGCCGTTGCCGGTTGACATTTGACCCGTCCTTGTAGAGGCAGCCTCAGAGACGGGCGGGCCGCCCTGCCGCTTGCGTCGGTCGGGCCACGGCCGCGGATTTCCCAGAAAAGTCTTTGCGCCCTGTTGTGGAAGTCAAAAGACTTGTGGTCTACAAAGCTTTTGGGCTCGTGTGCTGCCGGCCCGGGGCCATGTGTGTGGCACCTCCGCACGTGTTCTGTATGTATTCAGCAAAAAATGCAGACGGGTTCCTGCCCTCGTTGGGGCTGAAGAGGAGTGCCAAAGTAGTCAGTCTGCTGGGTCTCCCCCTCCCTGCCCCCCCCCCCCCCCCCCAGGCCGACGAGTCCAATCACCGAGTTTGTCTGCCCGACGACTGTCTCCGTTGGATCTTACCCCGTCCAAGCTCAGAGGGTATGGATAGCCCGGGAAGGGTTGCCGATGATGCTGTCGTTGGCGGCAGACCTTGCTTGGCCCGTCAAGTGAGCCATGTACGCGATTTTCGCCAGGGACTTTGGTTGAGCCGGCCGAGCTCTACGCAGAGTCCTAGTCTCTTGTTCTTGTTTCTTGCTTCTTGTTCGAAAATACTTGGCCAGCGCTGTAGGGTGGCCGCCAGTCCGTGAACCTCGATGCGGCGTCGAGAACGTTGGACTGACACGAAACATGTTTGCTGTTATACTCTGCTTTTTGGATACTGGATCTTCATCCCAACTTTTCCTTTGTCTGGAGCACAGCAGCCCCTGGCGCTGTACGCTGGCGTCGGTGGACCTCAACGCCTCTCGAGAACAACACTGCCTGCCGTCGCGGCGTGGCCATCTGCGGCTACTGCAGGAGGAACCACTGTAGGTCGGCTCGACCCTGCGTCTGCAATGACGTCGGTAGAGCCGAACGTCTGGATGTGGAGGCTGTCATGACGGACGTCACCTCGACTTTAACTGCGACAGCTATCGTGGGTCGGCTCGACCCTGCGCCTGCCTTGACGTCAATAGAGCTGACCGTCTGGGCGTCGAGGTGGCCATACTACGTTTTGGATTCCATCTTGGGATTTTGATTTTGTTTGGAGCACAAGCCATTGCTTTGCAGGGGCGGTTTGGTGACCCTGGGGAGACCGTAGGGTTGGCGGATGCCGGATCTGGATTTTGATTTTGATTTTGATTTTGATTTTGTTTGGAGCACAAGCCATTGCGTTGCAAAGGCGGGTCGGTGACTCAATGGCTGGACCAAAGGGTTAGCGATCTTACGGCTCTGTAGTTTATCAACACAACCTCATATCGTACACTACACATTGTATCATTCGCAACGTGAGTCGTGACGCGGTGCTCATGGGTCGCCAACCGTCAAGGCACACGCAGCCAGTGGTACAACGCTTGAGTTTGACTCGTCCCCTGTCATCCGGGCCAAAGATGGGAATCTCAGACCTGTCCGCCTGTCCGTCTGCAGCTGGGTTTGCCCGTGGCGCACCCCGAGCCGGTGTTCACCGTCTGCAAAGCGGCCGACGACATTTTGCAACTTTCGCCCTCCCCTTGCACGTTGTACGTTGGCGCGTCCCTGTCGGTGTCTGCGCGCAAGACAGGCGGACAGGTAAGTCGGGGCGAGCCATCAACCGTCGCCAGGGCCCAGAGCCCAGGGGTGAGTGAGGACGATGTCGGACGTCGGATGTCGGGCTGGGCAGTTGCGCGGCTCGACAGGCGATCGAGTCCCTGAATGAAATTTACGTGCTGGGTTGAGTCGAGTCGTGTTGGATGTCGTTTGTCGGACGTCTCGGCCCTCGCACCCATCGTTCAAAACGCACGAGCGTAGACGTGTTTTTCTTTCCTTCCTTTGGCAACCCGTCACGACTGTCGCCGCCGTCTCCTGGGCATACCCAGGCTGCAAGTCGGCAAGCACTGGTTGTTGAAGTAAGCGCCCGTCGTGCCAGAGCCAAGCCAAAGCTGGATGGAATAACTAGGGGCACAAGGCATCAGGCATCGACAACTTGTCGCTTGCCAAGTTGACAAACCGGTGGGTAGTTCACGAGACGATCGGGACACGTCATTGTATCAGGGACAATCAGCCGGTGGCCAGCCTTCCATTGCAGAGTGAACTTGAAGATGATGGTCATGGCTGTGGAAAATGATCCCACTCGTGGCTGTACAGTCTCCCCGTCTCCCACGAGCTCGACTCGTTTATTTTTAAACCTGTACGGAGTGCTGGTGACCAACCTGGGTGAAATTCATTGCAAATGCAACGTCTGGACACTAAAATAGAAGCAGCTAGACGACCAAGAAACGAAGAAAAAAAAAGGACAAGAGTTCCGTTTTGAAATTCTTTCCCAGTCCCCTACTTACATTGCCGGCTGATGATGTGCCGCCAAAACGAGATCGTCTGGATTGACCGATCGTCTCTTCATGCAGTCTTGCAAAGGGTGCTCATGGGGCGCAACGTACGAAAGGACGCGAAGCTCACTGGCCCTCGTGCATAACCGGCATCTTAGTCGTCTCCGAAGCTGACTCGAGAATTTCGTCACTCGTCTGACAAGTACTGTGGTCCCAGCTCATGCGGGTTCACGCTGTCATCCCGTTGGAAACGAGCGTGAATCATAGGAGCGTCCATCCACCCAGGAGAAGAAGGGATCATATGAGCCGTCGCACACAGGAAAAGCACGAGCACCTCTACATATGAACTCATGTGACGCACCGTTTCATAGAAATCTGGGCAAGGACTCTGTTTTGGATGCATCTGGACAGTGTGTTCGCACTGCACAGCCAATGTCTGTACGGAATACTTGCATGAACTTACTTACTCGGTACATCACTAAGTATACTGCATTCTCTAAACTAAAGGCAAGGGTCTCAAAGGAGGCCGCTGATCAGTGGCATTCGGAAACCAACGCTCTTGACGGGTATGCATGAGCCGTAGATTTTGGTCATGTTCATAGCCGCTTGGCTTGGGAAAGAAGCAACGAGTCATGAAATGTTGAAGATCCCAAGTCCAGCTTCAAAAGGTAAAATCAAGGTCAATGTTAATGCTCGCAGTGCCACCATGCCACGGGGATTTGACTGTTCGTATTTTGAAACCAGCCAGGCCAGATTGGTGTGATCGCTCCGGATGCCCGGCCCTCGCTCGACAGCGGCATCGGTGGTGTAGACACGAGCAGCGCGACGGGTTCGTGTTCCGTAGCAAAGGAAAGGTTCTTGGTGCAAGCTCGGGTGACAGCCATCAAGATAAGCTGCCTTGGTACGGTCCGTATGGACTCCTATGGAGTATGTCGTGAAGAAAGTCGGGTGCACGGATTATCCGCCAAGACGAATTAGCATCTTAGGAGTAAGTCGAGTTGACCCGTCAACTGACTGGCTGGTAGAGCCCAAGCTTCTCCGGTGCACCGTCAAGAGACCAACGGGTGCTGACAGTCTCGCCCCTGAACAGTCGTAAAGTCGCATAATGTACTGCACTGTGTCATATGTGTCTGTCCGAGGTTCATACCCTGGACTCAAAGCGTCAATAACAAACTGGCTATCGGCATGGATTCTTCACACAACCCCAGCAATCGCGGCATCAGCAACAGCCCCAAAATGGTCACCCAGCAGGGCCATCAACTCCCTAAATCCTCTCCCAGGCCCGCTGCATGAAACATGAAAGCCGTCACCGGAACTTCAAACGCGAGCTACGGCAGGGAGCCCTTGTCTGCCTCCCGTTGTGCACGCATTCGTTTGTAAAAAAAAAAAAAAGAAGCCAGCACGATAGGATAAAGTGGCCACGTGGACCCTGATGTGGACACTGGACCTTGGACCAAAGACTTGGATAAACGTGGGCCTGGAGACAACACCCGCTCACTCTATCCGTCATAGTGGCCACTCTGTCACGGGACCGAGACCGAGGCATTCTCGAAATGCCTAGCAGACGCTAATACTGCTATCCCACAGGCCGTGGGTGGCACATACAAGGTACCGTACCCTCAACTCCACCACCGACTCATGGTCGGAAATTACGCCCCGCATGCCCAGAAAGTTTGCTGAACATGAGGTGCATGATCGGGCGGTTTGTAGATCGTCCGGGGACCTTCGGATGGCACCTGTTGAGAATATGGGGTCGTCAGTGGCCGCACTGACATCCACGCAAGGTGATGGGTTATGGGACTGGCAACGAAAGCCACAAGCAACTGACTGAGGGTTGAGTGAGGCCCATTTCGGTACGTATGGAGATATCAAGGACGGGGACGACGGTAGGGTACTCCGTAGTGTCATGTGGTCATCCAGACGGGTAAGTAAAGTAGCAGCTTGCCTCTGTGACTGAGCAACCAGTTTTCGCCCCGGAGATGCACAGCGGCGCACGCCAAATTTAGATTGCGTCGGCGACGTCGTATGGACGTAACGTGCGAGGCCACCAATGAGCACTTGACTGATTCGAATTCTGTACTAGTAGATGTCCGTAGACTCCGTACGGAGCAACTCGTCCCAGGCGCTTGGCTGATCAACGCTGCCCCCGGCAAGGCTGTCTCTGTGTGTGTGTTCTTGATAGTCGTTGGAAGCAGAGCGAGCACTCAGCCGGCTCATCATGCCAGGTTGACGTGCAGCCATGCCAGGGGAAGGGGCCCTCTCTCAGCGCCGATCTTGTAACTCAGACGTGCGGCGTGGTGCAGTCACTCAGCCGCCAGGTTGAGCGTCCAAGGTTGGGCGCGCGCAGCGTTTGAGACCTCGAACGAGTCGGCACGAGCCCAATCCAATCGGGCTGCAAAGTGAGGAACAACACACGAAGACTGAAGGGGAGAAAAAAGGTCTGGCGCTGATGCCAGATGGCAAGCGCTGAGAAACCGCGACAATAGCCGCATCGAGCAGCAGTGGCTTGACGAGAAGGGCAAGAGCTGCCTGGTCCGGCGCTTCCTTCCTAGAGATTTGCACAGGTGCTGATATTCACTTCCATGGACGGCTTAGCGCCACCTGAAGGTGAGGCACGAAGCGGCGGCCTGATTGGTTCTCGCTTGCTGTGCCTGCGTTCCTGCAGTAAGTCGCCGCCATCTGTCCTTCTCTCCTCTCCAGAGTGCTCCTTTCGACGACCCACTGCCGACGGCCCCCGTTTTCATGTCGACTCTCGTCTGGCTTCGCTCCCATTCGAAAACCATTCATTTGCGAGACACGCACACACACACAGTACGATTTCTTTCCCACTGGCACACACTTGACGTCTCATCGGCTAGCATACACGGCGTCTGGATTGCCGACTAGGCCGGCGGACTCTGGCCGGATTTATCGGTGAACTATTCGGACCTTGGACAACGTGTCTCATCTTTCGGCGGGTTGGATGGTAACCGGACAGCAGACAGCAGACAATGGACATGGCACTGAAGCGAGGCTGTGGCTGGCTGTACGGAGCATGCACGGAGTTTTGTCCTAGGCGGCGATTCAACTGGCTTGACATGCCAACAAAGAAATTTCTGCCCGCAGCTATTCCCTTACATCGCGCATTAATTTTGTCCGTGATGTGCCGAGCCCATCTCCACCAAATTGCTGGCCAGGAGCGACTTGAGCTAAGTTGTCTGTTCTCAAGGACAACGGAGACCACCTAGATAGATGAGCTGGTTCGTAATTACTCACCGTCTAAACCGATGAGCTGGTTCGTCATTACTCACCGTCTAAACAGATGAGCTGGTTCGTTATTACTCATCAGTATACAACGAACCTGCTGATAGGGGAACGAGCCCAGTTAGTGACTCCCCGTTGCAGGGTCTGTTTGGTCAACTGGGGTTGTCGAAGTACGTACGGAGTAGTATTCTTGACTGTCATTTTCAGGAACGTTGCTTTTTTGCCGGGGCCCCCAGCAATTGCCATTTTTAGGTTCTTCTTCAGAACCCCTGACCACGCCAAGTCAACACGGCCCAGAGTGTCGAAGCGTTGGGTTTTCTTCGGTGAGTAAAATCTCCTCTGTCCTTAGCAAAGGCTTCTCGAACACACCTTTACAGGTATAGCTATACTGAGAGAACGTACAGTAAAACAGGCCGTACTCGGTGTTTGCCCCTGCGAGTAGGAGAGGCGTCCTCCTTCTAGTCAGCTGTGGCTGCAACGAGCATCCAGCGGCTCCAGCAAACGGCTGCGTCTCCCGGCCCGCGAGCAGCGAATCAAGCCATGACTATGACTATGACTGGTCGCGCACCGGAGCCACGCGATCGCCCCCATGGTCCTCCAGTCAAGCTGCCGCCGTCCATGCCAAGCCTCATGTTGGAACCCTGTCCCTGGTTTCACGGAGATGGCCCGCCTTGGCCCCAAAGCTGAGACCGTTCAACGACATGGATTCAAGATTGCGGCGAAGCGCCGTCCTGGTACCACACCACCGCTTTCCACGCGCCGCCCCACCTGCCACCGCCGTCCGGCCATCGTCATGGTTATTGCCTCCGTCGTCTCTGTCTGCAGGCTTCAGAATGCATTGCAGCGCATCCCCCGGCCACATGCATCCCAAAGACCAGCGCCCAAGAGCTTCTTCGGCTTAGCCATTGATGCATGGGCAGCCCCTTCAGCAAATTGCACCCCGGCGTGGAGGCCTCAAAGGGATCCCGTGTAAGTCCAAGGTTGGAAGTTTTGATCGGCTGTTCGACAGCTCGCCCGCCCATTAGTGGTATATAGATGCTGTAACCACCCAACATGTCGACTTTGTTTATTCTCTCCCATTTCTCATCGTCTTGTCGTTCAACTTTTATTTCCTTGTCTTTTTTCCTTTTCGAGGCATTGTCGCCTCAGTTCAAGTCGAAGAACTTTTCTTTCCTTCGACCACCACTCGCTTAACTACATCACAACTGGTTTCTGATATTTCATTACCTACATACTTCACACTACCAGAAACAAAACCCCTGCGGAGGAAAGCGCAAGATGAAGTCTGCTCTTTCTGTCCTTGTCGCCGCTGCAGGCATGCAGCAGGCTTCTGCTACCTTCGGCGGTCTCGGCATTGGCGGCGGTATTGGCATTGGTGGCGGCGTCGAAGTCGGCGGCGGCGCTGGCGTCGGCGGGAATGTTGGGGCCGGCGGCAGCGTTGGAGTCGGCGGCGGCGCTGCCATCGGCGGCAACGCTGGCGTCGGCGGGAATGTTGGCGGGAATGTTGGAGCCGGCGGCAGCGTTGGAGTCGGCGGCGGCGCTGGCATCGGCGGCGGCTTTGGCCTCGGCCTCGGCTTCGGCGTCGGCGTGGGCGGCGGTGTCTCTTTCAACTTTTTGGATTGGGGTCGCGCAACGCCTTTCCCATGCCCAAGCACCATCATCAACAAATGCACCCCCGAGCAAGAGAAGCCTTGGGACTGGAGTGATGTTCCTCTTGGCTCCCTCACTGCCCATGCTGGCTTTGACTTCGGCGGAGGCTGGAAATGCGAGACCAACAAGAAAAACGGCAAGCGCGGTGATATTCAGGGCCGCACTTTTGGTCTTGGCAAGTTCATTTCTGGTACTTGCAATCAGGGCGACGAGGCTGGTCTCTCTATTGGTGTTGGTGCAAAGGCTGGTATCGACGCCTTCTCCATCAACAGCCTCGACTTGGCTACCGAGTTCGACGCTCGTCTTGATCTCTTCTACGATATGCCCGACGGTAAGGTGTGCAGGCAGACATCGGACTGCAAGAAGGGTGGATCGACTGTTGTCAACACCCTGTGCGGCGGTGCTAAGAAGGTCCGCGTGATCTACCCCAAGCAGATCATGCAGGGAGGCGTCAACTTCAATAAGAAGTGCAAAGTCTCTGTGCACAAGATCAACTGGCACTGCGGCAAACCCACTCCCCAGCCCGGCAGGCCTTCCCTCCCCTTGCCCAACACCGATAGCCAGGTGATCCAAAGTCCTCCTCGCACCACCCTCCAGACTTTTACTGCTCCAGCTCAGCAGACAAGTTCCGTCGACCAGACTATCCCCGGCCAGGAGACTTCCCCCCCCGAGGAAACGGTTCCAGGCAAGGAAACCACTCCCGGACAGCAGACCGCTCCCGCCCAGGAGACCACAGCTGGCCAAGCGACTGTTCCTGCCCAGCAGACAACTTCCGCTCAGGGGACAGTCCCAGGCGAGGAGACCACTCCTGGACAGCAGACCGCTCCCGCCCAGGAGACCACAGCTGGCCAAGCGACTGTCCCTGCCCAGCAGACAACTTCCGCTCAGGGGACAATCCCAGGCGGCCAACAGACTCAGACTGTCCCCGGCCAAACTACCACCGTGGCCATCACGCGCGCTACGACTTTCGTTACAACCTACGACACCACCTCTACAGTCTTTACTACCTCCGTCAAGACCATTACCAGCTGTGGACCTCAAGTCACTGATTGCCCTGGAAAGACGGGTTCTCACGTTGTTACCGCTACTATCCCTGTGAGCACCACCGTTTGCCCAGTTACAGAGACTCGTACACGGTCCCAAGCCCCGACCGTCGTTCAGCCTCCCAGCTCTGAGACTGGCGTCGATAAGCAGCCCGCTGGTGAACAGCCTACTGTCCAGAAGCCTAGCCCGGTCAGCGGCCAGGCCCCTCAGTCTACAAAATATCTCCCTGTTCCTACCCTTGTCCCCAAATGTCTCACGACCGTGAACGCACTCAAGGGCAAGTGCAAGAGCAACGAGGACACAAGCTGCTTCTGCCCGGATAAAGACTTCATCAGTGAGGTCTACAAGTGCGTTTACGCTTACGGTGACAATGGCAACGTCGTCCACGACTCGGTCGACTTACTGCAGGGCATTTGCAAACCTCACATTTCCGAGAACCCTGCCATTGCTACCGGTGCGAACACTATTACCCAGATTTTGCCTCCCACTGGTACTCCTCACATCAGTCAAGTTCCTTACACGACTGTTGTTGTTGCTACCACCGTCACCGAGAGCAGCAGCACCCAGACCATATCAACAGAGGTCACCATCCCCAACATCGTTCTGCCTACTGCTACTGGTGATGCTGGTGCTCCTAACCAAGCCCCCCCTGCTGGCGCTCCTAACCAAGCCCCCGCTACCTCCGCGGCCGCTCCAGCTGGCGGGAACCTCCCTCCCGTCACTGGCGAGAACAGCCCTTCAATCCCTACCGGCACTGGTGGTCTAGTATCTTCTGAGCCCACCGGCGCTGTGCCCGTCACGGCCGGTGCTGGACGTGTTGGTGCCGGCCTGGGTATGATGCTGGCCGTCGGTGCTTTCGCAGCTGCTCTGTAAGCGGAGGGTACTCGTTGTGCTAAACTGTCATGAACTGAGCAGCGGCGAAATCTGGTATTTATATGGCAGATTTTGTGTTTACTTTGTACAAGATTATATCAGACATGTATGCAACTATGAAGAGAAAGACTGGAGAGGCAATGAGGGGACGAAGGAGCAAATCGAAGGGCAATCACTCACGCTCGGTATCATTCTAGACGATCCTTACGAAAAGTCATGTGGACATGACGGCAATCTTGAAGACTTGAGGGGAACACGGACTACATGGTGAACCCGAGGTCTGAGTGAGCCTGACACATGTGCAACCAATTCATCGAATCACAGGGCTGGCATTTTGTAATCCTAATATTTGAATTTGAACGTTTTGCATTTTGACAATTTGAACTTTGAAGTTTCCGTGCAACACTTGGAGGTGGCTTCTTTTTTGGCATCTCACTGTACCCCTGGACGTGGTGCCTAATGCACTGCACTGCACTGGACACACCCTTCTCCGGGACGCATAGGTGAAGGGACATTTTGAGCCCAGATGAAACAAGGGGGGCCAAATAAACCGAGACAAGGGAAGAGTCTTGGTGACTCGCCTTGCCTGCGACAAGGCTAGCGGTCATTTCTGATGGAGAGTGTCAATGCATGCACGTACGGAGTAGTGCGATTCATGAATTCACGAGACCAGGGCGTACGCTGAAGAAAAAAAAAAGATTTGACTTGACTCGCGGCATGTATATGGGTAGCATCGATCATTCACCTGCATTGCTCTGTGCACACGACGCATAAAAAGCCAATCAACAGGGCCACAGGGAGGGCAATGCGTCGCCAGGTCGCGCGGAGCGTACAATTCCCCCTGACGAGCCGTCCGTCTCCGCCGCCCTTGCGTGCATGGCACGAGGCACGTCACTTGACTTAGAGCTTGGCGGGCGTTGCCTTTTCCTTTTCCTTGTCCTTTAGCAGGCGCCTGAGTATCTTGCCGCTGGGGCTCTTGGGGATGGCGTCGATGAACTCGACCCCGCCCCTGAGCCACTTGTGTCGTGCCTTGTGGTCCTCGACGTGCTTGCGGATGGCGAGGGCGATTTCCGCGTCGGGGCGGCCGGACGACTCGCGGGCCTTGACGACGTAGGCTTTGGGGACTTCGCCGGCGCGGAGGTCCGGGACGGGTATCACGGTGCAGTCGGACACGAAGGGGTGCGAGAGGAGGTGCGCTTCGAGTTCGGCGGGGGCGACTTGGTGGCCCTGCGGGCAAAGGGGGGGGAGAAGAGGACCCGTGTTAGCTTGGCTGTCTTTTTCTTGTTGAACGATTTGAGTGTGATTTATGTGTCGATTTTCAAACCCGTTGCTGCCGTGTGGGATAGGGAGGTCGGTAGGATGTAGGTAGGTACCTTTACTTTGATGAGCTCTTTGATTCGATCGGTAATGACAAAGTGTTCGGTTCCCTGGGCCGACTTTCTGACGAGGACTTCGTCGCCCGTCCTGAGCCAGCGGCCGTCTTCGTGGTGGACAAACGTCTCGGCGTTTGCTTTTTCGTTGTGCAGGTAGCCGAGGGCGATGGAGGGTGACTGGACGAAGAGCTCGCCTCTTGTCTCGTGGGCCGTGACTTGGTTGCCGTCTGCGTCGATGACTTTGGCCTTGGATCCGGGCACGAGGCAGCCTGACGAGCCGACCAGGCGGTCGACCTCGCTGGTTGAGACTACGACGGGCGAGGCCTCGGTCATTCCTGCCGCACGGTCAGCTCGGGCTGCGCCCGACTCGAATCGTGGACGGGGCCGGGGACTGACCGTAGCCCTGGCCGATGTTCCAGTTCGGATAGAGCTTGAGGATGCCTTCAATGACCTCTGTTCCCAGGGGCGCCGCGCCGCAATAGACAAATCGCACGCTGCTCAGGTCGTGCTTGGACACGGCCTCTCTGTTGGTGATGATGTGTATCAGCATTGGCGGCACGACGCTCAACTGCTCGATGCTGAAGCGCTGGATGGCATCGAGGAAGGTTGCTGGCTCGAACTTGGGAAGCACGACGACTTGGTCGCCGCGGTAGTGGGCTACCAGGGCCACCAAGGTGAGGCCGTAGATGTGGCTGAAAGGCAGGACGCCGAGGTTGGTTTGGGTCCTGACGCCGAGCTGTTTCCGGGCGACCGAGTCGACGGCTGTGACCTGCAGGATGTTGGCGATGACGTTGAGGTGGGAGACCATGACGGCTTTCTGCGACGGTCGGGGGGTCAGTCGCCTCGTGAGCGGGCGCGGACGGGACGCGGGAGAGGTTGAGCGCAGGGAGGGACGGGACGATTGCTGACCGGTAAACCAGAGGTTCCGCTTGAGTAGCAGAGAAAGGCAGTCTGCCTCGCGCCCTGGCCCTTGATCCATCTCAACGGTGGCAGCGGCGGCAGGCTCCTGCCTCGCTCGGCAAGGTCATCGATGGTCTCGAAGCTTGGATCCGAAGCGACCTGGGGCACGGCGAGGAGAAACACACGGCGACGGGGGATGCCGGCCGCATCCGCCGCCTTGAGAGCGTTGTCCAGCAGGGGCACGCATGTGAAGAGAGCCTGGGCACCCGACGACCGCAGCTGATGCTCCAGCTCTTGGTGGGAGTAGGCAGCACTGGCGGGAGTGACGATGCCCGAGAGACGATGGATGGCGTGGGCCAAGGGGATGTAGTCGATCTGCAGTCTCCGACGGCATCGCGTCGCGGATCAGTACCTGGTGCTCGGTGCTCGGCATGTCCAATGGCACAAGGTACGACCAGAGGCGATGCACGCAGCTCGGTGAGCGTCACTGACCGTGTTCAGGGAGTACAGGCACACAACTCTGTCCCACTCCGTCCCCTCGTGAGGATCAAAGGCCAACTGTTCTGCGATGGCTCGCGCGAGGTGATCTGTCCGCCGTGCCACCTGTGCCACGGATCTGGTCAATCCCGTGATGCCGCATGTGTAGGGGTCTCTGGACTCGGCAATCGGGTGGCGGCCGTATCCGGGTTTGTTGATGAACTCCTCGAGGGTGACGGAGTCGGGGAGCGCTGTAGAACAAGTCACGAGTTTTGCCAACGTGAGCCGTCAAGTCTTTGCGTCTGGCAGGAGGAGCAGGGGCGTTTCGTTACAAACCTGGGAGGGCGGGCGACGAGGGAGGCGGAAGGAACACCATGTCGCAGGCGTCTTGACGTGTCGGCTGCGAGACGAACGAGGCAGAGAGATGGGAGAGATGGGGCCGCAGCGAGAACCGGTGAGGCGGGAGGCGGGAGGCGGGAGAAAGTGAAGCCGTCGTGGCCTCGTGTCAGACTCGGACCAGAGACCGAACCGCGCACCGCCACGACGAATCCATCCACGGCTCGACTACAGACTCCGGGGTCCGTACTAGTTCCTGCGCAGACCTAGTCTACATGACTGAATACCCAGTACGTACGTTGCTGGAGGCTGGAGTACACCGACTCACCGACTCACCGACTCACCGACGGCAATTGACCGTGATGAAATTACATGCAGACTAAACGGACCCTCCAGACCCTCCGCTCCCAAGTTCCAACCCCTGGCACCGCACCCTGCAGGTCCGAATTTCCCATCTCCACCTCCACGTTTTTTGTCGTCTTGCGGCCTCGCTCACGCTCTCCCCCACCGGTGGCCGGATCCTGAGGATCGTGGCCGTGGGGACGAGCCACGACGGTATCCAGCCGATAACGACAAGGTGTCCTATAGTACTCGGCGTACAGTTACAACGTTCCGCAAGAGACGTGACGGCTACTCCGACAATCTCGACCGCGACGCCTGCCATACCTGAGACCCCGAAATTATCTCTACCGAGAAACCGCACTCGGAACTTGGAGACTCGCCATCAAAACCTCGCTTACGGCCGCCTCCATTTCCGACCCGGGATGGAGAGGGGCGGCGAATGACGGCTGATGACGCACCGCGGTTGCTGGAGGGCTGCCAAATGGACTAAATCATGAAGATTAAACATTGATGAGAAAACCGCCCAAGCCAGTAATCGACCAGGTCTACCTATCCGCTCTTATGCCGTGCCATGTGTGCCAGCTACTTTTCAACTTCGTTGGGTATCGTGAGTCGTCTATATGCAAGAACACTTCTTGTAAAGTATGAAACACCAGCGAAACAGCCCGAGATTGTATATGCCACCACTACGAGAGATTGCATGCCAGCGCCGCGATTCCGACCATAGCCAACAAGGAGCTTAGCGCCTTGACTTGCACCCCGGCGTTGTCGTCACCACCGCCACCCGTGGCTACAGCTTGCAGCGTTTGTGTCGTCACCACACCGGTCACGCAGGCGGCATCAATAGGCGGACACGAAGTGACGGTGTAAACCGTCCTGCGAGTCTGGGTAGAGACGCGGCCTTTTGTGGGAGTCGACTGCCGGGCAACTGTTAGCTTGTCGCTCGTCACGTAAAAACCAGAGTCGCACGCCTCGGCGTTCCGCATTCGACCTTCTTACCTTGGCACCGCCAGCGCCGGTAAGAGCGGCATCACCCTCTTTGCAATGTCCGGTGGCAGAGGGAACTGCATCCGTCCCAGACGACACGGCAACAATATCGTTATTTCCGCAGTTGGCGGCTTGAGCAATGTGCACCTCCTGGTTGTCCCAATCGAATACAAAATAGCCAGCGCGGAGCACGCTGTCTCCCAGAATCTGCTGACCCGTTGTGACGACCATGCCGACGTAGCACATGCCGGCAGAGTCCCCCAGGTTCAAAATAAATTTCTTCAACGGCACGCGGATCGTCTTCTTCCCAAAGCCAAAGTCTACGCTGCCCCCGAACGTCTTGGCCGAACAACGCACCTGGTAGTAGCCTTCGCTGTCGACCTCGGCATCAAGAGCTCGTAGAATGGGCGCGGCCACGGCTGAGTGCATGCGGGTCATGGTCGTCCCAGAGTCCAGCATGACGTTTGCATCAGATCCATTGACCGCAAAGTTGGATGATGATGACAGGGTAACGCCAATCGTTGTCAACTCAACCGCGAGTCGCCACTCACCGCCAACGCCCTTGACGATGGGACGCTTCTCGAGTGGACCGATGAATTTACTCTTGTCCAGACCACCGTACATGATTGCGCCGTGCTCGTCGTCAGAGCGGCGCAAATCTAGCGAAAATACCCTGCTGGATATGACGCCTTGCTTGGCCATAGAATCCAGGACCAAGCTATATGGCTCACTGGGGCTGAGACCACCCTTCAAGTCTGGCGCTAGCCCGAGGATACCTTGAGACTGGCCCTGGCTCTGCGTTACAACGCCAAACGTTTGGTTGTTTATTTTGGCATCTCCAAGCGCAACCACATCCGAATAGTAGTTAATCGAGACGGACGTTCGCGTCGTCGAGTCTGAGGCGTCTCCATAGTCGAGGTCTTCCGTTCCGAAGGGACCGTATGAGCTATCGGACCGTCGCGGATCATACTGGCCAAACTCCCTGCACTGTTTTGCCAGGTCTGAACTTTTGGACGTTCGGCAGTCAGGGTTGACCCAAAGTTCGCTCGAGCCAGTGTCGACGAGGACTGTAACTCGTTGGGGAGGGCTGCCAATGTTAACTGTCGAGCGGCATAGAGGAATCAGCGGCAAAGCCCATTTACAAAAGATTGCCAGAATGTCCAGGCTATGGATGAGATTCTTCTTGGAGACTGCAAGTATATCAATTGGCAGAGTGTCCTGTCAACTCACCGTCTGTGGCGTAAAAGAACTCCATATTGTAGAGCTTTTCTTCAAAGCCGTTGGCGGCCCGCTTTGCGCCTGGTGGTCGGTCCACGGTACCGACAGGCATGGACAGAAAGCTATCTCCCCGGACATATTGCGAGAGGCCCTTCAAAAGGGACACATCCGCAGCAGCAGACAAGTCGGCTCCGAGCAAGACGAGCAACGCGGCGCGCCAAGATACGGGCCACATCACCAGGCGACCAGCAAAGGCAACCTTGCGAATGGTGGTCAGTTGTGGAAGGCTCCAGAAAGGGGCTGAGAAGCAGGCGAGGCAGGCGAGGCAGGCGAGGCAGGCGAGGCAGGCGCGACCAAGACAGAACCCGTAGTTTGGAATTGACGTCCCCAAAAAGGAAAGAAGCGAGAGGTTTGGCTGAAGTTGCGAGAGTCAAAAATAACGTCCACAGCCCGAGACTTCTCTCAAACGTAATCAATCAGCCATCGAGCCGCACCGACTCGGCTCACGGACGACGGAACCTTCATCCAAAGAGCAGCACTCTTGCAAGCGCCTGCCGGAGTCCCGGGCGCCAAGTGCTCCTCCTGGCACGAATCAGGGCTTGTTCAGCGTCAAGGAGCATGGAAGCAACGGGACGCCAAGGGGGAGGGTTGACAGGGTTGCAGGGTTCCGCATCACAAACCATGGCTGAATAATATATATAGGCCATTCGAGTCCGAGGCTCCAGGAGCTACTCCGTACGTGGTTACAGTTCCGACCCGCTGCCGCTCAATCGCCCACGATCATCTCGTTGCCTGTTTGGCTGCGCTGCCGTCGACGCACACAGCTCTCGCCAGCCGAATGTCCAGTCAGTTTGGAGAATATTCTGCTGCACTGGCAGGCAGCCGTGACAGGCTCGTCTCTTCATCGTAATGCGACAGAGGTCGGTCGCGGCTACGAGACAGGAGCGTTTTGACTTCCTCCAACAGGCTGTCGGAGAAATGGTTTGGTTCTTGGCGCTTGTGGCGAGAGGATTTCGGCAGCCCGGCAAGTAGGTGAGGGAAGCAAATGGTCACCGCCTCACCGCAGAGCCAAACCAAGGAGCCATGTAACGTCATCATGGCTATGGGGACTGGGACGCCACTGGGTAAACAACTCCGCCTCCACAAAAGAAGAATGCCAAGAGCATCCAAACACTGGTGACTGCACCATGCTGCGGTAATTAAACGGGCGCCAGGGCTGTGTTTGGGTCTTTCCTGTCCCAAGTTGTTGTTTTGTCTTACACTGTCGGCCGAAATCGAAGATGATGCAACTTTTACATCTCTCGAGAAGCAAGTGTACAGCTTTTCTTTTCTTTTTTTTCTTTTTTCTTTTTTCTTTTTTTTTTCCGTCAAGGCAACATCCCTCCATGGACAAATCCAGGTTGTTTGAAGTTGGCCCACGGAATGGTTGTCTTTGGCACTCGTCGTCAGCACGCCCTTGGCTTTGGCTTTGCCGGCGTTTGAGGATAATTCCACCAGAAAGTTGGAGCTAAAACCCGCAATTTCCTTGCCAATGAAGCCGATAACACTGCTTCCTGGCAAGAGGGGCTTCCATTCCCTTTCATTGGTAACCATGATCCTATTAATTGCATGCTGAGTCGGTATGGCCCCATCAAAAGGAAGATCAGACTCTCAAACACAACATGCCACTCCGCATCCCGCCTTCTAAAACTACCTGGAGAGACGGCTCGACTCTTTCAGCGTTCAATGTTGCTCGGGGCCACACTGGATTCAGGATTCAATCTGGGGCGGGGGCCGCGTCGACGTATGGAATGATACGCTATTGCAAGCCACGCGACACTAGTCAGCTGAGAGAGCTTTCTCCAATCGATCCAGTTGTCCTGACAGAAACCTCCAGCCCACATGGCTGAACCGTTGAACGCCATAAAACGGGTTGTCCATGATGTTTCGTCTCAGCTCGCATGCCACAAATAGCCCTTGGATTACTCCGTAAAACTGAGTACTCTGTGGCTTCCAGGCGTGGCACGCCATGGCAGTTCTGTGTCATGGATTCACAGGCACCAACTGGACCTCGGCAGGGGCATTGTCTACCAGTGGCATTGTTTAGTGGTGTGCGGTCTTGCCTACCTAGGTATCTAGGCGGCCCTGAATAAGACGAGACTTGGCTGCTATACACCACTTCGGGATCAAGGCGAAATGACACATAACAATCGATTTGCAAGCACGGAGCATCGCGTACGAGCTTTTTCATGGCAATGATGCCGGGCGATTCCTCACAGACCCGTAATCAGCTCGGAATATACGCCTGATTTACCTGTGCCAAACTCTTCCCGCACTGTCCAGTACCTTCATTCAGGACTCTTATAACAGGACCAACATCACCCTCGAATTGCTCTCTGCCGAAATGATTGGCTCCCGTATCACGGCCGGGAATGGATGGTAACCACAATCGACAGCGGCATTCATGTTGGGCGCCACCAGCCGCGATTGCTTCATGCAACTTCTCACCGGTTGTCTCGGTGTTCTACACACTGTGCGAGTTGGCGTCTGTTACGGAGAATTTGCGCCCCCCCCCCCTCCAAGGCTTCCGCTTTTCTTTTTCAATCCGATTCATGGCTACTACGCAGTACCAGTTAGTTGCTACTAGTTGTCTGCCTGTCTCTCACCCAACGTTACGGCCGCCGCCGCCCCTAGACGTGCCTGCGTTTCAAGAGGCAGATGATCGGCTATCATATCCCAAGTTTGGAATTTTGTTTGTGTTTGTTAGCTGTCTGCCGTGTGCCAGGGTATGTCCTCACCGGTTTCTCACATTTCGCCGCCCTTTGACGGATGTTTTTTTGGGAGCCATGGCAAAGACCCTGGATTTCGCGACCGGCAATCAATGATACTCTGGCCTGAATATCAACTCTGCCCGTCTTTGGCTCCATGCATGAGCAATGCAGCAATGCTGAAGCATGTTTGTCGCCACACCGGTCTGCAGGCACGGCAAGTCGACCAGCGCTGACTTGCCGTCTTGGGACTCGATGAACCACAAGTTACCTCGTCATACCGCCTCAGAGTCGTATTTATTTGCTTGTCTTCCCCCTCGAAAAAATTGTTTGAGCTTGAGCCCTGTTGGCCGGCTGTACGACTCTTTCCCGTTTTTAGGCGTGCGTAAGAGCTACGTGAGTTCTACCGACGGTCGAACAAGGATTTTGCCGATGTATATATCTATAAAATAACAGGTGAACTGAGCATAGCTGCGTTAACAAGAGGTTTCCTTTGGTCCACGACGAAGGAGTGATAGTCGACAAAGCCACTCAGCAAAACTAAAGAGGTTCATGCGCATTGCAACAAGAGTCGCCAACCATCTCACGGCCCTTGGTGAGTACTACTCTGGCGGAAGTATAGGAACCTGCAATTCGGAACAGACCCTGCCTCGAGAAACTGTGACGTCTTTTCGAATTCGTTTTGGCTCTCTGCACGAAGCAGCCGAGCCCTTACACGATATACATCCGTGCAACGTAGTAGAGATTCTTCCAGTCTCTTCCTACCAGTGCAAACATCATACGCATTCGCAATGGTTTTTTGCAAAGAAGACAACAGGGCACTATTGCAATCCCTAAAGTAGGCATCTCATACTTCTCCTCACCTCAATGTTATGTTTTATATGGCTGATGCGTCTTGTACAGAAGTCTTGTTCAAAGAGATCGGGAAGCTGGAGAGTATATACCGCCAAATTTTGACAGCATACTACGAAGCTTGGATGCCATGTCTGCTAAGAACGATGGCCTTGACATGTCAAATTTGTCAGCAGACACCCGGACTTTATACAGTCCTGGCCGCGAAGAATTCGAAATCCTCCAAGCTTACAATTCTTTGATCGAGGCCGGTGGTCGACCGGTATGTCCGCTCGGTGAGACATCACTCATATCTAAACATCCCGGGCGATACCTCGAAATACTGGGCCCATGGGTGAATAAGCCTTTGGTCAATCTGCCAATAGATTGGAAAGGAATATTTGAGCAACAATTGTCCAACTGGCATTTTTTCAGGGCTTGGCAACGATCCAACAGGCAGTTGGAAGCGTTGCCAGACATGTGTACGTCAGACGCACCGTTGCATGACTGTAGCGATGGAGGAGATCACTCCTCATATAGGGGCGGCTACAGCTCGAGAGCGGCAAAGTTGGAAGCACATTTGGCCATGGCAAGAAGACGACTAAGTCACTGTGGATTTACCAAGTCGTTCACTTTCGACTTGGACTTTGGAAGACAGGACGAGTGGACGACTTGGATCGAGTACTTGAGTTTCGAGTGCTATTGTTGCGACTTGCATTCTCGATCTCCACACCTCAAGCCAACCTCATTACATGATGTAGAGTCGGGAACGATCACAGATCATGTTGCCGTTCAGGTTCAGAAGGAGCACACGAGGAGGCAGTCTGGAGTTGACGATTGCACTAGTGTTGGCACGTCGACCTCTCATCTTGTCGGGGCCTGCAGCAGCCCGGCCGGTACACCAAAACAGGCTCAATACGACACATTTCCGTCCAGGAATGACGCGTACAGTGCGGGTGATGGTGCAGCTTCGAACAAGGACGGCATCATCCCCCGTTCAGGCGGGCTGATTTCCCCTGGTTCTGGTGCAACATGCAACGAAATGGGAGGGGCTTCCGCAAACCTCAATGACACAAATCATCATAGCCTCATCCTAAGATGGGCTTTACTTCAGGAGCCAAAGATTGCTGCCAAATATGCTACGAGCCAAGGAGGCACCAGTGCCGCTGAAAACATCTGGTCAACCACTCACAGTCCGGGACGGAAGCGACATTGGGACGGTACCCTCTGCAGCAAAATACCTGTTGTGATCCAAAATGAAGCCTCGAGGCAAGCCAACAATGGTAATGGTGGTGATCAGGAACACAAACGGTTCAGAAACAGTATTTGAGGGTCTTGTTGCGAGGTTCATCGATGCTGCGAAGTTGGATCACGTGTGGTATGAGGAGTGAAGATTTTTTTCGTGCTCGAATGTGTAGAAACATTGATGCAGTGGCCGCCTAAAAGCTGGGTTTGGGCCAAGCCGTTTGGACTTGGCATGATTCATTTTTGGGCCGGGTAACTAGAGCGCTCATCTACAACGGTTTATACCCGGGAGATGTCACAAAAAAGCCGTGTGAGGTTGCAAAATAATACGGACTTGGACGAGTTGCGATTCTCGATTCTACTCAAGTTGCCAACGACTAGAATGCCAAACCGACACAAAGTATGGTCTCCAAAGTACAGGTTTCGGAATCTTTCTCAAGGAGACATGGTGTCTCTCTTGTGAAACCACGGATTTCCCGAGCGTCGCCATCACTTCCGCCTGATCTGGGCGTCGAATCTCGCCGTACCAGCTCCAGTGCTCGGCCTAGCTGCCCACGAGCTCGAATTCGAAAGTGACGGCCTCCCACCCAGGTCGCCTCTGCATGACGAGGCTCGTACCCTCGCCCTGCCTCTCGGGCTTGGACGCGCCGCCCATAATGGTGGTGCTTGCCATGGGGGGCAACCGCGGGGGGCAACCGCGCCCATCAGCCGACATGTCAAAGGCCAGGACGAGGGCGGCGGTGATGCCGAGGATCTCGGCGGAGGCAAAGTTGCGGCCGGGACAGAGGTGCCTGCCGCCGCCAAAGGGAATGTAAGCCGCCCTCTTGTTCTTCTCGGCCTGGGCGTGGGCGGAGAGCTTCCCGCGGCGGTTGGCAAAGCGGTCGGCGTCGTACTCGGCGGCGTTGGCGCCCCAGACGTCCTCGGCGCGGTGGGTGTATCCCCCCGGGATGTGGACGTCGGACCCCTTCTTCAGGACGTAGGACTCGCCTCGGCCGTCGGAGACGGTCGTGTCCTCCACGACGCGGCGGACGCACAGGGCGTGGTTGGACAGCCGGATCGACTCGCGGTAGCAGCTGGCGAGCAGGGGGGACGCTTCGTCGAGCGCAACGACGTTGACGGCGGCGACGTCCTGCGTGCGCCGGACGAGGGGGTCCAGCTCCTCCCGGAGACGCGCGACGAGGTCGGGCCGCGCCAGGATGTTGGCCACCATCCAGAAGGTGGTGGGGATGGTGTTGCTCGTCGCCAGCTGGAGCAGTCCGGCTTCGAACTTGCCGATCTCATCGTCGGGGAAGCCGTATTTTCGGAGGACCGCCGCACGCTCCCGCGTCACGGCAGCCGCGGTGTCGTCCTCGTCACAGCGGGCGGCGTAGTATCTTGCCAGTTCCTTCTGAAGCTTCTCGCGGGCGCGGAAAGCCGCTGCGCTGGTGACGGAGTGGTAGGGGGTGATGAGCATGGTGGGGATGGCGTTCTCCCACGTCCTTGACGAGGTTGGTCAGCTTCATCGTTTGTTTGTTCGTTCGCGTCTACAGGAGCCAGGAGCACGCACCACAAGTCGTCGACCAGCTCGGGGCGATGGAGGAACGGGTTTTTACGGCCCAGGAGAGCGGTGGTGGTCGCCGAGGTCATCAGCTCGCGCAGCCAGAGGTAGAGGTTGGGCATGGGCATCTGTTTCTCTCCCTTGGCGCCGTCTAGCCGGGACGAGATGTACTTGAGGGCGTTTAAATTCATGCGGCGCAGCGGCTCGCCGCGAACAGTCACATGCAGGGTGTCGAAGAACTCTGCCACGAGCTCGGGCATCTCCCGAAAAGCCTCGTAAGACTCCTCTTTCATCCCAAGCATGGTTTGTGAGAAGTCGACCAGAAACGGCTCGAAGCTGAGAGTCTTTTGCCGCAGAGCAGACTGAGCAAGGGCGGGATCCCAGATGGCATATGTCTTGCCGCCGAGCATGGGCAGGGTCGCAATCGCAGCTTCGGTCGTGTTGCTGTGCCGTGGTGTCAGCTGGCGGGTTTTTTTACCATGACGAAACCTGGTTTCCAAACCTTGAACTTTTTTCCAAGGGGGGAGTGCAATTTACGGCTTACCGAAGATCTGTGTAGTACTCCGCCTGGTTCTTGATAAGACCAATGAGGTGGCCGACGAACGGGATCCGGGGAAGCATCAACGGCGGCTCTTTTGCGTCAAGTACCGGAATTGATCTTCTGTAGAGGTAGACGAGGACGCTGAAAAGCAGAGCTGAGACGGTGTACCGGGTCGGGGACTGCTGAAGCGCGGCCGCCGCAGCAGAAACCATGCCGCTTTCACGGGCCGTGGCATTGGCGAATGGGGACTCTGCCATGGCTAATGGTGTTCCGAGCGTCTGCTGGAGGGCGGCCATGGCTGCTGGTTGATTTTGCGCGTGGGCGAAGTCCTCTGGTTTTGTTTCTCTTCTGCTCACAGTATTGGAACGGCCGGAGTTGGCTTTGTAGGTTCTCAATGACGGAAGCGAAAATGGCAAAGCAGCTCGATGGCTTTTTATACGGAACAACGAGCCCTAGCAGACTGGAACATCTTGCGAACCTCTCCCCTTACCCCCCCTTTTTTCCCCTTTCTCTCTCGCCGATGACAACATGCCTGCATGAGTTGTGGATGAGGGTTTCGGACCAGAATATCTCGCAAACTCTGTCCTGCAGGCAACATGCCTGCATGTGGTACGGTTTACGGTTTGTACAGCTCGGCGAGGGCGCGATGCCGCGTCTCGGAGTCGCGAGTCCCGGATTGACACGGAACGGCGGCCGGGGGAAGGGCATGTGTCGAGCATGGCGACACGACGAGCAGCCTGTTGTTGTTTCGGGACTTGGACACGCTGCGAGGACGATGGAGCTGTGATATCATCATCATTCTGCGTCTGTCTCAAGTCTATTTCCATGCTAATTTTTATGCTTATTTGAGTTTGTTCCTGCTGTGCTTACACCTCCGGAGCGATGCGGACGTTGGCGTCGGGCCACCGCTTACGGCCCGCGTCACGTGAGCGCTGCGGGGGCGTGACTTGCCAAGCGACGAGATTAAAAAAAGAAATTAAAAATAAAAAAGACAGAACCAACAAACAACCTCTTGGCATCGAATCTTGCCCGCCGACTGAGACGAAGAAGAAGACAAGAAAATAGCTTGCATCCATCAGCTTTCCGTCAGAGTCCCCTTGAACCAGGCCTTCATCCTGGCCGTCGCGTCGCCCGGCTTCTCGAATATGTTCTCGATGAGAATAAAGTCGTGAGCCTCTCTTTCCGACTCGTCTAGTCTGATCTTGCAGGTGGCGTCCCTGCGCCGCAGCAGACTGACGAGCGCGACGCCGTGGTCGTACAGCACCTCATTCTTTCCCACGGTGAGATAGAGCCTCGACACGACACGCCCGATGCCGTCGAGCCAGTCCTCGCTGGTGTCGAGCGGCGTCATGTAGGGATTGGCGGCAGACATGTCTCCCGCAAGAACAGCCGACTTGTGCTCCCTGACGAGGTCCTCACCGTAGAGCGCGGCGCCCAGCACGTCCACGGCCCCGATGGATATCATGTCGTTGCCGTCGTTCTTCTTAAACGACCCGGAGGAGACGTTGTTGCTCAGCCAGGGCGACACCAGAAAGACGCCCGCGAGGGGCTCCGACAGCTGCGGCCGCAGCGGACGGATGCCCGGGTAGGGGTGGAGGGCGTGGCTCACGACCTGCATGGCCAGGTTGCCTCCCGCCGAGTCGCCGCCGACGTAGACGTCGGAGGGGCCGACGCCGGAGTCGAGAATCGAGCCGAGCGCCTCGGCGGCCTGGACCAGGGGCACGGGGAAGCGGCCGTGGTTCAGGAGCGTGTACTGCAGGCAGGCGACGGCGACCTCGACGCCGGCCTCCCTGCCGGCCAGGACGTAGGCGTTCCAGCACCACTCGTAGTGGCCGCGGAGGGCGGGCGCGACGTAGCCGCCGCCGTGCAGGAACAGCACCACCTTGCTGGCCCTGCGGCGGTTGCCTACCCACACGAGCGAGCCGCCCGTCTGGCCCAGGGGCTGGATCTCGTGGACGAGGCGCTGGCGGAGCGCTGCCTCGCCGGTGCGCGCGAGCTTGCTGTTGACCCACGAGTAGTAGGCGTCCACGGTGGGCCGCGAGTAGATCTGGATCTCGCGGTCGTTGAAGGTGGTGAAGACGACGTTGACAATGGCGCAGAAGACGTAGTGCTTGATGTTGAACCTGCGCCGGGCGGAGAAGAAGACGATTCGCAGGATGTACAGGGCCATGCGTAAGGGTACTGTCGTTGGTCCCCGACAATGTTAGCCAAGCCCCCTTGGTTTCTTTTTCCTTTTTTTCTTTTCTCTTTTTTCTTCCTTCACATCATCACGACGCTCCTCGACCGGCCTCATCCACAAGAAGGGGAGTGACGGAGGCGCAGAACATACTGATTGTCGTCGCCTTGGCCAGCAGCCTCAGGTATTCCCATGCCGAAAGCCTCGGCCGGCCATTCTGGTGCGGGTAGCTTTGCTGGGCTTCTGCATCGAGCACGCTCTGCACGGCCTGTGGAAACAACGCCCGGGACGTTAGCAAGATCTCGGGAACAGGGTTGTTTTGGGTTTCCAAAGGTGACGACGGAAGGAAGTTTGTGGGATGGGCGTCGTTCACAACATACCATGTTTGAATCTACTACTTACTGCTTGTGAGACGGGGAGAGAAAATGACCAAAAAAAGAAAAAAATAATAACAAGCAAAGCAAGGGGTGCTAGAAAAGGCCAGCTGGTCCAGAATGACGAGAGAGCAATGCACGAGAGCGAATTGGCCCGCACGGCACGGGGACGGCGACAAGACGTGAGGCGAGGCGCCGTCTTCCTTTCACATGTGACGCTCCCGTCGTGCGCGGCCGACATTAGACGGGCAGGCAGAGGGTGTCGATTTGTCCAAGCGAAGGGTCAACAACAAGGGTCCAAGGCGGCACCACTCCAGACCCACTCCAGACCCACTCCAGAGAACGACCGCACTCCCCAAAGACCCGCTCCCCTGCCGTCTTCGGGCGGCCCTGGCCCACTAAGCCACGCGCTGTGGCTGTCCCAGGGGCGCCCTGGCGGCTCCGCCTCCAGGTGCCGCCGTCTGTGGCTTCGCTTCCAAGCCGCTCGGCACTTTTTGAAATTGAAGTCTTCCATGATTTGACATCGCAGCTGCCTTCCACGATGCGCTCGCATTGCGCTTCGTAAAGATTCCATCATCTCTGGCGCTCTGCACTACCATGGAATTCAACTTCTCCCACCGCTCATTCCCGGGAAACACTTGACTTGCCGGCACAGCACATGCATTCGCAAGTCTCAAGACTCGTACCGCCCGGCTACGACTACATGGGACCTCAGGGCAAGGACCGCAAGCGTCGCCGCAACATCAGTCTTGCCTGTCCTCCGGCTGCACAAGAGGCTGTTCGATTTTGAGAACACCGTGCACGAGGCGCTCTCACGGAAGAAAGAGCCGGCGGTCATTCGGTCTGAATATGCGGAGCTGTTTAAGCATCAGAAACTGCTGCATCATGGTCGGTATGTCGTGCCTGTCATTCGGCTGCCCTTTGCTAATGCGATTGTGGTTATGCTGATAGGAGACCAGGTTCATATACCTGCGCATCATGCTCCTTCGGCCAATTCTGGCACATCTCTCAACGCACGAGCAACCAAGGTCCGCAGGCGACAAGCTGGTCTCAACTGCGCTTACGCATCCCATTCTAGCGGGGACAACTCTCCAGTGTGCGAGATCATGTGTCGAGGCGGCGATTGAACTGTTGCAGCTGCTGCACACACAAGGGGCTTGGTGGTGAGATGTCCTGTGTACGTCTTGTCCGTCCAAGCTCTTTTTCGTTTCGTCCTCTTTTTGGTCTCCTTTTCGGTTTTGAATTGCTAATTCAAAACAGATACTTGTACTGCTGGCATCGTTCTCATCATAGCGAGAACATGTCCCACCCTCGTCCCGTCACTTGATCAAGTCGAAATGTCGAGAGCCTGGGACCAGTGCCAACAGATTCTGGGGCATGTTGCTTCTTTCGGTCCCTCTGGCCAACAGTCTCTCAAAATTCTTCAGATCACCCATAGCAAAGTCTTGGTTAAATCACACAAAGTACGCGCCTTGTTGCCGTCATCCCACGACACCTTCATGTACCACTTTCTCCAAAGCTGACGCCTTCAAGGCAGCCCTGAGAGTCGCAGCCCGCGACCTCAGCCCATGCCAGGAGCAGAAGAAAACGACCCGTTGCAGTCAATAGTCTTTGATTCTGCGACGGATTTCGACTTTTCCGCGGGGCCTGAGTTTCAAGGTCTTGTAGATTGGACACGATTGGCTCCTTTTTCAACTGGGACACCACCAGTCTTGATGCTCTCGGGGGGAGTGGGAGTGCCGATGCAGAAGTAAGTCATCATGATCTGCGCTGTTTGTCTAGCACCAGGAGCGTTTTGTGTCGACGAATCATACCGTCTTGTATGCCGTCGAGCTGGACATGGTCTCCCTGAGCCTCAGACCGCGTCCATTTCAAATGGGTCAAGTTCGTATGCACGGTCTATTGGTCTATGGTGTACATGAATACCAATGCTCGGAATAGTACATCTTAGATTGCCCCCCTATTTCACACTAAGCGTGCTTGCCCGTGCCCGAAACCAACAACACAACGCTGCCCAGCTGTCTCCGCACATCCTCGTTGTTCACATCGTGCGTATCCTCAACCTCTCCCCAGTGTGCAACCTGCCAGTCCACCTCGAGATTGACCGTCTTGGCGGCTTCTTCCACGCCAAAGTGCGCGTGACCGGCCACGTTGGGCCTCCTGAGGGGACCCTCGGTCCACTCGGTGATGAAGCGCGCCGCAGCAACCAGACTCTTGCCCGCCAGCACGGCCCGCTCTAGCCCCGTGATTTCCCAGGGGCTCAGGCCAGCCACCCAGCCCTGGACGACCTCCCGCACGCCTTCCTCCTGCTTCCTGGGCATGATGGCGTCGCCGTCGAGCACAGGCTCGAGCCTGATGCCGGGCCAGACGTGCGTCGTCATGAACGAGACGATCTCGTGGGTGGTGCGCTTCTGCACGTCCCGGAGGGACTCGCCCGCGTCGTTGCGCGGGTCAAACTCTCCCGCGGGCGGCGCCCAGCACAGCAGCGAGTCGGTGTCGAGATACCGCAGGACGCTGGCGGTGATTTCGCCGCGGATCGTCTTTGCCGCGCCTGGCGCGCTCGACGCGTCGTCCCTTTCGACGTCCAGCGCCCGGCAGACCAGCGACGTCAACGGGATCAAGTGCTGCTTGGTGGCCTGCAGCGAGGACGTCAGGGCGTCCCACTCGAGGGCGATGGCGAAGGCGAGGTTGGGCTTGGAGGCCGGCAGTCGGATGACGTCCTTGGTCTGGGGGTGCCGCAACGGCCGTGAGTCGAGGTGGATCTGGAGAGCGCCTGGTCGACCACGGCGGTTAGCAGGTCCTTTTTGCGTGTCGCGGGTTGACGACGGCTGGCTTACCGTCCACTTCTTGCACGCTGACGTCCTTCCAGAAGCGTTTCCGCAGGGTCGTGGACCTGCCGTCCTTTGCGGTCCTGATGACCTTGGCTTGCTTCAGCAGCTCGGCCTGCTTGCGCCGACGCTCGATTCGCTCGTTCATGTTGCGGACGGCTGGGGTCGGGGTCGGCGGCGGCGGCGGCGGCGGCGGTCCGGTCCCGAGAATCGGGGCGACGTTGGCTGCTCTGGATGCCGTGGAATGGAGGGTGCGTGAGATTGCCCGCAGCGGCCACGGGGCTGCCGGCCGCATGGTGGTGATTGACGATGAGACTGTGACTGTGACCGTGACGTGACTTGTGCGGTTGTGGTCGTGGTTATAAAGTGATGGAAGTCGGTTTCCTGTGGTTCCCAGGGCCAGGGGCCGGGACGTGATCCACTTGGACGCCGCATGGCCAATGCCCATCCTGATCTTGTAACTGCTTCCTACCGAGTAGTACTGCGTCTTCAAATCGGTTTGTGCTGGTCTTTTGCTTTATGTGGTTGCATGAATCGGTATCGTGTTAGCGATGCTTGACTTGATGTTGTTTGGGGCCTCGCGGACTGGTTTCTTGACATTGGTCCCAGCAAATTTTTTTTATCGGGGCGCCTTGTCACCGCTTCTTTTTGATGGGCAAATTGGACGCACACACACAATTGCCTTTTCGCACTTTATTCAACCGACATGTTTACTGAAAAATTAAACATGTACTGTGCAAAAAAGCACCGGACAAAATGTAAAGAAATGAATGCCACAATGTCACTGCACATGGCGGCCACCAATGATTCGATGGGATGTGGGGTATCACGTGATAGCCCACCCTATGCCTGGACCCACACCCAATTGCCAACGTGGTTGATTATCCCAGGGCCACTCGACTAAAGTTGGACACCTCACGACCGACCTTCCTTCGACGCAGCGCCCAAAATGAGCTACGGCAAAAAGGACGAGGACGCCGACCTGGGCCTGGTCAAGGTGGACCGAACCCAGGTATTTCAAGAAGGTGAGTCGGAGGCAATTCTTTGGGCAGATTCCCGTCTGGCGGTGCTGCTGCTGCTGCCCCTTCAAGTCCCCTTCCCTTATACAAGGCGCGGGCTGATGCCACATGGCAGCACGGATATTCAACGAAGGCACAATTCAACCGCGACGATGCCGGATTCTGCTCACCAAGATTGCACTTCTCCTCTACACTGGGGAGAAGTTCCCGACCAACGAGGCCACCACCCTCTTCTTCGGCATCTCCAAGCTCTTCCAGAACAAGGATGCCGGCCTTAGACAGATGGTCCATCTCGTCATCAAGGAGTTGGCCAGCTCTGCCGAGGATATCATCATGGTTACCGCTACGATTATGAAAGACACTGGTGGCAGCAGCGATGCCATCTTCAGGCCCAACGCCATCCGCGCCTTGTGCCGCATCATTGACGTCTGTTCACCCGCGCCTCGAGGATCCTGCAAAATTGTCAACTGCTAACTTCCCAAAAAAGGCCACGTCTGTCCAGGCGATCGAGCGAGTAATGAAGACTGCAATCGTCGAAAAGAACCCCTCGGTTTCCTCTGCCGCGCTCGTCTCCGCATATCACCTCTTGCCCGTCGCCAGGGACGTCGTTCGACGCTGGCAGAGCGAGGTTCAAGAGGCCGCCGCCTCAACCAAGTCCTCGGCCGGCTTCTCGCTCGGATTCTCCTCGTCTGGCGGCCAGATGCCCATGAACAACTCGACAATGCCCCAGTACCACGCCATCGGACTGCTGTACCAGATGAGAATGCACGACAGGATGGCCCTGGTCAAGATGGTGCAGCAGTTTGGCGCTGCCGGTGCTGTCAAGAACCCCGCCGCCACCGTCATGCTTGTCCGATTGGCCGCGCAGCTTGCCGAGGAAGATGTCTCCCTCCGAAAGCCCATGATGCAGCTCCTTGACGGCTGGCTGCGTCACAAGAGCGAAATGGTCAACTTCGAGGCCGCAAAGGCCGTTTGCGACATGAGGGACGTCACCGACAACGAGGTCAACCAGGCAGTCCACGTTCTTCAGCTCTTCTTGACCTCTCCACGAGCCGTGACCAAGTTTGCCGCCCTCCGAATTCTCCACAGCTTCGCTTCCTTCAAACCCTCTGCCGTCAGCGTCTGCAACCCTGACATCGAGCTCCTCATCTCGAATTCGAACCGATCCATAGCCACCTTCGCCATCACCACACTCCTCAAGACCGGCAATGAGGCCAGTGTCGACAGGCTGATGAAGCAGATTTCCAGCTTCATGTCCGAGATCACCGACGAGTTCAAGATTACCATTGTCGAGGCCATCCGCACGCTCTGCCTCAAGTTCCCCAGCAAGCAGGCAGGCATGCTGACCTTCCTCAGCAGCATTCTGCGCGACGAGGGCGGGTACGAGTTCAAGCGTGCCGTTGTAGAAAGCATGTTTGATTTGATCAAGTTTGTCCCCGACTCAAAGGACGAGGCCCTGGCCCATCTCTGCGAATTCATCGAGGACTGCGAGTTCACGAAGCTGGCTGTCCGTATTCTGCATCTCATTGGCTTGGAAGGGCCCAAGACTTCTCAGCCGACCAAGTACATCCGGTACATCTACAACCGAGTCGTTCTCGAGAATGCCATTGTCCGGGCCTCTGCAGTTACCGCTCTGGCCAAGTTTGGGGTGGGACAGAAAGACCCTGATGTCAAGGCCAGCGTCAAGGTCCTTCTCGCCCGATGCTTGGATGACGTCGATGACGAGGTCCGTGACCGTGCGGCTCTGAACTTGAAGCTCATGGGTGAAGAAGATGACGAGATGGCACAGAACTTTATCAAAAATGGTGAGTGAAAACAAAACGTCGGCGCTGCCGACGGCACTTGGTCAAGTGGACACTAACGTCGATCAGAAAACATGTTCTCTCTCCCCGTCTTTGAACACCAGCTTGTCATGTACGTCACTTCCGACGACAAGGGCTCCTTTGCGGACCCCTTTGATATCAGCAAAATCCCCGTCGTCACCCGGGAGCAAGCAGATGCCGAAGACAGGACAAAGAAGCTCACGGCCACGGCACCCACGATCAAAGCACCCAAGGTCGGCGCCACCAAGGCCCCTGCCGGCGGCGCGGAGGCCGCAGCCTCTGCTTCGGCTCGGGCTCAGCGATATGCCGAGGAGTTGATGCAGATACCCGAGATGAGGGAGTTTGGCAACGTCCTCAAGTCTTCTCCAGTCGTCGAGTTGACAGAGGCAGAAACCGAGTACGTCGTGACCCTTGTGAAGCACATCTTCAAGGAGCACATTGTTCTTCAATACGAAGTCAAGAACACGCTGCCAGATACTGTCCTGGAGAACGTCTCGGTCGTCGCTACGCCCGGGGAGGACGAGCTGGAGGAAGTCTTCATCATGCAGGCGGAGAAACTGGTGACCGACGAGCCTGGCAAGGTGTATGTCGCATTCCACAAAGTCAACGGAGAGAGTTCCATGCCCACTCCTTCCTTCTCCAACGTGTTGAAGTTTACGAGCAAGGAGATTGATCCGTCAACGGGGGAGCCGGAAGATACCGGTTACGATGACGAGTACGAGGTGTCCGAGTTTGATATCAGCAGCAGCGACTACATTGTGCCCACGTTTGCCAGTAACTTTAGTCACTTGTGGGAGCAGATTGGTGCCTCGGGAGAGGAGGCAGAGGAGACTCTGCAGCTGAGCGGCGTCAAGAGCATCGCCGGTGAGTGAAACCCTCGTCTGCAAACGCAGCCCAAGAACCGTTGGTCAACTAACGCGCGTGTGTGACTTGACGCAGACGCCACGGAGCAACTAGCCAAGGCTCTGTCGATGCAACCCTTGGAAGGCACAGATGTGCCGGTCAACCAGAGCACGCACACACTGAAGCTGTTGGGCAAGACGGTCACCGGCGGCAGGGTGGTGGCCAGTGTGAGAATGGCCTTCTCATCAAAGTCTGGGGTGACCACGAAGATTACAGTCAGAAGCGAGGAGGAAAACGTGGCGGCACTTGTGATTGCATCGGTGGCCTAGAAAGCAGGAATGTCGGCGTTGCGGGTTATCAATGTGTCGATGGTTAGACGCTCTTTATATTTGGAGGGCGGAGACGAAGACGGTCACGGTCGACATGCACACACCATATCATAGGGAGCAGGAGCAGGAGCGGGAGCGGGAGCAGGACCGACGGCGCCAAGTACGTGCCTTGTTTATTTAGCCGAGGTCGTAGACGACAAGTGATGCGGATGACTGCAACTCGTGTAACAATTTTTGCTTTCCAGAGGGGTTCAACATGAGCCGAGAATGCTAGGTGTCTGCGTCTGCGGGTGGCCACCTTGTTTTGGAACGGACGCGCTTGCAAATCCACCGTCTGGGATACTCGAAGCCGCACACGGTAGTCAAATCAGATATCCTCGAGCTTGACAACGTGGTAGGCCGGCTCCTCGTACGGGTGTGCCCTGGGACGCGTCACGCAAGTCAGCGAGTCAGCGGGCGGGCGCCGGCGCCGACGGGGACAGCTTCACACTCACTCCTTGAGAGCGGCGACGGCGCTCCTCGCGACGTGCAGGCCCACGCAGAGGGTGTCGACGCGCACCTCGGGCGTCTCCTCGAGGGCGCCGACGGTCCCGAGGTGCGGGCTGGCGGTGTCGCCGGGGCGGAACTGGCCCGTGCCGGCGGTCGACCAGCAGCACTCGGTGTAGCTGCCCGGGCCGGGGTACCGGCCGGCGCCGGCTCTGAAGACGGCGGCTTTGCAGGCCTGGACGGCGGCGGGGGGGGCGTAGAAGGTGAGGGCGTAGCGGGCGGTGGATGCCATGGTTACGGGTCGTTGATGCTTGAGGGGCGGGCGATGCCGTCGGATGGGGGGTTGTTGTCAACTTGGCGGCTGGCGCGGAGGGGCGGGAGGGTTAGGGTTGTGCGCTAGCTGGATGTGACGACGATGGACTCCTCAGGGACGGACAGACATACATGGAGTCGCAGACGGACGCGGACACGGACGCAGACATGGACACAGACGTGGACGCAGACATGTATACATGTATAAATAAAAGATCTGGGTACATTCGTACAGGATACGGCCACTGTTGGCGCACTGCCGCCGACGCCAGCGCCGTCTTCACATGTACATTGGTGCCGTGCTTCTGGCGGAACCGGGGCGGTTAGGGACGCCATTTCCTCCGGCGGCCGTCCCGGTGCTTCCGGGGAGGCTGTTGCCGAGTCCGTCCCTGCAGAGCTGTGCGGAGGGAGAGAGAAAGCCATCGAGCACATCGCCGCTGGCAAGTGTGCAACGATGCACCGCACACAATGTCGCGGGCTGCATGCATGTAAACTGGCGGCAGTGGTCATGTCTCTCATTCTTGAGTCTGCCTTCTCTCGAGGGCAACATGATGTGGAAACCCGTCGTCTCCCATGATATGTCGTCCCGTCACGTCCTTGTATACCCTCCCGCCTTTGTCCTTTGTCGACGCCGAGTACGCCTCGGAAACGATGCCCTTCTCGCAGCAACATGGCTACTCGTGCCACGCGTACACATCGCCGGGCTTCCCCTCGGCCTGCTTGCCCACATTTTGGGCATACTGGCCGCCATAGTTGCCGGCAGGGTCATACTTGCGCACGACGTAGAAGCCGTTGGCCTTGCCCCAGCCGCCCGAGCACTTCTTCCATCCGCACCCGAGGGACCGCGTCTGCTTCCACACCACCTGCGTGAAGTGGCCCGTGTTCATGGAGAAGCCCGGGTTCGCCCAGTTGTACTTTGTCCGCTCCGCTCCCCACATGTTGACAAAGGCGGCCCAGCCGGGGAATCCGGTCATGGCGGCGAGGTTCTCCCCGGCGCTCTGGCTCCCGTGTGTACAGGTCAGCATCGTGGCTGTTGGGGGACCGGGCAAGGGGAGAAGGGGGGGTGGCGAGAACAACTTACATCGTGGGAAAAGTTGCACGTCTCGGCCCAGTCCTGAGCGCCACGTGCCAGCTTCTGGTTCCAGGAAAAGGGATCCGCGCCGTGCTGCCTGCGGAAGAAGTTGTGCGCGGCGAGTATTTCGTCCTTGAAGTTGCCGTCGTGCTCTTCCTCAAGGCTCGTGGGCGCGGCGCCGGCCAAGCCCGTGGCTGCCAGGGCGGCGAGGATGCTTTGGAGACGCATCTTGTTTGGGGGTGAGGAGCGCCGTGGCTGTAGGTCGAGAGCGATGGGTTCCTGATGGGAGGGGCTTTCTTTCTCTTGGCTGCTTTGGTTTACACAATGGAACAGGATTTCCGAGAAGGGCCGTCTAGTTTTATACTTGGATAGGGCATATGCCGTATATGCCCGGACCCCGGGGCAACGGCCCAGGACGACGCGGCGATCAAATGGAGTGTATGATGCATGATGGGGGTTGGTTGCTTGATTCGACCGGATTCGTCCATGCCGGTCACAAAAATTCTGGCCGGTCTAATTGTGTAGCATCTGTGCGAGGAGAATATGTGATGATCCTGGCTGGGCGTCGTGGTGTTTTTGCTGGCGGGCCGAGGAGTCGGGCAGCCTTTGGAGGCGAGAGCTGCTGCAAGACGGCCTGAAGAGGTTCGTTCCCCTTTGGAAAGAGTTAGTTGGGTTGGTATACATGCCACATAGCAAGTTATGACGGATAGTCCAACTAGGTAGGTCGACTTACTGGTTTGAGATGCTGTGTCTGAAACATTTCGGCGGACTGGGAAATGGCTGGGCCCATCGAGACTTGGGTTGCACACAAATGCTAGGCGACTAGGGAGTATGGCTGCCGAACTTTTGCGAGATTGTGGACCGCCGTCAGTTGACACTTGTTGAGTAGGAGTAGTACTATATGATTGTCTCGGAGCGTGCTCGTGAAGAGACGTGGTTGAGGCTCCATTTTCGGTTATAGATGATCCATGAATAAGTCGTCGTCGAAGAAAGGGGCCTAGGGGCCGTGTTTGGATCTAGTTCCACTCTTGTGTCACTGTTTTACCGTGAGTACTCTTTCATTTTCCAGTCTGCTTGCGGCCTATGTACGCATTACTGACGAGTCAGCCTCCGTGACGCTGCAGTTTTGGGCATATATACACCGACTATGTTGAGATGGCGCATGTTAAAGCAAGCCCGACTTTCCAATCCAAGCACGCTGAACAAGAAGCTTGATTCTTTTGCTACGCGACAAACAATTAGGTGACTTGCGACACCACAGGTTCCACGATCATGTATGCCCCTTTCATCTAGGGCCGAACCGCAAAACGCCTCCTCTGCCTGATTATGCACTTGTATGCTGTGACATGGCGTCTTTCCAGTCAGCCAGTAAGTGAGTAGTTTACGAATTAGGGTTCCCATTGCCTTGGACACGGAGCACTCGAGGCAGGCGAACGTGTGCGCCGGCGAGAGGCGAGTTGTAGGCTGCTGTTGTGTAAGCACGCACCATGGGTTCGATTCTAGGTTGGTACAGAGTTTTGAGAAGAATTCGAGTCTCGTCGCACAGCTTGGGTGTTTTCTTTTCGTGATTTGTTGAATGCGGACTTTGTTATAAACCTTGTGGCGAGTGACACCACGCGACGTGAAACACGTTGCGTCGACCATGCCGTGTCTGACACACTCTGAAGCGAGTGTGCATTTTTAGAACCATGATAGGTCTACCCATGAGCGTGAGCGCGGACCGCATGTTGTACACACAACTACTACACAACAGCTCACCTTGGTTTTGGGGAGAAGCGACCAAGTTGCCACGATGCCGTGATGTCCGCGGGGGTGTCATGACATCTAGGACGACCGTAACAAGCCTGCCGCAGCTGCCCAACCTTGCCAGAAAGATGAAGGGCGGAGAACAAGCCCGAGCCTGGCAGATGGGCAAGTTGACGTAGTTGTCGTCGTGCAGTGCAAGGAAGAAGCCGTTGCGCGTGGTGGTTTGTTGGCGCAAGTGCCGTATAGGGTAGGTGTAGTGTCGGCACTTGGAATTGCTACGCTCAGATGGAAGGCGCCATCGACTTGAGCGCTCACACGCGGCACGCCTCCTGCCATCCCCCGCAGGTACCACCCGTTTCGCAAACAGCTTCTGCTGACCAAAGCTCCATGAGCAAGCGCGAGATCAACGGCGCTATCCAGCCCAACCCCGGGGCCGTCAAAGGCCTCCTACTCCGACACGCACACGCACACGCACAGGAAAGACTGGCCGCAAATACCGGCTCGAGGTGACGTCGTCTGACATGTCCGGTCAGCCGGAACGGCAATACGAGGCCTCAGCTGGGCCGTCACAAGCAGGACTAATCGAGTCAACCCGCTGGGCACGCGACATGTCGAAAAATTCACCGAGTACGTACAGAGCAGCAAAAGCAGCAAATTCCAAGCCTCCCAATCAACAGACCCACCACTGCCGGCGAGAGTTGGTGCAGTTCCTTGAGGTCAATATCGAGGAAGAGCTATGGTTCCGACCAAGAGATGTATAGAATCGATGTCCGAGAGCTCGTCAGAGCTAAAGTATCAGCAGCTGGTCCCCCGGTGAATGGCAGAAGTCAAATGGAACCATCCCAGAAGAGGAACGTGGATCCGATAGGCTGGCCGGGGGCGCACAACTACTGCCTACCTACCTAGGTACAGTTACGGAGTAAGTTACTTACGTATAGCCAGAGATATCGGTGCGCCGAGGCAGCAGTAGGAAATGGCGTCTTGCATGGCAGCAAACAGGGCCCATGTGAAGGACGGAATTTGTTGAGGAAGGCTCTTCAGACCCCAAGGGTTCGTGGGCGACGGGTGCAGTATCGGCCTTGCGAAAGGGAGCGACATATCCACGACTTCCTTTTCCTAGCGATCTTGATACAGTTTGCGGTTCGTCCGAGTTGGAGAGGACGAACTTCGCTCTCAGATCTTGATGGAACCACAGACCCAGACTTGCCTGCACCTTCCTTCTGGCGCTTTGGCCTGCACGTTTCACTTCTTGGCGCGGTGCAGAAGAATACCAAGGCACTGGCATGATATGGACTGAAATATCACTCACTACGTACTCTACTAACAGATTAGTCACCGTCACGTCACGGCCAAGTCGGCTGTTGACAGCAGCAGCCTTGGAGAAGTCGCCTTGGTCTTCGGCATGGCCTCCCAGCCACTTTTGCAGATGGGTTCGGGCAGGGCTCCAGGGGCACCAAAAATTGCCCGGCTCCGTTCCGGCCGGGAGGCTTGTCTGGGACTCTGGACAATGACGTCTGGACGGCACGAGTCGACTTGGTCTGGGGAAAAGGTGCAAAAAAGGTCGATTGGTACTATGAAGTAGGCCCCTTACTGGGAAAGTACACGGACGCTCGAGCAACGGCGCACATAGCCTCGGGTACCTTAAGTACCTAGCTTTCAGCACCCAGTGGATACCCACTGACTTAAGTAAGTACCTACTTAGGTAGGTAAGTAGCTACCTACCTAAGTAAGTACCTACCTTCGCGCGCTGCCCCTGTTGATGGTGACAGTTACTGTGACTGTGTTAATCCCTGAACATACCTACTTAAGTACCTAAGTAGGAAGTAGGGAGGTAGTTGCTCCATAGCACGCAACCACCAGGCACTGGGGACTCTGCTCCGGGGACAAAGAGCACCTAACCGTGTCTGGCCAGTGGCCACGGCGGCCCACCACCTCCTGACGGGCCTCGAGCTATGGGCATGCACTTGTTCTGTTCTCGTCTCGAGGTCAAGCTCGGCAATTATAACTAACTTGTCTTGTATTGCATCTCCCATCTCCCATCTCCCTCCGGATCCGTACCCGCGACGTCCCGTCTCTTCCTCTCCCCATCCCCCGTCCGTCCACTTGTCCTTGTCCCTTGTCCCCTGTTTCTCCTTTCTAGTCTCTACTGTCTGGTTTCTCGCTTCTTCATGATACTTTGATTCCCTCCCCGCTAATCTGCTTTCTGCCTCCACGGCGACCCTCCACCACCCCCCCTTCTCTTGGTGCGCGGCTCAAAAACCTCACTTTTCCGGCCTTGGGCATCTTCCCCCGTCGTCTAGAGGGGAGGCGATAGCACCGCGTCCCGCCGACGCCATGAACGCCATCCATGACAAGTGCCGGCCGAAACACCAAGTCTTGGTGCTCAGGTGCTACCCAAAGGTCACAAAGGGGGCCGTGGACGTCGTCCCCAACAGCAGTGAGCTGAGCTATCTCCTTTTCTATGCCACCAGCCGTCGCTCCAAGATCCAAAAGATTGGCGCCTTTCTCGAGAAGAAGACCGCCAACGATCTCTGGCGCATGCGAATTGGGTACGTGAACCTCCTCCTTGCTCCACAGTCGTGGCTTTCCTTGTTGCAATCTTGACCCTCTGGAGAGAGACACATCCGTCACTGTGTTGCTGCTGTCTGTCGCGAGCAAGCCGGTAACTGACTTGCAATTTCCTGGCTGCACGCAGAAATGTTCAGGTCACGCTGGGTATACTGGGTGCTCTCGTCGAAAGGTCCCCCAAGGAAGCTGCCCTGGTCGCGCCGTGCGTCCTCAGGATACTCGACCTGATTCTACGCTCCGACGAAATCACCATGGTCGAGTCATCGCTGCCCACCTTTGAGGCCTTCTGTGAACACCACGACGTGTCCTCTCTATTTGGTGACAATGCTTACCTGCAGCAATACCAGTCCGTGGTCCGATCTTACGCTCAGCTGGCCTCGACTCGACACGTGCCAAACAAGGGTGGTCCCGTCAGCAAACCATTGCAGATTCGCTGGCGGAACGCGGGCCTCGGGGCCATCAAGCACATTGCTGCCTCGGACGCCCTATCGTCCGTCTCTGGTAGACAGATCGACGTCATCGTGCCCATGATCCTCGAGAACATGTGGACCAGGGATGATACATATCTAGACACGTTGCTGCAGCGCGTGCAGATGGGCGAAAAATCCGACCACGAGAGGCCCCATCGCCGAATGAGTATGGCCACTGTCCGAACTGCCGATACTGCGGGCGACACTAATCCTGTCGCACTCTCCGGCACCGCCTTGGACGTCGACAATCTCGCCGAGGAGGAAACTGGAGTCCTGGCTACGAAATGCTTGAAGAGCATCTTCATCGTCCCTAACAGGGCGCAGATTTACGGAGCCACCAACGCATTGCTCAAGTTTGTCTCCAGGAGAATTGCAGAAGGGGAGACTCTGGTCACCACCGATAGAGCACCCGGCCGTGGCGACTCTGGCTGGGCCATCAAGCTTTACGACATCGTCTCCCGTTGGACGCCTGTGCAGGATCGATACGTCATTCTCGTTGCGACGCTTGACATGTTGAACAAGACGCCCATGCGAGAGGAGAGCTTATCGCAGCGTTTGACCTTTACAGCCATGATGCAGTCCCTGCTTTGCTCAGATGTCAATCTGATTGGCCTCAGCGTCATGGATGTCCTTGTCGGCCTCGTCAAGCAGATCCAGAAGCTGTTCCACTTGCATCAGGGATCCGCTCAAGACAGCAGCCAGAGCGAGGAGAAGACTGATACGGACCCTGAGGCTGCTGCTCGCACCCAGCACGAACTTCTGGTGAGGTTGGAGGACTGCACCAGTGATCTTGCCAATCATGTCTACTATGCCGACCAAATCTCGGACATGATTGCGGCTCTGGTTGGTCGTATCAGACACAGCCGAGCTGCAAGTGTGGCATTAGATGCTGGTGCTGATGCAAATGGTGCTTCTGCGGTTGACCTGTCGCCAAGCCAGACCTTGCAAGAGGATTGTTTTGCCCATTCCCATGGCCGATTGTCAGCTTTGAGGATCATCAAGGCTATCCTTCTTATTGCTAGTCCCAAGACGGGCCTCAGCGGCAATATGGATCTGGCCAGAAACCGGGTTCCCATGCAGGTATGGGAAGGCACGCAATGGCTCCTTCGAGACCCCAGTGGAAGCGTTCGCAAAGCATACGTGGATGCATTGGGTGTCTGGTTGGATCGCGAAATTGTGTATTCGAATCAGATTGCTACGGATGACGCCATTTCTCCTCACCATGACATCAAGAATGGCCACCATGTTGCGAGCACTCGCAGGGCAGTTTCGAACCCATCGACCCGTGAGCGCCACCACAAAGCACAACGGTGCCGGTTCCTGTCTCTTCTCCACCTCGCGATTTATGACAGCGCATTACAGTTCGTGGATTACGACAACGACATTGTTCTCCTGCACGGCCTGCTCACCGAGCTTGTCTTCAAGCTCGGAGTCAATGCGACCCGATGCGGTATTCCCATGGTGTACAGGCTGCAGGAGGATATTCAGGAGCTGGAGCAGCCCATTCGCAAAGTGCGCATCGCCTCGCTCTGCCACGGCTACTTTTGGGCCTTGACAGAGAAGTTTAGCTTTGAGTCGTCGGTGGTTGGCAGAGCAGTGTACAACGAAATCAACAGGCGGAAGAGGAAGGGGTTCTGGGTAGAAGGGGTGCATGTTCCGGCTTCTGCGCCCAGTCAGATTGGAACCCCCGGGGAGGCAAGACCGCACCCGAACTGGGATCTCAGTATGCTAGAATCGGAAGAGCTCTTACCGTTTGATGATCGATCCTCCATCGTGGAATGTATCAGCACCAGCTACGAGCACACTGACTGGTCGCAACCGCCCAACAGTCCTGCGGCCTCACCAGGCCGGAATCTCAACCCGCCTATTCTCGGTTCCAACGCTGGCGTCGGGGTGTCTCCTGAGAAGGGTTTGGAGCTGCCACCCCGAGTAAGGGCGCAGATGCTGGCTGAGTGGACGAGGGATTCTGCTCTGGCCGCCATCAGCGCCGCCGGCAAGACTGAATCGCTTGCCGGATCAAAGACAGGCACCACGGGTACGACGCAGAACCGTCTCACCATTAATACTGCCGGCGCCGCGCTCAACGGCAGTGGTCACTTGCCCAGTTCCCCACGTGGAAGCAACCACAAATGGCGCCCTCATACCGCTCACGCGCATGGAGATCGATGGACTTTTGCATCCAAGGTGCGAAATTCGAGCTTTACGGGAGGAATGACACCGGCAGGCTCGACATCGGGCATATTGGGCGTTGCATCCGTGGAGCAGCTCAAGATGGTTCTGGCAGGCAAAGCACCCGCGCAGGCTGTTGGTACCACTATTCCCGTCAAGGACGACGACAGCGATGAGAGCATGGTCAGCTGCGAGTACAGCATATCCGAGAAAAGTTTTAACACTGGTGCTTCCCAGACGGATGGCCCTGCCACGACAGGCGAGGCCCTCGCACGATCGATCTCGGCGTCGGCATCGCTTAAAGGCGGCCCGTTGTCGTCTAATGTAGCCTCGCACGACGGCGGGCTAGATGACGACGAAGTACCTCCTGTACCACCGTTACCCAACTTGAGCTCGCTTTCCACCAGGGTCGGCATGCAATCAATTGAGTCGCCGTCGAGCAAGCGCGCTCTCGCCAGCCGCGGAGGTGAGAGTCTACGGTCGCACCCCATGCGGGTCCGTGAAGAGAGCAGCAGGAGCATGGATTTGCAAAACCTCTTGAGAGGAATAGACAGCCGGTCAGGCGAAGGGAGCCTGGTCAATCTCACGAAACCACCGTATTAGGTGCGCGGCTGAAGAGAGATATAATTCAAGCATACCACCTGTGCGACCCTTCGTACAGAATAGTTCTTAATGGCTGGAAGAGATGGCGGAGTCGCGGTGCATTTACAGCGGGCAGTCATTTCGCCAACATCTAGTTCCGGAGGGCTTGTACCAGGGCAGAAGGAAACGGAAACTGGTCAAAGTATGAGAAGTTGTGGTTGTGGCAGGGGGTAATCCCACGGCGCGGCATCGAATCGAACCACACATTCGACGCATCGCAGGGCACGCATGGTCAGCTGGGAGCGTTGCGTTGTGGGTGTTTGAAAACAAGGCGACGGTGGATAAGATATTCCCTGCTTCAACGATGCTCGAAGCGCGTGTACTGACTGTATTCTGTACTCTGTATTCCGTACGTGTCGTCAGACGACAAGAGAGCGCCGCGCTGCTTGATGACGTGACGTAAGCTGCATCACCGTATTACTGTGACAACTCTTTACGGATTACATGCAGAATGACGCAGCGCTTTGAGTGAGCGACTGCCCGTGGCGCTGGCATGTTGACTTGTGTAAAGGATGAGAAGGAATTGTGTGTCTTGGTCCTCGGCAAGTCATATGTTGACGATGACGTCGTCCAAGCAAAAGACAAGGAGGGCACTTGTTCAAACCAGCGCCTACAGAGTACGGAGTAGACGAAGCCGATACCGTCATGAGGGAGACGAACCCAAAAAGAGAGAAAAAAAAAAGCTTGTACTTGGCATCGGCTCAAAGACCGGGATCGCGTAATGCTCAGCCCTCACCGTCACCCACGAATTCGGCTGCACATGTGTTCTTGCTTTTTAAAGATGCAGACCACACGACTGTGCTCAAGACCGGTACACTTTGACTGGAAACAACACCGCCGAGATGTCGCGGGCAAAGGTCCAGACTCCATGTCGTCCGTTTGGAACGCCAAAACCAGGCATGTCTCCCAATCCTACAACCAACCCGTGCGGGATATGTTCGGCTACCTGGGCTTTTTTGTTCAAATCCTGCAAGCATGAGCCCATTCCAAGAAGGCCTGACCGTCCGTCGCAGCCTACGCCGAACGCCGCCTCTCCTGATACTCTGTATCAGCTGGGAAGTGGATTCCACGGAAATGGCAGTACAGCGGCGTCGACAAGCCTCGCAACTTCTGTAACCGGAAACGACACGACATCCTATTCGGCACCTCAAGCTGCCTCTCCAAACCAATCGGCTGCCGACGCTGGGCCGTCTATTCTAGACATCCCATCCCGCCGCCGCCCCATGTTCATGTTCGCGAGTGGCGACAAACATCCGAGTCCTTCCATTCCGGCACAAACACGGCCGGCATCCCATTGGGCCGGCGGGCGGACCTACCAGCGGCGTGAGCCACCGGATTCTGTCCCGTTGAAAGGTCCATCACAACTCATGCCACCGGAATTGGAAGCATCACTGCATCAATGCAGACAGGAAAAACTGGCCCGGTGGCCACGGAACGGCGGCGAAGACGACGCGCTCTGTGTCAAGGTTTTGGGGCGGCCCCGCCGGCTGCCCTTGTCGTCTTCGTGCTGGCTCTGATCATGGGCATCGCTGTACTCCGTAGGGGTGGCTAAGAACGCGGCACGGGACGATAGGATAACAGCCCGAAGGTTAAATTGGCGGTGTTGTTGTATGGAGTACTCCGTAGTTATTTGTTGGTGGCATCTGAAACCATTAAACCGCAGGCGCTGCCGTCACATGTCAGTAATCGATTGAGAGAATGATCAGGTTTTTTGCACCTACCCAAGTTACCTTGCCTCGCCGCGCCATCATTGCACCACATACGGAGTACATGCTAGGTTTTGGAGTTGATTGTTTCTTGCATCCATATCTGCCTGCGGCGGGCATGTGGCTGGGGAAGGGCCAGGGCCAGGGCAGCGGATATCACACTTGCATAGAAGTGACGGCCGCAAATTTGTGACGGCTAGGACAAAGGATCGCGGACAATTGCCCTGAGAGCGAGCGTATCACGTACTGGCGCGGTTCGGATTGAACTCGACATGAGAAGTTAGCTTCGTGCGAGCCCAAGGAGTTTTGCCCAAATATCGAACGGGGAAGGTGCTCGCCAGTCGCGCTACGTGGAAGTCGCGACCAGCATCGGCGATTGACATCTGGCTCAGCCTGCAAATGTTGCTGCTACGCAGGCCTCTGGACTGACGCCTGATGGAGGTCTCTTTTGTGCAACACGGCGATGACTGTATGTCTGATCAACAAGCATCTGCATCTTGACCGGTGCATGACTGAGGACTTTCGACCCAACACAGACATGACAGACGTGTTGAACATCAAATCCGTGATGGCGCCATGAGTCCCATGACGTTGGAGAGTGAGGGCTTCGTGCATCGCATGTCCACGTGCCCCTTCCCCTGCATCCACTGACCTGACCGGGCAATAGGACAAAATACGACGGCCGCTTGTTCATCACCGTTTGCCCAACCTTTGAAAGTTTACTAGCGCAAGGCAACGAAGTGCCTGGCATTCGCCGGCGTTTGCTGCTCTAGACGTCACACCTGCCGGACCCGAGTGATGTTTTCCCCGTTTCCAATGGGAGGTTTTGGTGTCATCCACAACCCGTCGCTTGGTCCCTTTGTTGCGACCTCCTTGAATACGCCACGGCACTAGGCACGTCGCGTGCGCACTCGGTGGACAAGGTCAACTGCCGAGCTGTGTGGCTAGGGGCAGGCCGTCACGACTAGTGGTGGTATTTGTTGGAAGAGGGCGACCTGCGCGGAGCAATTACATGTGATTTCTGTGTACTACTCAACTCTCGGGCCTCTCTTCTTTTGTTTATTATTCCTCTTCTTACAGAGCACACGTCTCGACGTTACAGCAGCTGCCTCTCAAAATACCGCCGGACTTTGGTTTGGACACCACAAAAGTGAATATGCTTTGCCGCACCTTGCGACGGGTCAAGCGGTGGGAGTCCGTGGGACGTGTAGGATACTGCTGCCACGGATCGCTCATGAAGCAATACTCTCTCCGTGTTGTTGGGTCAGTTCCCTCCCAGCGTTACAGCGACTTGCGATCACCACCCGTGGCGCGGTCACAAGGGTCAACTGGTGTTGTGTTTTCCTCGGACGCCACTGCTCTTTCATGGTGCGCCGCCGCAAATGCCATTCTCAACCTTGCCATATAGGAGACTGTCGTTGAATCTACAACGGAAGGGCAGCGCCCAATTGCCCAATATCCTATAGACGAGGGACCCTTGAGTCATAAGCGCCAATATATATTGCTGTCAAGCCGGACAAGAGCGTGGTGCATTGCTGCGGAGCACTGCGAGAGGGTTGGAATGGTGGCATTGCATGCCAATAGACATTTACCCGGAAAGAGCTTGCTGATGCCCAGGATCGACGGCGCCACCAGCCAGTGTTTCTGGAAGTTGGGACCCCTGTAGAGGCTGCCTTTAGGGCATCAATCAAAGCGACTTTGGACATGCTCCCAGGAGTCCCGGCGATGAACTCTGGTCCGGCGGGATTCCTGCATCGGTCTTGGCTAATGAACAGTTTATCAGGATGGACCGCGGCGCCGCACCCGCCACCCAACGATGGGAGAGCGCCGCATGGCCTGGCCTGTTCTTGGTTTGTCTTGTTTGGGTCGAGGAATTAAGGCGCCGTGCCTGATTGTTTCGCAGGCGCTTGCTTTCGCCAGGTACCGATGGACGTATGCAACTCATTCGCCCGGCAGCAGGGAGAGCAGTGGCTTGCCAGCAACTCCTGCTGTGTAATACCAACACTCGAGCTTCCTGGCGAATCTTTGCGCTGCCCGTGGCATTGGCCAACAGACACCGGCCTCGGATGACGCGATATCTGACTGACAAGAAGGGCAGCTCGCAGGACAAAGTACACGACAGACGACAAGACAGCACACCATTATGACCAAGGCAGGCAAGGCAGGCTGTATGTGGTCTGTACTCGTTCGTCAGAGCTGCTGCTGCGCAGTACGATGCGGATTTTTTTTTTTCCCCTCGCTCTCTTTATCCGCCCTTGCTTGGCAAGTTTCAGTGACGAGTAGCCGTACTTTCGGTCGCCTCCCTCTTCCGTCCCGTCTTGAACGTTCGGCATGGGCACAAACAAGTCTGCATCAACACCAACCACACATCCCCACCTTCTGGTTAGTGGCTTAGATGGCTCAATTTTTTTTTTTTGGCTGGTATGGAGGACGCATTGTATCGTTGTATTCTGTACAATACAAGACTCGGAAAGGGCATGACACACCCACGGTTTGTGAGATGTCGGTCCGGGCTAGCTGGTAGTCTGAAGGCCGCTTCTGACGCCTTATCTGAACATTGGGCGAGTCTGTTCATGACGGGTTTCACGCTTCAAGTGGGAGCAAAGGCCCCGCCTCCCGGAGGCTCCCCCGGCTGAGACTTGGAAGAAGCAAGCACATCATCTTATGTGTCTCGAGGTTACTGGGTTCATGTCGGCATCTTTGAACCAAACAAAACAAGTGTACCTCCAACAGACGGATTCCCATGTTGGTGGCATTGGTTGGGCCCTTCTCCGCCTCGGAGTACCGAGTACAAGAGATGGCGATGCTGTCGACAAGTCAGTTACCAAGGCCGGAGTGGTTGTACTCTGATCTGACAAGACGCAACCAACTCGTCTCCCCCTCGCCTGAGTCGCCTCCTCCTCCTCCTCCTCCTCCTCCTCCTCGTCCGGGGCCCTCCCCCTTTCAGCACATGGAGCCCCACCGCGGCTCCATCGTTGGCTTCTCCGTGCCGCCCTTGTTGTCGCGAGAGATTGGGTTCAGCGTTGTGCATTCGTTATACGCCACTCGGGGCCCGAGTATAACTATCTCGACTACTCCAGCGCCAACAAACGCCTCTGCCTTGACATGCTGATTCGCAGTGACGTCGACTCAAGCCACTCCCACACAGCCGTCGCTTGGCACCTCAAGGAAAAACAACACTTTGCCCCTCGTGAAAGGTCCCGGACCGCACCACCACGGGACTGCCAGGTTGCAAACTCGCCGAAGCACACACAAGCGCTCCCCAGGCACTCACACCACGACGACGCCGTGCCCGTCACCGGCTGGCTTGTTCGCAAGACAAGGGCACGGAGACACGACTCGCAGCGCTATCCCGCCACTTTTAGAGGCGATCCAGACCAACCATCTCTGTCTCAACTTTGAGTAGGCGACAACTGGAATCTTCAGTCCCTCACAGGCCCTCGCGCTAGCAGACCCTGACAGACCCCAGCAACTCTACGCAGCTCCGTTGTCCTTCACAAGTAGTCCCGCGCGCGCACACACACACACACCCCCTCGGGGGCCGTCTTTGGTTCCTATTCCCCCTTTCACCGCCCTCGGATACTACCAGAAACATACACGGAGCTTTCCAGGGCATTCATTGCTTGCACGCCTGGAACGCCAGCAATTGAACCGTGACTTCAACATCTAAGCCTCAGCCCAACTGCCAGCCCTCATCGACTTTGAGGAACGACGTGGTCTTGCCTCTGTGCTGTTGCAGGACAACAAGTCCGATTTTGCCCTGACGATTTGGCCCTGACCCTGAAAAGTGCGAATCCCCACGGAGAGGCTTTATAGCCCTTGCGCGGGCAGCATCGCATCATTCAGGTTTGCTGCAGGTCACTGCCGCGCAACACTGCGCTTCGGTATACCGAGCCAATTCCGACAGTACAAGTTTGTTTTGAGCATGGCGCCGCGGTATCAGTGTCCAGCGAGGTAAATTCTTGATAACGATTGGTCGTTTTCCGCCAAGCTCGCTCAACTTTGAATCATGCAACTAACCAGCCTCTCTGATGTAGTCGCGAGCTTCATGTTGTGGTCCTGGGAGCCGGTTCGTTCACCGTCAACATGCCTCAACCGCATCTAGTCTCACCCAACCCTAATCGTTTCTCTAGGAGGTGTCGGAAAGAGTTGTTTGACTGGTGAGCATTCTTCACAGGGACATTGAAGTTGTTAAGCTTTGCATTCTCATTCCTTCTTGCCAGCCCAATTCGTTCATAACGAGTGGATTGAGAGTTATGACCCGACTATAGAAGATTCATATCGAACGCAGATTCAAGTAGATGTGAGTTGTGTCGGATGCACAGAGACAAATAGCGGCTGACTTGTGAGACCAGGGCCGGCAAGTGGTGTTGGAGATGTGAGTGTTGCGTGTTTCCCCCCCAAAATATAGTTTCTGATCGAGATACTTCAGTCTCGATACTGCAGGGACCGAGCAATTTGGTACGTTGACGCGCGTTGCTCTGAATGGATCCCGCTGACACGGACAAGTTGCTATGAGAGATCTATACATGAAGACTGGCCAGGGGTTTCTTCTTGTGTTTAGTATAACATCGCCATCGTCACTCAACGAATTGGCTGGACTGCGTGAGGAGATTATTCGCATCAAAGATGATGAGAATGTGCCAATGGTCATTGTCGGCAACAAGGCCGACCTCGAAGAGAACCGCGCGGTGCAGAGAGCCAAAGGGTTTTCGATATCACAACGATGGGGCGCACCTTACTACGAGTCTAGCGCCAGGACAAAAAGTGAGAACATGCTGGCTGCGACAGTCAACCCGGTGTCATGCTGACAGGACTTGCAGCCAATGTCGACGAAGTTTTCATCGATTTATGTCGCCAAATGTTACGGAAAGACGACGATTACCTGGCAGCCAACGGAACTGACGACGGTGGCTTCAAATTTGATGCTTTTCGTGCAGCGCATAAGCGCAGAAGACGGATGAGAGTTCGGGAGCGGGATAATCCTAGATGTGCTATTCTGTAGGGCTGTTGGACCAGTCTTGCTGCCTCGTCCTCTCAGAGTGGCAGGAAGTCGCGTATAGAGGTCATTGACCAGACAGGGATCGAGCGGAGACGGGGAACAGCATTATTTAACGGGATATGGCAGGATGGCGTTCCATTTCAAGAGCATCCACCAACGAAGATACGACATGGTTATGGGCCAGGGCACTTTTTTGCCCCCTTTCTTCGGTCCAAGTCACGGCTGCCAGTTGACTCCGCAACATGAAGGAAGCAACTCTTGTCACACGACCACCTCGGGGATAATTAGCACAACCACAACAAAGTGGGAGGATGTACTGGAGAAAGACGCCGTAGCGACTACTGGGGGCGGAAGGGGGATAGAGGCACACGTTTCACAAAGGGGTCGACTGCCTGACGAGAAGATGAAAAGAGAAATAATGGGTTCGGAGTAGATGGCGTTTCTAGACGGGGTTTGAATTGTCGCCTCTCATTTTTTCAAAATTGTCACATCTACATATGCTGACGTGTCGGGACTTGGATATATTCGGGCAGCATGTTCGGTACATGACCAACTAGACTTTATGTCAGCAATACACCTCTGCCGGCCGCCGGTGGTACACGAAGAAGCGTCTTGAACTTTGCCGGGATAACGAGGAGACGGGACAATTCGCGCCGCCTACCCCTCAGCACATACACGTGGTATGGTTGCGGACACGCAGAACGTGATGACGGGAACCCCAAACCGCCAGACCCAAGATCAGCAGCGTGGTCTCTATCTGACTGGCTGCTTTGCGTGTTCGTCCTCGGGTCTCGTTTCGTTTCGTTTCCCCTGTTGCCCGGGCTCTCCTGTGACGGTCCCCCTCCGCGTCAGTGCCCGGAGTATCTTGGAGACAACGTCCAGGAAGAGGGCTACGAGGCCGCGAAGCTGAGTGACTCGGTTCATCATGTGGACGTAGCGAAAGGTAAAGGCGTCGACCTCGCGGTAGTCGTGGGCGTACATCTCCCAGGCTGCGCGGCCCCTTCCGCCGCCTTCGTGCTCGGCGACGGGGATTTCCCCGTCCGGGGCGTCCCTCAGCGGCGGGCCCACGGCCAGCGAGCGGCCGGAGATGGACTCGTCTGCGACGAGGCGGGTAGCGGCGTCGACGACGTCGGGGATGGTGGCGCCGCCGGCGGTGCCGGCGAGGAAGGCGACGTCGGCGACGAGGGGCAGCATGCGGCTCTGCTCGACAAAGTAGGGGGCCAGCATGTTGACGCGCAGCCTGCCGCGCTGCGCGAAGGAGGTGGTGCGCAGGGAGCGGAAGAGCCCGCACACGGCGTGCTTGGTCATGGTGTAGTGCGCCTGGCCGGCTAGCGGGGCGACGGAGGCGATGGAGCCGATGAGCAGGAGGCAGTTTGTTGTTGTTGCGGCGGCGGTGCCGGGCGAGCCGCGGTCCTGCTGGCGGGAGAAGTGGTGGAGGGCGAGGTGGACGGTGTACATGACGCCGGTGATGTTGACGTCGATGGTGGCGGTCGAGGGCGGGGGGAGCTTGCCGCGCACGAGGGAGGGGTTCTCAAAGGCGTGGCCGTCGCGGGGCCGGATGACGCCGGCGTTGGGGACGACGACGTCGATGCGGTGGTTGGGGGAGAGGCGGACGGCGGCGTCGAAGAGGGCCGTCTGGTCGTCCCAGCTGGTGACGTCGCAGGGGACGTGGGCGAAGGCGCTGGGCGGCGGGTGGAGGGCGCGCAGCTGGGCGACGAGGGCCTCGCCGGAGCGGGAGTCGGTGTCTCCGATGATGATGTGTGCGCCGTGGGAGGCCCACCGGCGGGCCATGTGCGCTCCGAGGCCGTTGGCGCCGCCGGTGATGAGGACCGTCTTGTCACGGAGCGTGGAGGGGTCGTAGGGCTTGGTGAGGTCGATGGGGGGCGACTGCCGGACCGTTTGGGCTATGGACCATGGCGAGGGCGGCGCTGTGGACATTTTGCGGCTCTGCCATGCGCCTGGCGTCTTGTGTCTTTTTGGAGGCGGTACTGACTGGTTGGCTATTGAATATATTGCACTTTCCTGGTGTTTTTTTTGGGGGTCGTGGTCGGGAGATTTTGAGATGGAGCTTGCCTGGCTTGGCCTAGCGCGATTGAGCTGTGGTGGGTCTACCGTCTCTTGATCCGGGGCCCCGTCGACCCGCGCCCCACTGAGCCCCTTGCTCAGTCGGGCCAGGTACGTATCTCCCTCCTCTCGTGTCGTGCCGCGGCTGTGTTTGGGACTCGACTTGACTCGGACCAGCTCGGACCAACCCCGACACCCATCGCCATCATCACCAAGAGAGTGTCGCAGAGCATTCCTGCTCCTGCTGCACAGCGCACAGAGAGCCGACTTAGATGATGTGATGTCGGCAATTTCTGTGCGTGTGTCGTGTGCCACTACCGTCTGCTCTGGTCTTGACGCACCGACTCGGACTACCTACGGACGAGCTGCGTCGGAGAGCCATCGTCGAGTTTTCGGAGCTGTGATACGACATGTACGACGGGGACGCGGAGCGACCGACGGTGCCGTCCTGTGTCCTGACATATGTACTTTGTGGTACGTGTTCCGGTTGGCTTTTGTCGAAACACGATAGCCAGCAGTGTACCGAAAGAGAAAGACGTCGTCTCAGTCTCTCAGATGTCTCCGAGGGGGGTACGGACGGTAGCTGTCGTCTTCAATTTTCAGACCTGTCAAGTCTTTAGTCTGAGACGGTCGACCTTCAGTGCTCTACGCCCGAGCAAGGCGAGTTGCTTGCCGGACAATCAATGGGCCCAACCGTTCAATGTCGACGTTGGACAGCGGCCCCCGACCACGAAACACGCGTACGTACCAAAGCGCCTGGTTTTCTACCAGAGACCTTGGTCTTGTGATGCCTTCTTGGGCATTCTATTGTCCTGCCCGGCGGCAATGTGCCTGCCTTTCTTTAAGCAGCCTCGCGTTTCGCAAAAACACGACTACTACAACAACAACCATGATCAAGCTGCCCATCCATGCTGTCAACGTGAATTCTCGCATTCGGGGGCCTCATAGTCCAGCTTCCTGGTGATGCTGCATTCTTGGTTTTTAGACAACAAGTAGGGAATCTTGGGACCTTGCTGATGCTTGTCTTATCAGAGCCGTTGCTCCCTGGGTATCCTGTCTGTTAAGGCGGTAAAAATTGTATGAGAGAAAGTCGGTCTTTTTTTTTTCTTTGATCGAGCTCATCTTTGTTGGACACGTGTTTTGTTTGGCCTTGGTCCACGAGCATCAGTCTTGTTCTGCTGACGCATCCCGGCGTGGGACGCAACTGCCCCTTGGGCAAACGAGTCGTCTTTTTCATGGGACTGGAACATTTTCATTTTCATGCGAGGCCAACCCTAACCAGGCGTGAGTGTTGGCGAGCGAGTTGTGTCAGCGCATGCCATTGTGATGGACGACCGAGGCGTTTTCGAGAAGCCGCAGCGTCGATATCTCACGCCGGTGACAGGTACAGCGCCTCGCGACGTCTTTGCATGTGCCACGGGCTCACAGGCCGCTAAACGGGCGATATTTGCACCCTCGGCTACTGATGCGGCATCCGTGGTGGTCTGTATCATGTAGACGACACTTGGTGCAACTTTGCAGGTATCTTGCGCAGCAGACGCATTGCGCAATAACTGTTGCATTGCTAGATGTGTGATGTGTTTGGCGCCGAGGAATTGATGAGCAGCTGACATGATTACACATATAGCTCTCCATCACCTCGTGTGTTTCTCCTGACGGCGCCAAATTACTCAACAGCTTTTTGGTCAAGGAGACACCCAAGAGAAGGTTTTGCTGCTGGATGGACTCGGCATCATTGATGACTTTTCCTCTCTCGTCTGGGCCTATGTCGTCAGGGCCAATCATGTTGGCGATATTTGGCACTCCTGGACAAGAAAGACAAATGAACTAGTGCTCATAATCCAATTCCAGTGTCGACCGTTTGGTGCTCTTGCACAGATCATGGATAGTGCCTGTACCAGGATGGTATGGTGCCTTGGAAGCTTACATTTGTCATTGTGTCCTGGAAGCTCCGCGACACCAGCGTGCTAAATGGCTTTGACCTTGTTCATGCGGGATCCGAATTACGCCGTGTCCGGGTTTTCCCTACAGGTAAACCAATGAAATTGCACCCACCAGACTTCTTGATGCCGTAAAAGCAGAACTAATCCGGGAAATTTCGCGCTACCGGCACCAGATAATAAAGATATAGAGGCCCAGGTGGTGGCGGATGCGGCTGTATTCTCCTGCATCAAACCAATTCGACAAGGCTTTTCAACACTGCACCGCCGCGCCCTGTGTATATAGCACCGAGGGCTGTGTCTTCCATCCGAATCCCTCTGCATGTACTCCGTACTCCGTACTACTCTGCTGGCTGTGCATGGGCATGGCTGCTGGGTCTGTGGCAGACCAGACCAGGCGGGGCCAGGCTAATCTCGGATCCAGCCAGGACGATGATGCAGGTTGCCCCGTGGTGCTGCAGAAGTCTGGACTCTGAACGCAATGGGGGTGGGCCGTGGCATTCAACGTGATTGCCGATTCAAGTGCAGCCAGGCTTTCAGCAGTGGAGAATAGCAGGCGGTGGCGGTCTTGACGCTTGACCTTGATGATTTGTCGTGGCGGCCACGCAAGCCACTCCGAAGGCCCAGGTCTGTGTTCAACGGCCGAGTTCCAGTTCCGTCGCATGTTGGTTGATGGCATTATGTCGGCTGGCCGCGAGGGAGACGCGTTGAACTGCTGGCTGTTGTCAGCAACTCGAGGCAGCAACAGAGGAGTTGGCCGTCTTGAATATCAATGGCAACCTACCCAGGCACCTAGGTAGGGAGCTATTACTTGTGCGCATCTGGCGTCTGATGTTGTGTGCGTGGTGGCTGCTCTGCTCCGTCATCAGATTCATTCATTCAGTCTGCCGCCTGCCTTCCTGCCATGTGCCGTGCTGCTGCCTCGTTGGTTGCGGCGGATGGGAGGCGAATTGCTTGGCCAAGGTGCCGTGCCGTCGGTAACTAGTTACCTGGGCAGCGGCTAGCGTGTAGCGTGCCAGACTTCAGACTGGAGCACAACAGCGGCGCCTGCAATGCGTCGGGATCGAGTGCAATGCGGACGGACATGCGTGATGCTCGGTAGGTGGTAGGTGTGCCTTGAGCCTTGCGCCTCGCGCCTCATGCTTCGTGCCTTGTGCCTTGGTGCTTTGTGCGCAGGTGCTGGCGTTGGCGCCTTCCTGAACACGATCAAGGCGTCGAGATGGACGCAGAAAACGGCAGGTGCTGCCCGCGGCAGGAGCGTCAAGGCAGATTGCGTGTATCGGGCTGCATGCTGCAAGCAAGCTCAGGACGCCGCCTGTGAACTGCCCTATCCATGATGCCCATCATCACCGACAATTTCATCAAATCATCATCAATCAGCCTTGGAGCCACAGCCCCATTGTCACGATCCATGCCCCATCCCCCGAGCTAGCAATCCATGATCCCCCACAGTGAGAACGGAAACGGGGCGCCATCGGCCATGGGCCCAGGTGCCGCGTTCAAGTGAGTGCGGGTCAATGCCAATCAATGCATGCAGCTACTGCTCAGGAGCCCAGGTGCCCAGGTGCCCACGTACTCGGTACTTTAGTTAGTGGCTCCGTGCTCCGTACTGGCAAGTTGGTCGACAGAAGTAGCGAGTACTCTGACCCACATTTATCCTTTTTGGGGGGATGACAACGCCACATCAATGCTAGGAAAAAGTGCCGAGTACATCCACCAGCCAACCTAGGTCAAATCATTGTGAAGTACAGAGTACGGAGTGCCAGTACTGAGCGGGCTCGGTTCAAATCCTGGCGACTCTCTCAGGTTATACATACCACTGAGATCCTACTTAAGTACCTAGGTACTTGTGGTAGGTAACCGGGTACCTGGGCACTCAAGTACAAATAGAGTTTGGTGGTAGTAGCCAAGCTTCCCTCTAAATGTTTCGAGTCCCGGAACTCATGAGCATCAGACACCCAGGCGTCCAAGGTCTGTTTGGACGTACCCACTGCTGGCTGTGCTAGCACAACTACCTAGGTAGGTAGGTGCTCGACACGTTGTTATTGTTACCGCTTCGTCCACGGTTGCTGCGTCGGTGGCCGAGATGATGGTAGTAATGGCGGTGCATATGTGCATGCATACCGAGTGTGAGCATCAGGAACCGACGGGCTGGGCCGCACGTACATGCTCTGTCTGTTGACGGTGGCCACCCGCCCTGTTCAGCAACACCAGCCAACCTGAGAGCATTTCATCGCATCACGTCGTCCGTCTGTGTGCTTTGGGCTGCGCTGGATTGGGGAGGCAGAAAGAGGCCATCGCACCCAGTGCGCTCGTGCGCCGATTGGGCAGATTTGGGTGAGCGGACCAGGACTAGCGCCTCACGCCCTACGGCTCACTGCTACTACTAGTAGGCTCCTAGGGTAGCTGCGGACTACGTACTTGAAAAACCTAGCAAGCTGGTAAGTACAGAGTACGTGCTTTGAATAGAAGTTGGCACTACGTTCCGGGTCAACTGGTGCAGCCACTCACAAGTGGCAACAGCTTGCATCGGAAACCTCGGGCAAGGGTCGAGCCTTTGTCCTGGACGCCCGGGCCATGGTGTTGAGTACTTTAAGAAGTACCTAGGTCCTACGGAGTACAGTAAAGTGAGCTCTGGGAGCCAATCCTGCTACTAGCCTACGACTACTACCACTACACTACGTATTACTAATTAGCACCAAAAACACAAGTGCGTACAGGGTAGTCGCCCGACACTGATTTCGAGGCAGCGCACGTGGGCCGCGGGCGGCATTTGTTCTTGGCACTTCGGTGCAAGTCCCCCGCCTCTCCGTAGCATGAAAAACTTGAGCAAGTAGTGTGTACTCCGTACGTACGTGTGCAGTACAGTTCAGAGTATGCTCATCATCGTCACGGCCCCGAGGCCCGTTCTGACGCCTATGCGAGACCCCATCTTGGTGGCCATGACGGTTGCTTGGCTCTGTTCCAAGTACGGAGTATTCCGTACCTGGATAGTTGATTTCCTACTTGCGAGTACTTGGGCACCTCCCACGTACTTAGGTATCTTGCTATTTAGTACTCCGTACGGAGTACGGAGTACCTGCTTCCTAGTAGTACTTGGCACAGGCAGGTACGTGGGCGGGGTGTCTTGGACGCATCGGACCAACAGACACTGGAAAGAGAGACATTGGAAGGGGCCCAGGAGAGAAAGGCCCCCCCCCTTTCCTTCCTTCCGCCGCCCAACTTCCTAGTTTGCCAGTTCTGTCGACGCCTCACTTCCCGCAGCCGTCTCTGAATCGATGTTGTCTGCGGCCCCCACCAACAGGCTATAGCTTCAAAGTCTAGAGCCTGGAGCTCGGAGCCCACAGAGCGGATAGCAACGAGAGCACACAACAAGGCAAAGTCAGCTGTCCGCCGTGGTCTACCGAACAGTTGGCGCGTACGGCCTGATGCTCGCTTCTCTGCTGCCCGCCCGCCCGGTCTCGTCGCCTCGCATTTCAAGCCCTTCATCCATTCATTGCCAAGTCGCCTCGCCTCGTGTCTTTCGTCCCGACCCCCTTGGGCTGGGTTCGCCGCGTCTCTCAGGCACAGCCGTCATTTCCTCTGGGCACGGATAGGGCGCGCTCCTCCGCACGGAGAACATACGTACATGGTCTTGGATCTCGGAGACCCTGTCTCGCAGCTCCCGGGCTCACTCGCTGCTTGCGACCACGGACGGACGTCAGTCAACGAGATCCTTCCTTTCCTGCCTGGGTGTGCGTTCTATCCTGGCTGTGGGCGGCTCAATACACCCCGAGGCTGGCTGGCTGCCTGACACGGTCCCTCCATGCTCCTCGCCGGCCCCCAGTCGCCGCCGTCCGTTTTCATGCGTTCCTGGTGCTGACAGCAGACGAAAGCCGACACACTCGCGCCCGACCCGTCCCCTGAGCCCGTACTCCGTACGAGTGCTCCGCACGACACGACGCAGCCTTGGATGAAGCAGCTCCCTGCACGTGTTGTAGGCATTGCAAGCCGTGCAAGACGGAAAAGGCCTCTCGCTTCGCGCATTCCGGCAGCCATCCATCGAGCCACGGCACCCTGCGGCACCCGGCACCCAACACGCACGCGTCGACGCAGGACAATACCAACAAGCGTTGCCCGCCGTGCATGAAAAGACATCGCATCCACCCTCCCACAGCGCTGGGAACGAAAAGCACCTCGTCCGAGGTACGCGGCAGCCTGTGGGTCCTGCTCACCCTAGTCCTTCTTGCCTGCGCCTGTCTCTCTAGTGTCTCTGGTCCCTAGTCTCAGTCCCCTCCAGTCCCTCAGTTCCCCTAAGGAGCGCCCCCACCTCTCTGTCTCCCTCTCCCTCTGCCTCTGCCTCTGCCCTCTGCCCTCTGCTCTCGATTGAGCCGTCGCCCGTCGCCCGTCGCGCCGTCGCGCCTCTCACTCTCCCCCCTCCCTCTGTGTCGGCTGTCAGTCAGCCCATCCACACGCTCCCACTCATTGTACCGAGTACGCCGCCCCTGCCTCCACCCGTTCCAGCCACTTGCAGTCCACGACGACGCTTATGCTCACACTTGCACGTCCCGGCGTCATCCACACCCACGTCCCAATCCGAACAACGGAGCCACACCCACCCACCTACCTGCCGGCCTGCCGGCCTGCTGCCTGCCTGCCTGCCTGCCCACGCTTCGTCCATCCACACATCCGCTTCCTTCCTGTGCTTGCGCCTGCCTGCCTGCGCCTGCATCTGGGTTTGCGCTTGCGCCTGCGCCGCTTGGGGTCCTGGGGGGTGTGCGCCTCGTCCCCGACTGCGCATCTTCCGTCTCTTGTCCTGGTTCCTCACTCATCATACTCGTCGCTGCACCTCTCTTGTTTCCTTTTTTTTTTTGTGTTCACACATTCCTACTCCGCCAAGCGTCCCATCATCACCGCCGCGCCCGCCCTTGCTTCGACCTCTTTGTGTTTTTACTTGCCGTTGACCATCGCTTCGTGCATAGAAAGAAAAGACGTGCCCAACCCGAACTCTCAAGCATTGCATCTGCGTCCGCATTCGCGTCCGCAACTACGGTCGTCCGGGACTGATCGCGACCGACACGATACTCAACTCACAGGTGGACAACACCATCCCCAACCGCGCCAACCGCGCCGTGCGCGTTTCTAGTCGTTATTCGCACTTCTCGATTGCGCCTGGTATTTTTACAAGCTTTGGATCGCAAAACGAACCACGCCCCTTCTCGACCAGCCCGCCCACGTCCAGCTCGGCCGCTCACGTCGATTTTGTTGCCCCTCTTTGGACCAGCGCATTCGATCGCTCTGCGGTACGCGCCCGCGCCGTGCACAGTGTCCCGAATGTAATTTGTGCGAGCCGCCAAGGTTTCCATCAAAATTTGCGCGTCACATTTGTTGTCGCCATCATCACCGCCTGAGGCGCTGCGCGTATCGCGATTATCCAGCGACGAAACTGCCAGAGGCTCTTGCAACGACCGAAATTTTGTTCAGACACGCTCAGTCGCCACTCCGTACCAACTCCGAATTTGGCTTCTCTGCGCGACAAGTGGGATTCTTCAACCTTGCGCATGCGAACTACTCCCCTGGCCATGGCTCTCGATCCCAGCAGTGCACCACCGCCTCAACAGCCCAATTCAACAGGCGGCGCGTCGGCCAAGCCGCAGCATTCCAATCGTGCCAGCCCATTTCCGACCATGACCACAGCCTCCGACAAGTCTTCCGTAACCGCTACTGCAAGTTTCTTGCCTGCAGCGCCGACCTTCAGGCCCTCTCATTCATGTCAGTCGCCCTACCCTCTCAACATGTCAACCGCCCACCTGTTCGAGCGCGAGCCCACCAAACCCGTTGGTACACCATTCTCAAGCACGCCCACGCCCATGGTCCGCGTTCTCATTCGTCGTCTACCTCTCAATACTTCCGAGGAGTCATTACGCCTGATGGTAGTGTGGTCCAAGGAACTAGCCGACGTGGAGCTGCTGCCCGCTGATAAGTCCGAGGATGATGGCTTTCGTTCAGCTCTCTTGCGATTCAGGAGCATGTCCGGGGCGCTGGAAGCTAAGCAGATGCTGGACGGCCGATCCAACATTTCCAACGACGCCGAGATGATTGTCGAAGTCTTGTCGAATAGCCCCCCGACGGCGAGGCGAAGCGCGGCCGAGCAATCGTCCACCGTGCCGCCGGCGACGGCGTCGGCAGGGCCGGCGCCACTTGCCGCGTCCCGGCAGCCCTCGCGCTTCAACGGTTTTCAGCCCTTGGACAATAACGTATCGCCGACGTCAAACAGCGTCTTCCCTGCTCACGAATTCATCCGCCCTGATGCCAACTCGCACTATCAAAGCATATTTTCTCCTCAGTCGCCCATCGGGAACCACCTCAGCGAGCGGCCGGGAATATCTGGCAAGTCTCTGATCAGCAGCGATTTTGGAGACGATGACGAAACCAGCGATCTTCTCAAAGACCCTGTTGCCTATGCTGAGAACGGAGCCACTTCACAGCGCAGAGCTACCGCTCCCCAGATTCCCATTGGGCGCATGGCTGGACTGTCTCTCAGCACGAACCACTCTCAGGGCCCGGCTTCTCTGCCGCCGTACATGAGCTCACTGCCGTCGGCCAATGCGCCGGCGCCCGGACTGGGATATCCCGTCAATGGCCACAGTTTCCCGCGGCACAACTTCCCTCCCGTCAACCCGGCTGACCAGAATCCACCATGCAATACTCTATATGTCGGGAACTTGCCCATCGACACATCCGAGGAAGAACTCAAGGCCATGTTCTCCAAGCAACGAGGCTACAAGAGACTCTGCTTCAGGACGAAGCAGAATGGGCCAATGTGCTTTGTAGAGTTTGAGGATGTCTCCTTTGCGACCAAAGCTCTTCACGAACTTTACGGGCAGCCACTCCACAACAGTGTCAAGGGCGGCATTCGGCTGAGCTTTTCAAAGAATCCGCTGGGTGTGAGATCCGGCCAGGCCCCAGGTCAAGGATCCAATAACTCGATGGGTAACGTGAACGGAATGATGGGCAACGGCACAAACGGGTTTGCTTCCACCCACGGGCCCCCTCCGGGTCTCGCTGCACCGCCCGGCCTTGGCACCAGTCGTGGCAACTATAATTTGGCCTCCTCCATGAACACTGGCGGCAATCGACCATACAACACGGCTGGATTCCCTGGCATACCTACCCATGATGCGTGGAACACGCCTTATAACAACAGTGTTGCCACGGGGCCTAATAACGGGCTCAACAGCAACTCATCCTACTTCTCTAGACACATGACGGGGAGGTAAAGGGTTATAGTCCAAGTGGCCTTTTTCTTTGTACGGTTCTCTTTGGTGGCCGAAACGCGGCTGCTTGGGTTGACGTACCTCACATTTAATCGGATCTTGGTTCTGCAGCGGCGATGATTCATTATGTGTCAAGACATGGAAAGAGGAGTTGGTGCACTTCCTTTATTACAGGGAGAGTTCTATACCTGTTGGCGGACGAACAAAGTGAACGTTGACCACCAAAAAAAAGAAAAAGGAGCGGAAGGGGAAGGTGAAAGAGCTGTGTCACAACAAAATGAAGATGAAAGCAAAAAAACAAAACAACAAAGACCAACAACAAAAAAATAAGGCGAAAAGCCACATTCCGGAAGACAAAAAAAATTGGAAAGGTCACACTGAATTTGGAGTTTTATGACAGGCTGATGCCTGGAACTTGGTACTCTTCATGGCATGGAGCACAGGAGGGACGGGACGGGACGCGACGCGACGCAAGGCATGGATTCAAGCTGGACGGGTTGCATGGTGTTGCAATACAGTCGAGATACGGAGCACATGGAGAATACCCAACGAGAGGGCGTACTTTTTTGCATTTGCATCGAGCGCGTCAACGAGGAATGTGTCTGTATTGGTGGAATTCTCGCATCGGGCCTGCAGGTTTTTAGGGTGGGCAAAGATTCATGCATCAACGAAATGTCTGCTATGGACGGCTCAAAATGGGTTGCATTTGGTCTGGTCAGGAGGGTTTTATGGCGCAACACACGGCATGGGCAAGGTATCTTGGACTCGTTTGCGGCTGGAGATGACGAGCTACTGTGATGGCGTTCAGGAAAGGAGAGCAGACACGGGCTTCTCTCTGGTCTTGGGTGCTAATCTCTTTCTCTCTCTCTCTTTTCTCTCTCTCTCCTCTCTCTCTCTCTCTCTCTCTCTCTCTCTCTCTCTCTCTCTCTCTCTCTCTCTCTCTCTCTCTCTCTCTCTCTCTCTCTCTCTCTCTCTCTCTCTCTCTCTCTCTCTCTCTCTCTCTCTCTCTCTCTCTCTCTCTCTCTCTCTCTCTCTCTCTCTCTCTCTCTCTCTCTCTCTCTCTCTCTCTCTCTCTCTCTCTCTCTCTCTCTCTCTCTCTCTCTCTCTCTCTCTCTCTCTCTCTCTCTCTCTCTCTCTCTCTCTCTCTCTCTCTCTCTCTCTCTCTCTCTCTCTCTCTCTCTCTCTCTCTCTCTCTCTCTCTCTCTCTCTCTCTCTCTCTCTCTCTCTCTCTCTCTCTCTCTCTCTCTCTCTCTCTCTCTCTCTCTCTCTCTCTCTCTCTCTCTCTCTCTCTCTCTCTCTCTCTCTCTCTCTCTCTCTCTCTCTCTCTCTCTCTCTCTCTCTCTCTCTCTCTCTCTCTCTCTCTCTCTCTCTCTCTCTCTCTCTCTCTCTCTCTCTCTCTCTCTCGGGTACTCTTACTCTTTGTCGGCTGGAAGACGCATCAAGGGACCGGTCCCTTACTCGTCTCAAGATGCCAGGACATGGCGTTGCATTTGCATTGACTCGTGATTTTGGTTACGCCCGGCTGTAGTTGTTGGGGTCCTTTTTCTTTTCCCTTTGCTTTCTTTCCCTTTACTTGATTCCCCTTTTCGTTTTTTTTTTTTTCAATGGCAAAGTCAGGATGCATCGTCACGTTATGGGATATTAGGTTTTTTTTCAATCAGAGCGGCATTTGGGGACCACATTATGCATCGAGGATTTCGTTTTTGCCATTTTGATTCGAGCTGTTGGCCTCGTTGGTTGTGGAAATGTGTTGGTATGGTGTTGTCATGTTTTTTTGTTCTTGTCTTTTTCCTTGTCCCTCCGTTCCTTTGCCTTCTTTGTTTCCCTGCTCCCTTTTTCCTTTTTTCTTGTCTTAATTTTCAGCTCATTGTGTTGTTGCTGCCGCGATTGTTGGGTGTCACGGCTTAATTTTTTTCCTCCTATAGTTTGATGGCTTTCTATAGAAGTTTATTTTCCGATAACAAGGCATGCGAATGCCAAGTTCTCGTTGACGCCTTTGCAATGCCCAACCACTCCTTGCATTTCGCATGTGCTATGAATCATGCATGTCTTTCTGACAGTGCCATTTGGTGAGATGAGAGCGACCTTGTTGGGCGCCTTGTCCTGCGGGCAAGCAAGTAGACAGAAGACGCCGTCTGGACGCCGAGCATGTCACACGCCCTGGAGCCTTGATTGTCCCATTTCAATCCCACACGTAGCAGCGTGTCTTTTACTCAACGTCAGCTGGCGGGCGACGAACAAGCGGCCGCGACGCCGGGCGGGCGACGGGCTTTCGTGAATCGTGACCGACCGGGCCGCAGGGCAGGCAGAGCAGCTTCGAAAGGGCGGCGCAGGCCGTCCAAGGGCTTGAGCCATGGCGTGAGCTGCCGGTGCCCAAGCCAAGAAGAAGTCGCGGCTAGGTGGCCGCCGCGTCGGGGCTGCTCGACGGTAGAGCGACGATGGCCCACGGCCATGGGGGCGGCGAGGCGAGACCTGCATGTGTTCCCTTTGCTGGATGGAGCCTGGAGGACGGGTCTCGGACCACGGGAGCTTGTTGCAGGCGTCTTGGTCGCCGACGGACGAGACGGCCGCGTCGCCTCTGGCTTGCTTCGTTCTCGTCTGCGGGTGCCGAGCGGTTCGTCACATGGACGACGCTGAGCGGCCTTCGAGGCCAAGTCGCCCGAGCTGGACTGCCTTGCCTTGCCTCGCCTTGCCGGCTGGGTCGTGGTCGTGCCTCTCGAGAGTCGAGAGTCGAGAGTCGAGAGTCGAGAGTCCAGACAAACGCCGGAGCGGCTCTTGGTGGTCCGAGGGACAAACGACCTGGACGTTGCTCAAGACGGATGGGATTGACTGCGCTTCTTTGGAGTCTTCCTCGGCCCGGCTGGTCTCCTGGCACCGCCTCGCCTGGAGGCTGAAAGAGCCGCCTTCGGGCCGGATTCACTGGGGGATGCCGTGATTCCTCCAACAAGAGCCGCCAAAGGGGGACGGTGCAGAGCATCTCGAACCCGGCTCCAATTGTTGACGCGCTCAGCATTCACGTTCAACACGAGTCTTGTGCTTGCGCGACGCCTGAACAGAGTAGGATGAAAGCCGTGTGTCTGTCTAGGCCACGGACAAGCTCCAGACCTGCATGTACGACCGTGTCGGTTCCCCTATTTAAACGTCCGTCTGTACGGATCTGGATGCTCGCGGACAATACCGTCTCCAGATACCCGGGTTGCAAAAAGGCCGACAGGTCCAGAGCTCATCAAGACTCGGAATCACTCGACACGTTACCTGCCCGACTTGGACAATTTGTCCCCGAAAGCCATGGCGCAGCAGGGTTTTCATGGCCCCGGCCTCCCAGCCGCCTATTTCAACGACATGTCGAATCAAGAACTGTACAGTGCCATACCGGCCGCCGGTCTCTAGTTGGTCTCCCCGTATTCTCTGCGACCGCGTCTTCCCCTTCTCCTGCTTGCTCTAACCTGTGGACAGTGTCATACCGGCCGTGGATCCGCAAAACTTGACCGAGGAATTCCACTGCCGAGTACGGTACGCAGATGAACAACTGGCCATGGTGGAGGGAAAATAAAAAAGCAATCCGTGGCGGGGGGCTGACTTGTCTTCGCCTTTAGGGAACGCCAAGCTCGGCCTGCTCAGTTCGTTTCAAACGGGCCTGCCCAGGAAATAGTCCAGGTCATACCGCAATACCCCTTCGAGGCCCAAAGGCTGTTGGACGTCGTCAAAGAGGAAATGCGCTGTTTCAATGCGCTCGAGGAGGACAGGTGTCCCCCCTGGTATCCCAAGTCGCAAGTCGCGCACGTCGTCCACCACCCTGAGGATGTGCCGGACATCACCTCGCCTTGGAAGGGAGAATGCGACGACGGCGCCCGTGTCCTGTCCAAGCAACTGTATTACTGGCGCAGGTTTCGCTCCTGGCAGATAGACCGCCGCGAACGACTGACTCTCTTCGACATCGAACGAGAATCGCGCGCTCACCTACAGAGACACGGCATCCAGATTCCCCGTGACTTTGAGTTGGACGAGCTGCCAAGCCATCAAGACCAGGCAATGGAATGGCTGGAATTTCTCGACTTTGTCGGACGAGAACGCAGTGTGCTCCAGCGTCGACTGAAAGAGTGCCAGAGGCTTCATGAATTCCACTGGCACAAAGTGCGCAATTCGGGCCAGTTGGCTGGTGACACGACGGAAGAAGACGTCGTGGCTCAGAGAGAAGATCGTTTGGCGTGGTTCAGAGCCCGCCGCCACGAGGTAACAACGGCCGCCAATGCAGATCCTGAATGGGCGACCAAACGGGTGAGTGAACTAGACCGTCAATCAAACATACTCGAGGAGTATTACGCCGGCGTCGATATCCTGCATCGGGCAAAACGCTTCCACGGCCAAATGGCCGCCATTTGGGATTGGGCCGTGGCTCACTTGTTCAGACTCGTTCCAAAACGTGGCCAGCAAGTTCAACTTCAAGCAGACATCGGCGACGGAGCAGTCGCCCAGACGGCCTCTGCAGGTTACCGAGAGAACAGTGGCGCTTCCCGCCGTTTTCAACCACCTCTGCCACCGAGCGCTTGTTCTTCTCCTGCTGCGGAAAGCCCAAGTTCTCCAGAAAATCCGGCCCCGACAAGGGGACAAACGTGGTTGGCGATGATGACCCATCCAAGCGACCCAAGAGGAGAGCGAGGAAGCCGTTGCGTCGGATAAAGTTGAAGACAAGAGCTGTACCTTCTGTTTGCGACGCGGTTCTGGAGACCTCACAGTACGGGATGAATAACAAGAGACTTGAAACAAAGCGAGACAAGTTGAAGGTGTTTGCCGTTTTGGCCGTTGTCGATTGTTTAAAACTATCATGCTATTTATTTTTGTTTCTTTCGGTTCGCGATGAATGGACGGTACCAGCAACCTCGTGGGCTATGAATAACAAACATCATGGCCTGGTAGGGCCTGCTGAGAAGGGCTTTGCAATAAAAATGTCGCTGCTCATTGCTAAGCCGACACCGAAGAAGGGGGCGTGGTGGGAAAATGTCAAACGAGCAGAGTTGGAGAGTCGTCTTCTCTTCTGACTTGCAAAGCAAATGATTTATTGTTCAGTTTTGTCTGTACGCAGGGTTAGGAATGACTGTCATAAGATGCACTGATGAAACATCGGGCTTACCGACCATGTCGCAATCAATCGTGCGCCCAACCCATCGTCATCGCCGTCCAGAGGTCTTGAAATACAACTTGCCCATCAGGCCCCTCGCCCAAAGCCTCCATCATCGGCGGCGGATCGAGCGCAGCATCCCAAACGGGGAGATGCAACTCCGTGCTTCTGTCAAGGATTGGACATGTAATTCCCGCTGGGCTCTTGGTCTGTTGCTCTTCGGCCGCCAGCCGGTTCCGATACTTTTCCCGTACGACTCCTATGACAGTTCGACTTGCCGATAGAACATCCGCTTTCGCAGAAACAAGTGCAAGGTCAGACGGTTGTTGCGACATTCGCGCGAGAAAATCATCAAATTTGAGCTGTGACCGTGCCCACTCCGCATCCCAACCAGGGCAGTCTGAGATTCTGAAGGACAATCTAATGCCCAGTATCGTGGCTAGTATGGGGCGAGACCAGTCAACGATCGTAAAGCAGGAGAATGCAGCGTCGTCGAGGCGCCCGAGTTCTTGGTAAAGGGCAGCTGTGCTGTGTACGCATTCATGTAATTTGGCATTTGCGAAGTGAAGAGGCTCCCATTTGTAGGTTTCAGAGGGGAGTGAACGGGGAAACGGAAGCCTGAGGAGTGTGCCGCTTTCTAGGAACGCTTTTATGAAGAGTATCTGCATCTTCAGCGATACTTTGTAAGGCATCAGAATTTGGTTCGTTGGAGAGGTATCAATGATGCAGCCATGACTGACCCGAAAAGCTGAGTGGGAAAGACAGCGACGATTCGATCTCTGCCAACTCAGACTTGAAACCCGCCATCATGATGCGCCTGTCCTCGCTCGCTTGGTCGTGTTTATGATTCATCGTCTTCGAGGCCCGGAACAGAATACTCGACACGCGAGTCTGTGCCGACAAGACGAGATCGCTCTGTGTTTTGCCATGCTGCTCGAGAAGCTCACAACACCTTGCTGTCCATGGGGTGTATGAGATTTCGATGCCCTTGCTGCGTTTCCACGTAACTAGAAACCTGGGTGATGCGTAAGCAGGTGGAAAGACCCCAATACATCATGTACAAACTCACGATGACACTACATAAAAGTAGCCCACATATGCGCGTATTCGGTCGAGTTTCTCGTCTGTGAGGTTGGGGGTCTCTGACTGTATGCAAAGATCTGGCTCTTCTTGATCCAGCTCCAGGTCATGAATCACATCTGCAGCCATTCTCATGTATTGGAAAACCTGTTTGTTTCTGGGCCTAAGGTGAAACGGATACCTGTTGGTGTTAGCAACAACAACAACAACAATAACAACAACAACAACAACAACATTTGATTTTGGACAGCCATACCAAGCACAATATACAAGCAAGCCCTGCAGGAGCTCCAGGCTCCTCTCACCACCGGTAACAAACTTCAATCCCAGCACTTTTCTGAATTCTTCATCATACAAGGTATGGCCCTGTGATGTCCTGGAGACGGAGGCAGATGACAGTATCGACAACAGGACAAACGGCCTCGTCGCAGCCATATGCCTGATGGGGGTGTCGTCCGGCAAGGTGATGAAGGGAAAGTATCTCAACATGGAGCGGAAGGACGTCAGGAGTCACTCGGCAGAAGCCACGTTGAACGATGGCCTCGTATGAAAGTCGTGAATAGAATGGGACTGTGTGGACGAGGACGTCGTCGAGGTCTGGACACTCCGCACAGAGTCCTCAAAGGGAGACGGGTCTCGTTCATGCTCGGGAAAGAGCCTGTCGATCATTATATGGTGCGTGCCACGCAGAGTCTCAAAGTTGTCATCCATCTCTGATTCTGTGGACACGGAGAAGTCGATGCTGAAAGTGCTGGACGGGCCAGGAGGTGCTGCTTGAGGAGTCTCGCTTTTTCAGATTGCAGCATCAGCATGGCCATGAAAACAATGATGACGTTTAGGGGGGGTCCATGGTGATGAGCCTGCCTTGCATGTTTTCTGAGACGACGAGGTCGCGGAATGGTTCGAGAGATGCATTCCCTTTTCGACTCGAAGCATCTAGGCTCATGGTCAGCAGCAGCGTCGATGTGATGCTTCCCGGACACTACTTTTTGCAGACGCCCGGCTGGTCGCTGGGCTGGCACCGGATCTTGGTGGCCCGACAGGCTTCGCATGCAGTCGCCACTCTCCTTCGGACCGGGTTGTCGCCCGCTCCAGCATCCAGGTTCATCATATGCTGTTGATTCTGGGGGCGCCCTCAGAGACGGTCCTGCGGTGTGAATTGTTGGCCGGTGCGGTACTTGTTCCTCTGGCCCGTCTCCATGACATTTATGCGAGTAGGTGATGTTTTGAACGGTGGATTAAGCTGACGATGGATGGGTCGTCGAATCGTGAACAGTGACGCGGGTGAGAACGGAGAAGGCAATATCCGGACCCGGTCGGATATCTTGAACCAAGTCCCAAATGGAGTGAGTGGTAAGTTATTTACTATTGGTCCAAAGCTGTAAGAAAGTGCACCGAGCTACATCGAATAAAATAAAATAAAATAAAATGAAATAGGAGGGCAACTAAACGCATGCATCCAACTTGTAAATAAAAACATTATTTGTATCAATCAAGGTAGACGTTTTGCTTTACTTGTATAAATTTAGGATAGCTCACGTCTCTTGAATTTTATAGTTTAATTTCTACTACTTGTACAGTTATTACCATGTTCAAGGTCTTGAACAGGCACATATGATAGATAGATCTCTCATGGTCTGGGCTGCCCGACCGGGAGGCTGGAAGCAAGTGGCAGCACGCGGCCTGGGCAACCAGTATAGTATCAATCGAACAAGACGACGGGCAGGTTGTCGACCTCGTTCCCTTTTCGGGCCAAGGCCACCATTCTTGAAGCGCGCAAGCTGTCGTGTAGTCTATCATGCGGCCGGGATAATTCGGTAGACAAGCCTAGTCGACCACTTGCCGCCGGCTTCATGTGTCAGACGATCAAGGGCAGTCGTAAACATGACTGACACTGCACAGTATAACGGACCATGTGTCACGCTTGGAGGCTATGGCTATGTGAATAATACAATACTGGCGCCAAACACCAAATTGTGATGCAACTCGCCTCAATCTCAATCCACGCGCGTCATTTTGAGACCCGGATTTCTACTCTGGAGCGTAGAATCCACGAAAACCTGCAATGGGCTGGTCAGCTTCGACCCTTCTTCCTCTGCAGCTTCCGCCCCGTGCTTCCTTCGTCTATGAATTGCAATATTCACGACGGCGCAACGCTCCGAACAGTATACAGTAGCCTTCTTCAAGTCTAGACACCCCGTACAGATGACTGCCCTTGAAATCGCATCCCCCATCTCGACGTCTTCGTCGGTGAGCTGCACACACTTGTCGCCAGCTTCGCAGTCATGCTGGGATTCGACGTGGTCATCCTATGTCGACATTAGTACTCCTGCCGCCGCTAAGTGAGGCAAAACATGAAAGCATAAAAACACAACCCATAAAAATCTGTGCATCACTCACATGACCCTTGAAATAGCATTCCTCTGAGCAGTAAACTGTCAGTCCTTCTTCTCCACCAATCTGGACCAGAGCTTGGCAAAGAGTACATGACAAAACATCAACGGTGTCACATCCGTTCCCGCAAACCAAACAAGGCGGTAGATCGTACAACTCAGAACCAGCGTTTTCAGCCTGGACGCCCCGCAAACTCTTAGTCTGCATCTTGTTCTGCTCAAATGCTCTTTTTGCTCTTCGAAGTTCATCCAAGCGCCGTTGGTGGCTCTCACGCTGCGGCTGTGCGCCTCGGCTCTGTTGAAAATCCAGCACGATCTTGTCGATAATGTCCTCGAGTGTCAGGCCCTCGCTGTTTCTATACTCATCAAGATACTTTTGAGCGTTTGCAAAGACCTCACCGGTCGACTGGTTGATGAAGAACTCGGCAATATACAGCTGCTTCAAGTCAGCAGCGTTGTCCTTGACCGCCCCTGCCTTTTCGGCGAAGTTGTCAACGCCTTCAGGCCAGTCGGGCGGCTTTCCAATACCGTCGAGCATTGTTTTTACCAGCTCTTCTCGGGACCTATCCGGATCATCCAGCATGCTTCGCAGCTCTTCCTGGTTGAATCCACGATCGGACAGGGCGATAAATTCCGGGTATCTCCTCAGGACCCAGCGATACCAAGCCTCTTTTTCGGATTCTACCCTGGCGTCAATAGACTTGAGGCTGCGCCTCCGGTCCTTGGCATCCTGAAATAGGCCATCAAGTTCGTGCAGAAACGCTCTTCTCTGTGCAAACCATTCCCGGTCCTCACTCTCGCCGTATCTAGCGCGCAGCGTGTCCATCAGCTTGCAGTAGCATTTTTGGCATTCCAAGACGTTTTCTTTGCTGCATTTTGCCCTGCACGATGTCTTGATGGCACCCACTGCCTCGGAACAAAGCTTCCTTTGGCGTTTGGCAACGTTGAGCTCTGTCCAGTGCTCAGGCATGGCATGGGCTGACGGAGTACCCATTCTGGCTGATGCAAGCTGATTCTGGGTGCGAGATCCGATTTATGTCGTAATCAGAGAGATACAATCCCGGCCATTCATTTTCTTGGTGCCGAGTGGCTTTGAGATTGAACAGTGATGATGGGACGATTGACGGGGTGGCTGGTGTGAATCCTTGAAATGACACCTCTTCTTGTTGTTGCAGCAGAAGCTACTGTCGAATCAATATCAGAATGAAAGACGTTTGGCGAAAAGCATCTGATTCTGTCATGGTAGTGATTCCCAAACTCGAAGTTCATCCTCTCAATGCTTCTATGTTGCGTTCTGTTTGGTGCCGAGGTTCAAGCGGCGACCGACCCACAACAAACCTTCGAACCTCGTTTGCAGTCTCTACCAAGGCTTCACACGAGTATCCAACGAGACGCTTTTGTGATACTCATCCAACCGGAGCGGCTCATCACAATGGTGCGTTCAAACACGAGATGCCTTAATAACTAGCTAACAGAACACAGGCCGATAAGCTCCGCACGCAACAAGAACTCGAACGCCTACAGGCAAAGTACATCGGAACTGGCCATCCCGATACGACAAGCTGGGAATGGCGAACCAACATTCAGCGCGACACGTATGCTTCCATTGCGGGCCATCGACCATTGTTGTCCTATGTGGCTCTTGCTGAGAATGAGCCGCTGGTAAAGGTTCGCGCAAGAATGATTCGGGTACGAGGCTTCCTTGTAACGCCACGTGAACCTTTGGCGCCGGGCTGACATTGAGTTCACAGAAAATGATCCAACCTGCCGGTCCGCCTCCACCACGCGACGACTAATATCTCGAACCGAAAGGCGCGGGAACGAGAGAAATGCATCCTCTGGAGTTCTTTTTTGTTAGCCATCTTGTGTTATATCGAAAGGCGTTTTTTGGGGCCAAGGCAAACACCCACGAAAAGAATAAACATGGGGTCTATGGATTGTGCTGTGCGATTCTAGAATGTACACCGTCCATTTCGTCAAAGTTACCGGAGACTTGTTCTTCTCCAATGTTCATGGATATCAAACGGCCGCTAAAAGTCGCAGCTAGTCGTCTTCATTTCCATTCCCTCTGCGAGTGCCACTCGTTTCAGCTTCGTTCCCTTGTTCCCTTACCCTTCGCGGCTCCTTGATGCCAAGACTAACCCTGAGCTTCTTCTCCAAATCCTCTGATGACCCGCCGTACAACTCTCGCACCAATCCAAGTACGCCATCTATCCCAATTTCTTCTTTTGCTCTGGGTCCAACGTGCCAAGTGATGGTCTGCTCATCGTCTCGGCCAAGAGGTGGGCGGTCAATCCTCTTGATAACATAGCCGTGTCTTTCCATTTTCTTCAGCGTTGCTTCCGTTTTTTCGCTTGATACATTCTGGTCGGCATTCAAACGAACAAGGTATCGCCTTAGCTTTTGGTCACTGAGTTCGCCACCATTTAGCCAAATGAACGACACGACCAGTGTATAGAACGCGACATATGTTGCTTCATCGTCCGAGGTAGGAGTCCTGGATGGCTTTATGATGGCCGCACTGCGGTATGCTTCTGGCAAAGTTGACGTCAAAATATAGGCGCCAGATCCAACTTTGGCCTGCGAATTCGACTTCATCGCTACGTTAATGGGTTAGCTTCTTCCTCGGAGTGGTTGAGGTGCATGTGCCATCTGTTAGGCGCACCTTGTCTCTTTTCTTGGAGGGACATCTTTTCTCTAACTGGGAGCTCGCGTAGCTCCATGCCCCAAACAAGTCTCAACTGCTTTTGCGCCAGCGCGAATATTCTCTTAAAGGATCGCCCTTGATTGCCAAGAACTAAACCGGTGTCAGAGTGTCTCCTATTTCCTACAGAGGGAGTAGCCCCATTACCTCTCTCCTTAATGCCATCGCGGCGTATGGGCGTGCGTGAATATTCACATGATAACGCATAGCGAACCAGCTTCTTGGCAAGCTGGTCATCAGCATTGCTGCCATCCTGTCCATCGACATCCATTCCATCCCCAGAGTCGTTTGCGCTATCATTACCTGAGTCACGGCGATTCGCTCGCTGTCTAGGCGGCAGGCCATATTCTATATCCTCATCGTCCACCTGGCACAATAAATTATTAGCCACGCAGCTACGCACTGGGATCGTGGGGTCGTACCTGTTGTCTTCTCCTTTGTCTTGGGGGCATCCTGCCTTTCAGAGAGTAAAAAAATAATTTTTTTCACTAATTATATGGTATATGCAAGTGCTTCGAGGATGACTATAACCCGAAATCGAAGCGCATGCCGTGGAGTTGATCTTTCATGCGTCTGGCAACCAAGGGACGCGACGCAAGTTGCCCACTTACCGCGTCGACGGTGGAGAGTAGTACTCTTAAGTTCCTACCTATGTAACTTAGTATGTACTCCATACACTTATGTAAGTTACCCACTAGACCGCTCTGTAGGATACCTTATCGATAAGCATCGACATCGCAAATTTCCTGGAGCTCCCGCCAGCGGAATTGGACCTCAACACCATGCCTCCTTGAGCAAATCAGCTTTTCTTCTCCCCTGAAGCCGCTGTGTCGTCCATTCTTTGAGTTCCTCATGCTCTCGAGGGTGGCACGACTGCAGCGCATATGCTGGGTATGCCGTCTGTGTATCCCTCGCCAGGCTGCTGCCGTGCCAATTCGTTGTCCGCCAAGCCCTACAAACGGACGACAGGTACGATGTGTTTCCGATTTCTCGCCGCAGAGTAAAGAGAGAATAGAAGCACTTATATCAGGGGCGCTTGATGATTTTGAATCAAAACCTAGTGGCAGCCGTGCTGGAAAACGCCGACCCGGTCGAAGAAAGAAGAGCCAGAAGCGCGGCGATGTCCATGACAAATCTACTCCGTGGGCGCTCGAACCAGAGAAAGACTGCAGATTGTCTGAGAACTGTGATGTAAATGCGACTGAAGGAGCTAGCACTACTCCGGGAGATGCATCGACCAGCGACGGACCGCCGACAGCGCCCCTGCCGAAGTCAACATGTAAAGGCCAGCCTTGTCCAGGGACAGAAGAATTTTCCGATGAATTCTTGTATCGCAAGAGCTTGGGAGTCGACGCCTTGGGCAAACCTGCCGATGCAATCATCATCAAGAACCCCAATAAAATTCGGGACCCAAAGAAGGTCACATCTGAGGCTGTGAAAGAAGCTCAGCATGTTAATGTGACCGGGGCCAGCTTCACTTGGCGGGATGTAATATCCCAAAAGCAAGACGAGGTCGATGAATCAGGCTTCTCGAAAGAAATCTGGGAAAATATCGAGGAGATGCGTCCCAAAGACAGGACCATCATCACAAGGAAAGATTTTGACAACTTGGTTGAATACCTGGTTGATGGATTTACTGCAGGACAGCTCATGACCTACTTGAGCCGTGCGAGCTCGTACAAGACTTTGAGAAGTACTAATGAGCCCCCGTATCCTTGGCTAACTCAGCAGAGTGCATGGGCTGCTACCGAGCCCTTGGATCGGCGCTCCTACAAGCCGAAGGAGCGGCAGGCTGTGGCGATTCTGACGGCCGTGTGGAAGCTGGAAATCCAGGAGCACATTGAGGGCTTCGGAAGAACTGTCGTCTGGCTCAGGCCAGATATTTTCAGTCTGGTTGCCAGTAAGATCGACTACGCGTCTACTCAACTACTTGGGCTAACATGTTCCCATAGGTCCCCAAAGCGGCATCATTGGGCGGCTCAGTGCTGACTTTCTGGATGAGTCAAACAAGGAAATAATAACGTCGAGCCTGGAAGACTATAGGCTAAGCATTTACACTCGCAAGCCCACTGTTGCCACGATTTTGGCGCGCCTTGACGAGATTGTGCGGACCATTAAGTCTCAAACGATTTCTGTCGATCAAGTAAAACAAGACAACCTAGAGACATCAGTCCTAGTGGAGCTGGAGAAAATAACAAAGACTGCTTTGAAGTACAATGCAGCATCTTCCGTACGTCGGCATTGATAATGCATCTACCTTTCGGCAAACTCTTGGCTGATTATTATGCAGACGCTCCTTGTATCATGGCTCCCCGAAACGGATGTCTCCAATGGAAAGACCGAAAGCCCAGCTGATATAGTTTCGAGGCTACTCATTGGCCGAGAAACCTCGCCACAACACGCAGATGCTCGGGTTCTTCCCAGAGTCAAATCAAAAAAGAGCGTGTTCCTAACCCATCAGCGGGATAAACGAAGCATGGCTTGGAGAGACAGGCTCCGGCACTGGTATCGTTTTGTTTCTCATATCGGTAAACCGACCGAGGCGGCTACAGAGGGCCTGGGCTTTCGCACCAAGATCGAACTGAAGCAGCCCAACGCACAGTCTGCTCAAGAATCTAATGAAGTCACGGCAGTGTTTGGTCATATACTGCATACCGAACAACACATCTCCCAACTCAAGCTAGCCAAATCTCGCCGGGTCCTCAGCCCGGTTATTCCGCATCCCGCCGCTCTTACTCTAGTCACAGCCGACACACCATCTCCGAGCACCCGAAAGACAGCCATCGTTCTCAACTTTGCACCCGAAAGTCCACCAAAAACTTCCCTGCCAGGCTCTACTCCTCTTATTCGTCTGCGGATACCAATCACCCCGTTCACTGATCTATCCAACTTTTCGTTCCCTGACGCATCAGTTCTCGAGGCAGTCATGCCGTGGCAAGAAAGCGACGTCATGCTCCCAGACAGCAGCGTAGATGTCCGCCTGACCCAAAAGCGGCTGATCCCTCTTGATGCCAAACAGCTTTCCCTCCAGGCGTTTCTGCAAGATTCCGATTTCAACCTCCTTCAAGGACGCCTCAGAACACCCAGTAGGATCAGCTTCGCCATGCCAAGTTTCATATCTACCAACCAGGACACCTCGTCGACCGACTTCGTCGCAACACCACACATATTCATGGGCCTTGAGATCCATCAAACCATCGAAGTGGAATGGAAATCCCACACCCTCCGCTACAGCAGCATCGAAGCCGGCCAGCATGGCGGCCAGCAGCAAATACTTTCACTAGTTGCTGGCCCACTGAGCAACCAAGGCCGCACAACTACCGAAGAGCAACTATGCAGTTTCTTGACGCTGGTCGAGGAGACTGCCCGCGGGGCACACTTTTCATGGGATGAAGGCTACAAACTGATGAGCCAGCGGGCCGCCGAGCAATTTAGTTGGGACATGATGGACACGGATTATGCCCAGCAAGATTCCACCATCGCAGAGGAAACAGACCAGCAACCCGGACTAGAACACGGCCGCGACGGGCAGGAGGCACGGTTGCATGACTGACATCAGCAAGCTCTCGATACCGTCAGCATGGAGAAGGGAGTGCACAAGGAGGATGCTCAGACCGTCCCGTCGTGGGATGAGACGCACCTGGAGAGGATTTCCGCGGTGTGAATGTGGGGGTTACTCATACTTGTACAACAGCATAAGCGACACGATGATAGATGTATATGTATATTTTCTAATCGAACGGCATGATAGGAGCTAGAAGAAATACGTCCCAGCCAGAGTGGCAGACGAACGTTCTTACGCCCTGGTTTCAAAGTGCCTACCCCCATTGGGTCTTGTGGGTTCGTTCTTCTGACAAGCTTCACGATCCCCGTTGGGGGCGGAGAACGAACAGCCGTCGTCAAGGCTTGAATTCCCTGCATGCCTCGAACTAGAAGCATCATATGACATGCGTTTACGTGTCAAAACACATCCATAAATGATAATCACACAGCGTTGAGTCAACAGGAAGATTTGTTATTTTTTGACCAATTTTTTTTGAATCACTTCTAGACTCTATTTTTCGTGTTTCACTTCCTAAGCACATCATGAAACCAATCAAACCTTGTTTTTCATTACATGTGCCACCTACACAAATAGCCGAATGCTCAACCATAGCAAAGTAGATCGTTTCGTCGTAGAAGTGAGACCATTACGTCCTGGTATCCAGCCCGACGTGCACCACAAGATTCCGACGGCTTTGATCGTTTATTTCTTGCCAGCCTTGGCAGCAGACTTGGTGACCTTACCGGCACCAGCCTCGGATTTCTTGACGCTCTTGATGACACCGACGGCGACGGTCTGACGCATGTCACGGACGGCAAAACGTCCCAAGGGAGGGAACTCGGTGAAAGCCTCAACGCACATGGGCTTGGAGGGCACCATCGTGACGATGGCGGCGTCACCGGACTTGATGAACTTGGGGTTGGTCTCAACAGCCTTGCCGGTACGTCGGTCAATCTTTTCCAGGATCTCAGAGAACTTGCAGGCAATGTGGGCGGTGTGGCAATCGAGGACGGGAGCATAACCAGCACCGACCTGACCGGGGTGGTTGAGAACAATGACCTGGGCATCGAAAGAAGCAGCACCACTGGGGGGGTTGTTCTTGGAGTCACCGGCGACGTTGCCACGACGGATTTCCTTGACGGAAACGTTCTTTACGTTGAAACCAACGTTGTCACCGGGGACACCCTCAGAAAGCTGCTCATGGTGCATTTCCACGGACTTGACTTCAGTGGTGACGTTGCAGGGAGCGAAGGTAACGACCATACCGGGCTTGATAATACCAGTCTCGATACGGCCGACAGGGACAGTTCCAATACCGCCGATCTTGTACACATCCTGGAGGGGAAGACGGAGGGGCTTGTCGGTGGGGCGCTTGGGAGGCTCAATGGCGTCAATGGCCTCGAGAAGGGTCTTGCCGGTGGACTTGCCAGCCTTGGTCTCCTTCTCCCAGCCCTTGTACCAGGGGCAGTTGGAGGAGGCCTGAAGCATGTTGTCGCCGTGGAAACCGGAGATGGGGACGAAGGCAACGGTCTTGGGGTTGTAGCCGACCTTCTTGATGAAGTTGGAAGTCTCCTTGATAATTTCCTGATAACGAGCCTCGGACCACTTGGTGGTGTCCATCTTGTTGATGGCGACGATGAGCTGCTTGACACCCAGGGTGTAGGCCAGGAGGGCGTGCTCACGGGTCTGGCCATCCTTGGAGATACCAGCCTCGAACTCACCAGTACCGGCAGCGATAATGAGAATAGCGCAGTCAGCCTGGGAAGTACCAGTGATCATGTTCTTGATGAAATCACGGTGGCCGGGAGCGTCTGTTGTTCAGAGTGTGATGAGTATTCGTCAACCAGGATTGGTTTGCGCGACGGTTGACATACCAATGACGGTGACATAGTACTTGGGAGTCTCGAACTTCCAGAGGGCAATATCGATGGTGATACCACGCTCACGCTCGGCCTTGAGCTTGTCAAGAACCCACGCATACTTGAAAGAGCCCTTGCCGAGTTCAGCGGCTTCCTGTACAGCGACTCAAATTAGTTTTGCGTTGTCCCTTTTATTTTTCTCACAAAGAAGAATGGCATCAAGAGTAATTTGGTGGTTTCCACAGCCATGCACAGCATAACAGGCTATCCTCGGCAACAGGCGGGGTATGAGTTGCCCCACCGAAGCCGCTGACATGGCTGCGCGAAATTTTTTGTGTCACAGTGAGGGGCAACAGCCGACAAGCGGCGAGAAAGCCCGTCCGACTCTCTCTCGCAAACAAGGGGCGTCATCAAACAAGAGAATCTTGGCTTACCTTCTCGAACTTCTCAATGGTTCGCTTGTCGATACCACCGCACTGGTAGATCAAGTGACCAGTGGTGGTAGACTTGCCGGAGTCGACGTGGCTGTGAGGACCAGTCAGTATCACGCCAATTCGAATGCGGCGGAAGCGTAGAGACCAAAATCATACCCCTACAACGAGCAAGTCAGCAAGAAATGTTACCGAGAGATGAAGAGTAGAGCAAGGCTGCTTACGATAACGACCACGTTGATGTGAGTCTTGTCTTCCTTACCCATTTTGGAGGTATCAAGGTTGTGAAGTTTGTAGTATGGTGTCCTGACGGAAAATATCTGTCGACAGAGTCAGCAACCGACGTCTTCCATCCATTAACAGCAATGTTATTGATGAAGAAGATGATTGTTGATGAGGGTCAACTTACAAATTCGCAGATCGGATGCTTGAACCGGGTATGCGAGACGAGGAGCGAAAGAGAGAAAAATTCGCAAAGTGGTGGTGGGAGGAGGAGATTTAAAAAGGTGAGTGGAGGAGGGGTGGGTTGACTGATGCTGGCCACCAGGCGCCTCTCTGGCCAGCCAGCCCTAACAGGCCAGAAGTTTTTTTTTTTTTTCCTGGGCTGCACCAAGCGCAGGCGCAGATTTTTTCCACCCTCTTAGCGTCATGTTGTGCGTGCCGTAAGCCAATCAGAGGCCTTGCCTTGGCTCGTTGCCTCGTCATGTCCAGATGTACCCAGGAGTCCCGAGCTACGAGTTTATCAGCCACGACGTTGCCTTTGGCCATGGAATGGCAGGGCAAATGGCAGTTGCGTTTGGCATCAAGGCAGCCTTTCGAGGAGGGCAAAATCGTAATACGCAAAGATGAGGGAGGCTACGGGAGAGCTTTTGTGTGAATTCGAATATTAAGATGTGTGGTATCACGGGGCACAGCACTTGTCAGACCCATGTTTCTGACGCTAGCCTGCGACAGTTTTAACTTTTGATCCAGCGTGGCAGTCTAAATGCATAGTGGCTAAAGTTGAGTGCATCTCTGAAATAGCGCTGACCTGCTCTCGATGCTCCAGGTCTCACATAAGTCAAAAGTCGCCGTTGGCAAGGACGGCATCGTCGCTCGGCGCACTCAAACACGGTGCCGCCTCTCCGTGGGCACCAAAAGCCTCGCACCGTATGACCAGAGAAGGTACATGGCAGCTGCTAGCAGGTACAGAGTGGAGACCTGCCTGGGATGAGGAGGAGAAAAATCCACAGGGACCCCGGTTTTTCCTGCGAAGCAGAACCACTCACTCTCACTGGCCAGCGCTCTGTCTGCCCAACCCCTCCTCTAATAGCGCCAGGCCCAAACCAAAAAAGAAACATAAATGATAATGATGATAAATAACGGGGGAAAATAACTAGAACCTCCAGCAAGCTTTGTACCAAGTCGTCGGCCGCCCGGGCCTTGGCCACGTCTGGCCGAGCCGCACTCGTCGTGGTGTGAGTCGGGGCAAGCGGGCTGCGTTAATCTCACGGTGATCAGGTTATGGGCTGTCTAGTACATGAAAAGAAAAGACGAAGGGGAACAAAGGTAAAGAAAAAATTGACTGTAATAGATAAATTCACACCAGTTCGTGATAACCTTGCAATCCTCTCCCAAAAAGACAAGTAAACCCCGCCACTCGAGCCCGCATCCAAATGCTGGCTGCCCTGCCCCTCCTAACGTCATGCATGCCCCACCGTTGGGCGTCGCCATCCCGCTGCCCTCTGGCTATGTTATAACTAGCAGCCAAAAATTTACAACATGACTCCAGGGGCTCGTGAGCCGTGAGACCTGGCGCGCTGCGCAAACCGAGGTGAGGGCGTTCCCAGCCGCGGCGGAGTCGTTGCCAAGACTGCCAACATTGAAAGGGGAGATCGAGACTGAATTCTCGGGCTTCGATCTGGGACGGCGTATGGAGTACGGAGTACCGCAGGCCATAACTGCGCCAAGCTTGGCATGCCGCCCCCAAGCCGCATCTCACGCTGAACTTCAGCCTGCTGATTGCGGATCGCCTTGGCAGCTTCGCGATGCCGTTGCTAGCATTTCATCGGAATTCTAGTATCGACTGTCGGGGGACAGACAAGGGTCCTGGTGCAAATCCGGGCGCGGGCCGTCTTTTTGCAACCACGGGATAAGTGAACAATTCAGCCCTCTTTCTAATATGTATTCACAACTGTACTGTCCCAGGCCTTTTGCTCGTCCTATTCTTAATATAAGTGCTCAAGCCTCGTGGCCTATGAGGTTTCGAACCTGTGCTCACAGCCCATTATATCCAAGGTCGCTCTTGCCTACAAGCAAAATTTAATCTGTCGTCTCCAGAGTCCATTGTCATCATCGCAAGCTCGCCTCCCCTTCCGTGTACTTCACTTCCATCGTCCACCCGCGCTGTGTCATCACAAGTGATCCTTGCCGTTGGCCTTTCCACTGATGCTGGCTGCATTGATCCTCTGGGTGTCTTGAGGCTCAGCAGCACTGCGGCTGATACCAAGGCAATGCCGGTGGCTCCCAAGTTGTATGCATATTCTCGACCTGCCCACCAGTACACGCTGGTAAACAGGACCGGCCCAAGACCACGACCCATCTGTCCCCAGCTTCTCAGAATGCCCAGCTTTCCCCCGCGTTCGTCTTCACTGGCCTCGAAGCTGCTCAGCGCGTTTAATCCAGTCACCACCGTCGCCGAGGTTACTGCAAGACAGGTCGCCGCAGCATACAGGCCACCGATGCCACTGACTCTTCCCAGAAGGAAAAAGGCAGCCAAACATGCAATGACGCCGATCCGTACGGAGAGCAACGGCGGGAGCCGTCGCGTCACTCCGCCTTGGAAAATGGACGCAACAAGGCCTATGTATCCCAGTAGCCTCCCATTCTTACCAGAAGTGAACTGAAACAAATCATATGTCATAAATGACAGCGAGCTTTCCATCCCGGAGAAAAAGAGAAGAAAGAAGAAATGGACTGCATTGAGCACAAAATGCGAGTTCGCTCTCTCATATGGCTTAGCCTTAGGTTTTTCTTCTTCCCCCTTGTCAGATTTGACCACGTTGACTGCAAGAGCTGGTAAAGTTTCCGGTAAAAAAAAATATAGATATGTCGTTTCTGTTACGATGAGCGCCAGGCTGAAAGAGGCAGCGGTTGCAAATGGGTTTGCAGCGACGAGAGATTTCGTACTCAGCCAAGCGCCCAATCCAGGTCCAAATGTAAACGCAATGGAGAAGCAAGCCCCAATCACTGCCATGGTGGAGCCTCTGGACGATTCATCCGAGATGTCACTTGCCATGGCAGTTGCTAACTGAACGTTTCCCTCAGAGAGACCTCCAACAATGCGGCTCGCGACAAAGGTGCGGAAGTCAATAGCCGCAACCCAAAGGAGAACTGAGAGCATGTTACCACACATGGATGTCAATAGGGCAGTGCGTCGGCCGTATCGGTCAGAGAGCCTGCCGATCAGGGGGGAAGCAATCGCTTGCAATAATCTGCGCGTGGTGATTAGCGCGGCCATGACAGAGCGGTGCCACGGGGAGAGAGTGATGTTGAATCCGACGTACGAGAACAGCGAGCCCATAGCTCCACCAAGAAGAACAATATCGTATCGAGAGTCGATTGGCCGTGCAAACGAGGCTTTGTATTTGTTGAGGCCCCCAAGGACTTGTTGCAGCAAGGTTGGCGACCCACCTGCCATCAGCGACGGTGCTTCCCGATCTCGATAGAACTCTAGCAGCTTGGGAAAGAGTGGAAGAATGAATGTGAAGGAGATCTAGAATCGAGGAGAAGGACAGCGTTAGAAGTCAACCGTACGCTTCCTAGCTCACGGAGACGAAGAATAATACCAGATCCAACAACAGTGATACCACAGTCACCCTCAAGACCCTCTTCCGGGTCATCGGATCCACAGCTGCCATGGCAATTTCGATGCGCCGGATCGTGCCTGGAGCGTCGTGACGGTCGAGAGAAAAGTCGCGTCGGCCAACAAAGCTAGACAATAAGCATCGAGTGGGAATGATGAAGCTTCGCCGAGCCCAAGGAAGCGTGATGGACAAATTTGAAAGACGACGGGCCGCGAAGAATGCCCGACACGCAGGGAAACTCGAGGAGGTCAGTTCTCAGATGGACCCGCACAGATGCGAGTCTGGACGGTCAGTGGGCCTCCCTCCCCCTGTGCCGCGCCAGATCCCGCGGCAGAGGCCAATCTGGTTGTCCGTGATGACCTGTGACATTGCGGAGATTTGGGGACATGGGGAAATGCACCACGAAATCCAGGACGGCTCCACCGGAAACCGAGTCGTTTCGTCGTCGGGACGTGCATTGAATAGCACATGAAGGCATCTCATCTCAGAACCCCATGGGGCTCTCTCTTTTCGGAGACCAGCTCACAGTCAGTGCAGCAGCATACAATCGTCTTCGAGATGCACCACCAGGACCGCGTTTTTGGGTCCGTCTCCTACGTTGGGGCCGCTGGGCCTGTATTCAAGAGGAGCATGCAGTCAGTCCCCGGGGGAAGGCTCGAAATCTTTGGCCCATTGCCTCCTCACAACTCGCCATCGGGTACGACAGACAATTCCAACGGATGCGCTTTGAGCTATGCGCGAGCCGTGGCTGCCAACGCAATCATGTCCAAGGTACGGTGTAACACAGCCGATGTCGTTCAGATGCAAGGCTTCGTACGGAGTAAACAGAGCCGAGAACGACTCGTGTAACGTGACGGAGTTTGAAATAAGACATTGCGAGAGAGAAGCGGCTCGGTCCGTCCTGCCGGTCCAGCAACGTTCAATACCGGTTTGCCTGGGTGCCCATTTCGACTTGCCTATGGACGATTGCGCATGTATCCGAAGCAAAGCGGTGCAAAAGCCAACAACATGTCTCGACGTAATGTCTCATCGGAAAGCTCGTTGGTGAATCCAGGCTCGGCAGAGCGGCAGGTGACGAGGCAGAATGTGACACGCCCTTCTGCATCTTGTTTCCCGGGGGCTCGGGTTGTTTACACACAGGTTAATTCGGTCCCCCTACATTCTACAGTTGTCGTTAATGTCATTAATTACATGGGAACTCGTGGCCACGCCACCGTTTAGCCATGACGGTACGGACAAGGCCTTACTGGATTACGCATCAATGCACTCCCTACCACGGCAGCAGCCTGTGACATACCATCACGGGCTTACATTTCCTCTCAAACATTCACCCGAGGGTGAATCAACTCTGGCCAGATCCATGACAAATCGTATACCTTGAGACCCCTAGAGTCTTGTTAGCCGACGCCGCACGACATCTCGCCGTCTCGCACCTACCTTGTAAGGGATGGGGATAAAGTAGTCTGACGCCATTTGACAATCTCGGGGGGTCGTTTCGAAAATTCTCAAGACTCCAGTATCTCCAGGACGAACATCACCATCTCCTCCCCACCTTCGAAACAGTTTGGCCAGTACCAGGTACATTTCTGCCAGCGCTAAGGCTTTGCCCAAGCAACTCCGCGTTCCACCGCCAAACACTGTCAGATATTTGTCAAGTCGATCCCCGTCGTTGAGCCAGCGCTCCGGGTGGAACCCTGACGGATCCGGGAATATACTCTCGTCCATGACGGTCATATACGGGCTCATACTGACCACCGTCCCTGCGGGTATGCGCCACTCTCTCCTCCTTTCGTGATCGTGTATAAGGAATTCTTCATTCACCGCAATCCGGGAAAGCCGTCCACTGGTACCAATGCTGTAGCGCAACGTCTCTCTAACGACGGCTCGCAAATACGGCAAACTTTCCAGCTTCGCCAGCGGCGTAACTTCATCGGCGTCGGGGATGGCGTCAAATAACTCGTCCCGAAGCTTGCGAAGAATGGGCGCTTGATTGACAAGATGGAATGTTGCCAGTGACAGAGCCCAGGACGAGGTTAGAGTGCCGCCCTGGACCAGAATCTGCCCTTCCTGCGCCAGTCTGGCCGGCAACTTTTCACGGTCTGGAAGGAGCTTTGAAGAGAGCAAATCGTGTAGAATAGTTGGATGGCTCACGTCCAGCTTCCATTGGCCAGTGTTCTCCGTCGCCGTGATTTTTTCTATCTGCTCGAGGATGCTATTCTTCATCTTCAAAAATCCCGACCAGCCTGGAATGAAACTTGAGCATCAAGTCGGCCTTTTACACGAGTGCATCCTGAATATTCATACCTGGAATCCACCGCCCCGAAACAGACTCGGGCATGCTATTGATCAGGGCGAGGGCCCAGCTTGCATGCTTGATGAAGGGTCCCATATGAGTTCCCATCAATAAGCTGTTGGTCACCTCGCGGCCAAAGTCTGAGCGTTCAACTAATATGGTTTTGTCAACGATGATTGGAGAAGCATTTGGACAAGGCGAAACGGACTTAGGTGGTCGCATCGAGCAAAGGCGTATTCATTGATGACATCTTTGCGCATTCCAAGTTAACATCTCCGCCGGCGGGCAGTGGCAGCTCACCGTTCCCAGAACACTCACCGTTCGTAAAAGCTGAGAAGGGATACATGATGTTGATGGGCGTGCCAGATTGAGTAGCAGCCAATTTATGAAAGGCTTGAAGGAGCGCGTCAACTCGTTCCTCGAGAACCGGTTGGAGATTTCGGACACTCTGGGTAGAGAAGAACGGATTGAGGACCGACCGGCGCAGCCTGTGGTGGTCATGGTCGATGGTTGAGAGGGCACTATCTGTCAGGGGAAATCAGCCGTCTCGATCAGGGCCGCGAAGTTTCTGCAACTGGATGAACGGTCTTACCTGGGGCGCCAAACTACAAGGACCGGGTTAATTGTTGACATTGCTTCCAAAACTGGCCAGGGACGCTACTCGCCTGTTTCGTCCAAAACTTCCACTTCTGTCGAGGTCTGGTCGGCCCTCCGAACAAATGAGTGTGGAAGTCGTGCTCCTTGGTGTGCACCTCCCAGGGGTTGATACGGACGACGGAGCCGTACGTTTGATGCAATTCCATAATCTTGAACGTGTACTGGCCGCCGAGAACGATGTCGTAGTAGAACTCATAGTACTGCGTCAGGGCCGCGAGCTTGGGCCCAGGGATATGGGCAATAGGACTGAGCCAAAGCCTCTGGACAGCAAGAACGGTGGCATATCCAAGCCAAATGACGAAGACGACGGCCAACGTCTGGCCCCAAGTGAGGGCTAACCAGGAGGTGAAGACGGCCATATTCAGACAGACACGGATCCGCGGATGACCACAACCGAGGCGGAAAATAGAATCGTACTAGACCGCGAATGCGCCAGCGTTATATATCCCAGTCTCGGCTGGATTTTCTATATCAACTGCCGACAAGATTAGGGTGGGGAACCGAAGCACCATCCCGTTCGATATGACAAGTCATTCGAGGAGTTGCGAGTAGGGCTGGAACAGAAGCGCCACGTTGAAATACTAGTTCCGCCACGTTGAAATACCTGTTTGCGAGACCAAGCCACCCTCATTGTTTAGCTCTTGTCGACTTCTTCTCACCACATTCCGACGGCCGCCAAACGGATCCAGTCGTTATCCTTGTCATGGTACCATTGTGGAGCGTCTTCTTGAGCCTTTGAGAGGCGGTGACCCCGTCTGGTCAACTGGGGCGACGATGCGATTTGCCCTCGATACGAGAACGACGAAAGGCGAGGGCCCCAACGGCCGACAAGGAAAGCGAGCGTGTGTTTCTTTATCGAGAGCAGCCCGGCAAGCTCAGCAAGCTCAGCAATCGTAGTCGCAGAACGAACGGCCCAAATGACAGAGCGGCCCGGCGCAAGCAAGCAAGCCAACAAAACCACCTCGGGGGACGACGACACGGCGGCTCACGCGAATTGAGTGGTGATGATGGGAAGCGCCAAAAAGCACAAGATGGAACTGGGCATAGTTACAACTCATACGCCCAGCCCAGCCCATGCCCTGCCCATATGCCGAGATGAGCTGCATGACCCGTCGATCGATTACAGCCGAGCACGGTTGTCGTCCCTCCCCGGCCCTGGCAAATCAGAAGGCTCAGAACGAAGATAAAAATAAAAGATGCCAGATGTCAGAACGCAGCAGCTTGGACCCGTGAACGACCCAGTACGTAGCACAAGAACAGCTGGAGTTCCTGGGTGCATATCCGACAGCCCTGGGCAACAAACTGCAAGGGGACCGACGACTCTTGCCATTGAGGAACCAATTGGAACCAGCGGCGTTCCGGAGTTCCCTGCCCTTGTCATTGTTCCAGATAGCATATAGGATGGTAACACTGCTTGAGCCCTAGGCCTTCACAGACATCATTGCCACCTAACGTCACGCCTTGGTTTTCTTCGATGAGGAAATTTCATCACTTGTCACCGTCCTCCTACAAGCCTACGGGTACGAGAAGACATGAAAACGGCACACGGCGCCCTCTTGAAAGTTGGAAGATCGGCACCGAGCAGCGTCGCACCACAGTTGAATGCTGCCTTCGGTCAGAGCGGAGCATCCATTGGGCAGCGATGCTACAATCTCCCACGCTCTTGGTTTTCTTCTTCCCCTTTTCTTTTCCTTTCCTTTCCACATGCCTATTCATTAGTGTCCGTGGCGAGCGGTGAGGCCGGCCGCGAGTCACAAACCGTCGTTGGAACCCGGAGCGTATGCCGAGGCTAGCTCGACGCCTTGCGAGGAGAACAGGAGAGAGGCCTCGTACCGGCGGCTGACTTGCCCAGTGAAATAGAACAGACGAATATGATTCCATCAATGATGGCCCAGGTAGCAATTTCTAGCCCGCCATGCCGTGAACGATTCCGCGTGCGGCAAACGCAAGAGCTCACTGTCTGTCTGCCCTGGCATCGTCATCCTCCGCCACATACCAACGGCAGAACGGCGAACATCCAGTACAGTCCGACGACGCTCCCGCATGAACATCACCAATGTCGGGACCAAGCCAGCCCGTGAGTCCAAAGCTAACCATTCCTAGAAACCTTCTCCGTATCACACGCCGTCACACAACATGCGGGCTTATCCCCAGCTCTCCAGCTGCTTCATCCATCTAGACTCCGTGGCCTTCCCGCCAAACCATCAAGTCGATCGTTTCTTGTCGCCCGGGTTCCACCCCATTCCCATCCAAACAGCTAGGAGGATTTTTTTTTTAAAAAAAAAAAGGCCGACTCATGTAACCATACCTAATGTCGAGTAACAGTGGCATCAACTGGTGGGAGACGGAGTTACTACAAAGGACCCAATAGGTTACGGCAAAGAAACAATCAATAGGTGCAACGGCTTCGGGGCCGCGTGGATCGGAGGAATTCCATCAAAGGCGAGCATCGTGTGGCTTTTACGCTCGGAGAGGACGCGTCGTGTCGCGGCAGGGTACGTGTGGTCGATCGGTGAGAGGGACTCGATGGTGGTGGCTTTTGTGCAAGGCGCCATTGGTGGTCACGGGAGATGAGGGAATGTGGGACAAGAAAGAGAATAGAAATTCCATCCTAGGTCCAAAGAAAAAATAGCCAACGTCCCGGAGGGCGGTGAGGTCCAGTATTACCACCAAGGTGGATGTGTGCGTGGATGGGGATGTGAGAGAAGTGCTTGACTTCATGGGACTCTTGGAAAACGAATGGACGGGCTATCCCCCGAAACAGGGCTAGGGCTACATGTCCAGGCCAGATTCCCGAGCACCAATCCCATCTCCAAACCTCGAATTCTTGCCGAGGCCGTCGAATAGAAAAGTCGCTGCAGCCGGGGCTGACCCAGGGCTCGCGATGGCCACGCTGGACGCACCGGCAGGACCCTCGTCTTCAGAGCCAAAACCCCAACCCAACTCCTGCCCATACGCAGGGCTTTGTCCAAAAGGGCGTGCTCACATGTCCCGACCCGGTCGAATACCGTCGTCCCACTTCACATCCGGTGCCGCCGCCGTGTCCCCACAAGTACCCGCGATGCAGATATTTCTCCAATATGCTCTGCCGGTTTTCCGTCTTGCCATTGACCGGTCAAGCTCGAATCTGTGCCCTGCCGAGACGGGCAGACGAAATCGTATCCCTCGGCGAATACGTCTGCGCGGCGTTTTCGTTGCGATATCCCTCCTCCGAGCGCGTCTGGTCCCCCAAGAAAGAGCGAGAGAAACCGTGTCACGTCCAATCGAAAGGTCCGGCTCGTTCCAGAATCATTATTAATTCACCATTGCTGGCTGCTATGTATTTTGCGTCCCGAGACGAATATCATGTGTATGATCCAAAATCTATGTCTCTTTTTTGTTCCCCAAACTTTTATGAGCGTCGGCTCCCTTTTTTTGTTTTCCGATTCCGTCCGAAATCCCAGTCTATTTTTGTTTATTTTTCGGTCCGTTCCCCAAGTACGCCCGCAAGCATTAAATAAACGCGAGGAAATGATCTCTTAAAGGAAAAGAAGAAAAATCAAAATGAAAAGTGGCGGCCACATCAACAGCATGGCCAACTAGGACGAGTGCGGTCGTCGAACGGTCCAGTCGCGAGCCTGTCTCGACTTGATTAGCCCATTTCATGACACAAACTGAGACAAGGGCGTGCCTAACTGGCCATATATTCCGCCTGGCACGTCGCCTCCAAGATTGCCAGGCGACAGCGTCATACTAATTAGGTTGTTCGACCTTTGGGGGGTTTCGGGGCACTCGGCTTCACGATGCCAGTTGTGTCGTATGGGCCGCGAGGCATTTTGATTGCGTTGGGCTCAAGAAGGTGTATTAGGCAGTCGGGAGAGATAGGGCTGAGGAGCTTGAAGGATGTCGAATTATTGACCTCGTCAAGAGAGGCTGACACCTGGTTTTTGTACACGAGAGTCGTCAGGCCTTTTCCCTTTTTTTTAAAAAAAAAATAATAATAATGGAGCAAGAAAAAAAGACAGGAGAAAAAGTTGGGGGACTAGTCGAAAGATTCAGTGAGCGATAGCAGATTTGCCTTTTGGGAAAAATGGGATCTTTGTTTGTGTTGGTGAAGTGAGACGGAGGTGAGGGAGAACAACATTGGAGGATATGTTTGAGATTATAAACACTGGCCCGATTGTGTGCCGGCCTGCCAACAGCCCATATTTTTTTCGTTTCTTTTTTCTTTTTCCTTTTTTTCTTTCTTTTTTTCTTTCACTGCCCTTTGCCTCTCGGGCTTTTTCTCCTTCAAGGGCCCTTGGCCAGGTTTCTTGGGTTCCGTTGACCAGGGCTTAGCACGAGCTCGCGTGGCTCTCCGAATTTGACGACCTCTGCCCCATAGCCAGCCAGGGACAAATAAATGTCAGGGGAGCCCACCAGTGAATTCCCTACTCGAGATGAGCAATGCGCGCCCCGTACAAAGTACGTAGGGTACTTTAGTAACTTGGAACATGTACCGTCAAACCGCGACCTTCCTTGCCCCCTAGCGCAGGGGGGGAGCTTTTTTTGGGGCCAAATTGGGTAAAAGTGACCCCTGGGCCCTACTCGGTGCATATTTCTAGACCAGGTCTACCTCTCAGCATCGCCGGGAGCCTTGTTCTGCCATCCTTTTTGGAACTCAAGGTTTTCGTTGGTTACCTGCTGTCTGGGAAGCCCAGATTAAAATGGTGGAGACCTTTTGCAGGCAACTACGTATTAGTGAAAAGCTACGCCGGCCAGTACAGATCCTGGAGAGATTACGTACCAGCACGAAACACCATGTGCGTAGCCAAGTAGACAGAGATACTGTCTTGTACACGGTGCTCGGTGCGGTAAACAAGACTGGTTGAGGAGAGAGACAGCGCTGCTACAAATATGTAATCGTGCCCGCCCCACTTTATGTGGTTCGGCTAGCAAAAGCCCTCACCACCAAAGGTGGTGCTCGACAGCAAGGCGGGCCGGACACCAAGGCGGGCCAATTTTCAACCTAATAACGCTATTAACCTCTTCGCCTATAATGTACACCCTTCTCGTCCCAAATTTCTAGTAGATCTAGTACAGAATCCAGACGCCATTTACGTGCCTTTTTAGCTGCTTCAAAAAACGTCCTCTTGGCGTGGTTGTGGCGCCTTTTGTCGGCATGCTCTTTATGCTTGCTGTTCGCCTGATGAACTCGAGAAAGGTCTTTGCAAAGGCGTGATTGGAAGGAGAAACGGCGAATGGTTGACGCGACAGGTATGCATTTGTTGGCGGTGACGGGAGGGGAGCCATATGAAGAGGTGCATTATCTGTTGACTGTTTTTCTAGACCGGGAAATAAAAATAGGACATGTATAGAAAACCAGATATTACAGCCCTTTTTAAAAAAAAAATCAAAAAAATCAAAGGTCGTCACTCATTCATTGGAAGCTTCAACGAAAAAAAAAACCCCGGATGTAATTACGCAGCTCATTAAAGATCCACCTGATCAATCGCCGGCCACCATTGAGACCAGGCCCCCTGCTCGTCGAGGTTATTGCTGACTTCCGCGAAAAGCTGGTTCAACAAGGTATTAGTGTCGAGCTCGTGCTCGTGCTCGTGCTCGTGCTCGTGCCCTTGAACCGGCCAAGTCGCCTGCGCCGAGGGCCGCTCCGCGCCCCGAATCTCCCGAGTATGCGCGTCGGATCTATCCACGACACGGAACTCGTGGACAGACTGGTGTAGAGTATCAAAGTCTGCTCGTGTGCGCCCCTGGTATCGTGTCCGGTCCTCGGTTGCTCGCTCGTAGAGCACGGATGCATGGTGTATCGTTTTGATCTTGCGCGTGCCGCCCTCTCAATGTTAGCGCAACGGTGGCCACGGTCGTGTCATGCTTGCGGGCGGCTTACCCATCCGTCGGCGATTTTCCAGACAAGTCGAAACTTTTCCAGGTAGTCGAGACACATTTTGAGACAGTCGCTTGCTCGCGGGCTGCGGCCCAGGTTCATTCGGGGGTATTTCGCCACGTAGAGGTTGAGGTAGCCGGCTGAGAATGCGCAGAACCCGGCAAAGGGCGTCATGAGATGCACGCCACACTCGGAGGCCTCGTGTAGAATGGCGGCGATGTGCTCTGCCGCGCCGAAGAGGAGTCGGGAGCTGTCGTCCCACCAGCCCTCGGGGGCGGGCGCCCCCAGCATGGGCTGGTCGACTGGACCCCGTGGCTCCGACTCCGGGGTCGGCAGGAAGGGGAAGTACTCGCGGTGAAGCATGAGGGTGCTGACAAGGCGTAAGCAGGGGCGGCGGCGGCAAGTTGGGAGCCCCGTCGACCGCTACCGCTGTGGGAAGGGGATTCTTACCTCACGTAGTACAGGAGATTGAGGTAGACGAACGTCTCGCCGAAGCCGAGCGTCATGTGGACGGCCGGTTGCCTGACGCTTGACGCCCTGTCGCCTGTCGCCTGTCGCCTGTCGCCTGCTTGTCGTTTCTCGTTTCCCGGTGCGCAGGCTGGAACTAGCTTCTAGCGAAGGTAATTGGCAAGAAGGCCTCGTTCGCGAAACAATGCCTGTCTGCCCAAACGCCAACACGGTCTCCGTCGCTCAGTTGTTGGGTCGCGGTAAGACACAGGAGGCATGAACACAGTTGGTGTGTGACTCGGGACCATGTCGTTGTCCTCGTTTCATTTTTTTTTTTTTTGTGGCTGGCTTCTTCCATGTCCCTCGCTGGCGGGCGACCATGTTACGCCGGTACAAGATGGCACGGATATGTTGTACGGAGTACGGAGTCGATATCGATGAAATTGATGTCGGTCTTGACCTCTGCCTCCCACCGTCGAGGCAACGTCGTGAATGGGCAAGGAAGCACAAGCTGCACGAATCCTTCTAGAAGCCGATGTGGACACGTTGGAATGGAATCCACGCCGCGCCAACCAACCAGCCCGCGCACTGCAGTGACGGGAGCTGTTATGGATGGGGCCTAAGGGCCTCGGGGCCTTGGAAGTGGAGCGGAAGGGGGACGTGAAGTGAAGATGGTCTGCCTGTGTCATTGATGATCGAAGCAGACAGAGCAGGGAGACTCGTGAACTCTCTCGAGTGTACGGAGTACAAAGTACAATGTACAAGGTAGAAGGTCTGGTGGCCCAGGCATGCAATGGGCCATGGCTCATCGAGTCATGCCCGAATAGGAAGCACACACTGGCGGAAGGAAGGAGCAATCTCAATCAAGACTCTCAAGAGTCGATTCCATGTCCTGTTGATTCGGAAGCGTACCAGCCAACGTCTGAACTTTGAAGTCTGGACCAGTTGATCTTTCCGCCCCTCGCCACGCACGCGACGCCAGGCAAACACGACTTGTGTCAGCGCGTGCATTCCAAGCCATCGATGAGTGACTCCAGTATTCCTCCCTGTTCGCATTGCATTGCATCGCACTGGACTGACTTTGACTTGAGATGCATCAGGGCCGTCGTCGGGCCCAGCATTGTTTGCCTGCAACGATGCCGCCCGTTTGTGCGTGCCTCGTCTAGGTGCCACTCCGCCATGGGCTGCGCCTCTACTCCGTACTTCATTCATTTTAGTGGTAACGACGACTCGTTGTGCGTGGCGCCGCCGGCATGTCCGTTGTTATTGATCAGCCCATCGATTCATGACGCATGCAGCAAGACCCAGGGCGACTCCATGACGTTGGAGAACTGCTGAGCCAAGGGACCCTGCATTAGATTGGTCCCTGGCCTCGGTAGCAACAAGAAGGAAGATGTCAATTTCAGCCCAGTTCTCTTGGGACAGCATGGATACACGCCTCACCACTGCTTGTTTGCCGGCATGTGCTCGGTACACAGTACACATGAACAACTTTCTGGCAGTACCGAGTACGGATTACTCCGTACGAAGAAGCTCCGTACACAGGATTCACGTTCTGGATCCTTGGTCTTGGAAGACCTGGCAGGTGCCTTTTTCCGCCGTTACACCATTGTACCGTGCTTCCCGGGCTTCATTTCCCGGAAACTACCCGGATACCAACCCCTACGTGGCTGTGTCCAATGCTTCCAAGACCTTGGAACAAATTTACCTTGAACTTGACCACCGTAAGCTTCAGGGTCCGGATATCCTTTTGGGTTGATAATTATCCATAGCTGTCCGTTGGCCACCTCCGGGCTGTATCTGGCATTGACAGCTGGACGAATGGCAGCGATCGGGGAAGCGTTGGACGTTGTCATTTGCTCGAAAAATTCCACGCCCATTTTTCAATAGACCTCGATATTCAACTACCAACAGCCCTGTCAAATCGGCATGACTCGACGTTCTTACCACCGCATTCTTCTGCCGAAAAATGGATCGCCATGGAACTCAACAGACTGAGAAATCCCGGCCCTTTGCATTTCCAGTTATTACACACAAACTCGCCTACAATGCGCTGTGGCGTGATCCAGAGCAAACACTTCACTACATTTTGCGCTCGATAGCTCGTCAAGATGCGAGTCAAGGGGCCTGAGATGACGCGCCGCCCTTCACAAACCTGAAAATGTTTACGTCTCAAGACCGCTCGTGAAGAGACCATGTACGTGCGTAAACATTTGTTTCTCATCTTGACTCTTCCATCATGTCACAGTATCCTTGCCATCGGACGCAAAGGTGCTGGTTCCGCGGCCCTGGGAACTACCCGGTGGAAAGATGCGACGTTGCCGCTTCTCTGGCCCGTACCGGTGTCTCGGTACCAGAGGCTCTTTGTGTTCCTAGGTACACATGCAGAGGCGGATTGTAAGACATGACTGCATCAGATTAAGGACTGTTAATGCTGTTATGGATTCTGCAGCAAGGCTAAACACCTATGCAGCTGCTGGGAGTCTGGGACTCTGTAAGCCTCACCTGAGATCGCTAATAAGAAAGGCGTCTTGGGTATTCACACAGCTCTGAAAATCAAGCGAATAGTATGGACCACGCATCGCATTGCGAATCATGCCGCACAAGATGATTCAATTCAGGTGACACAAGCACCCCCCCCCCCCTGTGAGAGCCCCTGTGAGAGTGTTTGAAAACATGCCGAATACGAAAATAACACCCGAGTGTCATCATTCACCAATGATCTTCGACTGTCAGCGTCCCATTCTTGGTCACCAGAAACTCCTCCACCGCCACATCTTTACCGCTCTCCTTTCCACAGCCACTCTCCTTGATACCGCCAAAGGGGGCTTCAGCGCATGAACTGTTTCCAGTATTCTAAAGTGCAAACAAATGCTGTTTTAGCGAATCTGCGTCCGTTGCTTTCTCTCTTGGGGGGGTGGGGTGCGGTTGCGAAGAGAGAAAACTTGGGCGTTGCGAACACGGCTGAGATGGCGCAGAAGAAGAAAATTGGACAAAGCAAACAATGAATTACACAACGCTTGTGGGAAAAAGACAAAAAAAATCTTTTTTTTCTTGCACGCGTCGCAGCAAGAAAAGAAACGAAAGACTTCAGAGAAACCCATGCAGATGCAAGGAGCTTGTCAAACGTACCAATCCGATCATGCCGGCCTCCAGCCTCTCAAACATCCTCCACAAACGGTCAACATTCTTGGTGAAGACGTAGCTCGCCAATCCCATGGTGGTATTGTTTGCTCGTGCGATGACTTCGTTCTCGGTATCAAACATGGACACGCCGAGAAGCGGTGCAAAAATCTCATCCTTGCTCATGAGCATGTCGTCCGTCACCTCTGTCAAAATGGTTGGATTCATAAAGTATCCCGCCCTAGATTCAGCACGGAGACCTGTCCCGTGTACGATTTTGGCACCACGTGCAATGGCATCTTTGGCCATGGCCTCAGCTTTGTCGAGTGCTCGGGGCGTCGTGACGGGGCCCATGGTCGTTCCCTGGGCCATTCCGTGCCCGACCTTGAGCAGGGAGGTTCTATGAACGAGCTCGTCGACAAAGGAGGCGTACACGCCACGCTGGACGTATAAGCGATTTGACGAAATACAAGCCTGGCCAGCATGGCGCCATTTTAGCGCCATAAGTTGGCTGAGTGCCTGGTCAATGTTGGCATCATCAAAGACAATGAAGGGGCAGTTTCCGCCGAGCTCCAAGGTGAACTTTTTGAGGTTGGGCGCACAAAGACTGGTGATTATCTTGCCCACACGCGTGCTGCCAGTAAAGGTAACCTTGTGCACCAACGGGTGGAGGCACAGAGATTCCGCAACGGACGGCGTGTTGTCGAGACTGGTGGTCAAGACGTTGAGGGTGCCGACGGGGAATCCAGCCTCGAGCCCGAGGCGTGCCACGGCACCGGCGGTCAGGGGCGTTTCGGGCGACGGCTTGACGACCATGGTACAACCCGCTGCCAGCGCTGCCGCCATCTTCCTCAGAGTCAGGGCGACGGGGAAGTTCCACGGCACCAGGGCGGCAGCAACCCCGATCGGCTGCTTGATGGTGATGGCGCGGCGGCCCGGAACCGCGGACACTATGGAGCTGCCATGGGCCCTTTCTGCCTCGCCCACGAACCACCAGGCGAAGCTTGCCGCGTAGTCAACCTCGCCGTATGCCTCCGCGAGTGGTTTCCCAGTCTCGTGGACGAGGATCTTGGCCAGATCCTCGCGGGCGGCGACGATCAGCTGGTGCCATCTGGACATGGTCTGGGCACGCTTCCTCGGGGTCCATTTGGAGTATTCCAGGAAGGCTCTGCGGCTCGACTGCACGGCCGCGTCAACGTCCTCGCTGCCGCAATCGGGACAGGATGTCCACGGCCTGCCGGTGCCTGGATCGATGACGTCATATCGTTTTCCCGACTTGGCGGACATGTCTTGGCCGTCGACAAGGCAGTAGGGGTTGGCGAGGCTCTTGTTGGCCAGCTGGAAGGGCAGCTCTGCAGTCATGGTGATGCCAACCAAGATGGAATTTCGTGGATGGCCCTTGTCAGCTGGTAGTACTCACCTCATTCCACTGAGACGCGTCAAGTCGTGGGCTTTCCCAATGATGGCGGCTTCAATCAAGGTCAAGGGAGCCATGATCAGAAAGGCATGGTCTTGGGCCTGGTGGCCTTGAAATGCACACCGAGATGCGGGGACGAGAAATGCGGAGATGGGACTCGAGGCGTTGTCGAGATCACGACCAGTCGACGAGTCCGGACGATTTGTGGGGTGCAAGGCCTCGGGATATCGGACGAAATACGAGCTTGTGTTGGGTTGGGGCGTTTTGGAGCCGGGGCGTCAACGTTGGAGGGTTTGCAGTTTGCCCCTTCCATCGGCTCGCGGCCGGATGGCCCGAGATGGCTCACTATTCAGACCGGCGCGGCGTGCGCTTTTTTTTATGGCACGTTCCTAGGATGAGCCGCTGCTTTGGGCTTTCGATTTCTGTCACAATTGATGCTTAGGCATCGTCTCCTCGGGGGTGCAAAAGGGTGTGTATACATACATAGATACACACACGTGTTGCCTCTTCGGCCAGTTCGCCTCCACCCTCAATCATCCTGCTGCAGATGGCCCCGGATGCCATCAACAAGTCGTCTGGAAGTCAGTTACTACCTCGTCATCATGGCCCGGGGGCCGGTACATCCTCTCCGCTCCTCGTGTACGGTGGAGCTGTCGTTGGAGGAAGTATCCGCCAGGTCTGGGCATGATGTCGCCGTGCATATCAAGGATGTCGGGTGCGCAGAGGAAGGAACCCAGATGAACTTTTGTGTTGAGGGAGGACGGACGACCCCGTTGCCGAGAAGGCCGAGGTGTTGGATCAGCGAATCGAGAAATTGTCCGGGGTACCGACATCCCATCCATCCTCACGTGGTGACAAGAATGTAACAGGCTGTTACCATGACCGTGTTCAGGTTCCGTCTAGAATCACATCCACTTGACGTCCCGCGTCAAACACGTCACCAAATCACAGCAACACCCAAAAGCTGGTTTGACTTGCAGGAAGACTGAAAGAAAACATCAACGCTGCCCACGCCAAATCTAGACTCGTCCCGCAATGTGTGGCCCAAGTGCCACCACGGATTCAATCTTCAATAGCGTCTGCAATAGATGTGCCACCCATTAGCACTCGGCACCAGACTCCCGGACAAGGAAACTACAAAAGTCCGCAGAATCCTCAAGTGTCTTCTCGAACAACTGCGCTCCTTTCCCCCCCTTTCCCTGGTACATAACGTTACAGAGTAGCGAGACCATTTCTGATGAGAGCCCCATGATCACTGTCCTCACATTATCCATAAACACGGCCCCAGATTCGACATGACGGAATTCAACTCCCTGTCCATGACACCTTTCGACTCCCTCCCAGACAAGAAGCGCGTGTGGCCAGCTGCCCCGAATTCCCATGAGGAAGGACTAGGTCGCCTATCCCTCCTCACTCCGGAAATAGTAGCCTCGGCAGCGCAGTCCTGCATCAAGACCGGAGTCAGGGTCTCGCTGAACTGGGACATGAGAAAGCTGGAATCTGCCAACTTCAACCGAGCACCATCACAACACCACATCATCTCGCTGCTGAACGGGACTGCTTTCGACGACGTATACATTTTCAACCCGCAGCAGTCGTCGCAGTGGGACGGCCTGAGACACTACTCGGCGCCCTTCCCCACGCCCCAGGACCCCTCGCGGAGGTTATTCTACGGCGGTGTGACGGCTGCCGAGATCAGTGATCGGTCGAATCATCGGATTGGCATGCAGCATTGGGCCAAGGAAGGGATCTGCGGGAGGGGCGTGCTGTTGGACTATGCGGCGTGGGCGGAGAGGAACGGCGTCAAGTACAGTGCGTTTTCGAACCATGCCGTTCCGTTGCGGGCGTTGAAACAAATTGCCGACGAGGCAGGCATCGTCTTCGCAAGGGGTGACATACTGTTTGTGAGGATTGGCGTCACGAACGAGTGGGATACACATATGAGTCCGGCGGACAAGTTGGCCTATGGCAGGCAGTCTCGTCCGCAGCACGCGGGGGTCGAGGGCACAGAGGAGATGCTGAGGTGGATATGGGATGAGGGCTTCGCTGCCGTGGCCGGAGATTCTATTTCCTTCGAGGTGCGTCCGCAGCAGGATTCTTACGAGACCGAGGACGGGCGGGAGGTCCCTGGGCTCGGGATGCATGAGTACTTGATTGCGGGATGGGGGCTTCCGGTTGGCGAGCTGTTTGACCTGGAGGAGTTGAGCAAGACTTGCCAGAGGCTGGGTCGCTGGGAGTTCTTCGTATCCAGTGCACCCTTGAATATGCCTGGGGGCGTGAGCAGTCCTCCAAACTGCCTCGCGATATTTTAGTTGTTTGCCTTGACCCATCTCGTTTCAGCTCGACGTTGCATGTACTGAGTGGCTATTGGCAGTATAGTCAAGTATCTGATCAAATGAGGAAGTGACGGCGCTTGGAGATGCTTGTATGGCATATTATTCCTAATTCCTTGATCACAGCCAAGATTGAATCCTGTGGTTGGACAAGTCTCCTCCATGTCGAATTACATCATCGTATATGCCGCATACGTGGTTTGGAAGGTAGAGTCTGAACGAGATTTGATTCATGACTCGAAGAAACGGAGCATACTGGATCAGAACCCAGCACCTGGGAAGAATGAGGGATGTCGGAAAACTCATGAGAGTACGGAGTACGGACGGGTTGACAATTGACTGACGATCAATGCCCACCCTCAAGCGGCAGGCCAGCAGGCCGGTGCGGTTGTTGGCTTCAGGCTTCCCAGGGAGCGACAGGGTTCATCTTCGGCGTGCTTTCACTTGGCCGTTTCGTGTATCAATCTCTCCGTATTCCGTAACGAGTCCCTAGGAATGGCGATACTCTCCAACCCTAACCCCGATCAACGTCAAACATAGAATACACCCAGGTAGTTGACGAGGGAAAGACGCTGACAAGAAAGAACAAGAGGAACCATGCAAGGCCATATCTCCGCTACTTCATGCATGCAGCCAAGTCGTACCTCGAGCAATCGCGTGTCTGTCTGAGCCCTGGGCTGATTTACGATTTACACGCACCGTCCACCATCCACCTCAATGTTCACGCCAGTAATGAAGCCCGCCTCCTCACTGGCCAGATAGCAGCAAGCATTGGCGACATCTGCGGGTGTAGACGGTCGTCCCAGAGGAACGGTTGAAACAAAGCCTGCCCGATTCTCCTCTGTGTCAGGCTTGCCCAGGAACAGGTGCGTCCTACGGTACATGCATCATTAGCTCGCTGCTTGCGACACGACACGCCACGCCACGCCACGCGGCAATGGTCAGAGCAGACCATGTACTCACATTCCAGTGCTGCCGATGACGGGCGAAATGGCATTGAAACGAATCTGTCGGGGCCCATACTCCACGGCCAAGGACTTGGTCGCTGTGATGACGGCTCCCTTGGAGGCATTGTACCACGTCAGGCGCGGGCGAGGTCGAATGCCAGCTGTAGAAGCGACCTGAATGAAGCAGCCAGGCCGGTTCGTCTTGAGGAAATACTTTGGCAGCAGGACGCTGACTGACATGTAGAATGACTTGACGTTGACGTCGAAGACCAAGTCAAACTCGTCCTCGGTGACGTCCTCTGTTGGTTTATTCGGGTAAGCGGCACCGGCGTTGTTGACGACAATGTCCAGGTGCCCGAACGCCTTCAAGGCCTCGGCCAGCAGCTCGTCCCAGTCGCTGGCTTTCGTGACATCCGCCCTGACAAAGACGCCGCCCAGCTCGGACGCTGCCGCCTTGCCGGCGTCTTCTGAGACGTCTGCGACGACGACTTTGGCTCCCTCCTTGGCGAATTTGTCGGCGATGCCTCTGCCAAACCCTGACGCTGCGCCTGTGACAACGGCCACTCTGCCTTGGAGACGTCCCGGAGCCATTGGGGATCGGTGCACAATGGTTCTGGTAAGGGACTCGAACTGGAGGAGATGCCGCCAAATGTAGGACGAGACCGCCGCTCGAGGATGGGGAGGTAAACGTGCAGTTTCTCTTCTCTTCCCCACTTGCCTCCGCATCCGAGCCTGGCTGCAGATGGATGGGAGTTTGTCCGGAATTCGAAGGCGAGGCCGTCGTTTGGTGGCGTCATCAGCAGCAGCAGCAGCAGCAGCAGCATCAAGCGAGTGCCCGTCAACGCTTCAGCCCGCAATTGACCCGTGCTGCTTGCAAGAGAGCCGAATAGAATGAATATTCCCGGCTGGGGTTTCTGTCTGGCTCGATCATGGCTGTTCCGAGCAAGCCTCTCAGGACATTGCAAAGCGTCACAAAAAAGCAGCGTAGCCGGAGACCACGGGACTTGTAGTTACGTCTTCTTGTCTTGTGCTTTGTGACACAAGGCAAGCGCGAGCATCGGTCTGGATCCGCCAACCCCGCACCCCACCCTGGTCCCCGAGTCCCGGAGTGAGTCCCTGACTGAGGGCCTGAGGCCGTTAGGCCACGTCGGCCTCCACGCAAGCGTCTCGTGGTTGGACGAGAGACAAAGCTCTGAGCATCACGCAGCGCCAGCTCAAACACGCCCAAACGACAATAACTCATCCTGACCTGTGACAGCGCTTGCGTGAAGCTCGTGATGCAAGCTTGCATTTTTTAGTAATTGTCAAAATATCCGGCAGGCCGCCCCTTTCGTGGTGAACACCTCTATAGCCTCGAAGAATCATAACTTGGGCGCGCTTTGCCCAGCTTGCCGTACCACGGATGCACTTTGTCTTGCTCAAGACGAGTGCATAAAAACACTGGGTAATATCGAATTATGCTTTCCGGGGCACGACGACACGTGTGACAGACCACCGCCGTCCATCCACCACTTAGCTGGCCAAGATGAGGATATATTTAATCATCAGCGGCTCCGTATGTGTCGCCTCGGACTTGCAAGCGTCTTGCTGGCGGAAATGTCGCGTCTATCAATAGTCTTTGTTCGTCTGCCTTGGTGTGAGAGATGGTTTTTCATGGCGGGACGTACATGCATACTCGGGTGCTCGGGATATAACATGAAATGCACGCCTACCGAGTACGTCGTCGCGCTTTTTCAACTACTTACCCAACATACATCCTTTAACAAGCGCCATCAGTAATACTCCGCACTTTTCATCTACACTGCGCCAGTGCGGATTGAATCCCGCAGCAACGTTTCAATAGATCCGTACGCCTATCTTGGAGCGACCTGTTGATAACTCCGTCTGGGTTTCAAGCAGGAACGCAAGCATCCGCGGCCTGTCCGGCTTGGCGGTCATTGAGGCGACGTTTTCCCTGCAAGTCATTGCACGTGGTTGAAGGCGGCCAGGTATGTTCTTGTTCGGCACATGCAGAAAGACGTGTAGATGACCCAAATAGCCCATTGCAAGGTGAGATGTATACTACTTTTGGAGACAGAAATCATCTCATCTTCATCCGAGCTGGACGACCGGCTTCGCCCGTGACATCTCGTACATGTTTAGGTGCCGCGGCCTTGCACACGTCTCAACTCGGCAATTCCGTCTCGGAACACAGTCGCAGCTATCGCCAACCGTGTCTGGTATTGATAGTCGCTTACAGGACAACGGGAGAAGGTGGTGCCGCGGCGGACTGATAGGTCTCCCACCCGTCGACACTCGCGGTTTCAACGGCGTCATTCACACGAATAACACGTTTGGCGACGTCTTGTCTGACGCATCTGGCGGCTTAGTCGGCAGACGGCAAATGCAATGAAGCGTGTGTTGGAGCCCAAGGAAGTTAGCGGACTTGGCGTCCAGACGAGAGACATGGGTGGAAAGGCAAGTATTCGTGCAGTGGGAGACCGGATTTGCGAGGTTCTGAGATGGTTGTCGGCCATGACTCGTGACTGAGGTAGACAGTTAGGGTAGAACGGGCAATGTCAACTGGCCTGGCAAGGTCCATGAGTCAGAGCTTAGAAACAAAGCTTGGCTGTAGAGCTGGCGTCTAAACGAAGGTCAAACTGGTGATGACGCGAAGCAATCACAGCAACCCAAGCGGACATGCTACCCTGTACATTGCAACCTACCGGAAATTAGGATATATTACACGGAGTAACAATCCGTGGTCGGTCACAACTTCAACGCTGGCCTAGTAGCCTCGGGTCATGGCGGAAGCTGTTGCTAGTCCTATTTTGAGCATTGATCAGCTCCGATTCCAACTACGACTACGTAGTATTCCCGGTCCACTCACGAGGAGACAGCGCACACATACATGGTTGTCGTACCTTGGCGCGTTTGCGAGCGCGTGGCAGTAATAAGCAGTAAGCTCCGCTCCGTGTATCCGTCCACGAGCGTCGGAACAACATCTTTGGTGAACTGCTCGGTCCGAGGCGAAACGCTGAAAAGGGGAGAAGGCTAACTACGTGGTTGCAGTGGTGCTGCAGCTAGTGTCAGACGCTGGCAGTTTTGGAAGCAAGGGCAGGTCGAGATCGTGTGAAACTGCGTACCTCGGTAGCAGTCTACTTGGTATAATACTCTGCAGACCAAATTCAGTCATTTTCTGCGGGGAGGTGGCTGTCGTTTTTGCCAGCATGCGACTGGAAAAGCAAAGTGAAGCAAAGCAGGGTGGCTGTAATCTTGAGGGAACGAGGATCGAGAAAAGACAGGAAGGGCGACTGGTAAAGCCGCCGCTCCGTACTACCCTAGGCCAGATTTAACAGCGACGGACGGTGCGCACACTGTGACCACCCTCACGGGTTCCAGACATTTCACATTCTTTTTTCCTTGCCGTACAGTGTGAAGGCTGTCCATGAGGCCAACCAACGGAAGGCCCAAAAAAAAAAGCCCGAAAAAAAAAACAAAAAAACGAAAAGAAGCCGCCATGCGCTTGCCATCAGAAAGCTCAACTGAAACCTCCAAAGGCGCCATCATCACCGCCCCTGACATGCATTTTCAGCCGATAGAGACCTCCTTTGAAGACGCCCATGTCTCCCACCCTGGCGGAGGGCCCGGGCTGGACCTGCACACAAGCCTCGATCAACTCGACGACGTCTTTGGTTCGACGCCTGCATCACCAACCGAACCAGAGGCGCCGAGCGGCTCTCATCCCTCAGACATGCGGCGTCTGGAAGCCGAACACACTAATGCTGGGTACCGGGAAGGCATCACCGCAGCCAAGGAGACGAGCATTCAGGGCGGATTCGACGAGGGCTTCAGTCTGGGAGCGACCATCGGATTGCGGGCTGGGCAGCTACTCGGCATGCTCGAGGGCATTGCCGAAGCGGTAAGGGGCCAATCGGGCGAGACTTCAGGGGCGGCAGAGAGACTGCTGAATGAGGCCAGGGACGAACTTGGCACAAGCAAGATGTTTTCTGCAGCGTTTTGGGCGCCAGATGGCACCTGGAACTACAACGTGACCGCTCAAGACGGCGACCAAATTCTGTTTTCTGACGTCGCAGCCGCACACCCCTTGATACAGAAATGGAGCAGCATCGTCGATGTACAGACGAGCTTGTGGCAAATTCGAGCGTCGATTCTGGATGATGCCAGCGGGCCGCGCCTGGAGGAGACTTCGATTGAGCTGCCACTCAACGCATCGGCTCCCACACGACCAACGCAATCCCTGGATTGGTAAAGGCAATTTGTTTTCTGCTCGAAAACACTGGGCTTTGTACCGAGTGACCACTCCGTATACAGAGTGCTGGTAGTGCTCTGCATCAACAAACAGCATGATTGAGAGACGTGTGTTCTCTCGTCGTCACAAGGCGGCTGGTCTTACTCCGCACACGCTCCTACTCTACCACGTCGCCATGTTTGCTTTTGCAGGTGGCTTTGCCCAGCATGCATCCGGGTCTTGTGGCGGTTTGCAAGTCTGGTTCCCCTGTCAAAAGCAATCCTACCCGAGTGCGGTAGTCAGATCTCATTTGACGCGATTGTCATACGGAGCACAAGAACGGAACGGTGTGCAACCTCGCTTCCTTTCCCCTGGGCTGCCAGAAAGGGCGGCATCGAGGATGGGTCGGACTTGGACCCACGGGAGATGGCGGAAGCGGACATGAAGACTATGTACTACGTAGTTACTCGCCTTGAAAGACGTCGAATCTCTCTTCCTCAGCAGCCAAGAGCTGATGAGCCATGGCTCACTCTTGGCCGGGCTGGATACCATCAAACGGTCAGTGGACGAGCCAAATTGCTTGCGCCATACAACGTTAGCCCTGTTCAAACACTCAACGAAGGTACTGGCTCAGCATGGATGTGCAACGACCACGAGAGCACATACACCATGGCCTGGAAAAGGCAAAAGGATTGGACTGCGAAGCGGGCGGCGATGCGGTACGGAGTATTTGGACGGGAAATCGGCATATGGAGTTGCAGGGCCACTGCTTTTGTCTCATCGATAGGCGAGCCGAGGCGAGACGATGCCAAGTTCTGTTGCTGCCGTGCCGTTCTAAATATAAAGCTGCGAAGCCGTAGAAGCGGTACTCCGGACGTACGGCAATGCTTGTGCGGGCGTACTAGCAGCGCAAAGTCTCTACGCAGTCGCAACATTCAACAGCAGAGCACGGGGTACAGTAGACTGCGGAGTAGGGGGATCAAATCTCGTGACGGAATACATACGACTACATACTGCATACGGAGTACAATCAATTGTATCCATCAGTCGGGCTGTCTCAGACAGAAATTGGGCTCCCTCAACCGTGTTCTGCACGCACACGTTGATCTGTTTCATCCCGAAATGGAAAGAGGAGCGGACATGTTTCGGACTAGTAGTAACAACTTCATCTCTTGGTACGGAACGGTTTACGACGAGTACTTGACACGAAAAAACAAAAAAACAAAACAATACAAAACAATACAAAACAAAACAAAATGTGACAAGGGCGGCGCAGGGCGCTGTTTACGGTCCGCAAGAGGAGAGAAGCCGAAGCAGGACGGTGGGGATGCGCCGGCGTTTCTGAGCAGCTGCATTGCATGGGTCGCTTGGTGTCGCTTGGTCGGTTCAGGGGCAGCAATGGGAGGCGGCGTGCTCGTCAGGACACGCTAAACGACGACACATGGATGCTCAACCAGCAACCACGCATGACGGCGAGGCCAGAGGAGGAGCAAGCGAATAAGGGGCCCAGGGCTCGGTTGGTGGAAATGGAAGTGGAGGAGAGTGCTACTCGATACCACGGCAATGTACTCGAGTACTTGAGTACTTGAGTAAGTAACCTGGATGCTGCTGCTGCTACTCGGTACTGCGTCAGGTACTCCGTACTCGAGTACTTACATACAGCCCCATTTGTACATGTGCCCGCCCCCCCTGTCGATCGGCACTTGCTCTAGCGCAGGTACGCCCAAGTTGATCCTCCTCGATTCGATAGCAGTCGTTCGCTGAGCAGGCAGCGGCGCACGACGCACGGCACACGGCGCACGGCGCACGGCCCGCCGCCTCGCACGAAGCTTCAGGCATTGCTCCCAGAGCGAGGACTGAGCTTGCCGCTTTGGTCGCCAACTAGCTGCCAAGTCGGGGAGCTAGGCCCCTCGCAAGCCTTCCTTTCGAGCCATGATCATCTCGTCCTGGCTGGTCCTGGCTGGTCCTGGCTGCGCCGCGCGCCGCTACCGACCGTCTAGGCCGGGGGGTGGCCTGGGTCAGTGCCATTCTTCTCCAACCGCAACTCCGTCCCCGATGGCACGCTTGTCTTGTTTCTGCTGGCACTCATTTCCCCCTCAATCTGCAATATCATCGTGTCCATCCGTCCATGTCCATGCACCGAGTAGTTATTTAAGACCGTTGACTCGCCCTGACGGACCCAAGCGATGCCGCCCACCTTCGTCAGCTCTCCACGCAGAACCGTCGACGCCTGCTCAACCGCCCTCGCCCTCTACCTTCGTTTTCCCGGGCCTTTGTTTGATAACCCGTCCACTCTTTTTCGGATTTCCTAATACCCCTTGTGCATCATGAAGTCTGTCATTGCTGTCGCCGCCGTCGCCGCCGCCGCCTCGGCTCACGAGGCCCGCTCCCCCATCCAGGTCGGCGTCAACGTCCCCGGCCTCGTCAAGGTCGACCTCTGCCTGGGCCTCGATGTCAAGCTTCCCCTCGGCATCGCCATCGACACCGATGGCTGCCCCAAGAACGCCCCCCCGGCCGGCTGCACCAACGTCTGGCACCCTCCGCACCACGTCCCCATGGACGGCTGCGACGACAACGGCAACCACAAGTGGCACTACGTCCACCCTTGCCAGGGCAGCGGCTGCAAGCCCGAGGCGCCTCACACCTGGACCACGAGCACCGTCACCCAGACCCAGGTCCACACCGTCACGAGCTGCGCCCCTACCGTGACCAACTGCCCTGCCGGTTCCCACGTCACCACCGTCGTCGTCCCGGCCACGACGACCGTCTGCCCCGTGCCCGTCCAGCCCACCACTCTGGCCACCGTCCCCGCCAAGAACACCGCCCCGGCCGCTCCCCCGGCCACCGTCCCCGCCGGCGTTCCGGCCGTCACTCTTCCCGGCAGCCCCGCCTCCTCCGCCGCCCCGGGAACCGCCCCTGCCAGCATCGAAGCTCCTGCCGAGACGGAGAGCCCATCTCAGCCCCCCGCTCCCGGGTCCGACACCGAGGCCCCCGCCCCCGCGCCTGCCCCCAGCAGCCCTGCCGACGTCGCTCCTGCTCCTGCTCCTGCTGCCAGCAGCCCTGCTGACGTCGCTCCTGCTCCTGGCGCCAGCAGCCCGGCCGACGTCGCTCCTGCCCCTGGCGCCAGCAGCCCGGCCGACGTCGCCCCGGCCCCGGCCCCGGCCCCGGTCCCCGCCACGACGCCCGCCGAGGAGACCTCTGCTCCCTCGGCCGTCGCCCCCCCGCCCTCCGTCGGCACCGTCTCTCCCGCCTCACCCCCCGCCGGCAACTGGTCCCAGCCCGCGCCTCCTGCCATTGCTGGCGCCGCCCATAACAGCCACAAGCTCGGCGCTGTCGTCGCTGTCGGTCTCTTTGCCGCTCTCCTCATCTAAGCCGGGGTTCGATGGCCCATTGGCCTCGGGGTGGACCGTGTATCCAGGGTGCCCAGTACATTTGAGTATATCATGACAAACTTATGGGGTCGGCGTGGCGAGATGCATATATTCCCACTTTCTCTAGCCGCCGTTTCAGAGGCGGCTTCTTGCGTGTATTTGAGTGCAGCGCCAGCCAGCACCCCGCGGTGGCTGGCGCGGCAGACGACGGGTTGAGCATGTACATGGCACGATTCCATGATTTAAATTAGGATTTTGTGCAAAATCTGTCGCTGCTCTTTGTGTGTGTGTGTGCAGAACTTCATCTGCGCCAGTAGACGAACTCTAATGTTAATTTTGTATATACGTACAGCTCGATTACACACTTTGCGCATCCATCTGAATCGTGCCCCGCTGACGGTGATGGCCGTGCCTGTTCGACGACATGGTAGTACTTTACGCGGCTGCCGCACGGGTCATCAGCCCGAGACTGCTACTCGTCCCGTGTCGTGTGTGGCACCGCGCGCTCGCATGTGATTTCTGCGTTGAATGGCCCCACCCCCGTCCCTGTCGCGCGCGAGCCTGCTGCAAGCCGGGCAGTCCGGGCGTGCCCATCCAGCGCCATCGTCATCCGAGGCTCTCTGCCAGACGCTCCTCCAGCTTCCTGGCCACGTCGTCGATGGTGTCGTGCTTGCTGAAGATGGCGCTCGACGCCTCCCAGTCGCGGCCGTCGCTGCCAAAGACGACAAACTTGACCACGTTGCCGTCGTCGTCCATGACGAGCCTGCCCGTCTTGTTGTTGGCCCACGCGAGGCTGATTTGCTTGGCCTCAATGTCTGCGATGCCCGCCTCCACGAGCGCGTTGGGCGCCGCCGCCTGCGCGCCCCTCTCGCGCAAGCCCAGTCGCCGTCGGAGGTCCGCCGAGACGCCGAGACGGTTGTGGTAGCGTACAATCTCGCGCCGCAGCGTCCTTGCGAACCTGTCGAGGTCTTGGTCCGCGGCGCTGCTGCTGTTTCTGCTGCTGTTTCTGCTGCCGTTGCCCGCGCCTGCTCGCGATGGCTGCGGCAGGTGTCTTGCCGCCAGGCCGGCCAGGGGCACGGCGGGGGGCACAGTGTGTCTGTGGACGCGGAGGTGCCTCGAGCCCGCGTACGGTCGGTTCAGCATCACGTAGTAGGGCCGCAGGAACTGTCCCCGGGACATGATCTCGAATCGCAGGCCCAGGACGTGGCCGCCGTCGACGGCGTTGGGGTCCGGGTCGCGCACCTTGAAGGAGGTCACGGGTGCCGAGATCCGGTACACGCATTGCTGCATGTAGGCCTGTTGCTGCGTCGAGCGGCTGCGGAGTCCGGATGATGCGGCGTCTGGTCGGCCGGGCCGGCGTCCCGCGGCGGGCGAGGACGAGGAGCGGATGAGGCGCGACGTCGATGCCGAGGATAGAATGGTCGAGCACTGAATCTGGAGGGCCTTGCGTAGAGACGCGGCTGCTGACGTGTGAGCGGTCTCGGTTGTTCGACGTTCAGTGAGGTGCGCGCGTCACGTTTGCGAACCTTGTTTTCTCAACGAGGCGATCTCCTTGTCCAGCTGAGATGCCTCGGGCGAAGTCGGCTCGGTTTCCATTTTCCACAACTACACGACCCCGTCTGTGTCTGCGGTCGCACCGGTCCTGCGAGCCCAGAAGTTGGTGAGATGAGATGAGAACTGCTCATTCATGCTTGGACGCGTCCCTCAACACGTCCCGATAAGATAAGCAAGGCATCGGAAACCCTTGCCCTGCAGAGAGTCCCCACACGGTTAGCCCATGCAGAGGCAATCGCTGATTGGCAGCCTTTGGTCCGTTTCTGACGGCGGCGCAATTTCTATTCCTCCGACCCTTGGAAGAAGAGGCCGTGCCAGGTGTCAAATGGTCAAATGGGTCTGTTGCCTGTTGGGTCCGGCCCGCAAGCACGAGATCGCGAGGGGAGTCTTCTCTTGTCTCAACCTTTTTCCTCTTTCGCCCTTTGCCTTCACGACGAGCCATTGACCTTTGTCCACGGGTCGGTCATGGGCTGCTATTGAACGGACCACCATTTCGGATTCCTTTGCCCGCGTTTTTCTTCGAGCCTATGCCAGAGCGGCCTCCACACGTTCGTTCGCTTGATTCAAGTTGCTTTCTGTCCCTTCGCCGCATCTCGTCTCCATTTGTAAGCCCTTGAGGCCACGGTTGCTTTGCGCCAGCACGCCCAGTTCGCGTCCGACGCAACCCCCCACGTTCTTTCGGTTTTTTGGATCTCGGCCGACTAGCCGGCGCATCATTGCTGCAACATTTCCTCATTCCAATACTATTGACTTCTTTGCCCTCGGCCCATGACGCCGTCACCCACGCAAACCTGACTCCGAGACGGAAAGTTGACTCGCTGCCTTGCCCACCACCAAGAACCTACCGGACTGGACTGATATAAAGACGGTACGCTGAGCTGCGCGTGTTCTTGGGCTGTATAACACAAGTAGTCTCTAGTTGGGGACAACGGACGGACAGCAGCCACCGTGCTTGGCTTCGACGAAAATCTGCTGCGGAGCAGAGCTAGGCGGGCGTACAGGACAGAAGACACACCAATACACGCTGCCCAGATACATTGCATATACCCCGCCCATGGGTGCCAGAGCGCGACGACCAAAGTCGCCACCATCGCAGCGAAGGGCTCCCCTTTCTTTGAAAGAAGGGAACGCCAACGGCAAAATGAGCAACGGTGTGGAAATGCGACGCAAGGCCTCCAATAACCTCGGCAGCCCGGAGGCTATCGCTGACAACTACATTTCTCGTGAGAGCTTTTCGCTGGACGAACCGGTTCCCAAGACGCCGGCCGCGCGCAGTCATGGATTTTTCGAGCTGCCCATACAGGACCAGCGGAGTTTCCTGTTGCTGGTATTATTGTACTTTCTCCAGGGCATCCCCATGGGCCTTGCCATGGGATCGGTCCCTTTCCTTTTGAAGAACCACATGTCATATGGGGAGATTGGAATTTTCAGCTTGGCTTCGTATCCTTATTCGCTGAAGTTGTTTTGGAGTCCGTTCGTGGACGCGGTCTGGAGCCCCAAGATTGGCCGGCGGAAGACTTGGATCGTGCCCATTCAGTTCCTCTCCGGCTTCAGCATGCTCTGGCTTGGATCGCATGTCGAGAAGATGATGGAAACGACCGGAAAGCCGGGTGGTCCTACCGTCTGGGGCTTCATGACGTGGTGGTTCTTCCTCGTCCTCATGTGTGCGACCCAAGACATTGCCGTAGATGGCTGGGCTCTGACGCTCCTTACGCCGGCAAATGTGTCTTATGCATCTACCGCTCAGACGGTCGGTCTGACCGCTGGCCACTTCATGTCGTATACCGTGTTCTTGGCTCTGAACGCCAGCGACTTTGCCAACAAGTGGTTCCGGTCGGTTCCTTCGGAGGAGGGGCTTGTTTCCTTGGGCGGATACCTGACTTTCTGGGGCTGGAGCTACATCATTGTTACCGTTGGACTTGGATTCCTGAAGCGAGAGGAAAAGTCTCAGAACGAAGACGGCGTATGGGACGTTTACCGAATCATGTGGGGCATCTTGAAGTTGAAGAACGTCCAGACCATCATCATCGTGCATCTCATCGCCAAGATTGGTTTCCAGGCCAATGACGCCGTGACGAACCTGAAGCTCCTGGACAAGGGTTTCGGCAAAGACAACATGGCCCTTACGGTTCTCATCGATTTTCCCTTTGAGATTGGTTTGGGATACTACGCAGGCATGTGGTCGCAAAAGTACACACCTATGCGACTCTGGTGCTGGGGATTTCTTGCCCGACTGGCTGCCGCCGTGTTTGCGCAAATCACAGTGGCCATTTTCCCCAGCAATGGCGTCACCATGTGGTACTTGCTTGTGGTGATTGCGGAGCATCTGCTGTCGACGTTCACCAACACCATCATGTTTGTTGCCGTTTCTGCGTTCCACGCCAAGGTGTCGGATCCAGTTATTGGCGGCACGTATATGACTCTACTCGCAACGTGAGTGCGGCTGCCTCGAACCAGTTCCCATGTTTTTTTTTCTTTTTCTTTACAATGTGAAACGGGCTAACAAAATCACACGACAGTGTGTCAAATCTGGGCGGTACATTTCCGCGTTACTTTGTGTTGAAGCTGGTCGACTCCTTTACGATAGCCACTTGCCGTCCTACACTCGATGCTGATACGTCCAAGGTGGAGGGACCCATCATTACTGAGGCGTTTTCATGCGCGGTGCAAGCAGAGAAGGAGAGATGCGAAAATGGCGGCGGCACATGCGACATGAGCCGAGACGGGTACTACATGGTGAACATGCTGTGCGTTGCGTTTGGCCTTGCGTCCTTCTTGTGGTATATCAAGCCAAAGGTGCTGCAGCTGCAAAGCCTGCCTCTGCGGGCGTGGAGATTGTCTCCGACAAGCGACAAGCGGTAGAATAGGATGCGGCATGTATCATGGATGCATGTTGGTGTATCGCTTCAAAAACTGTGGATGAGTAGACTGTATAGATCGTGTCATGACATCACACGTTGAAAACATTTTCCCTTGCCTGAAGTGGACTGACGGTTGAAATGACCTGATTATGGCCTGCACAACGAGATATTTGGGCAACTTGATCACATGGCTTCTGAACTGGACATGCGAGATGTGTCGTCGGTCGTATATTGTGCAACCGCACTTGACGACGGAAACCCGCAGGACGCGGTCCGAGAAGAGACACCCACAGCAATCGATGCACTTTGAGTATGGCTCACATGCGAAGCACGGGGGCCGGATCATGGAAACGAGGCCCACCGCATGCATGGCCTGGAATGCGTGAATACGTCCAGTTTCGGGCTGTCGGCCTCTCGGGCTGTGTTTTGCCGTCGTGTGAAATCAACACCGTCATGTTGCAGCACTGCGTTCGCTTCGTCGGCGAACGGACTCGGACGTTGCACTCTGTGGGGGAGACTCCTGCATCTTCCGTTTGTTTTTCAGGGACACGGTGCAAGGCGGCCAAGAATTGTTCAGGTTGATGATGACAGCGACGGCGTCGGTTAAATCGGCCCATCGTATCGAGAATACCTGGATACCCGGCACGAATGACCAAGTTCCCCAGTAGATTATACGATGGACGTTTTGATTACAGACCCGGTGATGCGTTCTGCAGTTGGGGGCATTTTGGCTTCGTGCCGCATGAAGCGAGATTCCGGGCCATGGGCGAGAATGGCAAGGCACGTTGGATGTTGGCGATTCGGCTCGGTCCATGGGCGCCTGCCCTCTCCTCGGACAGCTCAGAGGGCGAGTTGACGTTGGGTCTGGTGTGACACAACGTGTATGGGAAGCCAGACGGATATTTTGGAGAGCCCTCCTTCTCGACTGTCGGCCGTGAGACTCTTTCACATGTCCTCTTTGCATTCTTCATTCCCCAAAGCTGAGGTAGTCCAGGATTCTTGGGCACCGGATGCATTTTGCGTCATGTCCGTCGTGGCCACGTCGCCGGGCAAGTCGACCAGTCTCGACAATTCTGTTGGTGCAAGTGACGACTCGTCGACTGCCACGTTCGGGCTTTGAAATCAACCGAGTTTCCTTGACAAGACAAAGATGCCTGCCCCAAGCGGGATAGGCTGTGGTTGTTGCTGCTTATGGACATGATTGCCGTTATTGCCTTCAACGAGGGGATAACGATGAGGTGAGGAAGATACGAGCCACCATGACCTATTTCTGCCATGCGAGGCCCGGTCGAGGCAAAAAAATTATTTAAACGCGCCCTTCTCCGTCGTCGCGAGATGCTCGAGTCTCCTGCCGTGGACAAAGAATTATCCAGACATTTTCATTTCCACTTCGAAACAAAGTTTCACCTACTCACTCACCCCCAAAAGAAGAAGCAAAACAAAACAAGATGCTTTTCAACGCTGTTCTTGTTGGCCTCGCTGGGCTCGTTGCGCTGTCTTCTGCTTCTGCCGAGGCGTCATGCTATTGGCTTCAACACGGGGGCTCCAAGATCCATAACTGCCAGCAGTGTATCGAGGGCTACAGCTTCTTCCGAAGCCAAGCGCCTTGCGATTTGGGGTTCCAGTGCTGCGAGGGTGCCTGCTGCATTGGTTATGGCAAGGGGGAGTAAACGGTCCGTCATCGTGACTTTCCATCTTTGGAATGTGTTCCTAATCTGACGGCACTATTTAGATGACGAAGCTCGGTACTGCCTGGGAGATGGACTTGCCTGGGGTTGGGGAGCTGGTTTCGAAGATGCAGGGTTGAGGATGAATAAAGGTGGCAGAAGGAAATGTAACCACCTCCTGGGCATGAGTAGATGCGCGACTGTTGAGGGGTGTAGTCTGCAGGCTCGGATGACGACCCGTCCACGGAGTCAAAAACTCGATACGATAGTCGAACTGTGTTGCGCGAGTGAAGAGGTGAATGTCAAGCGCTGCTCGGCCCATGGGATGATCCGTGTGGTCACTGGTCGGTCCCTCATTGACGGGCCTCGGACGGCTCCATCATCGACGGCCATGGGAACAAATGCATTGTTTGTCCAGAGGCATGTCATGTACGGAAGATGCAGAATAAATATTCACACGCGCTGATGTATCCCATCCGTACTCGCATGTCGACCCGGCATGTCAAAGGCACGGCAGACATTTGCACCTCCAGATGCGAGATGCGACATACACCATCCTTCGTCCATCACCAGCCAAACCCCGCCATCCCGGGATGTGAGCTGCTTCGTAGTTGTGAGCACAGCAGAAGAATAAATAAAGAAAACTAAAATACACAAAGTAGAATGCATTCACACTCGTCCGAGACATCTCGACGAAAAACCAAACTCGCGCGGACAAGACCATCTCGATTTCCGTTCGCGCTCTCGTCTCCCCGCGCCGTCGTTCTCAGAGCTCGTCTGCCTGACCATCATCCCTCTTTGAGTCTTGCCTATCCCCCTCATCCTCCTCGTCCCCTCATCCCCTCATCCCCTTCACCCCCTCATCAAACGCCATCGTGCCCCCGTCTCCCCCCCAAACAATGGCATCGTCCTCCTCCGATGAAGACGTCTACTTCTCCACCAACCCGCCGCCGCGCTCCCTCGACGAACACGTCAACCTCGCATCGTCCTTCATAAACACGCACGCCCTCGCCAACCGCCGCGTCGTGCTCGTCACCTCGGGCGGCACGACCGTGCCCCTCGAGAAGCAAACCGTCCGCTTCATCGACAACTTCTCCGCCGGCACCCGCGGCGCCACCTCGGCCGAATACTTCCTCGAGGCCGGCTACGCAGTCGTCTTCCTCCACCGACAGTTCAGCCTGCTCCCCTACTCGCGCCACTTCTCCCACTCCAAGGACTGCTTCCTCGACTTCCTGAGCGAGGCCCCGACCGGCCAGGTCGAGTGGCGCGCGGGCCACGACGCAGCCAAGGTGCGCGACGTCCTGGCCAGGTACCGCCGCGCCAAGGACGCCAACATGCTGCTCATGATCCCCTTTGTCACCATCGGCGACTACCTCCACGAGCTGAGGGCCGTCTCGAGGCTCATGCGGCCCCTCGGCGCCCGGGGCCTGCTGTACCTGGCCGCCGCCGTGTCCGACTTCTTCGTGCCGCCGGACCGCATGGCCGAGCACAAGATCCAGTCCACCGACGCCGTCCCCGACCGCGGCAGCGACGACCCGCCGCCGCCGCCGCCGCCGGCAGGCGAAGAGGACGAGGAGTTTGACAACTTCGACGCCTCGCCGCGCGTCCCCCGCTCCAAGCGCCTCGTCATCGACCTCGACCCCGTCCCCAAGTTCCTCAAGAACCTCGTCGACGGCTGGGCCCCCGAGGGCATGATCGTCTCGTACAAGCTCGAGACGGACCCGGCCATACTCGTCCGCAAGGCCCGCTGCTCGCTCGTCCGCTACCAGCACCACCTCGTCATCGGCAACCTGCTGTCCACGCGCAAGTGGGAGGTGGTCTTTGTCAGCCCCGGCCGCGACGACGCCTGGCTGCGCGTGCCGCCGCCGAGCAGCAGCAGCGGCGGCGGCGGCGGATGGGGCGACGCCGAGGGCAGGCCCCTCCGCGCCGACGAGCTGCCCAGGGACGACCCCGACACGGAGATCGAAAAGCTCATCATCCCCGCCGTGGCCAAGCTGCACGACGCGCACATTGGAAACAAGCAGTTCGTCGCGCTGCCCGCTCCCTTGGGCAGCAGCGGTGTCGCGGGAAAAAACACATAGTAGGAAAGAGAGCACGTTTCCGTCCGCCCTTCCCCTCCCGCTCCTGGAGCAGAAGAAGAAGAAGAAGAAGTAAAAATAGACTTGTACACTGCACAATTTGAACAAACCGTAGGAGCCGCCAATGCCTATCGTCAGTTGGAGAACCAGAATCCGGCGTGGCCATACGTAAAAGACATGACAACGTATTGTACATAAAACACGTGCTACACTACGGTAAGTGCCGCGGTGAGACACGCCTTGAGCCCTCGAGAACCGACGACACCGACACCGACACCGACACCGACACGTGCCGCTTTTCATTTCAGCCGGTTCACAGAGGACGTCTTGATTTCCTGGCACGGGGGGCGATCAGAATGTTCATATATTTACTTGAATGCAGTCAGTTGCAATAATCACCTACTGTTGGGTATTTTCTCTCTCCGGGCCCCAGCCTACCTGCATTGCGCTGCCGTGAATGACGAGATGCTGTTTTTTATATATAAATATACATGTTTAAAACTCTTGCCACACCAAACGCCGTGAATGCTGCTGCTGCTGAATGCCCAACACGAAAGAAATGCTATACTTTTGAAGACGCACGTCAAAAGAGTCGAAATCGAGTGAGCCGCACCCGAGTGCCCAGAGGTCGGGTGCGTCAAGTCCAAACTGGATGCTTGGGGACCTCCAGAACTCCTCTCTCTCTGCCGTCAGCTCGTCCGTCCGCCTCCGCCTCTTAGTAGGCAGACAGCCAGTTCTTCGCACCCAGGTGAGTCACCTTGGCGGCCATCAGACACGCCGCCGAGCCGACGTAGATGGCCGCAGTGAAGATGATCAGGTTCTGGTAATCACCGCCGCTGGCACCTACGATACCACCGCCGATGGGGATGCCAATCAGGCACGCAAACGACACGACGGTATACGTGGTCGCATAGTATCGGCCGTACTGCTGAGTCTTGCACATCCTTCCGATGCACACCGGAGCCATGGAAATGCTTGTCCCGCTGCCGAAACCAAAGAGGATCGAAAAGACGATGATGCCGGCTGTGGTATGTCCCAGGGGCAACCACACACACAGGCATGCTACCAGTGAGAGGATGACGGAGAACAGACATACATTGAATGGTCCCACAACGTCTGCGTAGTATCCTGGCAGACCTCGCCCGACGACGGACCCGGCGTTCATGATGGGCAACAAGTGGTAGGCGAACTGTTCGCTGAAGCCCTGGTGTTGCGCATATGTCGAGATGTACGCGAGGGGGATGAAGAGGGAGAATTCGATCAAGAAGATGCCCACGGCGGTGAGGCTGTAGGGGACCTGCTTGAAGATGCGAAAGTCTGGGTGCGCCGTGGCGTCGGGCGCAGGCGGGAGACGAGACCGGACGAGCAAGATCCCGACAAGGCCCCCGACGAGACAAACGAGGGCCAGGACGCGTGTGGCCCAACCGTAGCCAACCTGGTCAAAGAGCGACGTGAGCATGAGGGGGAAAATGATGCCGCCGATGCCCCCAGCCGTCGATGCCATGCCCGTAACGAGGCCCCTTCGTTTCCGAAACCAATGCCCGACGGCGGCGATGCATGGCGTAAACAACAACGATGTTCCCACTCCGCAGAGGACTCCGAAAGACAGAATGAATTGCCAGAGCTCTGTTGCACCTGTTAGTCGGTGATTCTAGTCGTCAAGGGACAACATCCAGCTTCCAGATGTGCTGGGATTGTTTTCAAGCACCTCCGACTTCCAAGCACCGCCTCACGCTGCTCCAACTTGCCTTTGCAGAAACTCATGCATACAACTCCGGTCACAGTTGTGATGCAGCCAGCGATAACCAACCATCGCGGGCCATGCTTGTCAAACACTGGGCCAATGTAGACGCCGCAGAAAAAGGCAAGAAACGTATAGAGGGAAAAGATCCAACCGACAGTGCCCTCGCTGTGGCCTTGCAACTGGTGGCTAAGCGTGTAAGCCTGGAAAACGGCAATGGTATTCATCAAACCCATGGCCGACATCAGGGCGAACCATGCGCCCAGGACCACGAGCCATGCCCGCATGCCGCCTTCGGGAAAGGTCTCTTCGTAGGATGTGTTGGAGACGTGCGTGTTCTTCCGCTCCAGGTTGTGGTTGTTGCCCCGATCCTCAGCCTTGTTCCTGTCGGTGATGGCGTCCTGGTCGCCAGTCCCCGCGACGTACGTCTCTCCATCGTCATGGAGAGCTCGCGAGTTTACCTGGGAAACGTCCATAGCTGCGTCCCCCGACGGTTACGTAGACGGCGGACTCACTGCTCGGAAAAGGCCGTTTTTTCTTGTCAAAACTACATGTGTCTTGCGAGCACGCGCGAGATAGCAGTGGCCGTACGGAGGGATATTGTGTGTATTGTCGGCGTCCGAAACGGTGCAACAGGCGGGCGCCATGGGATTAAAACGGGCCAGGCAGAGGCAGAAAAACTTCTTCCAGTTTTTATTAGCAAACCGGCGCGAGGGCTCGTGGCGGCACCGTCCATTGTGGTTTTCTGGGTCCGGCCGGTCGTCGGCGCGGAGCGAAAGAGTCAAATCAGGTGTCCGCGCTTGGCTCCATTTAAACGTGCTCGATTGGGTCATCGTCATCCGCGGCCACGGCCTCCTTTCCGAACTTCCGTCGGACTGGGGGGGGGGGGGGGCATCCTTGACTTGGCTCTTTGGCCCCTTGGCTCCCAGCTCTCGTCCGATACGCACCGACTGGAAGTGAAGGCGGAAGCCGAACGCCGCACTGTATCTTGGCCTAACAAAAGCTTCAGCTGATTGTTTGTTTGGGTTGGCACCGTCATTTTCCTTGTACGTAGTACGGTAAAGACAAGTTGACGGACTGCCGTGTCTCGTGTACAGGCACAGTTGAGACGTCGAATGTACACCATGAATCGTCATTGCTGATTTCTCATCCCTCGAGTTGTGCATCCCAACCAGAGTCTTGCTGATCTGCAAAGTCGAGACGAGCTGGTGTCGCATAGGATATAAGGTGGCATACCACACCCGTTTTTTGGTGTGACGGCTGGAACTATGAATGAAGACGTCGGAAATTAGACATCATTCGACATGATTGATTTGCCTTCTCGACGACGGCTCTCCTCAATCCAAGCTAGGCCTCGCCTTCAAGCATCTAACCCTGTACGCCTGGTGGAGTCTGCGCTGCGGAGGAGCAACTCCGTCGAAGCTGCATTGACACGGCCAGCCTCGTAATTGGCTTCAGTCATGGACCACACTGCCTCTCCCGTCTTGTGTCGCATTATAAGATCATGGTCCGGGCCCAGATGGGATATGCCACCCCCAGTCTGGACGTCGTTCTGCACCCGCCGTGACGCATTGCTACACTTCGATGCCGACATGCTCATCGACATGTGATATTTGATAGCTGGCAACTAAAAACCAAAGCCCCCATCACAGCATGCAGTAGTGTAGTATCCTGTAGACGTCGGGTATCTAGTTATACGGCCTTTCTCATCCAACTGGTAGTTGCCCTATGGGAATTGAACTCACATAGTATTTCCTCCGTAGGATGACGTGATAAAGTGGTGATGCGCACCGGAGTAAGAAACCGAGACGACAGGCAGGCAATTTGACGTTCCACTGCGGATCGGGCGTCATCAGGAGTCCAAGTCGCCGAGTCATCAAGGGGGATTTCTGAGCCTACAAAAGTCGCAAGATGGTGTACACGGGATACGCCCCGTCTGATCAACTCGACAGCCGAATCATCTGAACAAGCTCGGGTCAATTGATGGTTTGAGAAAAAATGTTTATAGTCGCCGTTTGCCATCCATAAGATGCAAACAGTGCTGACGTCCGCAAGGTATTTCGACGTGTATGAGTGTCCGGATTTCTTCGGAACGGGGCGATTCCATGCCAAAGTCCATGACGTTGCACTAACCACTGAAATATTGTCCAGTATGGCCAAGTGAGGGTGACAAGGGCACAAACTGTAAGCTGTCATGTGCCACAACCCCAGGCCTATCTGGTAGTTACCGAATGTCAAGTCGTCTACAGTAGTACCGGCCGCGTTGACTCTAAAGCAGAGCGCGCTCAAGAATGTCTTGCCACGGTCCCAGTTACTCCTCCTCGTCTTCGATGTCCTCGACAGTCGCAGTCAAATGTTGCCGCTGAACATCTTCTGCCGAACCAGCCGCTTCTTTTGTCGGGTTTAAATAGCCCTCTTTCTCCAACTGATCCGCCTCTTCAGGCTCCATTAACCCACCCCGACCTCGACCCTTGTTCAGCTTCCGCTGCACAGCGGCTGGCACGAAAGCAGAAACGGCCTCTTGCCTAAGATCTCGCATAACAGGTTTGGCTTCGTAAACGGTTTGGTGTTGGACAGAAGGCGCCTCCGTCCTCTGAGACTCTTCTTTCTTTGCCATATCTTCACGCATCGCATCGGCATTTGGGTTTCGTCGTGCCCGCCGCCGCGCGTACCACTGGTCCAGAACTTCCTTGGAAATCGGGGGCGGTGTGTCTCTAGGCATCGGAATCCTGCGCACCTCTTCCGGCACATCCTCGTCGGTACTTGAGCCTGCAGAATTCCGCCGTCTCTTCCCCAAGACGCCCGAACTCCCTTCTCGTCGGCCGCCACGGTTGAATGAAGGTGCTCTGTCGCCCAGTATCTCTCGCGCCTTCCTCACACCCCTGAATTCCTTCTCGAGTCCTTCTAACAACTGCTCCTCATGCCGTGATAGCTTGCCGCCGCCGGCAGCAATGGCCTTTAAATCATCGATCTGCTTCTGTATTCGGTCCGGGTTCTTGCGCGCCAGTCGTTCGTTACGTCTGTCCTGAGCTTCTGCTTTGCCTGAGGAAGCAGGTTAGAACAGGATCTGGAGTGTTGATCCAAAAGTAATCGCGAGGCATACCCTTTTTGATGGCCTTGGCTTTTTCAGCTTTCCGCTGGGCTTGGACGGGGTTGTAGCCCTTTTCCTTTGGCATTTTGCGAGAGCCTGACTCACGCTACGTCTGGATTCAAGGACTGAGAATCGTTTCTAGTCTAGGCGACGAGGCCTCTTTATTCGAACGTCTGTTGTTTGCTTTGTTGTGTGGGAAACTGTTGGGGGAGTTGCGTTTGAGGTTTGAGTCGCACATTGGAGGTTGGCACGCGTAGCTCCCAAGTACTTGAGCAGTGAGTGGGTCATTGCTTTACGAATCAAGTCTAGACCCGCTGCAGCTTCTTCACCACTTTAAATTTCACTACAGAGTAAATAGCTTCGCATTATCATCTCACATGACTTCGCTCCCCATCACAGCCTAGTACTATGCATTCTCTTCCACAGTACAATCCAATTTTATCGTCAGGCTGTCCTTTGCTGCGCTTCGCAAAGGGAGGTATCGTCGTGCGTCGTGCGCTGTCTTGCTTACATCTCCTCAATACCCTTAATACAAGTCATCGTGATTTGGTGGCAGGAGAAAATAAGCGACTCGACGAGCGTCGATACGTCACCAAAACCGGGGACACTGGTGTTCATGTTGTAACGTGATGACGCGAGACGACGTCGACAATTTATGTCGTTGATGACGACGCCTCACAGGATGCAGAGTACGATGCCCATCGTCCCGGCCGATAGTCGATCTGTCATGCTTAACTTGAGTCTGATAGCCCCAAGACACCCAGGCAAACGAGTACGAATCAGCGCCTAGTCATCCACTTGATTCGGCTTGGAAATCCCAAATGCCTTATTCATGCTGTCGTCGGAATCACAAGGTACCGCATCCAAAACCTCCATGTTTCTTTGGCCATGTCGTTCACCGATCCTATACCCAGCATGACTGCCCAGGGCGTACCACATCCAGATGGTCAGGAGAGCCGCGGAAACGAGAAAGCCAAAAATGGTCCAGTTGCCCTTGCTGTACATTGGAGAGTCGCCGCTGGGGAAAAGAAACGGTGCCGATACGCCTCCACAGTTGGCGATGGCAATCATTCCGCCAGTCGCAAGTGCAGTCGCTGTTGAGCCTTGTACCGTGGCCGTTCGGTACTGTCTCGTCCATGTCGTTAGTTTTCAGCCGGCCACCAGTTTTTGTCTTTCTTTCCCCGTCCATCTGCTGAAATCAGAGAATGGACTTACCGCAACAAAAGGCAGAACCGCCGCATTTGTGCAAGCAATAATGCACACTGCGAAATACCGAACGCCTCGCTGCGAGACGACAGCCAGCAGCAGATATCCCGTCGCAAGGAATGCCAAAGCCCCGAGAATGTGTCGCGGCCGCTCTCTCGTTTTGTCGCTATGAAGACAAACCCCAATGACGATTATCATGGCCACCACGTTTGGCGGCACCGTCATAAGCTGGGCTTGGTAACCCTTGTATCCTAACGCTGCCACGATGGTCGGGGCAAAATAACCAAAAGCATTCAGCGAGTTCGTCATGAGAAAGTAGTGTGCCGCGAATAGCCAAAACCAGGGGTCAACCACGGTTTTCTTTGTCACATGGCTGTCCCAATGCTTGTCCTTCATGGATGGTGCATGCGGCCCAAGACGTTTCACAGCAAACGCTCGCTCTTCAGGCGTCAGCCACGCAGACGTCTGAGGATAGTCGGGGAGCCAAAACCACACCATGATCCCGGCAATTACAGCCGGTATCCCCTCGAGCATGAAAAGCCACTGCCAGCCGGACAGTCCAGCCTTTTTGTTGAGAAACGAAATCACCGTAGCGAGCAGACCCCCAAAGGTGCCCGCGACGGAAACTGAGGTTGCAAATATGGCCATTCGGGTTGCGCGCTCCTCGGGCCTGTACCAGAAACACAGGTACATCATTATTCCGGGGAAGAAGCCTGCCTCAGCAAGACCCAGGGCCATGCGGACAGCCAGAAGGCCGCCGTAGGTTGTGACGGCGGCCGTGCAAATGGTGATGATGCCCCAGCTCACCATGATGCGGGCAATCCAGCGGCTGGGGGAGAAGTACTTCAACAAAATGTTGGAAGGAAACTCCATGAGGACGTATGGGACGAAAAAGAGGGCCACGGCAACATTGTACCGCTGACCTGTGAGGTTGAGCTGCGTTACCATGTTGTTTTCTGGCGTATCGTTGTTGAGCGTTCGGGCATTGCCCAAGTTGACTCTGTCCAAGTAGTCTTTACTCACATTTGATCAGCTTTTGCCTATGTGTGAAGATGGGATGACCAAGACGGATCGAGATGGACGGACGTACTAAGAAGATATGTGAGACATACCCACGGCAGAATCCGAAGATCTTGCTTGCGGACGATGCGACGCTCCATTGCCTTGTCCGAGATGTCGACAGACTCAAGCCCTGGCACGTCAGGTGACGGCATCGGCGACACGATGGACTTCCATCTCGCCATGATGTCTTCTACAAGACAACTGGGACAGCAGGCGGCGATTTTGTGACCTTGACCCTAACATTTAGGGTTTCGCAAAGTAATGCCACGGAACGCGGACAGTTCTTATATCTGTCTAGGCAGTTATCAAACGTCCATGCCGCCGGATACCGTGATACATCATGCTGTACCATGCTTGCGATACAGTCACCATTATCGGCTGACCGGCCGCCGCGACTCGCTACGCATTGTCTTATCTGAGGTGTGGAGATGAGCTAGCGTTCTGGGTTTGATGATCGATAGCGGCTGATCTGTCTTATTGCCTCTGCAATGCAGAGGCTAGTAGTCGAAAACGGGGCAGGCTGTAGGATAGCCATAACTATGATGCGCATGGATGCCGAACTGGGGTTGGTTGTCGTCTGAGCTCGAATTTCATATACATTGTACAATAAAGACACAGTACACACTTTGTATTGGCCCCTTCTTGCAGCCCGACATGGGCAAAACTTCCAACATTAAGGTTTGTTTGGCTGTAAAGCCAAAGGAACATGTGGCCGTGCCAGGAAGAAGGCGTCGCCAAGTTGGAACTGGCTCCTTTGGTCCTACCACGTTTACTTCCCCCATTCCGTCCAAAGTGCATGGGCAAGTTTCTCTGGTCGGCCTTCCGTGCGTTTTTGGTAGAACAAAGACTACATGTGTACACCTGGGTATGCAGTGGTAGTGCACAGCTAAGAACCAGCCCCTTGCACTTTGTTACTCGACAGTTTCGAGCAACGGGTCGATAATGGCAGCCAGTCGAGATGCCATCTTGCGACCGCCCTCCACACTCGGCTCCACCCTCTCGACGTAGTCTCCGCCAAGTTTCCCATCCAAAGCCTCAGACAAGGATAGTGGAATCACGGACACGCCAGGGATCCGAACCTTCTTTGTCGCGACTTCATACATGGTGGTGATTGCTGCCTGCAGCCGGCCGGGCCATCGGTTGTAGCCCAGGGCCCCGAGAGAAATATCCGCCCAGCTTGGCTGGTTCGCTGCCTGTGCCTCGAGAGGAAAGTAAATCATACAAACGATGACAGCGCGGGGTTTGTGCTTTTCCACCAGCTTGCACACATACTTCTCAACCTGCGTCTTGAACATGTTGACAAAGTAGCGAAGCGCACAGGCCGTGCCATTTCGGACCCGAGACGTCGGTGTCAGCCATGCAAGCAGCAGCATGTGGCATATGGTGGACAGGTTGGGTCTCATGGCGATATCATTGGCGCCTACTGATACGACGAGAAAGTCGTCGGCACGGATGTGATCTCTGATGAACGTGTCATGCGCTAGGAGGTCCCCGTCTCGCTCCCGAAGCAGGGAGGCTTCGACGGCGAGATTGAGCGCCGTGGCTCGGCTGCCCAGGAAATGATTGAGCCAGAAAGCGACATCAGGCTTTGGATGGGGCGGCTCGAGGGCGAACTTGTATATTTCTGGAACTTCGGCGGGCAAAGGCTCGCCGCCAGGAGAGCTGGATGGAAGCCAGTACTTGTTGTCGAGCGACGAATCGCCCGCCAGATATACAATGGGTGCCGTGGGTCGTTGCGAGATGATGGTTTCGCGGAAGGCGGTGACGTCCGAGATGGTGTGGCCCTTGTATTCGAGATAGAACCGCGAGGCGTTTATCTTCTTTCCCATTTCCGCCCCTGCAGCGGCCAGTTGGAGAATGTTTTGATACAAAATGAAGGATGGACTTGAACAGCCAACAGTGTGACGTTGGTAGAAGAAGCAATTAACTACAAGAGCCAGCGTGTAAAGTGGGAGGCAGGATGCAAGCAGTGAGCACTGGGCAACGGCCAAGTCGCCCCACTCATGTGCCTACCTCCGGTACGACCAGGCACTCAAGTACTAGGAACATACCTACTAACTACTTCTAGGTAGGTACTTAAGCAGGTACCTACGTAGGTACCGGCGGCTCTGTTGAACTTGCCACATCGAAAACCAACAAACATCGAAACATGTTTGAAATGTTTCGTCAACGTTCATTCAAGGAGCACATAGCTACGCCGCCCCGGTCAATGTATCCAAGGCATTGCCAGCTGGCTACAACACCGTCATTTTCGCGACAAATTCCTTGGCCCGACCCAATGGAGAACGCCGTCACGACTCACGAGTGATAAAGCCGCTGAGGAGAATTTTGCCCTGGTCCGGTTCGAAAACTCGGACGCGTGGGTTGCTCAAATTTCAATACGTTCATGAATTGATGAGAAAATGGATGTCGAACTGGCCACGATGCAGTGAAGCCCTTCGTCCCTCTTCACCGCTACAAATTCGTCCATGGATTTAGCGATATCATGGACCCCATGTTACGCTGTCTCTACAGATAGGTTTCCCCCAACACGACCATCCATCCTAATACCAAAATTTGATGCCTTCCCATTCTCCAAGAGTTCGACTGGGCTCGCATCCATAGGGGCTTTACACGGGACCAAAATCTGAAAACCTTGGGCTTTTGAAGACAGACATTTGGAGTCGGATTTTCGACAGAACTACCGAGGCTACGTAGTGCCCTTACCACAGCTTGCAGACGTATATATTCGGCTCCGGCATCCCGAGTTCTCGAAAAGAGCACCATTAGGACTTCCATCTAAGGCAACGTCGTTATCGAGCTGTGGCCCGGACAGCACCCAGGTTTCGCAATCATCAGCTCTCTATCGAGATGGCCCTTCCAAAATCGATGAGCTTGACCCTGGCGCGCTGATGAAAAGCACCACACTGTTGAGACAGCTAGCGTGTTGATCGAAACTCTGTTGTCATTGCTGACAACAACAACAAAGTCGATAAAGACGGACCAGAACCTAGATGGACGGAATTTTTTCTGAGATCTTGCACTCATGGCATCACCTCAAACAGCTTGTAAAGGAGAAGACGACTTGACACCACGGCCAGCGAGGGACCCTTTTGTCACGCACCAAGACATCGCGGCTGTTCATGCCAATATACTCTTTGACGGTGACTTGAACATGGTTTAGATTACCGACTAGGAATGCAGTGGTGCCAAGCCAGCTGTCGGTTTGCCCAGCATGGCTTTTAGGGGCCGATGCCAATCGTGTGCTCGGTACCAAGCAGGGTGCAAATCCTGTACGTCGGCCGTCTCCTCGGCGCCGTCAGGCAGCATGACGTGGATCTTGGCGTTGCCGCTGCCCTGTCCAGCGAATGGGCAGAAAGCGAGAGCTGGCGCCATGCTGTCATCGCGCTGGAGCTGCGTTATGCTGAACTCTCTCAACGTCTTCTGGGACTTTCTTTTGTACGAGCTGACGAGGGTTGCGGAGACGGTGGGAAGGGGCATTTCTTGGCTTTTGGCGCCGAGAGATCAACCCCTGTCTGGAGGGATTGGTTGCGAGCTCGCCAGATCGGGTGGGCTTCGAGGAAGAGAGGAAACACTTCAACCTGCCAGTGGCTTGCAAGGTTGCAAAGCCTTATGAAGGAAGAAGACGTGCTTGAAGTGGGGGAAAGAGGAAGGACGCTTGTTCCCCGCTTCCCAGACAGGACTATACAACCAACAAACCACACTATACGACACAGATCTCGCCCAACACAACATGGGAGAGACCGAGATGTTTCCTCCGGAGGCGTGGCAGTCACCGTGGAGCATGCAAGGGGTGGCAGGCAGCCTGACCGGAGTGAATTCTTCAGACAAACGGTGTCACGCAGCAAGCAGACCTAGTTGGGTAGTCTGACGCAAGGCAACAAGACTTGTATGTTGATTGCGCATGGCTTGGGCCCCTTTTGCTTTTTCTTTTCCTTTTGGGCCTCCCCCGCCACCCGCGCGTGTTGAAATTACCCTGTGCCGAGCGCGGACTTGATGTTTCTAGAGACGATTGTTCCTGCTATAGATTTGGAGCTCGGGCTGTTGATGTTGTTGTGGTGGTGGTGGTGGTGGTGGCGGTGGTGGTCGGGAATCGGGATAGAACTTGGAAGATGAAATAGTACGTAGTCTATTTGCATCAAACTAGGCCAAACGTCAGTCTCCGCTGCAGCCGAGTGATGTAATACTGCATGCCGCCGTACCTGAGGGTTGTATCCATGTCTCATGTCAACGTCCCCATTCCCCCATCGATCTGTGCTCCCACATGTCTTTACGCCCGCCTGCCCAGTTGCGGGGGTGGGCACTTGACTTTGATCTCAAGCACGGAGTACGTAAGGAAAGTCCCAAGGTTTGTACTTTGTACTATGTACTGCGAAGTACTTACCACCTACTCGTATACCCGTCTGGTTGCACCTTCCAAATCCATCCGGACGCACAGTCTGATAAGCTACTCCGTACCACGTAGGTACCTGGGTCCCTGCTACTTTTGCAAGCTTCATTGCCGGGTGTCCGGGCCCGAGACGTCGGGGAAGCATGTCCTCATCCACCAGGAGACGTAAAAGGCCAGGTCGTGGCCTTGGCGTTGTATAATTGAAATAGTTCCAGAGACAAAGGAACGGTGGTGACGGAGACGGCCTGGTTCCCGACGAAAGCAAGCCGGGCAAGAATCCAGTTCCCTGTGTAACTGTTGGCGCACCATCGAGAAACCGCTCAACTTATATTCGCGCCTGCCCCGTGGAAGCTACCTTGGTAGTTGAGGCTTCGGCGGACTGAATGCCTAGCCTCAACCACGTACATGATTGCTGCAATGCACAAAGGTTGCAGCTATCACGATGCCCCCCCGTAGGCCACTCATAAAGGGGCCAACAGGGCTCGGGGCATCAGCCCTGGAAGCCTCAGTCATCTTGGTCAGGACACACACACAGGCATCTTGTTGTACATAGCCCTAGTTGGTCAGGTTTTTTAGATTGCGGAGCCAAGGATCTTTGACCTAGATACTACTTATGAACCTCAGTCTTTACTCCAAGCGCCATTGTCACAGTATTGACGTGGTCTTCCAACTAGGTAGTGGACGACAGAGTTGTTGTTTTTCCCTTTCCTGGGTAATCAAGCTCAATCATCTAAGAGTCCAGCAACGCTTTTCTACCCTACTTGGGCATGCGCGAGGCCTTTTCCTTTTCCTGGAGGAACGATATTGACCCTAGAGCATACTCTACAGACAACAAGTCGACTTTTCCTGCGCAGGGAAAAGTACTCCTGGAGCATTTCCCGTCCCTTTGATCGTGTTGAGGTGCCAGTCAGATACCTGCCCTACTCTTCTTCGATAGGTACAAAAGGGTCATCTACCAAACCTTCCATATCCTTATACCTTGCAGGATTGCTAGTACTTCTACTATGATATTATTTCTGGTAGGGCTTACATACCTTCTAATTTACGGCTTTTCATTGGCTGAGCCCTGATCTCGATACCTGGGCGGCACCTTAACACAGTCAAAGGCATATATATATCCCTTGACGCTCTTAATTCCTCAGGGTCCTCAGGGTATCCGGTACTGTAGATTGGAGCCAATGGCAATTGTGCTGACTCGTATTATCATCATCGCCAAATACCCACTATTAATATTAATAAAATTTAATATTCAATCAATCGGCAAATCCAAGGAACCCTGACACACATCTCACAGTCTCACCACGTTCGCCGACAAGTCACGCGCTAGTCCTTGCCAAATTCCTGGTCTCCTCGGCCATTTTGGCAGCCTAGACAAGACATCTCAACACATTTCTGGCTCCTCGATGATTTTTCGAGCTTAGACAAGACAGCTCAACAATGCATGATTCATTTCCCTCTGCTTCGAACCCAGCCCTTAACGGTTTGCCATGTGCTATTTCTCAACGTAATTCATGGCGGCATTGGTGGCATTCAGGATCGCTCTGCCCGTCGTTCCAGCAGCTTGGTCTCAAGTCTCAGAGATGAGGTTCGCCGCGTCCATCTTCATCTACTCGGTACTCCCGTCATGGCCGTGTCCGTCTCCAACAGCCCTCCTAGTTTCAAGCAAGACAGTGACCGCCGTGAAGGACTCTGTTCGACCGGACGTCGTGTTGCCTTTTCAAGAAGCAAGTCTCGCCGATCATACGCATAACCACGCTCGGAGCTGAAGCTGGGCTGTCGTTCACGACGGAGCGGCGCCGCGCCCAGGTCTGCTGAAACTATGCGAGTCAGCCCCAAGAATTTCTACCGGGCATTTGCTCCAGCGGGCGTGCTCCTATTGCCCTGTATTGTCTTGTTGATCTTTCGCACTCCTGCCCGTCACTTTTCCGCTGTCCACGACCGGTGGCGGTCCTCTGACCGAGCGGCGGGAACGCCAGGACAGGCGGCTGGAAACAGCACCTTGGGCTTCAGCGGCATTTACTTCATCAACATGAAGAGGCGCTATGATCGCCTCGATGCTCTCTCCCTGCAATGTTTCCTGTCTGGTCTAGAGGCGAAGGAGGTTCCTGCGATCGAGCCCGACATGATCAACGATGCGGGTATGCCGCCTAGCAAATCACCCAACTTGGTGAAAATAGGTGAGAAAGGCGCTTGGAGAGCTCATGCGAATGTAAGTTGAGCGGCCACTTGGGAATCCCAATTCTTCACAAACCAAGACAACAAAGGAAAGGAAAGGAAAAGAAAAGAAAAGAAAAAAGAAAAAAATGTCTGCTAATATTTTCGCAGATTTGGTCAGCCATGCTGAGAAATAACCTCCCGCCCGTCATCATTCTTGAATCGGATGCAACTTGGGATGTGAATATCCGCAAAATCATGCTCAACCTGAATAAAAATTTCCGCCAATTTCTAAAAGAAATCAATTCGACTAGACTTCCCAATCCTCGCTGGACAGACGACATTGGCGGGAAGGAGGCGTTGGGTGATTTGTGGCAAAGTGACCACTGGGACGTACTCAGTTTAGGCCACTGTCATGACTCGGGAGATAACAGAAACATCAGTATAATCTTCCACGATCCAGCTGTGCCGCCGGGCAAGGACTTTTACGGCAAAAAGCTCGACCGGCAGAGGGTCATCCGAAAAGCCGGACGCATCGTTTGCACAACGGCGTATGCCATCACCCAGACTGGGGCAGCTAAGCTACTGCTCAAGACGTCCCGGAACCTTGACGGTCCATTGGATCTGATTGTCATGGACATGGTTATGTCGGGGGAACTCGTGGCGTACAGCACGATGCCGCCCATCATGGCGCAATGGCAGTATGTGGGCGGCATCGGGATGAACGAGCGCGGAGCCAACAGCGACATACAGGGATCCGAAGAAGACGCCGAGAAGGAGGAGCCCGACGAGAACCCCTGGGAGAAGGTTGACAAGTCTGGTAGTGTGTGGACAACCAAGCCATGGCATGAGGACGTTGCCTTTGAAGACATGGCCCTGCAGGTTGCCTGGCAGAGGATTTTTGGAGATGATTTTGGAAGCGACAGCAAGGGCGAATGAGGCACATGCTTGTGTCCTAATCAGCCTTTGGGCACTGCGTTTTCACTCTGATTAACAGGTCCTTCGATCCACGACGCCTTGGTTCTTGGCCCGCCGTCGCATATGCGCCGAAAAAAAAAGTCATTGTGGACTTGCCATGGGCATCAGACTTTTTCGAGGCTCAACGATGCCCCATGTCAGAGAGTGATTGGCTGCTTAGTCGGAGTCAAGCTACACTCTTCAGACCCGTGGAGAACGGACCAAGATGCATGTAGCACAGGGAGCATGAAGCTTAGGAGTCCAATCGGGTCCAGGACACTTGGACTTGGAGGAGCATAATGAAGTCACACGCAAAGCCCCTTTCTGTAGAAGTCGTGAGAATAGAGTCATTATTAAAATGATGAATAGAGCCGAACCCTTCTTTCCAGCAGTGACACGTACATCAGCATCACTTACCCGGGTAGTAAGTACCCTTGAGTAGCGCACCAAATGCCGCCCGCGTCTAGGATGTCACAGTGAGCCATGAGCTTTCAGTCCCATCACAAACAGCGCACGGATGGATACAAGCAAAGGTCAGCATAACAAGACTACCAGCACGAATCGTCCGAACTGCAGGTTGAATTACCATGTCTCCCCAAGAAAGGAGACTCTCTCCACAGACTTGCACTGCCCAAACGTATCCCGAACGACTTGCTCCAATACGCAGCATATCCCATCGACTCCCTCCCGTCGCTACGTGATCCTCACCGGGAACGATTTGCAAATCAAAGTCTCCCCCGTCTGAGCAATCAGTCGTAGTTTCACGCCGACTTTGATCTTGGGATAGGAACTCTGCACCGGGATTTCGACCTTTAACGTCTGGCGCGACCCAGCTTGAGCCGGGCACTGGAGGCCCCAGTTCCCGCATGCTTCGGCAGGCTCCAGGGGGAAGTCGAGCTGGATGATGCCCACCGAGGCAGAGGCGTCTATCTTTGCGCTTTGGAAGGGGGCCGGAGCGGTGAAGGACGCTTCTACGGAGGCGTTGTGGCGCGACGAGAAGACACAGGCGGGGTCGGCGTCGGCGCATCCTGCGACGTGAAACTCGAGGTCTTTTGCTGTGCTTCCTGGGGATTTGTGATGCCGGTCAGATGCCCGCAGCACGAGATGTGAAGACGACGTGGGGGACATACCGCAGTCCATGATTGAAGCGGCATTTGCGGCGCCGAGGATGCCTGGTAAGAGGAACAGCAGGAGGGCATGCATGTCGTGGACTGGATGTTGATTTCTGGACAGGCCGGGGTTTCTTGCAAAGATGTTCACGGCGACAAAGGGGGAGACGGGACAAGAACGGCTTTGGATGGCGAGGCGCAGGCCGCGTTGATATATCCCAGGTAGGTCCTGTCTGTAGGCTGCGTGAAACTGATGAATGTCGTACCGACTGTCGTCCGCAGTAACCATGGCACTGCTGCAAACTAGACTGATTGTTGGTACATGTCTCCAAGTTTGCTGTTTGAGGCCACGGCGGTACCATGGCAAGCAGGGTCTACACGTTTACACAAAATGGGCTCTTGTTTCTGTCCCCGCGTCACATCACAGTCCTCGCTGAGCCCTCTCTGTGCCGTGCCAGCTCGCCACTTTGTGATTTCAGCAACGTGAAACAGATGATGTCGCCAATCCAGCGGGACGGCATCTTCGTCACAAGCAAGCGGATGGACCTCCCACAGGTCGAGGGGCGTTGTATCACGGCGATTCTGCAGCAGTGACCGCGTCGGACGTGGCCGTTGAAAAAGCAAAAAGGGAGGGCAGTCAACCATGTCCACATCCTTCGTCCTGAGATCCGAGCTCCGGCGTCAGGGCCCTGCAGACGCCGCATGCTACCCCTACTCGGCTGCGAAGCTACGTCTACATCAGGAAAGGGCCGACGTTTAGACAAGGAAGCCCTCGTATTTGCTGAGCGGTTGAGCCTGAATGGTGGCGGCGGGAACAGGGGTGTTCCACGTGGAGGACAAGAGACGAAACGAGGCGAACTGAAAAAAGCCTGAAAGAGAGAGAGAAAGAAAGACAGCCGAAGGAAACCAGCAAGCCAGACGCGAGACCGGGACCGAGTGAACAGGGGCGAAATTGGAGAAGAAAAGAAGAAGAAGAAGAAGGGAATGTATGTTGTCAAAGGTGGGTCGTTGAGGCTGGCGATACGGCGAGGCAGGTTGGCGCCGTTTTTGGCAGCTGGCAATTGATCCACAACGTGTCGCCCCTTCCCTCTGGGCAAGTCAAGTTGTAACTTCTTGCCATGTACTTAAGACTTGAGGCAACAGGGGCGGGCGAAGGATCAGCCGTCAATTCGTGTACGGAGTGCGGAGTGACCGGATTTAAAGAGGCTGCCCGTCCTCCAGCATCTTCCAATGGGCCAGTCCTCTCGCTTCCGCTGTATCTCGCTTGCACGGCTCCGTCCACCCGCTCGCGCGAGCAGGCCGACACACACACGCGATGGATTCACAGCAGCAGCAGCAGCAGCAGCAGCCCAACGTTGCTCCTGCGCAACCACAGCAAGCCTACCATGGCGTCGCAAACGACAGCATTCAGCCTGGTCAGCAGCCCAGCAACGGACACGGCCTGCCTCCGAGCTACGACAAGGCAAACCACGCGAGTGTCATCCCCTTGAACCAGCTGGGCAACCAGCCGCAGTGGATTGACTGTCCGTTCTGCCGTCAACGCACGATGACGACGGTGCAGCGAGAGGGCACTTCTATGCAAATGTATGTCACGTATCCCGTGGACCAGCTTGCCGTGGCCAAACGCCCAGTGCTAATGCCGTGACCCCAGCCTCGTTGGTGCCCTCCTCTGCCTCTTCTGCGTTTGCCTCACCTGCGTGCCCTGCCTCGCCGGCTGGTTCGAAGACACCCACTACCGCTGCTCCAACTGCAAGAACGTGGTTGCTATCCGGCGACATGATGGTCCGATCGAAGTCTACGGCCCCGCGATGCCCGTCTACTCTCAATACAGCGGCATCCAAGCTCCCATGAATGCCCAGCAGTCAAACTCTCAGCAGCCATCACTGCCCCAACAGCCTCGGCAGCTTCTGCAACAGCATCAGGAGCAATATCCCATGCATGAGCTTCAACCACAGATTCAGCAACAGCAGCCTGTGCCGCGGCCTGAAGCCAAGAGCTGAGCTAAGCTCCTTCTCGCCAATATTGCCAAACCAAAGGCATTACAAATCACGTCCAAGCCATCAAAACTTCACTCCCCTCGCGAGATCGTCCCGCCACTTCTTTTGTTTGTGGGAGCAAACTAGAACGTGATGGTGATACTGTTACCAATGGTCCATGATACGTTTAGAGGACCATGGGTTGTTTGCCCGACGGGTGGGTTCGTTTTGTATGTTTGTTTACCTGCATTTGAGATACCAAATAAATGCTCTCACTCGTCCTACGTCTATGCTTTTGTTGCAATCAGACAGCGTCCGGTTTGGTTGTTGCAGTTGCAATCCAACGTCTGGCGACTAAGCTACCCGCAAACAGATGCAGAATCTTGACAAAATGCGACATTCGTGCCACAAGTATCGTCATCCCGACTGTGATTGCAGCTTTTTATTTGTCTATTGCCGTAGCCCAGAGGGTGTTGGGTATAAATAAAGCGCGGTATTGGACGCATCCAAACCTCTCCCATGTGGTCCGGCCAAACTTGGTGCAAGGACGTCCCGACTTTAAGCAAGTTTCATCATTGCAGACTGCAGGGCATCGACTAGCTCCGGATACTGACCAAAGATCCAGAGCATTCAACTGGAAGCAATGTGATTCGTGCGGGGGTCTGGAATTCGCGTTGACAAGTTGAAACTCTATTTCCATGGTTGGCACCGCGCCACGCATGGTCGAGCAAATCAGGTTGCAAACCTTTACCAAGAGCGTCACTCTGCGTTTGGGGCTGGCGGGAATCGAGTTGACGGTTCCGACACAGCCGAGCGGCTTGTTGGGGCTTCTCGAGCTTCAACATAAGAATGCGATGCGCCATCCCTCTGCCCGAGTCCTCTGTCCGAGGCCATTCTTGCGCACGGCGACTTGATGCACGCAGAACGAGCGTTTTCTGGTCAAAATTGCCGGCCTCGCAGGCGGAAATTGATGCCGCGCCCCGAAATCACCCGCCGACTAGGACGCGAATCAACCTCATAATGGCACCGGGTGTGAAGGCTGGAGTGAAGCGGCGCCGTGCCGACGACGCCCCAGACTCCCCGGAGGACTTTTCCAACGTCTACGGATCGCACTTTGCTGACCAGGATTTGCCGTGTGACGACATTCCTGATGAGTCGATGCCACCAGAGGTTGCGTACCGCATGATCAAGGACGAGCTCAGTCTGGATAATAATCCGAAGCTCAAGTAAGCGGATAGAAATGTAGAAGCCTTCTTCGTAAAACCCCCACGACGGATACTGACGCGGACTTTCAACAGCCTTGCTTCCTTCGTGTCAACGTACATGGTAAAAGCCGCCAAACCACAGCACCAAGTCCGCCGACTGACAAGCACCATTATTTCCAGGAAAAAGAGGCAGAAGATCTCATGCTGGAAGCCATGTCCAAGAACTTCATCGACTTCGAGGAATACCCGCAGACGGCTGAAATCCATCACCGCTGCGCCAACATGATTGCCAACCTCTTCCACGCGCCGCAAGACACCGCCATTGGCACTTCGACTGTCGGCTCCTCCGAGGCCATTATGCTTGCCGTGCTGGCCATGAAGCGTCGCTGGAAGCAGCAACGTCAGCGACACGGGAAGCCTATTGACAATCCCAACATTATCATGTCCTCCGCGGTACAGGTGTGCTGGGAAAAGGCGGCACGCTACTTTGAGATTGAGGAGAAGTATGTCAACTGTACAAGGACGAGGTTTACGATTGACCCTAAAGAGGCGGTTGAGCTGTGTGACGAGAATACGATTGGTATTGTGGCGATTCTAGGGACCACATATACAGGTGCGTACGAGGATGTCAAGGCCATCAGCGACTTGCTGGTGAAGAAGAAGAGTCATGTGCCGATCCATGTTGATGCCGCGAGCGGAGGCTTTGTGGCGCCTTTTGTACTTCCCCATCTCGAGTGGGACTTTAGAGTTGAAAGGGTCGTTTCCATCAACGTTTCTGGGCACAAGGTGAGCGCGCACCTTTCCCTTTCCTGCCACATTCTTGTCTTGTGCCAGCAGATTCTAACGCTCGTGTCCAGTACGGTCTTGTATATCCTGGCGTGGGCTGGGTGGTATGGCGCTCACCCGAGTACCTCCCCAAGGACCTTATTTTCAACATCAACTATCTCGGCGCCGAGCAGTCCTCCTTCACGCTCAACTTCTCCAAGGGTGCGTCCCAAGTCATTGGGCAGTACTACCAGCTCATCCGACTTGGCAAAGCTGGCTACCGCCACATCATGTGCAATCTTACTAAGACGGCAGACTACCTCGCTGGGGCACTCCGTGAGCTTGGATTCGTTATAATGTCCGAGGGCCAGAGCCAGGGCCTGCCGCTCGTGGCCTTCCGCTTCCCCAGCAAGGACGAGGGGGAGACGGAGGAGAAGGACTTTGACGAGTTCGCCCTGGCGCACTATCTGCGCTCCAGGGGCTGGGTCATCCCTGCGTATACAATGGCCCCCGAGACGGGGCAAATGAAGATGATGAGAATCGTCGTGAGGGAGGACTTCTCAAGGAGCAGGTGCGAGCTGCTGATCAAGGATATCAAGCTGTGCCGCCAGCATCTGGAGCAGGACAGCAATCAATTCATCAAGAGGCTGCAGGAGCACGTGAGACGCCATACCAGTGCTTCCGGCAAGATCCGGGATCCGATGGGTGCAGCCAAGGCCGCGTTCAAGGTATGTTGGTTCCTCTCTTGGATAGACGGAGAGACACGATGCTGATGACACGTAGAACGAACGTCACTCGCTCCAGGGTAAGACTGGCAAAAGTCATGCTGTTTGCTGATGAATCTAGATCACCCATCTTGCAATGCCGCCAAGTACAGCGGTGGTGGTGTCTTTTTTGGTCCTGCCGTCGTTTTGCCACGTTTTCCTACCCAATTACAGTCTTCGTTTGCTGTCCACGTCTAGTGATGCCAACCTGTGACCGCTCGACGTACTCGACAATTTGCTCCTCCTCGATTCGAAGCCATATTAACGCGCCAAAGAAACGAACGCCAGAACAACGGTCAGAATAACGCCTTTGGGCCACAGAAGACATATTTATGCCTCTCCGGACCCTGATGAATGATAAATGTGCTGCGGAGGCCAACAGTCCACAACTCTCCGAATTCATTCCCCATCATCAGCCTGCCGTACTGGAAGCTGACCGTAAACATTGCAAGCCCTTCTAGGAGGGTATGATGAAACAAGGACAAGGACGAGTCGTATTTCCGCCCTCAAGGCATGGCATGCAAGAGAACAAAGACAGGTAGAGCCGCCGCCACTTCCACGACAAGCAGCAACAATGGGACGATGCTTTCACAGACCTCACTTGAGCCGATCCAGAGGGCCCACGTGGCTTCGCCGCAGTGTATAGCAGAGGGGAAAAGTCAGTCACTGCCCTGGATACGTAGTCAGATAGTAATGGAATTTGCTGTGGTTTATATCGTGAATGAACATGATGTGTGCTCTTTTTGCGGCATAACGGAGAACAAGTGTCGCAGGAGTCGAAAGGCGTTCAAAGTAATAGCTTCTGCTTTACCTCTTGTGATTTTATAAAGAGCACTTGATACAGTAAACCAATTACAAGCCTAAACCTGCTAGATGGGTGACGCAATGCAAATTTCTCGTCATTTTCGTGTACTCAGCCGCCTCCCCCGGACCAGCCAGGAAGGAACTTGGTGTACGTTAACAAGCAGCAAACTATATGACGAGTCTTACTTTTCGAATTAAAACAAATCAAGTTAAAAAAAGAAAAAAATGGAAAACAAATGAGTGAAGGACAACTTCTTTCCATTCTGTACTTGCAATACAGAGTATGTATTCTGTATTCTGTGTTTCGAGTGTGTAGCTGATTATGTGCTTTGTATCCGGCACGAGCCACAACTAAAGGGAAAGAAGCAAGGAACATCATAGACATGGTAAATATTGGAGTCTTCCTTTCGTTTCTTTTTCTACCGAAATTGACGACAATCTAGGGGCCATTGACAAATAACATCAAACCCTTACCCTGGGGTCCCTAGATATCTTAAGTAGGTAGCTAAGCAAGCAAGTGCTATCCTTGGCAAAGTGCCGGCCAGTTGCTGGCAGCTGGCAGCCACTTGCTGATCTCCTTTACGTTGCAAATTCGGTTCAAATCAACCATATTTCTTTTTCTCTTCCTTTTCTATGCACCTTGTCCTCGTTCTGACAGACGCCTTCTCCATTCCGGGCGTTCTCAGGTTCCTTTGCAACTCAACAACACATTGAGAATGTCACAATCGAGATCTGACTCGGAAAACACCCTGTCGCCTCAGGCAATACCAGACACCGTGGGTTTTTGTTGCGGCGGCGTAGAGAACAAAGTCCTGTGAGCTAACACAAATACTGAGCCAGGCACTTGTACCTCTCCATACATTTCCGATACAGGATGAATTTGTCTGGCGTCATAAACAAGGTACGGAGATTGAAATGTACAACGAGGGATGTTTGCACCGTCTTTGGAATGAAAGGCGGCAGGAATTTAAATGCTGGGTGGTTACGCCTCTGAACAACTTGATCACGCCGTTCTCTAAGCCATGGCTGCTGCTCGTTCAACCACCCGAAAACCTGGAAACAAGTGGTTTCCCGACCACTACCGACCGTTTCAAAATAGACATGGCTTCTAGCGTCAAAAATGGAGATGATGAGTACTCTCTGGTGCACATGCCAGCTACACGCATTCCAAATCCGTTCGAATCCTTTGAATTGATACAAGATACTAGAGTCAAGACTTTTGCGGCGTATAAAGTCGATGTGCCACGATCTTGGAAGAATTCTGAAGGAGTCCATGTTGAGTTGGATCTGATGTCAAGTTTTCAGATTTCTTGTAGAGCCACCAATTTTGACCGCATCATTCTTGAAGAACGCGAACATCAGCTCCTTACCATCAAATGGGACACCAGTACCGCCACTTTCGAAGCCGAACTTGAAGCTTTGCGTTTCTTCGCTGAAGAGAAACGTCTGAAGACTAGATCTCCTACAGTGAAGTCGCAAAGAGCGTTCCGTATGATTCAGAACTTCCATTCAAGTTGGAAAGACTTTTATGATCTTCACAAAGACTTCCCACAACTTAGAAACCCAGAGCTTCCCAAGCATGCAGTCCCAGATGCCATTGTACGGCGATTTAAAGCCTTTAACAAAGATCATTCTAGCGCTTTCGAGGGCCTGAAACACATACCAAACGGACTCTACTTTGTCAACGGCTGTCCAGGTTCGGGAAAGACGGAATGGAACATGATTCTGGCAGGTCTGATACAATGTTCAATAAAGAAGCACCGAAAAAGGCGAAATCCAATCCTGTTTCTGGTGGACATCAATAAAGCTGCAGACGATGCTGCTAGCAGATACTACTCGCTTTGCCGGGAAGCGGGCGTAGATCTCCGCATCGTTCGCATGCACGGATGGCCACAGGAAATGCGACAGAGTGCTAAAATTTACGGATCACCATCACCCAAACATCAGGACAATTCTTCAGCGCCAGACTTTACTAATCGATTTCTCGTGACGGCTGGCCTCTCCAAGCAGACGAACGTGTCAATAGATCATAACACGGTTCCAACTTTGGACCAAGCATCATGGCAATACTTTGAACAGAAAAAGGACGACGCATTTCTCGGCCTGCAAAAGTTACTGAATAAAATGGACAGTGGCGAAGCCTTGACCACAGATAACTGGAAACATTTAAGAAGCTACGTCTCGAGGCTATATCGTGCCGTCTTGGCGCAGACAGACTTTATCGCAACAACACCTGTCGCAGCATACGGGCGATTCTCAAAATTTGTCAAGCCCGACATCGTCTTCATAGACGAGGCTTCACACGCCAGAGAGCTCACCACACTCATTCCTTTGGCGTACTTTACGCCCAAGGCTTGGATATTCACGGGGGACGTGAAGCAAACGCAGCCGTTCGTAAAGAATGCAAAGGAGAGCGAGAAATACATCGGATTGAAGTTCAATCCGTTTGCCGCGCAACTGAGGTTGAGTACCATGGCCAGGGCTGACCACGTCAATGCTGTCAATAGTAAGCTGCTTGTTAATAAACGAGCTTTTGGCAACCTCCACAGGCTACCATCTGCTATGTTTTATGAGAGCCATATGAAATCCGGATATGACGATGCGTCTCGATACCCTGAAAGCGTGGCCCGCCTGGCTATTTACCTCCAAAGCCTCAGTGGTAATAGACACATGGACGAAAATCGCATTATTGTGAATATGGAAGGCAGCAATGAAGAAAAGTGTCGCGACAGTTATTGGAACGCCATTCACCACCAATGGGTTCTTGCCCAGGCAACGCATCTATTACAGGACGATGAATTCCGTGGCCTCGGAGACGGAGGAACGGGCGGCAAGATCATGATTGCAACTCCATACAGCGCCGCAGCAAAGCAGTATCACGCCGCAGTGAAGAGATGGCCAGAAAGTTGGCAGAGGAGAACCCAGGTCTTGACAGTAGACAAGGCACAGGGGAACGAGGCAGATGTGGTGTTTCTAGACATGGTAAGAACAACTACTGCCGGGTTCATGGACGATCCCAAGCGCTTAAATGTTGCCATCACGAGGGCACGCCAAGCCGAAATCATCTTGATGCGCAGGGCAATGGCTTATATCCCCGGAAGAAAATTCGGTAGAAGCAACTACCTATCGCAGCTATGGGACGATACACTGCTTCATGATCGGATTGTGACGATATAGGCGCGGTTGGAACTTGTTTGTCATAGCTTGTTGACAGGAAGTTAAGCCAAAGCATGAGAACTGGATGAGAATAACTTTGTATAAACATGTGCAAGGGTCACGACCCGTGGTCAAGAATGGAGAGCCCTTGAACGAAGAAGGCTAGTTTATATGCACAAGGCTGATTCTGCGACGAGTTTTGCTGCTTCGTCGTGTCCCTAGACTGACGGCGCTGGTTCAGCACCCCGTCCTTGCGGTGACTTTTGTTGGGGTGGAGGCGGTACATGACTTGTAGATTCAAGATAGAAGTTGCATTTTGGAATGTGAAATTGAAGTCAGTTTCAGGAATGGGGGGCTGGCTTGCTCAGTCCTCGGGGGCCCAGGATATTGGAGGACGACGGGTGATTTGGATTTTTACAAGTTGCCCGGGAACCCAGGGCTTTGGATGTGAGGCTTGATTTTCTGCAAGGGTCCCCGAGTTGAGATCGAATCGCCAAGACCCATCCTGGGACATAGCGCTTATAACTGAGGAGGCAAACAGCGGTTCAGCACATGATAAGACGTCATGGAGAGACCACCAGACTTGGCAAATGGGGCAAGTGGCGGTGCGAAGTACGGCAGATAGTGGCAATATTGTGGGCACGTGACTGGAGGATGACGATGTGCGCTTGCGTTACCTAAGTAGGTAGTCGCGGCCTTTGGACTGATTCGAACGGCGGCAAGCTGGATTTTTCGGGCGACTAGCGACGATGATGCTGGCGGCGGTGGTGGCGGTGGTGATGCTGATGCTCATGATGAAGCAAATCACAGCAATGTGGTGATAAGTTTTCCTCCGCTACAGCGCCAACTCCCCTCTGTACTGCGTACTTTAGCGCACTAGACAGACGCGCAAGCACCCTGGACAGCTGGCATGGAGCCTCCATGTCTCAGACGCCACCAATGAGCGGCATGGGCGGACATCCATCCTAGGACCTGGCACACCTGGGTACCTAAGTACGTAGTGTGCTTGTACCTTGTAGGTGCCTAGTCCTTGCGTGTGCCCACTGCCAGCCACTGGTATTACTGACCCGGTAGTACGGAGTACTCCGCAGTACCTGGCCTTGGCCGGCTTGTGCCGCAGGACCTTCAGCGTCCGTGTATCCAGCATTCATTGAATTGCTCCTGCCGGCAATTGGCCATTACGCTTCGCAACTTCACTTGCGTTCCTCTACTTCTTTGCTACTCCCCGACCTCGTTCTCCTGGCACTTCTCAACTTCTCAACTGCATACCGTCATGTGTGCCTGACAGTGTCCAGACGACGTTCGCTCACATCACATGGTCGCTGCGTGCCGCGCAGTTGCTCAGCCGGCCCCAGCGAGCGAGCCTTTGCGCCAACATTGAACCCCGTCGCCGGCGGCCTCCCGAGTCCCGAGCCCCGACATCGACATCGACATCGACATCGGCATCGGCATCGACCATCTGCTCATGCGGGCAGCTGCTCCATCCTCATCCTCCAGACGGTTGGCTCGTCAGCACGTTGGCACCTGATCGTGCTCGTGCTGTCCGCGACATCTCACAATTTTCGTCATTGAGTCCGAGACCTGCCTTGGCCATGGCGGCTGCTGCTGAGCCTGCCCTAAGAGTCTATCAACGAGACATGAGCCATGGCACCATTGCAGGAACCGTCGTTGGCGTTGTCGTCGCCGTGGCACTGTTAGCCTTTTGTCTTTATCCCGTTGTACTTTATCGAATCAAACGCCGAAGGCGAGCCCGGCGTCCCGAGTTTGATGCCGAACCAGGGCATCTCCCTCAGCCTTTCAGCGGCCCCGGGCACGATCCGAACTCACAGCGTCGCCTCTCGTCCACAGATTCACTCAAGCAGAATGGACACGTCACGCGCGGTGACTTTGGCGCCTTTCACAACAAGGACATCGGTCGGTCCTCCCAGAATGGCCATGTCGCACAGTCTGACGGAAATTCTAGCCCGTCGAGGCGGTCTGCGCAAACAGATGACGCTTCCCGACGAGAACAGGGCCATCGTACTGGCGATGACTTCTTAAACGACAATGTGGCGGACAAAACGCCATTCCCGTATTATTTCGAAAACACCCCGGCCGCAGCGGCACACGATGATAATCCAGGTGTTCTCAAGGGAACCAGTGCTGATTATTACAGCCCGTCAATACCCTCCGAGGCGTTTGGCATGATCACAACGCCAGAGCCTGCCAAGCAAGCGCCTCGGGCATTATCCCTAGGAACCTCTCTTAGAAGCCAGTTCAAGCACATGTTCCGCCATCAGAGAAGCCGCGAAAACTCTCTTGCTTCGGTACTATCTAGCGACGACAAAGTAGCTGCCGCATCCCAGGCACCCCGAGGCACGGAATTTGGGCAAATACTCACGTCTGGGCGTGCAACTGACTCTCCCAACGAGCTTTCGCCCACCACGATATCCATGCCACCACCTCTTGTCCCCAACATGACGCAGCCGCCAGAGAAAAAAGAATCATCCGTGTACCCTCCACAACCACCAATTCAGACCCCGCCGCAATCACCACCAGCGCCTCCCGAAAGAGTGCTCAGGGTATCGCCTTCGCCGCCTATTTTTCCAGCTCCCGGCACTGTGAATCCTATGGATATTATGCCTGCGTCAACAGAGTCAGAAGTATGGCACAGAACTGAGCATCAATTGCATGCCTCCTCATACGGATCCTCACCGGGGCTTTCGTCCTCTGGTGACTCAGCCGAGCAAGAGCATTTCTCAACATTTACTCCTTTGCCGAGGTCTGTACTATGTCCGTCGGACGACGCTCAAACCGCCCAGCCAGCTACTCCGACGAGTCAAAACGCTGCTCGGGGGTTGCAGGTCATGAATGAAATGGATGTGCCGATGATTGAGCTGCATAGCCACAATCACCTGAGCCCATCCATGGTTCCCGACAATGGCCGACATGAGAGTTGTACCTCGGACGGATCAACTCAATACCACGGGCCGCACTCGACCCGGCCCTCCACGGAAAATACCCCTTCAACACAGTTCGACAGTCCTTCTCCAGGTTCAATGAATAGCTCCGAAGTCCGCAGTAGTGCCTCTCCGCAACTCGGGTTAGCATCTCCAAGAACGGGGCTGTTTCGATGCGACGAGCCTGGTTGCATTCAAGTTTTTGATCAGCCACACAAGCTCAAGTAAGTAGGAGGGAGGCCCAGGACGATTATGTCACTAATGTATGTACTACCTTGTTATTTGCGGCAGCTAACCGGGAGGCAGACATCACCAGCGCTATCACATCAAGGAACACAAATGTCCTTACCGTAACTGTGACAAGGGCTTTGGAACCAAGACGCACTTGCAACGGCATATAAATGATCGCCACGAGAAGACGAAAAAATTCCACTGCGCGTTTCCAGAGTGTGACTATTCCAGGTCTGGGGGTAAAGCGTTCCCTCGTAAAGACAACTGGAAGCGGCATATGACTAAAATTCATAATATGGATCAGCAACACCTGCCAGAACCCATAGAAGTCGATCAGGATATAGGCGGTACGTGACTTTGCAATCAGCACAAAATACACGCCCAGAGCGTGTCGGCCCAGACCATTGACACAAACCACCAATCACTGGAACTTCTGACGCAACGGTTCTACGACCATCACCAGTTTCGCGCATGGATTATGGCATATTGAACTATGCCATTGCAAAAGTATATGCCCTCGAGGTGAGCATTTCGGATGAGAGGCTTGCGGCGGAAAATCGACTTCTGCTTCGCTGCGGAAACCCTCCCCCCCTCTTTTTCTTTTTCTCGCCCTTTTCTTGTGATTTGCATTATCTTTGATTACAGCTATGTGCATCTACCAACTTTTGTCTATCATTTTCAAAAAAATGGGAAAGCAGCATGAACGGAAGGACCATGAAAAGGGGTTTTGGGAGTCTATGCATAAAGGACTTTGCTGGAGCAGCAGTGGGGCGTTTGGACGGAGAGTTTTCGATCGAGCATGGCAGATGTAAAGCAGCGCTTTTGCTAATTACAGACGTGACGACTACGTGGCGTTTTGGTTTATGCATGGAAGCACGCGACGAGTATCCTGTGCGCGCAAGTGGCAAAAGGAAGGCGTTTCTTGGTTCAATAGAGAGAGAGAGAGGGCGCTTCAGCTCAAATCTTTGATTATCTTTCGGACCAATTTCTTCTGATCTTCTACGCCTAGTCTCTTCTCATCTGTTTCTTGAATTGCTCTGCCGACGGCAACAATCGTCTTTGTGTTTTCACTGTCAACCCAGAATCGGCCATTGCGGCCTGTGGCAGTGTCGAATTTCAAACCCAAAGCGCCCAGCTCTTCTAATGCAACAATCCTGCCTCCGTGCAGGCTCTTGGGCATCATTAGCCGCCTGGCCATGCCTAATGATATGTCAAACACCATACCACCGACCAAGGGCCCCAATCCATCCGATCTCCCCGTCGACGACGAAACACACTCCAGCTCTGCATCCATGTGCTTATTCGCCATGGTGACGCGCGCGTAGACCAGCGCCCCGGGCGCCAAAACAGGGCGTGTCTTCTTGGTCGCTGATTCGAATGACAATTGTGGGAGCAACACGGGCGCCGTGTAATCCGACAGATGGACGTAGTAGACATCCGCGGCGCTCTTCTGAACCGTCCCTATAACGAGCTCTCCCACCCGAGGGATGTACTAAAGCAGCATGAATTCCCGTTAGCCACGTCTCCGCTCAGACAGTTGATGAGTCGTGTATTTTTTTTTTTTTTTCATCTTCTTGCAGCTTACCCGTCCGTGTGAATTCTCTACCCTGATCGCATTCTTGGTTCTGTCCGCAACAAACTGGCCAGCCAGCGTGGGCACAAGGTCATTCGGCGGAACGTGCCGCAGGCCCGGCCCCAATCTGAGCGGTTTCTTTGGATGTGAGGGCACTAGGTCCGGCGAGATGCGGTCGCCTGGTAGGACGAAGACGGGTTCCGAGGCCATGACTCCGTGGTCCTGGTGGTTGGAGGCGTGTTTCGCGCTTTGCAGGACGGAAGCTGCGTCGGGTCAGGCACCAAGTCGATGAGACGGAGGGGCGTTCAAAAGCGGTTTAGCGACCCGTGGCGCGGGGGGCTTTTTTTTTTTTTTTTTTTTTGGGGGGGGGGGGGTGTTTAAAACCCCACTGATTAAGTTACTTAGTTTGGTTATTTTGCCTGGGCCACGGCAAATCTTGAACTTCACTTGTTTCGACGCGGCGTCGAACCCCTCGGCCCTTTTTCTCTTGGCAGACACCAGGCATTTATACGAGGCGCGATTCGCTTTGTCTGCTGGTGGGTTTCTAAACGCTCTTTACAAGACCACGATTCTTGCTCGCTCGCATCGCACCGGATGTCTGAGGGCAGGGGCGCCAGGCCCGGTCCCGATCCGGCGGACCGGGTGGTTATTGGCATCACTTTCGGCAACTCCAACAGTTCGATTGCGTTTACTGTCGACGACAAGGCCAAGGTCATTGCCAACGAGGACGGAGGTACGTGTCTTGGATGGGGAAAGGAGGTGCTTGGACTGGAGACCTGGACGTTTGCCGAGTGAATGGCGGCCGGCGCCTGGCCGCGACACAGACTGACTGACCTTGGGCACCAGACCGACAGATTCCCACCGTCCTGTCGTACGTCGACGGGGACGAGTACTACGGCGCTCAGGCCAAGGCTTTCTTGGTCCGCAACCCGTCCAACTCCATCGCCTACTTCCGGGAGTTCCTGGGCAAGGAGTACGTACACGCCTTTGGCAACCGGGACGGATGAGCCGTGGACCGTGGTGCTGACAAGGCGGTTCTGAATAGCTTCAAGTCCATCGACCCTACCCACTGCCATGCCGCCGCCCACCCCCAGGACAATGCCGGCAGCGTCTTCTTCGCCGTCAAGGACAAGGACGCCGAGGGCGAGGCCTCCCACGTCTCTGTGGGCGAGGCGGCCACCCGCTATCTGCGCCGCTTGGCGGCCTCTGCCTCGGACTACCTCGGCAAGAAGGTGACGTCGGCCGTCATCACTGTGCCCACCAACTTTGACGAGAAGCAGCGCGAGGCCCTGACCAGGGCGGCCAACGACGCCGACCTCGAGGTGCTGCAGCTCATTTCCGACCCGGTCGCCGCCATGCTGGCGTACGACGCTCGCCCCGAGGCCGTCGTCGAGGACAAGATTGTCGTTGTTGCCGATCTCGGCGGCACGCGCTCGGATGTCGCCGTCGTCGCCTCAAGAGGCGGCATGTACACCGTCCTGGCCACCGCGCACGACTACGAGTTCGCCGGCGTCCAGCTAGACCAGGTGCTGATGGACCACTTCGCAAAGGAGTTCATCAAGAAACACACCACGGACCCGCGCTCCGACCCCAGGAGCCTGGCCAAGCTCAGGCTGGAGGCCGAGGCCACCAAGAAGGCCCTGTCGCTGGGGACAAACGCCCAGTTCAGCGTCGAGAGCCTGGCCGACGGCCTCGACTTCTCGTCCACCATCAGCCGCCTGCGGTACGAGATGATTGGCCGCAAGGTCTTCGACGGCTTCACCCGCCTCGTCGAGGGAGCCGTCAAGAAGGCCGGGCTCGACGTCCTCGACGTCGACGAGGTCATCCTGTGCGGCGGCACGTCCCACACGCCCCGCGTCGCCAACAACCTGCGCGCCGCGTTCCCCGAGAGCACCGAGATCCTCGCCCCGGCCACCAGCGCCGGCGCCGTCAACCCGTCCGAGGTCCAGGCCCGCGGCGCTGCCCTCCAGGCCTCCCTGATCCAGGAGTACGAGGCCGGCGACATCGAGCAGTCCACCCACCCCGCCGTCACGACCGTCAAGCACATCTCCAACGCCATCGGCGTCGTCACCGTCAACCCGGACGGCGAGCAGGTCTTCACCCCCGTCATGCAGGCCGAGACGGCGGCTCCCGCCCGCCGCACCGTGCACATTGCTGCCCCCAGGGACGGCGGCGACGTCCTCGTCAAGATCGTCGAAGGCGGCACCCACATCAAGGTCACCAAGCCCGAGCCCAAGCCCAAGGAACCCGTCAACGGCGACAAGGCGGGCTCGGACGACGACTCCGATTTCGACTCGGAAGGCGACGACGACGACGACGACGACGACGAGAAGCGCGAGAAGATTTGGAAGCTCGGCAAACTACTCGCCGAGGCTGCTATCAAGGGCGTCAAGAAGGGCGGCAAGGTCGAGGTCACCATCAACGTCTTGGCCGATCTCGGCGTCACTGTGACTGCTAGAGAAGTCGGCGGAAAGGGAGGCGTCAGGGGCCACTTGGCTGCGTAGGATGCTTCTTGTCCCAACAGGTCCTCATGGATATAGGTGCAATGCACATGTCGTTTGTTCTGTACGGGGTTTATCTGTGTTCCCCCGCTCCCACTTTTTTTTTTTTTTTCGCCTTTTGTGATATGACCAAAATGAGGAGCAATACCGATAGATGGGTGGACAAAATGGGGACGGAGCAAGGGGGCGTATTCGCTTCCACGGAATTAGAAAGCATGATTCATCATGCCGGGACGGATAAATAAACAGGTTTAATTGTCGTTACACGCCATCATTGGGAAGATGAATCTGGCCTGCCGGGTCGTTTGGCGTCTCAGCAGTGTACGGTCGACATGCACATGTGCGTGTCGGACACAACGCAGGAATTCATGCGCGGGTTGCAGAGGTACATGTTATTATCAGCAGCAAGTCATCAAGCTGCTTTGTTAAATCCTCGCTACAACCCGCCACAGGATACGAGGATATATAAAGGCCATCTTGTTCGAGTGCCGAGGTCAAGCTTCCACGCCGCCCGGCAAGTTCCAAGCTACCAGGTCCTCCCTCACCTCGAACTCGTCCACCTCCTTGGCCCTCCCCATACCAGGGTCAACCCTTCCCCCGTCACTACTGCCACCCAGCGTTGGTGCAAGACTGCCCATGCTACCACCCATGCTGCTGCCGAGGTCGTCATCACGGGCATCCCTACTGTCCTCGTTGTTGAACCGACCTTCGCGCCTGTGGCCTCTGCTGCCACCGGCCCCTCCGGTGACCGTGGACACGCTCCTGTCACTCGACGTACTCTTAGTATGACTGTGGCGACTGCGACTTCGTACCTGGCCGTTGTTCTGGTGGCTGGCGTATCGGCGGAAGTCACTGGGTCGAAGGGTGCCGCCGGCGGGCTCCGCTTCGCCTTCGTCGCTGTTGTTACTATCGTGCGACTCCTTGTTGGTCCCCCAGCCGTTGCCGCCGGAGAAAATGTCCTCGATGCACTCGTCAGCCGGTAGCTCGTTAGGCTGCCGGGACCAAGAAGCTACAAGAGTTCTGCGGTAGAGATCATGGACTTCGGCGGCATCTCTTGGCTTGGAAATGTTGGGGATTTCTGAAGCCGGGTTAGCAGCAGGACAGACGGCGCCATGAGCACAGTTACATGACGGCGGGCGACCGGGCGTGCAACGTACGTGAAGTGTCATCTTCGACCTCGGGTGCGACTAATCCCGCTATGCCGCCAAACACAGGGGCGGTTTTCAGTGGTGGTGCAACAAAGCTGCGCTCTCCATCCACTTGTACCATGAGGATACCAATCTTGAGCGTACTGTTGATTTTGCTGTCTGACATGAGATATCTCCTCACAACGCCCTCCTCAACGAGGCGACTTTCAGGCAAGGCTTCGCCGTCGGCGGGGGTTGGAGTGACGCCGGTGCTGCTACGTTTTCGAGGCGGTGAGCCAACCTCGCGGCTGATGGATTCACTCTCTTCCACATACTCGGCCAGGTTGAGCTTGACATATCCGAGAGTAATCTTTTCAGCGACAGCAAATTCTTGCAGGACCTCCAACTCCAAGGGGCATTCAGTGAGGTTGTTGTTCTTATCCATGGAGATTCGGACTCCGGTGATGAGTTTGCTGTAGCTGTAATCGACTTTGTGGTTAGAAATGGGGCATTTGCAGGTGCGGCCGCGGTGCTCGGCGTGCATTGAGTGGGCAAGATGCCATTTGATGTATGAGCTGCCAGACACGAGGGGGATGTTGTTCAAATCGTAGACCTGTCGAGGACACATTAGATGCCGCCGCTGAGAGATGGGTTAGGAACGGCCATGGGTCGGACCTTGAGGTGTAATTCGAATTTCGGCTCGAGACATGGTTAGCAAGAGCGACATCGATTGCCGCCGGCGTGAGAGGCCTTCTTAGCCAGGGAGTTGGAAGTCGGGAGACGGCACTCACCCTGCGAGCCTTGCCGACTGTGGACATGAACTTCATGTTAGCGATGCGGTCGGAGGTGAGGACCGATGCAGCAACGCATCAAAAGGCAAGCGCTCAGTCATTGACTGAGTGGTGATGAGCGGGTTTTGGTCCAATTGACCAAGCTCACTTGAAGACAAGTTCACTTGAAGAGGGCGCGTCACACAACAAGCCAAGGAGCTTGCACCGGGCGTTCATTGTATGAGATGGGATGAGATGAGACGAGACGAGATGAGAGATGAGACGAGATGAGACGAGAATGGCTCGGTGCCAAACGACCAGCACACGGGGGCGTTGGAAGCAGGGCTTACTGAGAGAGGCCATGACGGCAAGTGTCGACCAGCCACTCAGACTGGGCTATGTGCGTGCGGGTGCGCTTGCGGGTGGTGACTCTTTGACTCTCGAGACTTGGACGGACGTGGAGCCCGGTGCCAGCAAAAGGTGAAACTGGAGGCTGCCGCCGCCGCCTCGAGAGAGAGGAGCACGGAACACGTGCCGTGCCGACGCTGCCGGCGGGCGCACTTTTGGGTCCAGGGCCCAGCCAAACAAAGCAGGAGAGTTGTTATTAGGTGGGCGGGCCTGGAGAGTGGAAGAAGGATAAAAATGTCAGAGGTGACGGGGGAAAATCAGTTTGACAGCATTTGGCCCTCCGGTCCCCTGGACCTGATGGGCAGCATCACAGGCCTCCCGCTTCTCTGTACAGCAGCCTCGACCTCGACCTCCTTCCGACTTGGGAAGTACGCACCGGCGTGCACAGGCTGCTTAGTAATCTAAGCACCTCGCCATGGTTGTCAAGAAACCAGAGAGAGTCTGAGGCCCTCTGCGAGTCATACCATTTTACTTGCTCCGTACCAACACGAGGTAACGAGCACTCCGCAGACGTGAAGACAGACTCTGAGGACCAAGGCAACCTAACCTAACCTAGTCGTTGGGTGTGACGGCGCATCATCCGTTATCGATAAAGCTGCTGCTGCGGGCCCGCGTCAAATTTCCAAGCCAAAGTCACGTATCAGTCATTCAACACCAACCACCACCAACATACGATACATCACGCATGAACAGCATCTGCCCCTGCCCAGCTTGGCCATTGTAGCCCAATCGCCATGGGTCCCATGCGAGGATCCCGCGGGCCATCTGCATCCGACACCAGGAAACGTAATACCATGTCAGGCCCTGCTGATGGCGCGCCAAGTGCTCGCAGTGATGCACCTCGTCGAAGCCAAAAGAGAGCCAAACTGCACTCGGCGCGACATATCCCGGCCCAGCCAGCAGATGCCGCATTGAAAGACGGCGAACTCGATCTTCAGGCCTTCGTTGCCGCACACGAATTCGAAATTCGGTCTCACGAGCAGAGCATGGCCACTTCTCAAGCTGTGAGTTCGACCCGTGCATTCCAGCAGGTCCCACGGGGGTTGCGGCGTCGGACAGCAAGTCATAACCCGAAACGAGTGCCTCGAAGGCAGCGAGCAAAAGCCAGGAAAGAGATGGAGGAGGACGGCACCCCATTAGTTGAATCCAGAAGGCGAAAGCCGAAAACAACGAGGGCGAGAATACGAGCAGAAACAGCAAAACGCCTAGGTATTCTGGCTGCGCGGAAGCGCAAAAGGTTGCTGGAAAAGGAGAAGTCGGCTCGGGCCCAAGGCAAGTCACTTGCCACTGAAGCCGAGCGGTTAGCCAGACGGCAACTCAAACCCAAGATTCGAAGAAACCAGCTCAACGACCCTCCCAGACCGCCGGCCAGGTTTCGAAAGAGGCAGATCAATAAAACCTGGCTACCGACTCACAAGTGGCACGCGAAAAGAGCACACATGACTGATCCAAAGAACCCCCTGTGGCGCTTTGCGATCCCCCTGACGCCAACCGAGAAAGTTTATCGGCCGACTCACCGTGCTCAAGGCGAGAGGGGAACCATGGTTTGGGATATGAGTTACATGAGCACAATTGGCGTTTATGGAAGCCACAACGGGATAGAAAAGACTCTCAAGAACATTGGGGTCATCCAGGAGTCGTGTTGGAACGACAAAGGCACCAGGTGGAGGATGGGGTCCAGAGCATGGTCGGGCTACCTTTCCCGGCAACAGGATGGTGGCCTGAAAAGAAGCATGTGTCCAGCTACGATTATATGGAATCCAGAGCCGACGGCTTCACAAAATGCGCCGACTACAAGCCGCGGTAAGCGGCAGCTCTTTATAAGAGTACATCCAGCAGCATTTCTCGAAGTTTTTGCCGAGCTAGTGCGCCTGTCCAAGATGAAGGGTTCGGGTGTTTTTGTCGAAGATTTGAGGTTCGAGATCGGCAGCATCGAACTTACCGGCCCTGCGTCTACGGAAACCCTTTTGAGCACCCTCACACCCTACGCAACTGAGGAAAAGCCCAAGAACAGGCACGCCAGTCTCTTCGGGTCTCTGAAAGGTTTAAGTAATCCCGCCTCATTACCAGCAAACTCGGTTCTTGGATTCCCAGTACAGGACCCCCGTCTAAGACACCCGCCTCGAAAAATGGAACCTTCGTGCGATGCCGAAGCTGAGAACAAGCTGCTGGAGGTATTGGCACAGTGGCCAGCAGAAGAGCAGCTCGAACCTTATGGGCTGTTTGACAGAACCAGCCGCTTCCAGGCCAAATGCTTGCCAACACAAAAGACCATCAACAGGAGGCGGAGTGCAATAAGCCCTGGGTCGTTCTTGAAACCTGCGCAAATAGACCCCCCTATTCCCATCATTCTGATTTCCTCCCGCTCACCTACAAGCACACAGGCCCAGGGTACGTGGGTGCTGCTCATGCCGTGGAGATGCGTCCTGCCATTGTGGTTCAGCATTGTCCACTGTCCTCTCATATCTGGTATGAACCCTCGATTTGGTGGATTAAACGAGACGATGCAGGTCGCGTTTGAACGAGGGCTGCCGTGGTTCCCGACGGACCACGTGGGCACCGATTCCGGTGCCAAGTGGGAATTGGAGGAGCGTCAGAAGCGGCAGCGAGCATACGACAGGCGGCCCAAGAGCAAGAGAACCCAATGGGCGACGCTGGACCTGGGGGCCGGCAGGAAAGGCGAAATCGGTGACGGTTTGGCTTGCGACTATGAGCTACTTTTTGATCTGCCTGCGCCTCCAAGGACAACCATCACCACCAACGAACCTGAGCTTGTGCAAGCAGACGGATGCGACGACGACGATGCCATGGACGTGGTGGACCAGCAAGCTTCTACGCCCGACACAAGGCCGCATCCCCCATCGCTGATGCTACTCAACTCAATCTCGGGCGCAGATTTTCTCAGGGCATCATCGTCGGTAGACTCCCCGCCGACCCTCGCACCACACGCCGTCGTGAACGTCCGCATCACGCTCCTCTCACGCGGGGCAGCAACCACATGCGCCAGAATCTACAGACTCCCCACGCCACCAACTCCAACGCCGACGCCTTCAAACGCCCAAGTCCCAGCCACGATTCCGCCACCACGGGGCAACGACTCCAGACTACCGCACGACCTTCGCGCCCAGTGGCTCTCCCAGGTGCCGCCAGCACGTAGCTCCTCGTCTACACGGTCTCGCGGCACCGGCAAGCCCACGGACATGGAGTCCCGCAGACGGCTCCTCGCCCAGGAACTCACAGCACCGCCCGCCGCCTACCCGCCCCCTCCACCGAACCAGGTGGACGTGGGCGGCCATCCACTGGTTCCAGATGCCACGGACCTCATCGGCTTCGTGACATCCGGCTCATACTGTCTTCGCGACGGCAAAGCCGCAGCCATTGGCAGCGTAGCCGTCGACAAGGTCATTCCCGGCGTCAAGGCAAACAGCAAAGAGGGACGACTGTGTATAGTACGAAACGCCGGCGAGAATATCGGCTGGATAGCAAGGTGGGAGGCGCTATAGCCATACTAATACCAGACGCGTGGTGGTAAACTCGTATAATGATGCAGTGTATGCATCGCGAAATCGGGGAAATCCACCAGACGCCGCCTGCCCGCCAGTCGTGATGCCCCCGCGTCGACGGTACCCCCCCAACGCGAGATGGCGCCGCGCGACGGGAGCAAAGACAACGGCGACGCCGGAGGCGCCTCGGATGAGTCGACGATCAATGGCACGGGGGAGAGAGCGCAAGCTGTACAGGTTTATTCGTCTTGGTACAATGAGTAGCAAAGGCCGCCAGCCATCTTGGTGAATCGCGCACCCGTATCCCTGCCCCCTCCAACGCCGTCTAGTCCCAGGGGCAAGTTCGAAACCAGAGTCCATGTCCACCTATTCCTTTTTCTCAATCCAAAACGCCACCAACCAAGCAGCCCCTTCCTTTCGAGCGTCTCCGTTAATCCTCTTCGCTGATCTCGCTCTCGTCGCCTGCCACGGGCGTGTCCTCCTGGCTGTTGGCCAGACCCTCAAAGGCCTCCTCCATCTCTTTCTCCAAGTCACCCTCTAGATCGTGGGCGACGTCGACGTCGCCCTCGTCGTGCTCTTCCTCCCTGGCGTCCTCGTCCGTCGGTTCCGGCCCCGGTCCCTGTCGGTGGTGGTTCACCGGACTGGGTAGCTTAAAGTCCATGTCTGGCTCGTCGTCGCTCTCCCCATCCGCGTCGTCGGCGTCAGAGTCTCGCTGGTTCATGAAATCGTCAAAGGGCCTCAGAGGCGGGAACGCCGGGGAGAAGTCGGTCTGTCTAGCCGCAGCCGCGGTATCCGCGCCAGGGTACTCAATCAGCAAGCCGCCGTCGTCGTCTTCGTCCTCGTCCTCCTCCTCGTCAAAGGAGTTGCGTTTCGGCTTGGGTTTCTCCTTTTCCGGCTCGGGGAAAGAGAGCGCCGCCTCCTTGGCCTGTTGCTTCTTCTCGGGCTTGCGCTTGGGCTCCTTGGGCTCCTTGGGCTGCGGCTTCGCGGCCGAGGTTGCCGATGACGAGACCTTGGGCGCAGGGGTCTTTTTGGCAGCGCCTCGCTTGGGCTGTGTTTCTGGCCCGCGCTTGTTTTCGAGGTGAGGATACTGTCGGCTTAGGCGGGCCGAGTCAGAGTTGCCCGGGAGCCGTGTGACGTTCATGTTGAACGTGGAGTCGATCCTGTCGAGGATGAAGGCCTTGCGCTCGGCGTCGAAGTGGAGGACATATTGGCTGCCGGTGGTGTTTCTCGAGCCGGCGTAGGCATACGCGCCGTCGTCGTCGGTGAATGACAAATCGTACGAGTCTGTTTTGCCGGGGACCGAAGGCTTCAGGCGGGCACTGCTGGGAGCATCATCCGAGGACAGGGCAGGTTTGTGGTTATCTGGACGGGAGACATGAGTGTTGGCACGCACAAGGCACGGCTGTCGTTTATTGGGGGAGGAGGGGAGGAGGGGGGTCGCACATCGGATGCCGGTAAAGATGTCGTTGGACGTCTTCCCAAGCAGCCCGTCTCCGAGAATGACGGGATACTTGCCCGCGACGGTCGGGTCGATCAGGCCAGCCATGTTGGCGCTGATTGAAGCCGAGAGCGGTGCAGCCCGCCGCATGCGTTTTTCTATGTTGTTGGTTTCAAGGTCGCAATTTGTAGTAGGCCGGTGTCTTTCAGGGAACAGCGGCTGCGTTGGGAAGTTGGATGATGATGGATTGAAGAATGAAGTGAGCTTGCCGAGACGGGAGACGGGAATGGGCGATGGGCGATGGGCGATGGGCGGCGGGGCGAAAGTGGGGCTGGACTTTAGAAGCCAAGTACGTACTACTCCGTACGTAACTCCGTAATCCGAACCAACCACGACGATTACGTGCTTGCTTGCGTGTAGCCATCAACTCGAACACATGAACGGGAACGCCAGAGCATGGATGGTCAGCGTCTCCGTGGCCTGACAAAGACGCAGCGACCATCCAATGCAAATGTGGCCCTTTTTGTCCTCAATGGTACTGGCACAAATACCTACCTAGTGAGGTATGCAGTATGCATGTGCCCATTCAACAGCGTAAAGACCACGTGGCACTCAACCTTTCCACCGCGAGAAATCACCAGACAAAGCTCAAAGGGTTAACTGATAATGAATGTGATTACTATTGCTATTGTTCCAAGTACAACTGCCGAAACAAGTCAGTGACTGAGCTTCTCCAGAGGGCTTGCAAGAGCCGACTCACACGCTTTTGAGGATGGCAACATCCACCCGCGCTGTCCGGGGCAAAATAATGTCATGACGGAGTATTCGAATAATGTCACCGAGAAAAAAGAAAAGAAAACCATTCAAATCTTCACCTGCCAAGAGCTCTACCTTCCAAGTTGGCTTGTCCATGTCTAACCAGGTCACCTCCAAAGCCCTGAACGAAGCGGGCTCGTTTCGAGCGACTCGCAACGCTCGTCGATTCGATTCGGAGAGTAGAGAAATACAATCAAGAGACATGTGCCTATACCCAAGCTCTGTATTGTCAGTATATCCAGAGACAAGGGGTAGCTCTTTCAAGTTTGGGATGAGATTGTTTACAAGCCCAAATGTTCCTTTATTGTAGATGGCGCAACAAGCCAGACGAGTACAGCCAAAGTCGTGATGAACTGACACTCAATTACCTTTCCTGCATAGAGGGGCAGTGTCATCTCTGCGCTGGAACGATTTGTGCTCACCAGGTCATTTGAGCTTTCCACGTGTCTGGCTACGTTGCTCTCTCGAATCGGAATCCTCATCCAATACACCCGACTCAAGGAGCACGCCGTTCAAATGACGGAGAAATTCGGCAGGTTGTCCCAGAGGCATTGCCAGGTACGAAATCGAAACAGGAGGGCAGTCGAAGAACAACGAGGGGTCGATGAACTTGTAAAGAAAGTTGAATGGAAAGCGAGCCGTGTAAAAGTAGAGGTGACTTGCCGGCCGTCGTGGAAGGGCGACCAAAGATACACGCAAGCATGCCCCATCGTCGTTGCTGTGATGATGGCCTCTCTCGGCTTGTCTTTGGGCTAGTGCGATCAAAACACATAGTATAAATGGATCCTCAACTGAGACTGAGGGCGTGATTTGACGCTGTTTCTTTCTTCGAATGCCTTCCATGATGGCGTTGGATGGCGATCGATGGGGCCACCAGATGTATTTCCTTCGCAGAGCGCGTATGGTATCGAAGTTGATGTAAGCAATGCAAGAGCTCCCCAGGTCGTTGTCAAAAACTCCGTCGGTATATAGAAGGTCAACTTCTCTTCCGTCAAAGTGCAGGATAAGGTAGTTGTTTCTATGGCATGGCAGTTAGCGTGCAAGAGCACGTATTCAAGCAACCGCGGAGCGGACGGAGTTGACCGACGTTGAACAAGAGAAATCGAGCAACTCCAGAAGCTCTTCGACGGCATCTTTTTGCACGACTGGAATACCAGTCTCCATGAAGCCCACCAGCTCCTCGCCCCAGGCCGTCTGCCACGCGCTTCGCGCCTGAGCGAGCCTCTCTTCTCCACGTACGAACTGAACATTCAAGATTCTTAGGTGACGTGAAGTCCAACCAATGCATCTGACAAGGATGCTCTCTCGATTGTGTGCCTGAATAATCGCGCGCAGTGAGCCCGGCTCAGGGTGGTCGGCCTACGACATGCTTCTGGACTTTGACGGTTGACAGTGTCGTGACGACCTTCTCATCACGCTGCTCTGAAGTGCTTCTATGTGTCTGGAGGTGGCGGCGGCATGAAAAGATCAATCTTGAGGATAGAGATGCTGATGTTTGACCTCGGTCTCGGTTGGAGGGCGGAGAGGGAGGCGGGTAGCGTAGGTGAGGAGTAGTCGGAAGATGGTTGACGCTGCCGGATTGTTATTTTGTTTTTGGTACATTCTGATGTTGAGCACTTGACTTTGACTCTCGACATGCTACAGTCGGCGGTCGCGCGTGGCGGCAAGAGCAGTGCGTGGACACTAACCGGTGCCTCCTCACCAGCCTGCCAGTGACCGCCGAAAAACTATTTTATTTGCACGGCGTTCCTTTTGGGCTCAAGAGCGTGGCTATCCTGACTGATCGGTTCTGGCGGCGCAGTTCAGACGAGAGCTTGACGATTGCCATGTACATACGTACTCGGTCGGTACGGAGTACGTACATGTATCGGAATCTCCACGAGGAACCTCTGACGAATCAGAGGGGCTGTTGGCTGTCGACAACTTGCGTCAGCCTTGGCCCATAGCTTCATCACCGGAGACGCCGCACGGCTCCGACTTGAAACAGCAACCGAAAGATGGGAAACGTCCCCTTATTACCTACCAGCCACTATCCGGGACGTATGTAGTCCAAACCCGACGAACCCGACGTCGTACATACTACACGCATCCCTCACCTCACTTGACACTCACTCGCTCACTCAGTCACTGTGACCCTCGCGGACGGACATGTTGTTTTCCGCGCCCGCCCAAGCCACCATCGCGTTCCCATTCACTGCTGAGATCTGACGCGGGCTAGTCGGCGCCATCGATTGTCCCACATTTCGAAGAAAAGCAAATAATAAACAGGCAAACCTCGGGACGGCCAGACTCCGAGGCTAGTCTTCGGCCATAGGCACCTGGGCATGTCCGTCCGACAGCAAATGCCCTACCGATCTTCTTCGTGCGAGGCGGAGACGATGATCACGGGCTTGATGAAGTAAGGCGTGACTATGTTCCACACTCAAGTACTGTCTTGTTTCTTTCGTCAAGCTACATACATTGTGCTGAGCCCACTAAAATGAACATGCATCATGGGCCGAGATGCCTGCCTGGCTGAAGGGAACCCGTCAGACCCATTGAGATTGTAATCCGCCAACTGTTCCGGACCGAGCAGGCCTGCAACAACAGGCGAAATTCTTTTCACGATTGACGAGGCAAATGTTTGCTCTAGTCGTGGTTGAAGCGTAAACCGGGCCAAGCTTCAGTTCAACCACTCGAGTTGTAGACGACTGAGAGAACTCAGCCTTTGTCCTTTTTCTGTTCTTGTTTCACGACCCCTTTGGTGTGCGATTAATAAGGAACCAAGTCTCACATTCTTCTCAGACTTTGAGTCGTGTTCACTGCGCACACCGCTCACAGTGGGCGGAGCGGAAACGAGTGCCATTGACTGAGGCCCTCCTTGGTGAATGAAGCTCGTGACCGACTCTGGCCGCTGTTTCACAGGCATTTATCAGTCAGACTCAGGGCGCGAGATGCGAGCTTGAGATCAAGGTGGTGCCAGCTACAGGAATGCTGGCAGTGCTGGTGCCGAGATCGATTAAATGTAGTACTCCCTCCGTGCGGAGTGTGCGGGTTGATGCCGCCAGGGCCAATTCTTCGGATCAAGACGGGGCGACAACGGAATGCATCTACCCTGACAGTCGGCTTGACCTGGCTGGCCAGAGTAATCCGCTTCTTGTATTGATCCAGCGCTCTTGATTGGCCAAGTGCATTGGCACAAGGATAGAAGCTGGAAATGCTCTGTTCTGGTGTGGCACGAAGTGTCCTCTCCTGTCCTGCCCTGCTTTTGCCCTTGTTTTCTTCTGAACTAGCCGAAACGTCACTTAGTTGCTGTGGGTTCGTCTCGCTGGGCCGTAATACCCGGATGTGATGACGAATGGACTGCATTTCGGCGGATAGAAATCACCGTCCGTCACCGCTTCGCGGCAAGGTTTCGGCTTAGAAATCGGAACAGGTACGCGGGAATAACGGGTGAAAGTACGGAGTAGCAGCGAACCGATCAATTAATCACCCATCGCGTTTGACAAATCGTGCAGAGTAAAGTACTGCGGCGGCCGTTTCCCCCGCTCACCGTAAACCGTTTCAATCATTACTGGTTTTTATCGTTGTCGCGAGAGATCAGGGATGAACCATTTTTTCCCCATTGTATCCACTGGTCGGGTTGTCCCATCTTTGGCCGCTTTAAACCACTTCCAAGTAGTACTAGTAGTACATCATTGTCCATTGAATCGTCAGTAACTTGATCAACAAGATTTCTGAACGGGGTATGTTGGGCTTAAAACTGAAGAGGCTTGCGCTCTGTTGATCATGTTGGTGTTAAACAGGAACTGGAGAAGATAGTTACTGGAATCCAAGCATCCGCCACGAGGCTCACCTCTCCTTTAGTATTTTGTATTTGTACGTGCACCGGACTCTGAATGCTAACTCATCTTACTCCGTAGTATTTGTTGGCCGACCGTCAAAATGGTTGTTTCCCCGTACTCCGTACCCCGTGCTCCGTAAGATGAACGGCCACTGAACTGGGGTGGGATGGATGCTCGGAAACTGCGAGGCTATGGTCGTATTGTAACTTACTAAGTTAATAGCAAGCAAGTGATGGGGATCAAGTGCTGCCAATTGCCAATTGCCAGAGGCTGCGCAGGAGTCCCGCAAGCATTCATGACAAATACCTGTTGGCCTCAACTCTAGTGGCTTCAAAATTTCGGATTGAGGTTCCTGCCGAATCCAGCACTCCCGGTCTTTGTGGCCACCTGGGTAAAATCACACTGACTTCTTTTCTCAGCATTGTGTCGTACGTGCCAAGAGGTGGTGTCGCCCGGTTGCCGAGAAAGTAGCTATCTGATGAACCCAGGTGAGGAGACGATCCATGGCTCGGAGAATTGAAGTTGTTGCTCCTCCCTCCCGGCTTCCACACCTCAATTTGCCACTGGCTATACTATGCCATGCCACCAAGACTCCCGACCCGGTTTGGACTGGTCCGTAATCAGAGACTGTTTGTTAGCTCATCTTGCTAAGATGCGGAGGCCGGTTTTTGCACACCAAAGTGACGCTGCGCGATTCGTTCAAGCCTCTCCCGTTGGCCCGTAACCTTGCAACGTCGTAACATAGTTTTGTAAACTGTGTATGACGAGTACGACGACGCAACGACGTACAGCAGAGTCCAAGTAATGGATGTGTCTTTCCTCTGTACTCTACGAGGTAGCATGAGATGCTATTTGAGGAGATCAAATGTTACACGTGAAAATGAACATCAGACAACAGTACTCCGTAGATGATGATGACGATGGTTTTGGAGGAAGAGATACCAGTATTCGTACTCTTTGCGTTGCTCCTTCCGTTAGAAGGAGTTCAGTTGCCAGCTAGCAAGGGTCTACAAGTTGACAGTTGGCAGCCGCCACCAAGGTTCCCCTGCCCCGTGGTCACCCCCGGTCAGGGATCGTGATTAAACTTTGTAGTGCGGTGAGATCCACGGGGCGAGTCAAAGGTTACTAATTACCAACTTCGTAGGTAGTGATTACAACACGCCTTGTCAATTGCAAACCCAACAACTGTTGATCTAGATGCATGTCAATGTCAAGCGTTCAATGTCAAGCATTCAATGTCAAGTTGCCGCCACACCCGCTGTCTCTTGTTCAATCGAGCCTCCCCATGCCTCCTCCCTCTGTCTCTCCATCCCGACGAGCCTCACACGGCCTGACAGCTCCGCATCTCTTGATCCATCCGGCCCTTTGCTCGCTGTGCCTCTTGCAAGTTGCGGCGACATTTCTCATTTTTGTTGGCAGAGTGCCTGCCGTCAGGCGGGAGGGCGAAATACCACAGGTATTGTGACTGGGCCAACGAACAGTGATATAGCCCCTGTTCAAGACCCTTTTTCTTACTCATTCTGCAGTTTCTCCCTTGCTTGGACCAAATAAAAATAATTTGTACGTGGGTACCCGGGCCAGCCCAGGCAGAGAGAGTACTCTGTACTCTGTACTCGGTACTCCGTGCTGTGAGTGCTGTGTGCTCTGAGCCCATACAAAACAATACGCCGTCACTTCGGCTTCACATCCCCATCCCTTCTGTCTGGGTCTGGTATTCTCCCACACGGCTCAGCGGTACAGTTTATGTATCAGGAATTTGCTCGCCCCAGCGGCCCGGTCAGTCCCTTCGAAAGCACCACTTGACCGACCCTAGCTGTCCCTGTTTCTGAGACCCTGCTTGCGCTGCCCTGCCCGCCCTCGGCAGGTTGGCAGTCAATCCAGTCAACCTAGGCAAGGCCAAGGTCGCCGTCGCTCTTAGACATTCCCCTCCCATATCTCGCGCCGCCAACCATTACGTCGAGAACGGCGCCTATCGAGAGGCGGATCTGTGCCGCTTGTCTTGGGTCCGCCCATCCAGTCCAGCCCATGTCCCGTCCTCCACTCACACCCCCTACTTGCAGTTCACTTGGATCTCACACTCGATGGCCCGACGTTGTTGGTTGAATAATTCACGCCCTCCTTTGCGTCAGGAAAATGTATTTGATTGTGCTGGGCCCCAGGTCAACTCCACGCGTGGGAAGGTGCTGCGCCTCGTGAAGACATAATCTGGGTGCCCCTGCTGTATTGTTCGACAAAAAGATACAATCTCGTCGCCCCCCATCAGTACTGCAGCTGGACGTGAGACCGGCGAAAACATCCATCATGGACGCTATCGCCCGTATTCCTGAGCTGGAAGACGCCCGATATTACACCGAGGTCCTGCGCCTGCGTGCCAGCAAGTCGGAACTCCTGTATGATCGCGAGCTGTTAAAGAAAGCTCACGGTCTCGGCATCATGGCCACCTTGCCGTCCGTCGCAGAAGCAAAGCGTGTCACTTCGAGTGCCTCTGATTCAACCGAGTCGACTTCACGAGAACAGACGTGTTCAACCAGCTCGGAAGCATCTACCGCGTATCTCACGCCTCACTCGTCTATATATGGCGGAGTGAGTCCAAAACTTTCTTCCTTCGACAGCAGCATCAACAAATCTCACGGCAAGGCTTTGAATTTCGCCTCATACGACAAGTACATTTCTCAAATTGACACAGTTCACGAAGAGCTAAGACCCCGGAAGCCGAGCCTTGCTACCGAGTGCTCTGGCCAAAGCATATTCAGCATTAGCACGAGGAAAAGCATATCAGGTGTTACTACAGGGTTTCGAAATAAGATGAGACTCAGGAAAAAGCCAACTCGACTGTTTGACACTCCGGTGTACGTGATCCAGCTCTCCACATGGGGGCCTATCTTCTCAGGCCGGTCATGACCTTGATTATGCTAATGTCGTCTTCACCACCCAGATCCTGTTTCGCCTGTCAAGAAGCCTTCAGCAAGACCAGCGGATTGAGACTATTACCATGTGGCCATGCACAGTGCACGAATTGCATCAAGGACTTGGTGATTCAGGCAATTAACCATGAGACGAACATGCCTCCGAGCTGTTGCACACAGCCGGTACCGGCTGACGCTTTGCAACAGTCTCTCGATCACAATGTTCAGGAATCGTTCTTGAAGGCAGTTCATCAGTACAGCACACCACCGGAATCAAGGATCTTTTGCTGCAATACGTTGTGTGGAGAGTTCATACCACCCCTGAAAAAGATAGACCCCAAGTTGCCGTCTGCGGTTACTTGCCTGAAGTGCCAAACGAAAGTTTGTTTTACATGTAAACAAGCTGCCCATTCCATCGGCACCCACTGCCCCGCAGATTGGGAGCTCATGGACGCACTCAAGATTGGGGGACAGAGCAGCTGGCGCCGATGCTACAGGTGCCGCAAGCTGGTAGAACTCTCAGATGGTACTGGCCCGACGACATGCGCTTGCAAGGCGCAGTTCTGCCATGCTTGTGGAGGTGTCTGGGACACCACAGTTGGCTGTCCGAATATTTGTAATGGAGAAGAGGGACTGGCCAAGAGGCGAAAGGAAGAGCAAGCGCAAGCAGCTGAGGCCGAGGCGACTCGAGAAGCTGAACGACAAGACTGCCGAGAACGATCGGCGTCACATCCCAGCATGATTGCATTGAGAGCATCGCAAGAACAAGAGAAACAGCGCATGTTGAAATTCCGAATTTCTGCTGGGGAATCCATGAAAGCAAGACACACTGCGGAGGAGACGGCACTGACGAACCAGCAAGCCGAGGCCGAGGAACAGTTGTCCCTAAAACACTCCAAGGAAACGACTCAACTCGACGACCGTCAGATTGCTGAAGAACTAGAGTTGCGGCAATCGTTGGAACAAGCAGAGAAAAGCATCCGAGTACGGATAAAACACATGGAAGCCTACTGTGATGGCTTGGGGCAAACACCCAACGGATCAGCTCTGCCACCAAGAGTCGTAACGGAGCAAAACCTTCGAGATTTGGGCAACCAGTACAACTTGCGGGACGACATGGAAAGACAGCACCAATCCAAGATTAACATGATGCGAGACCGCCAGGGGAAAAGAATGGAGGATCTTCTCGAGAAGCACGAAGCAGATATCGAGATGCTAGCCGAAGAGCATCGCAAGGCAAGAGAGGATCTGGTTGACAGGCACGAACAAGAAGTGGGACAATTTCAAAGCATCTTCGACGCGCGGCAGATTCGAAATACGGCCAGGTGGACCTTGGCCATCGAGGTGCTGTGCAAAGAATTGCGGGAGCTAGACGGCTTGAACTACGCCGTGGTAGATCCGCCATCGTGGCCCAGGACGGCTGGTGCCGACGGTGGTGAGTCGTCGTGACACGCCAAGAGGCACTCTACCAAAGCGCGATTACAATTATTTTAATGACTTGTCCTGGCACGGTGGAACATTATACCCCTTATTCATGCTTTTACTACTCTGACAATGTATTTTTATGAGAATTCCCCATCCTCCAAGATATACACCACGCGCCCTTTCTTTCGTGCATTTTATTTGTCGGGGAAGTGACTTGCGTGTGTTACTTACCAATTATTGGTCTCCAGCAACGCACCATTGTTTTGTCGTGAAGACCAGTAGCGACAGGTTGGTTTGCTGTCCCACATCTCAACTCTTTTCTATTGCACGCAGGCTGCATATTGCCTCGATTTCAACTTTGCTTTGACAAAGCGGCAGGTGTTTGTACCACAACCAACGTACTGTTTCTGTGCCCCTGCATAGTGGACAGGGCTGGTGGATGAGATGGCATCAAGCTCATTTTATAATAATTCATACATGTAATCCAGCCAAGAAGAGAGCCTATTCACTGGTCTTGCCACCGCCATGCTCATTTGACGACTTCGACGCAGTCCAGATTAGCAGTGCAAGCGTGAGATGCATGTGTGTCAATTCCCGCAATCTACTTCGCCAAAGGCCGTTGACAGACCGTGTCAAGCCCTGCAGCGATGAGAACAGACAGTATGTAGAGGACATGGAGAGTGGTGCGTCGCTGTTGTCCTCATCCATCCCAGACGGGGAGGCTGTAAAGGACCGTAACGGCTGGAAAGACAGCATCTGGTACACTCTGGCCAGGTCTTTGTACAGAAAATTCCGCCTCGTCATACCATGATGCAATTGCTTTCCACCGTGTTTTCATCAGGATGCATTGCCTACCCTAACGCTTGACACCTGCTCTATACAGCATCGGATAACGTGTTCATCCGGCCGGCACACGCTCCTTTTCTTTTTCTTTGGCCCTCCCAGCGCTTTGGGGTTTCTCAGCACCCCACGTGACTTTGTCGGTTGGAGTGGCCCACGGGCCGCCCACCACAGACCACAGCGGGCTGCCGAAAACCTTGCCTGCCAGCACAAAATCACCGTCACTGCGTCCACTTTTCCCCACGACCCAACGGAAATCTTTTGCCAAATTTCGCTGTCAACACCACAACGTCTCGCGTCGACGAAGAAAAGAAAAAAACAGGCACAAAATTTCACAATGGATTCCTCCAAGGCCCCCGTCAAGCTGGTCAAGGTGACCCGAGTCCTCGGCCGAACTGGTACGAAAACAAAGCCCTTTCCCTCGACAAGTCCACAGGACGTTGGAAAACAAGGATTGAAGCTCGGCTCTTGCTTGCCCCAAGCCGAGCTGACCTGGGACTCTTGTTCCGATGGACCAACAGAGACGAGATGAGGATGTAGTGGGCCGTGGAAATGAAAGACTAACGAGTTTACGTTGACAGGCTCCCGCGGTGGTGTCACGCAGGTGCGCGTCGAATTCATGGACGACCAAACTCGATCCATTATCCGAAACGTCAAGGGTGCCGGTATGCAGAATTTCTCCCCTTTCTCAGCGTCGTCTTGTTCCGACCGGCGACTGACGATGGAAATTTGACGTGGAAAATTGTGTGTTCCATGACTGACTCAATCTGATGTGTAGTACGCGAGGACGACATCCTTTGCCTGCTCGAGTCCGAACGTGAGGCAAGACGCCTGCGATAAAGACGTTGCTGTTCGCAGCCGAGGCTGCGTGGGGAGGGTTTGCGTGGACGACCATGAGTGGGAATGACGAGCCGTGGTTGCTGATATCAACGCATGTGCACGGGGAGGGGGTGTCTTTGCAATGGGTATAAACCTCATCAGGGTTGGATTCGTTGTGGGAGGGGAGGGCAAGGGAAGAGGCGCTCGACAATTGTCTTGCCTGGTGGTGTAGAAATGATTTGTCACGTCAGCATAGCCGGCAGGCTGCTTGGTTGGCAGGGAAAATATCTAGGCTCGTTGCTTTCCAGTGTGTCGAGGAATATCTGAGCATTGTCTTTTTTTTCGTCGGTGTACAGGGAGGAATTTCTTGGCACAACCTCTTCTCTCTGCCCGGCAGTGCTTTTACCCGTGCAGTGTACAAGGTCAGCGTGCTTAATGGGCGACTGGGATACGCGGGTCATGGATGGATTTCACTCATGATGCAAACGTCTGTTGAGTGCGGCAGCTTGGCGGGCCCAGCTGGTTCCGGGCAGAGGGGCAGCCTCCCGGAAATATCAGGCCATGGTTTCCATGCAGATGGCAAATGTGAAAAAGTCCTGGACCCAGGAACTCGGTACGGAGTCGGGCGTGTCTGCAGGTTGTCGTAGCACAGAGAGTCGAGCCAAGCCAAGCCGAGCCAAGCCAAGCCTGGCCAAGCAGGTGCCAGGTGCCTGGTGCCTGGTGCAGGCCAGAGAGTGTCTGTGCACTGTGCAGACTGTGCAGTGTGCAGGTGTGTTGTTGACTGCAGATTCCTCGCCTTGCCTCGCCTTGCCTTGCCTTGCCCTGCCCTGCCTGCTGCCCTGGGCATGAAACAAGTTGAGACAAACATACGTAGTTGTCTCTCACCCAGCCAAAGAAGCCACCGACTGATGTTTGCTCCATTCAACCGACAGCCACAGACAGACCGACAGACAGACAGACAGACAGACAGACAGATAGACAGACAGACTGCAAGTGCGTCGTTGGTCGCGTCGTATCGTCGGCACTCTCGTCGCTGTCCGCGCTTGCCCAGTTCATACTCGATACTGGAATATTATTCTCATCCAATTCTGCAGGCAAGCCCTCTCTCTCCACCCATGGGCATCGGTGCGGAGCCTGGGTGCCGACAAGGGGCATCTGCAGCCATCATCTCCAAACCTTTACTCGGTAGTTACTCAGTAGCAGTCGGCACCAGTACATAATGCGTTGCTACAAATCGTCCATCCGTGGTCCGCTATCCTCATCAATCAGCTAGATACGTGGTCTCGTCGCCGCCTTGATCCATCCATCTCCCTGGACGTCGTCGAGCCTTCATCAGGCACCGCTTCCCTCTCTTCTCCCAAGCGTCGGTCGCCCCCGCCACTGGCTCAAGTGGACAGTGGACTGTGGACTGACTGCGTGCGGCGTCAGACCTCGTCGTTCCACCTTGATGCAGGAGGAGGAGGGAGGACCACCAACCAGCAACAGATTCGACCTCTACTAGTATCGACCACTACCGGGTACCGAGTGACTTTTTTTACTTGCTGCCGGTTCCCCCAAACGCCGGCAACATAGGAGGCGCAGTCCGTCGGGTTGCGTCAGCACAACTTCGTCCCGCGACAAAGATATCGGGCCGCTCGCCATTGACTGCCCACCGTCGTCTGTGAAGAGCCCGAGACCGTTGCGACGAATTGCCGCTGCGACCAGGACATTGCCGGTGACAAGCCGCCTCGGCCAAGGAGGCCTCTTCCCTCCCTCTACGTGCCCGCATTTCCTCGACGACGGCTTTGTTTGACCTTGGTACCTTTTTTTGTGTCACCATGGCCGACTTGCGAGGCTCCAACGACGACGACGACGTCGATGCCGTCCCGCACTCTCACCAGCACCAGCACCAGCAAGACAGACTCATTGGCTCGCCCACCCACGACCCCCAATCTTCACAACCAGACGCCGACGGAGCCGGTGGCACCCGCCTCGAGAACAGTTCCAATGGCAAACAGAGCGCCGAGGCTCGTGACGTCGGGGCCTCGCAGCAAGGACCTGCAGCGCCGACAGCAGCAGCTTCCGGGACCGAGGCGCAGGCAAAGCCAGCCGTCGACCCAGCAGTGGCAAAGCATGTCAACGATGTCATGACTTCAGAGGTGGCTATCCTTTGACCCAGTGCGCCTCCCCGTTGCCTTCAGACACGTGCTAACGGCGACCAGTTGGGAATCCCGACCCTGTTGAATCGCCTCAAGCAAAGCGTCGCCTCGGCCAAGGAATTTGCCCTGTTCCTCAAGAAGCGCTCAGTGCTCGAAGACGACCACGCCCAGAGCCTTCGGAAACTCTGTCGTCTGACTCAGGACAATTCGCGCCGCCCCGAACACCGCCAGGGCACCTTCTCCAAGTCTTACGATGAGATGGTCTTCATCCACGATCGCATGGCCGAGAACGGATCACAGTTTGCCGCTTCACTCCACCAGATGCACGAAGACTTGGTGGAACTCGTGGCTAATGGCGAACGAGCCCGCAAAATGTGGAAGGCAAACGGTTTGGCTGCCGAGCACAAAGTAGCAGACCTGGAGCAGGTCATGCGCAAGGCCAAGGCCAAGTACGATTCTCTGGCTGAGGAATATGATCGTGCAAGGACAGGCGAGGCCAGACAAGGCGGGAAGGTCCTCGGCGCTTTCAAGGCGCACAAGTCTGCGGCGCAACATGAAGGGGATTTGCTGAGAAAGGTCCAGGCCGCGGATCAAACATATGCGAGCCATGTTCAGTCATTGCAGACAGAAAAGTCCCATCTCGAGAAATCCGCTCGTCCCGAGGCTGTCAAGGCCCTGCGCGAGCTCATCTCCGAGACCGACTCGGCCGTGACACTGCAGATGCAGAAGTTTGGTGAGTCCGTTGAAGCTGTCCCGCCGTGCATGATTTAGGTCCTTTTTCTCCGGTTTTTTGTATTTCTTCATTCCACTTTTGACGCTGACCCCTTGTTTGTTAAAGCCGCTTTCAACGAGAAGCTCCTCCTCGGCAATGGTTTGATTGTCAGTCCGTTCAAGACGCAGGGCCCCGAAGGAGCTGGCCAGCCGCGAAGTTTGCGCCAGGCAGTTGCCTCCATTGACAACGAAAAAGACTTCAACGACTTTGTTGCCGGTCAGCATACCAGGATCCAGCCGTACACGGAGGTAAAATATGAGCGTAACCCGGTATGTCCACCGACCCGACCTGGAACCTGCGGTCCCTGTCCATTTCCCTAACTTTGATTGCGCCAGCTTTTGATGCCCAATCCATCGTCCATCAGTCAACCTTTTCCACAGAGCATGCCTACTGCCCAGCCAGGCGGCAGCGCTGGGCCCCCTCCCGAGGGGCCCAGCTCCCTTGGTGTTGCTTCAAGGAGCAGTGTCGGCCAGTTTGGTGCCATGGGAGGTGTTGTTTCGTCGCAGGGCCCTCCTGCACAACAAGGCGGCATTACTGATTCCGCCCGGCCGTACGCCCAAAGCCACGGCCGCAGCTTCAGCCAGGGCAACATGCTGAGCCAGCAGGTCTCTTCCTTGCAGCAGCAGTTTTCGAGCAGGAACTCTGCTCAATCTGCCCCGAGATACGGCAGCGCCGCAGGCTCGCAAGGGCCGCCGCAACTTGGTGCCTTGTCTTTTCAGGGCTCACAGCCGTCACCAAAGTCCTCGACACCGCCGCAAGGGGCTCCATCCCAGCCTCCAACGGATCCTCGCAGCAGCAGCTCCGCGTACGGTGGTGCGCCGCCCCCAGCCTACGCCCCGGCATCCGAGAGCAGCAGCCCGACCGCATCGAAAAAGTTGGTATTTGGCACGTCACTGAGCCGCTTGTATGAAAGGGACGGTCTGGCCGTGCCAATGGTGGTGTACCAGTGCATTCAGGCAGTGGATCTCTTCGGTCTGGGTCTGGAGGGCATCTACAGACAGTCAGGCTCAGTGAGCCACATCCAAAAGCTCAAGAGCATGTTTGACGCAGGCAAGTCGGGCCCTCCATCTCATCACCACTCCAGCACCAGCTGACATCCGGGCCAGAATCCTCTAACCCCGCCCTGGACTTCACAAACCCGGAAAACTTCTACCACGACGTGAACAGTGTAACCGGCCTCCTGAAGCAGTTTTTCCGCGACCTCCCTGATCCTCTCTTGACAGGAGAGCATCACGACGCCTTCGTCAAGGCAGCCAGTTGGTACCCCTTTTGTGACATGCGCCATCCCATTATTCTATCCGGCATCAAACTCCCAGTCTGCTAACCACCTTTTACAGAGCACGAAGACGACATTTTGCGCCGCGACTCCCTTCACGCCATCATCAACGCTCTGCCCGACCCCAACTACGCTACCCTTCGCGCCATGACCCTCCACCTCTACCGCGTCATGGATAACGCCCACGTCAACAGGATGAACTCTCACAACCTGGCTGTCATTTTCGGTCCTACCCTTATGGGCTCCGACCCCAGCACCGCGATTGCCGACGCAGGGTGGCAGATTAAAGTCATTGACACTATTTTACAGAATACATATCAGATCTTTGAGGAAGATTAAAAAAGAATGAAAGCCTGGACGGTAGGCTACGGGCTACGGGCTACTGGTTGTGGATTGGTTGTCATCATTTCTTTTTTCTAGTGTTTCTTTGCACGGGGCTCACCATTGCATTTGGCGTCTTTACTGACCGTTGGTCCATTATCAAGTGTATGAATATCATCGGGAACGGAGGCAGTCTGTCGATAGGAGCAACATGTTAAATATTGACCTTGATCACTTTCGCAAAGAGAGAAAAAATGCATGCGCATGAAGATAGAAAGAAAGAAAGGAAACATCAGGTCGCCTGAATCGTCAGGATAAATAGAGGCCATGTACTCGATTGATGTTGAAAGTCTATTTCATTCAAAGATAGATACAAACCTCCACGCCCACCATGCTTGAACAAGGAGACCGAAACAAAAATCCCATCCAAACTGCATCGCAGAATCTCAAGCGCCAACACACCTCACCCGTCATGCGTAAACCCAAAAGGAAAAAAAGAACCTCCACCCGGGAAGATGCAAATCCGGATACTAATATATCGACCCCGATACTAATATATCAAAAACCTATTGTGGCTCTCTTTCAACTCCCCACAAAACAATGTACGCTGCTGCTCTCAATGATTCTCCCGGTCGGCTATAGTCGTAAATCATGGGATACCCAGGGGTCCGGGCGATGAAACAAAACAAGTTGAACATGATGAAGAACAGACGATGCAAAAGTATGGAACAGAAACAAAATGGCCAAAAAGCAATCAATGGTCGCACTTGGATTCACTGAACCTTGATTGCCTCGAACAATCGAAGGCTGAGGCTGGTGTCGTTCTCGCCCACGTTGGGCGTCGGTTCGCTGAGGATCTCCCAGCGACGGAGAACGAATGGACTCAGTCTTTCGTTTGAAGCCGGGCCGATGCCATACATGGCTCCCATGCCTCGGGCGGCGGCCGTGTACGGCATCGACGATTTTTCGCGGTGTGCGAGCTTCAGGTTCTCGGCGGGTGTCGGTCGTGGTGCGCTGAAGAGATAGTACAGGCGTGGATCTGATGTGGTGGCTGTGCTTGCCGTCGTGCCCGGAAGGAAGAGAATCGACTTGGCACACTGTGTTCGCAGATCGTCGGGCAGAGCGTCTACTAGGAGTATCGAAATATCGAATATCTGCTGGACAAGGGACCTTGCAAGTTCCTGTGGAAGAGTCTCCATCTCCAACAGCAGACCACACAGCACAAGGATGATGCGCGCTCGGGCTTCGTGGTTGTGGGTGGACGTTGCCGGCTTGGCTGAGCTGCTAGGCCCTGCCGCGGCAGTATTCGATGGCTCCAAGGAAATGCTGTGCAGCGTAATGAATCGCAGCAGCGTGGGGAGCCAGCGCTCCAAGACCTCCTTCTTGGCTAGCGCTCGGTCCTCATCTCGCGAGGCGACAATCTCCCACATATCGGACAGTTTGTCGACCAAGCTGTTCGTAAGAGAGGCTGACCTCGACGGTGGCTGGCCCGAGATGATGGCCTCAATGACTCCAAGTAGGTTTTCAGCAAGGTGAATGCGATTCTCGTCTGTGGTTTCGCTAGCAAACGATTCTGATTTGCTCGACGGCATCAGATCCAAGAATCTCGTGTGAGCCTCTCTATTAAGGCTTTGAGTGATGTCGTCGCTGAGACAGGGCAGCATGCTCGTCCAAATGATGTTGTGAGACTCGATAGCCTGGTCCATAGCCTTGGCAAATGCTTCAAATCGTGAAGGTGCCTCGCTCTGGGCGTCCGGGGTGTTGGGCAGATTCATAGAGAGGTCTAGGTTGAGTTTGAGCTGACAAAAGGGCATTGTCAATTCATTCGCAAGAGACAGAATTCGCTCAAATGACGGGTGGTGATCGGAATCAGCCTCAGGTAATAAAAGTCTGGTGACCAGCCTGTGCGCCAAGGATGTTGCCCCCGGGGGGAGCGTACTCATGTTTAACACTTCTGCGACGATTGCAGAGTCGGCCACGACCAAGAATCTCATGGTCTCCAAGAGGCAGTCCTGACAATTCACATCATCGAGAGGAAGCATAGTCGCTTGGCTGGCCATCCGCAGAGCTGAGTACTCAACAAGCGAGTTGCGTATCAAAGCTAACAGGCCCTTTCCATGCTCAAATTTGGCGCATTGTTGATAAATTTGAAATCGATATGTTTCCTCGGCATCGAGCAACGCAGTAACTGGTAACTTCACAACCATGAGCTGGAGAAGTTCTTGCAAATATGTCGCAGTTTTTGACGTTACAATATCGCGAGTGGCGTCCAAATTCACAGAGCTGGCATTGGCAGTATGGAGTATTGTCGACATTGACAAGCAGCCGAAGGTAACAAGGAGCGGGAAGAGCTCCGGTAATGGGGGCCGTTCCTTTAGGGTTCTGATGTGACTGACCCAGTCTGCCATGAGTTTGTCGAAATGGAGAGCGTCCAGCATCCGCAGTCGCGACAACAGAGATGAGAATACCCTTCGACTGTCGTCCAGTTTTCCCCAGCCGGATTCCAACTTGACGATGACGTATCGAAAAAGACGATTCATGGTAGGGTGATCAATGACGTTGCCACTGGCGAGAAGCTTGTCAATCTGTTCCGAAACCTCATCTTCGGCCGTCTGGGCTTGCGTTGCCATGCTGTCCGAGATGGGAGAGCAGGCGTCGATAGCGTTGGACCGATCATTCTGGGCCAGTTCGCGTGAGAGTTGTTTCGCAAGATCCTCCCTCTGTGGCAACCTTGCAGCTAGAGACGCAAGAGACGCAAGCAGCGACCGAACGACGATTCCCTGGTCTCGACTCATGACCTTGAGTCGTTCAATAAAATGGTCGAAAAGGGTCTCTGCAGTACCTATGGCCATGAAGATGTCTAAATGCGCGTTAATAGTGTCGACGCAAGCTGCGAGAATGTCCACATCGGGATCAGTGGAACAGGTCTTCAGAATTCTCGAAAGCATCGAAAAGTCCTCAACTGTCTCCATTATCGTGCGAATTGAACCAAGCATTGCTAAAGTCATAACAAAGTGTGGCCTGGGAGGGAGTAGGCACGTTACGACATCGTGCAGATGAGATCCGATCGTACTTTGTACTGCCCAGCTGCTGTCTTCTATTCGTCGCGAGAGCTTCTTCAACGACAGAGGTCTTCGGCAAGGCTGAGGGCCGTTGAGATATGTTGACAGCCCGAGGAAGCTATCCACATATTGAAGCGCCGAAGAGATGTCGGTTGCCTCATCCACAACAGAGTAATGTCCGGCACGCCTGAGGAGGCTGCCTCTCTGGGCCTTCTGCTCTTCTACAAGGCAGTGGATAGGCAACTCTACCAGAAGACGAGACGGGCAGGGACCGTCAACCGGGTCGATTTCGTCGGCTCCATGCAGGCCGCCACGGCCAATGAGCCACTGCATGTACTGAGGGACTGAAAAGTGTCCAGCTCGCACTAGTTCACCCACCAGTCGAATGGTGAGTTTCTTCCTGATCTTGTCACCAGGAGCCATGTCCCCAAGAGCATCTAGGATTGTCGAAGTCGCGTTGATCCTATGGGCACCCCAGGACTCGATCAGTCCGGCAGCGACATATACCTTGGCCAGCCCGGGCCGGTGCAGCGACGTAGCCCATTCCACTACCGTTCTCAATACTCCGGTCTTTTCATCCGCGGACGCCCAACACCTTGCAGACAGTCCAGGAGAACACTGACCCTGCAGCGTTGAATCTAGCAACTGTACCAAGTACTGACGGCCGCTTGGGGGCGAGGTTGTGTTGGCAACTACGAGCCTCGTATTGCGCAACTTGATGGTATTATACGCAGCCTCGGCGACTGCGTCGTCGGCCGGCAACGCAAGCCTTAAAGTCTCGCAAAAGCGTTGCCAGGCAGGAGGACAAACAAAGCTTTCAGGATTGGTTTTGATGAGAGAGATGATTAGCGTCGACAGCTGGCTGGATAGCTGAACGAGAATATCTCTGTCGGGGTCATGTTCAATCTATAAGCAGCAATTAGCCTCTCGCCTAGCCGTCGGCCCCATGGCTCGTCCATACCGTGTTTAAATGATTCAATAATGCGAATACCAAGCGCCTGCCACATTTGCGTGAGTGTAGCAGGTCGTTCCAATATATCTGGCCAATTAACATCCACATAGGGATTCTTGACTGTGGGCTGTTTTCCAATCCAGAGATAATCCACTCCAAGTAATGATCGCGATCGAGTAGTTGTTCAGAGTAAAGACATGTTGCGAGACGAATCCTTCAGTTGTCGAGTTAGTACTCTGCATATTAGCGCTACACCCAGGATCCAAACTTACGCGTATGTCACCTTTGGTTTCCAGTCGGGTTCACCAAAAGCGGAGACAACTGATTCAATAAACTGTTCGACGAATACAGTCCAATCTCTGATCCATTTCAGTTCGCCCCCGAGGACAAAAGCCCCGCTGGCTCCTTTCCTCTTGAAGGCTCGGATCTCGTTGGCGCCGACGCACTTGGCCAACCAAACTGCGCGTTCCGTAGGGACGTCCTTGTTCAAACATTGGTCAAGAAGGGTTCTACCCCGGATACCATGTGGAATTGTTCTGCTAAGACGCCTGAGGGATATAGCTGGGTTTGCCAAATCCTTCAGCCATATCTCCCGTTTCGTATCCGTGAGTGTGACCCGAGGCGGAGGTTTAAAGGTTGATGGGGCTGTGATTTGGCCACGAATTCTGCGTTGGTTCAACACACCCATGAATATAGTAGACAAAGCATTGAGGCCGCTCTTTTGCTTCAACGACGGGAAGATGGCGATTCGGGCTGATGACGCCTCATTTTGACTACCTCTATCCCACGTGCCCTTTTGGATAGCTTCGGTGCTCCACTCGTCCTCATGATGATTGCCTGACCAGGGAAAGAAGTCCGCATGCCCCGAAAACAGGCCCTTGCTGAATGGATCTCGGCCTGAGGTCTCATGTCTATTCGTATTTACGTATCGAGGCGCCGCGGCAGGAACTTCCACCGTGTACGGTTTCGGCCGCACATCTTTCTTGGCGAGTGTTGGTGTCGGAGCAGCCGGCCGGGTGAAAGGTACGGCCTGCGAGGTCTGAGGCAGTCGACGCTTCGGCATTGGCATCGGGGGGTTGTCGCCATCTTGGTGTGACAATGCTGGACTCGTAGTATCCGTCTCCATAGGGTCTGGAAGAGGTACCATGCGAGACGGCGTAAGAGTCTGTGGCGATTCGGTAGCAGATAAGGGGGCCGTCGATATCAGTTCGTTTGAGAGCTCGAGCCGCAACTTGGAGCCTTGCCGTCTTGGAGTGGACACATGACGACCCAACATGATCTCGGCGGGTTCTGTACTGGGCTCGAAGGCTGCGCTTGCATCTCGCCTGGCTGGGGACGTCGGGAGGTATTGTTGTTGAGACGACGATATACTCCGCTGGTGATGATTGGGAGGCCTTTGGACCTGCAACGTCGAGCTGAGCCCCCGTTGAGGCTGTCGCGGTTGGACACCCATTGGCGTCCTCGAGCTCATAGCTGACCGGGGCGAGCGGGCGCCATCCCGACGAATACTTGAATATGTTGGTATTGATGCGATAAAATGTGGAAGTATTGAGACAGACGAAGGCCTAGCGTTGAAGCACGACGCCTTGTTCGGGGGGCATGGGTGGGAAACGGGCAGAGACTCTGCCGCTAGCTACACGCCGATGCAGAAGCCGTGCCGACGAGATCCCAAAGCGCCGGTCGTTTGTCACAGCCAAGGAGGCACAAAATTGGGCGCGGAACGCGGATCGTGAACAGGTCGGAAGTTTCAGTCGGAAGCACAGGGAGGCGTGTTTCGGGGATGGCGAGGTTGACGTGAGGCTAAAGAGGCGTCGTCGTGCCTTGACGTTGACGACTGGCCGTTGGATGGAAGAAGGTCGACTGGTTAGACGACTTCTGGTCGCAGTCGCAGGACGTTCGGAGTGGGTAATAACGGGGGTGCGGGCGATGGCGCGAGGGAAGCAAACGAAGCAGGAGCGACACGGCGACACGGCGACCCCAAGATTGGACAATGCCCCCCAAAAGCAGAGAGGCAGGAGCGGGAAAGAGCGAGAGGGTGTGTGGGCTGCGCCTGCGGCAAGAGCTGATCGGGGCTCTGCGAACGCCCAGGTTACGGAGTACCTACTACCTACGTCCGAAGATGACATCGGGAGGCACGAGCACTCGTCTCCTTGCACAGCACAGTACTCGGTACGGAGCAGGAGGAGCAGCAACCGCTACGACTACGTATTCACGAGCTGGCACTGCGAACTAAAATCGGTCAGTCGCCCCGGGCTCTCAGGTGGCGTGTGGCAGAAACAGTGGGTGTGGGCTCCCAAATTGTGGGCTTGGGCGTCTTGGGCTATCTTTGCCCTCAGTCAGGGTCAGGGAGCCAAGCAACAAGAGTTGAACGGTAACTTGCCTTGGCTCGGTGGCACCGTGACAATGGTAACATGCTAACAGAGAGGGGCACAGTGACAAGAGGCGGAAGCACCGACAGTACCACCACTCGGCTCAAGCAGCTCATTCACCCGACAATAGGGAGCCTTACCGACTTGGGGGGAGTTTCGGGAGTCTCGAGTACGCAAGCGAGAGACAAGGCTTCAACGACGATGGCGGGGCCCGAAAGAGACGATAACTAATTGGTAATAATAGGCTCAAGCGAGAATTCCCCTGCCACATTGATGAGCCCGTCGTCACACCCAAGACTTTAGGAGGCCGCATGACAGATGATACCTCATGGGCAGCTACACCAAGACACGTATTTTGTACGCAATTCGTACATCAAATAAACACTCTACCTACCTACCTACCTAGGTAGGCAGGCAGTCGTGCCCATCCTGCAACGTGGGAGACTGCTGACGCCCTCGATTCTCAAACACCAGCCAACAAGGGGGGATGCTAACTACTACTTTCATCCGCTGCGAGCAGAAGCACAGGTGATTTCGATTCGACCCACGTGCGGAACAATTCCCTGACGCCAACTAAGTTACTAGGGGGAAGACTCGGGGAAACGGGAACACTCACAGAACGAGAACGAACGAAGCTGGGTTGGGACAATTTTTCGGGGGGGGAAGGGCAAAGTGCCATCTCCCCTTTGCCCTGCATCCACAGGTGCCACACGACTCATCATCCACCTCGAAATACCGACATCGTACTCCGTACGCGACTCGAGGCAAGACCAAGGGCCGAGGAAATACTAGCCAACTCCGTACTCCGTAGACAAAGCATACGCCCGCCCGAATACGTTGGGCCGCCTGGTCCCAACTTCGGCCCATCGTCGACGTGCAGTCTCCGGCCACATTTACCTTGCCAATCACCATGTACTTAGAATGCAAAGATGCTGCCGTGTGGGAGAAACCTTATCTCGCTACAGATATCTTCCTTGCATGGCAAGAAGCAAAGTACCGGCACATAGAGCATACAGAATGCGCCGTCGCGATTGGGAGGGGCCAGGCATCTTGAACACGCCAGCTTTTTGACTTTCAACGTCTACGGAGTAATAATAAGGAGGCATGCAATGCACACAGCTGCGCAAAGAGGCCTAGTGCTTTTCGACCTTGATGCGTCAGTTTTTCTTCCGCCTTCAGTATTAGCTCGAGAAATTGTTCAGGATCCCCAGTCTTGTCCCTTCCAGTCAGATTTGCTGTCACCGCCGCGTACATGGGCGACTCGACTCTCCATAGCCGAATCCTCCATCTACTCCGGAATCCGGGAGATCTGTCATTCGCTGCGCCGCTGAGAGCCCTAGATCGCCCCCTCATTCACCACCGACTTCTGATCCGAGTCTGTGGCTTGCCAGGCTGGCGGCTGGCTCTACGGCCACGCCCAGCTATATGCACGACTTCCAACGTTGCATTTTCGAATTGACTGCCAGCAAGCCCAGGATTGCCGCTGCAACGCTCTCTCTCTCAGAACCTGTGCAGGAAATCATCCATACACGCACGGAGTCCTGAACTTGGCTACAAAGTGTGCCTTCCTGGATTCAGCCTCTGTTCGCATTTTGAGTACGTACGGAGCAGCAGCAGCAGCAGCAGTAGTAGTGAGTGACTGTTGCAGACGGGATATGGTGAGCTGCCACTCACTCATTCATCCCTTGGCATTGGAGCCAACCGCATTGTATTCCGTCATGCAAAGTGCCATCATCCTCTACGCAGGGCGTGCGGCCACGCAGAGGATAAAATTCGAGTTCCAGGCCCAGATATTATGAGAGCTGCAATGCCTCTCCCAGAACAGCGGTTCCTATTCCCGCCAGTTAAAGCGAGAAGAAATTTGGTGTCGAGGCATATTGAGGCGTCCAACCAACCGTATCGTTGCTATTTCAATTGGTCTGCATTGTTCTAATAGCCTGGGACGTTGTTTTCGGCAAATGTCTTTCGTGGCTCTTGGGCCCCTTTATGGAGATGCAAACCCGAGGGGAATTTCCATGGGCAAGGATGCTGCTAACATAGCTTGTCTCAGCCGTGGGCGCCGGAATTTCCCTCGAGACGAAACGGACACGGAAGCTTCCAGCGAAACGAGAACCGCGCCACGCAACCCATCGTTGCATCGCCATCGCCCTCGCCGTGAGAAACGAGTTCATAGCGTCGTGCATCCAGAGAGCGTTGCTTGGGTCTTGGCGCAAATGCGGAGCATGGGCTTGCGGATTTACATGGCAATATTTGGGTGCTTCTTCTTTTCTTTTTTCTCTCTCTCTTACTATTTTTTTCTTTTTTAGAGAGGAAGAGACAGAGAATTCCGTGGGGGGTGATGGTCCTTCACGGACAGCTCAGCAGCAACGTCCATTGTTCTTCCTAATCTGCGTTTATACCGCAACTCCTCATAGTAAAATCCCTAATCGACGAGCTCGGCTTTTGCCCAGCTGCGCGGATGCTGACGGCGTTAATGTCGGCTGGTTCTTAAAATAGTATTTGCACGGAAGTAGAATCTCTATTAGGAAGGTATCGTCTGGTCCGGAGTAGACGGAGCCAAGCCTTTGGGCATTTTGCATGAGACAGACATCAGCGCGGCCTCGTGATTCGCTTGACCCGACCAACGCGAACGAGCGACCTACGAGCTACGAGCTACGAGCTACGAGCTTCGGAGACGATGGGTAAGACCAGGAAGGGCCCCCAATGGTGTTCGTTTGACCATGTGCATCTGCGTCTAGTTCTAGTCTGGCGATGTCCCCGATGGGGTGATTCCGTCCGTCCTCCATCACCATCACACGTCGACAACATTGCGAGCCGACATCACCAAAGAATGCACCCATTACGGGCGCGCTTGAGACGGGACACGGGCAAAAGGTTGCTTTGATTCAGGGACACAAACTACTTCTGCGCGGTATTGCTGAAAACACACAGGAGGGAATGGCGATGGTGCTCATGATGCTGCGTAATGAGGGCAAATAATTGCGTCGGCGACGTTTCGTTTGTCGCATTCTAGCCCCGTGGGATCGATCCCATGCCGTCAGAGAGCACTCTCAGAGCTCTTCCGACTGGCCGAGGTGCCACTCATCCCAGTCTTTCTTCTCACCGGGGAGCTCGATGGCTTCCCAGTCTTCCTTGGTAACGTGTTTCCATTCCTCTACCGGAATCCAGCCAATGTACGCCCTGTCGCCGAATCCCCCGATCCAGTACACATGCGTCACCACCAATCTCGCCCACTCGCTCTGGTGGATGTGGTTTCCCGGGAGCCAATATCTGGCATCCCTGTGCTTGGCCGTGTAGCAAACAGCCAGGTCCTTGGCCTTGTCGTCATCTGCTTCAATCTTTTCCAGGTAGCCAAAGAGGGAGAATCGCGGCAGGTTGGCCGCCGAGTAGGGCACCGTGTCGGGAAGATCCGAGTGCGTCCGCTCGGAATCGTAGGGGCAGTGCCGCGAGAGAAAAGGCACGTACGCCGCTAGGCGAGACAGCAAGGACATGCGCTTGGCTGGCGGGTACGGAGGTGTCCACCGCATGGACAGGGTGATGTTGGAGCCTGCGGCGACGTTCATGAACGTGGTGCCAATCCTGAGCGCCAGGATGGTCGGGTTGCCCTCGTCCTCGCAGTCGGCAACGTAGTCCATCAGGCCGACGGGCTGGCCTTGCATGCCGCCGGGGCGCTGCTCATGCGCCGACGTCTGCGGAAAGACTGTCGACAGTGTTCCGAGCTTGGTCAAGGCCAAGATGCGTCGGCCCATGACAGCCGACTCATAGCTTGACGGGATCCTGCGCGACTCGACAGAATTGTCAAAGATGGATAGTGGGCTCTGCGTGGCGGCGGCGGCGGCGGCGGCGGCGCCAGCGACGCTGGAAAGGCCTGCGACGGTACTGAGCAGCTTCATGGTCTCGTGTTGAGGGGGCCTGGGCCCGTGTGATTGTGTCCTGGTCTGGGAGTGGCACAGTGCTGAAAACGCCGAGGGCACAGCAAAACGGCAAACGTTGTCTCTTTCTCCTGGTGGATGCGGCTACTCCGGTGCGATATTTATACCAACAGTAGGGGGTACGGAGCACTAACAAAGGATCTCATTAGGGTCCGAGGAGGCACAAAGGATTACCCCCTTTGTTGGCCGAGAAATGGTCCGACTTGGGTAGCTGAACCCCGCTAAATCTGAGGTCACCTGGGTTGATCAAGTGAAGATGGGAAGGTGGGTGGGGAGATTGATAAGATTAGATGGGCATGTGAACGGACGTGAGAGGGTACCGCCAGAATAAAGTGGCAACGAGTACGTCAATACTGGGTACACAACGGGGCCAGAAGACACTAGAGATTTCGCTAATGGGTTCAGAGGATTGTATACCCGAGCTTTGAGCGGTGACCAGAGAGGATACCAGGCTGTCAAACCCTGTAAAAAGTCTTGCCGAACATCCTGAGTGGACGAGTCGTACAGGGTAAGTTTTGGAAATGACGGGGGCAGTCCTTGGCCGTGGTCTGTTGCATTCCGGTCAGCAGACGAGTCAAATGGACCCCATTTTCTTTAAAGTACGTGGTGCGTCGTGACCTTTGTGAGTGGTGGTGTTTGTGGTTGTAATTTGTTTGTTCAACGGCAGAGTTGGCACCGTCTTGATTGAGCTCCAGCTTGGTGTTCCTGTTTTTTGTGTTTTGTTACTGACGACGGATACCACCGACCATCGTCCGGGGCCATTGACGGCCTTGCACACTGCGTGCAACTGGGATTCTTGGAGCTCGAGAATGGATGGCCGAATGGATGGTGCCCCCGAACCGTCGCTGTCGAACGGCGTGGCGAGATCCGAAGAATGAAGGGAATTTTCTCATCGTTTCGGACTGGATTGGAATGTGCACCTTGGGAAACGGTTTGTCGGATGAACCCCGGCTGTGGCTGTGTGGGGGAGTTCGAGGCTCGAGCGTGGTTGATCGTTGCCCCTGCAACGTTGTTGACTTTGTCCAAGCCACAGCCCAATGACATGCATGAGCGGCTCGACGGCAAGCTTATGAGCACCCGATCAAAAGTGGCCCTGCATCAGTACATCTCGCCTCCAAGCCAGCTTCACCCCGCAGGTTCGCCAAAGTGACGACAGTCAACAGCAGGCAGCGGGTTTTTATTTTTTTTTTCCTGCTTGTGGCCCTGTCTAGCCGGGTCTCAGTTTGCAAAGTCGAGAACCGACATTGGGCAGAGACGAGCAGCCTCATCGCGTCGTTTTCAGTTGTGAGCCCTTTGTTGATATCCGTTTCCCTCCCTGCCTTTTTTTCCTTGCCCAAGCTCGCCAACAGATCCGAAAGCTGCCTGCAGATCATGGCGAGCTTCATGTCCAATTTCTTCCAGGGCGGGAAGGACAAAGCGTCCGGGGACGACTCTCTCCGTCCTGCAACGCCAACGAAAAAGGTCAACAACAGCTTCATCAATCCGCCGAGCACGCCTCATGGCAGCCCCAGCAAGAAGACGGTTCCACCCGGTGCACACGATCTCCCGTCTGCCTTTGAGAGCTCCATGTCGCTCAATTCGTCCGGCATCGACGCGCCGGTAAAGCTTACTCGACCTCAGAGCGTGGTCACCCCGCTCTCGCCTGGCAAAACAAATGTCCAACCGCTCGACGAGTCCAGCATCAATGTTGACGAGAGTGTCATCCACAAGGCAACTTCTCCAGGCAGTCCGTTGAAGAAGCAAGGCCAGGAAAACACACCGCCTGTGTCGAGGCTGGGAAATGTTGATTCTCCCGCTCAGCACAGTCATGCTGCCAAGTCCCGCCAACAACTTTACGAGACTAGAGACCGACAAATGACTTCGTACAAGAAGTTCAACACGTCAAGAGGCCTGACGGCTGAAGAGCGAGAGATTCTGCAAAAGCCTGGCGTCAAGAGATTAGTCAATGTTACACAGCTATGTGAGTAGGACACAAGAACGCAGCCAACCTGGGAAACCCTTGACGAGGCTGGCTAACCCTATATCGCTCAGACTTCCTCGATTATTACTTTGACCTTCTCACCTACGTTGGTTCGAGACAAAATCGACTGGCCGCTTTCAAGGCCGAATACCCTGACCCCCCGGGGACGGATGAGCAGACTCACAGCCAAATGTGGACTAAATACGCGGGACGCGAGCGAGCCAACCTTCGCAAGCGACGGGTGAGACTTCGCCATGGCGACTTCCAAATCTTGACACAGGTCGGCCAGGGTGGCTATGGTCAAGTTTTCCTTGCTCAAAAGAAGGACACGCGCGAGGTGTGCGCCCTCAAGGTCATGAGCAAGAAGCTCCTCTTCAAACTTGACGAGGTTCGTCATGTTCTTACCGAAAGAGACATTCTCACCAGCGCCCACAGCGAGTGGTTGGTCCGTTTGCTATATTCATTCCAAGACGACAAGAGTATCTATCTTGCCATGGAGTACGTGCCGGGCGGTGATTTCCGCACCCTGCTTAACAATACGGGTGTTTTGTCCAATCGACACGCACGATTCTACATTGCCGAGATGTTTTGCGCGGTTAATGCCCTCCACGAGCTCGGCTATATTCACCGCGATCTAAAGCCAGAGAATTTCCTGGTAGATTCCACCGGCCACGTCAAGCTGACCGATTTCGGTCTAGCCGCCGGTGTGCTGGCACCTTCACGAATCGAATCTATGCGAATCAAGCTGGAGGAGGCCTCGGAAACATCTGTGCCCTTTGGGAAGCCGATGGATCAGCGAACGGTGGCAGAACGTCGTGAGAGTTACCGTAACATGCGACAAAACGACGTCAACTATGCCAAGTCTATTGTTGGATCTCCCGATTACATGGCACCCGAGGTTCTGAGGGGAGAGGAGTACGACTACACGGTAGATTATTGGAGTTTGGGCTGCATGCTCTTCGAGGCCCTGACTGGTTTTCCGCCATTTGCCGGAGCTGTGCCGGAGGAGACGTGGCGAAACTTGAAGCACTGGAAGGAAGTGTTGAAAAGACCCGTGTGGGAAGACCCCAACTACTTCCTCAGCAACCGCACCTGGAACTTTATCACCACGTGAGTTTTTCCTTTGGGTGAAGATGCGTGGCAGACGGGCCCTGAACGCGGTAGAGGCGCTAACGATTGTAAACAGCTGCATCAACTCTCGCACTCGTCGGTTCTCGAATATTCAGGATATCTATAACCACCAGTACTTTGCCGAAGTTGATTGGGAAACACTGAGACAAACCAGGGCCCCCTTTGTGCCGGAGCTTGACTCGGAGACGGACGCTGGCTATTTTGACGACTTCAGCAACGAGTCAGACATGGCCAAATACAAGGAAGTGCATGAGAAGCAACAGGCCCTGGAGCAAATGGCTGAGCGCGAAGACGAAATGAGCAAGAGCCTCTTTGTCGGATTCACGTTCAGACATCGCAAATCAGCCAACGAGGACGGCGGCAGCCCGCGCAAGCGCATTTCCACCTCGGATAACGAGCCCTTTGGGACCATGCTCTAGAACGAGCCGTGCAGTCCTAGTCGAGACTGGCGTCTATGCGCCACTCAAAGGGTGATGCTGTAAAACATGAACGGGGCTGGTACGTCGTCTCGACCAGCTCGATGGTGGGATGCGAGAAGAGTTTGCCTCCGTTCTATTCTATTCCGCCGCATACGGAAGAATGCGAAGGAGCGTTAGCGTGCACGCCGAAGACGCGGTTACCTCGTTCATGTGTTGCACGTTGGTATAGTATATGCGTCTGGAGACTTTGGCAGAAGGATACAAAAAGACCCGAGGGAGGTGAGGACGTGAAAATGGACCGCGGACAAGGACTAGGGACTAGGGAGTCGGGGACTACTACAACAGGGTTGGTTGGCTGGGCCGACGGGGATACTTGCAAAACATGCGCCGGATTGCAAGGGCGCCGGTTTTCTGGCACCTCGGGATTCTGTTCTGACATGCCGGGGGTTGGGCCTCAGGTCGTCTTTCCTTTTTTTCTTGTCTTCTTTTGTAATCGCTTCTTCTTTGTCATGAGTAATATCGTGGGACGAGGGTGTTTGTCAGTTTTGGAGGGTTGCGTATCTGCTGCCGCCCGCTTGTTTGGTCTTGTTATATTACATGTTTCTGCTGCATGTCATGGCTGAGAATCAATCGACTTATGCCGCCATCACGCTGAGCTCGCTTCTTCGTCCTTGCACACGCCATGTCGTGACGTTGGCTCAAGGGGCCTCTCGAGATCCCCGCGTACTTGGCTGTCTGTCTGTCTGTGGCCCATTCACCACGGCACGCATTGCTCGTGCTTCACAAAGTGGCACAACCATGGACATCTAGACGGGCAGCCAAATGGAATCGTGATAGCGTATTCGTAGCCAGTCTGCCGTCTTCATCCCGGCACATCGTCCCCAAATCACCTGTATACCGTCTGAACAAACTCCAAAATGTAACCCCACCCGCTGTGCTTATAGGGGGATCAGGAACACACCAAACCCTGCCCACAGCCCAATCGACGCGGAAACCGCTACGCGGATGCCTCGCACGTATCTGTTCTACTGTCCTGTCCTCCCCAGCCGCCCGCCCACCCGCATTGCGTGATCCTTACCAACCCGTACCGCCCGTCTATGTAAATTGTCACCCTCGATACAAAAGCAGTCCAGAACATCGAAACAGAATCAAATCTCCACCCGAGGCAATTCCTTGCAAGCAAAATTTGAAAACAGGATGAAACCAATGGGCAAACCATACGACATGGATGAAATGGCTCGACAAATAGCCTGCCGTCTAGAGGCCCAGATATACCTCCCCCCACCCGCCCCCCCAACGCCTCTCAAAAGACTAGAGTGATCAAAAGATATGACCATGCGCGCTCCCCATCCATTGTTTCCATATAGGAAATAGTAGACGTATACTGGCATTCCGTCTTCGTGCCAGGTAACCCACGTTTATAGACTCATTGTTAGCCATTCCCACTCCTGTGGACCCGTGGCAGGCCCTCCTGCGCTGTGCTGAGCGGCACCGGGTTGATGGTGGTTCATTTGAATCATGCCTCCATGGACGATGGGGTTTCTCTGAGGCGCCATCCCGAAGCTGTTCGACAGCATGGTGCTGGAAATGGAGGACATGCTTGGGGGATGGCCAATGGAATGCGAAAAGTCACCGGGTGAGGACGTGTCCGTGGGGCTGTCGATTTCCATACCCGATGTAGCTTCAGTTCCGAAGCTTTTGCTATGCCTGCGCTGTCGTTTGGATGAAGCCGACGCCTGTCCGGACCTCGAAGACGACGAGGCCCCGGGGCCTGGAGTTGCTTTCGGGGGAGCTGCGGCGATAGGAACAACGCCTTTGCCGCCAGCGGCAGCTGTGCTGCTCATGCTGCCGTAATGGCTGTTTGGAGTGCTGCCAGCCGTGTTGGGGCCGGAGCTTACGCTTGTAGCCACGGGGCTTTCGCTGTCCTTGGGCAAAACAGTTCGGCTTCCAGGAGGCGACGAGGTGCTGCCCGTCGAGTGAATGGTGGCGTTGACACTAGTGCTGCTTGCAGCCACAGTTGCCATGGACAGCGTTGAGCTTTTGCGAGACGCAGCTGTAGAGCCGGCGGGGTTCTTCCGCGATCTCGCGCCGCCGCCAGATCCATTAGGACCTGAACCTCTATTTCTCTTCTTGATAACGTCAGTTTTCAAACTGAGGGGTCGAACAACACCGTGAAGTTTCAGGAATAGACCACAGGCATTACAAAGAGGTTGGCCCTCTGGGTTTCGTCTCCACAGCGGAGTTGTCTGCGTGAAGCAGTTAGTACAAGTTGTTGGCGCGCCGCCATCGTTCTGGCTGCCGCCAGCAACCTGCAAGTTGGCTGATGATCCATGTTTGGAGCCGGGAGGGGATGACGGGCGACTCGGAGCAGCAGAGGAGAAACCTGACATAGAACCAGGCGCATTGTCACCCGGGGACGTAGGCGAACTTTGCGCGACTTGCTCGAGGCCACCGTGTTGAACGCCCATATGCGATGGGGTGGATGCCGTCCGAGGGAGACTTTGCCGCCTCTTGTCGTTACCAGCCTTGAACGACTGTGACCTCCCCAACCCGGAATTTTCCCAGTCGCCATTGTGATCAACATAGTCAGTCGTTGTACCACCAATCATAACTTGCTTTCGTGGCGGCCCGCCGGGGAAACGAGCGGCCTGTGTGCTGAACTGTCCTGGAAGAGAGGCATCCCATCCCATGGAACCTGCTTCATCCACGGATGACGAGAAGTCACCATGAATCTGCATGCTTTGCCCCTGCATACCGTTGCCATTGTCGTCGTCATCAGAATCTCCGCCAAATGAGAACATATTATCCGGTCTCATACCCACGGCGGGCGAAGCAACCTGGCTGTCAGTTTGGAATACCCGACTCGGGTCGATATGACTATATGAGCTTGGAGCAGTACCAAAGGCTGATATTGATGAAGACTCTTTGTCAGGGGCAGAATACAACTGGTTTCCGTTATTGGAACCGTTGTACATGAACGGCTGGTTGTGACTGATGTTGGCCATGTTCTGCACCGTTTGTTGTCGCATATTCTGAGAATGGTGCTGGTGACGATTATCCTGAGACCCAAAATACAAGCCATCGTTGTCGGGCATGGCCATGGGAGTGGAAACGGTGGACTGATAAGCAGATCCAGTTGGCGAGTATAGGTCGGTATTATTTAGAGACGAGTTCGGAACCGAAGAGCTAGTGTTATAGATGTTGGGGTAAGGACCATGGGGTATCATTGGAGAAGTGGAGGGAGAAAATGAAAAATTCTGCTGATACGATGCCGCTTGATTCATAACTGCATCATTGTCCATGAAGGTGTCGAGAGAAAAAGAAAGAGCAGGATTGCTGCCTTGAGTAAGCTGCTGCATTGAAACCGAATCGGTATTGTCGAGCGAGTATCCTTGGAGTTCAGAATCAGCTTCCAGATTAGAAGCACCGCCGGATATGTTGCTATTGACAGCGAGTACATGTGGTGAGAAATTGGCGGGGCGTTTGCGGTTCTGTGTATTACCAAGTCAGCGACGGTGATGCCGCACAGGAAAGGAGCGGGGGGGGATCAACAAGAACAAATGACAACAAAGAACAACTTGTGTTCGCATTAGGCAAAAGGGTTGCCCTTTTTTTTATAAAAAAAAAAAAAGGGGAAGACAAAGGAAAGAGCTCAATATTCAAACAAGATGAAAACCAAAAAAAAAAAAAAAAAAAAAAG